CTCACGAACAGAAGATCTATTCAATTGACGTTTCTCCCTCTTAATAATTCAATCCTTTTTATTTTAAACAGAAGATGTATCTCTCATCCTACTCTCTCTCTTCTCTCTCTCCTTTTTAAATCTTACTCTAATTTTTTTTTACCAAGAAAAGATCTCACTTTAATCTCTTCTTTTAAAACCCACTTTAATCTCTTCCTTTTATTAATAAAAATATCTCTCACTCTACTCTCCTCTTTTAAAGCTCCCTCTACTCTCTCTTCCTTTTAAAACCAAGTCTACTCTCTTCCTTTTATTAATAAAAATATCTCTCACTCTACTCTCTTCTCTCTTCTTTTTAACTTTAATTTTCATCTAATTCTACTTTTAACAAAAAAATCTACTTTTAACAAAATTATTTTTAAATTCTTATTTTTTTTAGTCAATAAAAAATTAATTCTACTTCATTTGATCAATTGTTAAAAATATTTCTAAATTTTCATCTTACTAATGAAAAATCAATTCATTTTCATATAATTGAGTGCTAAATAATTTTTTTATATTTCATTTTAATTTTAATTTCACTTTCTAATTTTTAAATAAAAATCCTTTTAAATTTCATCTAATTTTACTTTTAACAAAATTATTTCTAAATTCTTATTAAGTCAATAAAAAATCAATTCTACTTCATTTGATCAACTGTGAACAAATTTTTTTAGATTTCATTTTTATTTTTTTATTTTAATTTTTATTTTAAAATTTCATCTAATTCTAGTTTTAACAAAAAATTCTACTTCTAACAGAATTATTTCTAAATTCTCATTTCTACTAATAAAAATCAATTCATTTTTATATAATTGACTGCTAAATAATTTTTTCATATTTCATTTTAATTTTAATTTCATTTTCTAATTTTTAAATAAAAATCCTTTTAAATTTCATCTAATTCTACTTTTAACAAAATTATCTCTAAATTCTTATCCTTTTTACTTAATACAAAATCAATTCTACTTTATTTGATCAACTGTTAACAATTTTTTTTATATTTCATTAATTTTCATTTTTAAAATCCTTTTAAATTTCATTGAATTCTACTTTTAATAAAAAATTCTACTTCTAACAAAAATATTTCTAAATTCTTATCTCTTTTTAGTTGATAAAAAATCAATTCTATTTCATTTGATCAACTGTTAACAATTTTTTTATATTTTATTTTTATTTTTTTATTTTAATTTTTATTTTAAAAATCCTTTTAAATTTGATTTAATTGTACTTCTAACAAAATTATTTCTAAATTCTTATTTAAATCAATAAAAAATCAATTCTACTTCATTTGATCAATTGTCAACAAATTTTTTTACATTTCATTTTTTATTTTAATTTTATTTTTAATTTTAAATTTCATTGAATTCTACTTTTAACAAAAAATTGTACTTTTAACAAAAATATTTCTAAATTATTTAAATCAATAAAAAATCAATTCTACTTCATATAATCAACTGTCAACAAATTTTTTTATATTTCATTTTTAATTTCATCTTCATTTTTAAAATCCTTTTATATTTCATCTAATTTTACTTCTAACAAAATTATTTCTAAATTCTTATCTTTTTTACTTAATACAAAATCAATTCTACTTCATTTGATCAACTGTCAACAATTTTTTTTTACATTTCATTTTCAATTTCACTTTCATTTTAATTTTCATTTTCATTTTTTATTTTAATCAAAATCCTTTCATATTTCATCTAATTCTACTTTTAACAAAGAGATTTCTAAATTCTTATCTCTTTTTAGTTGATAAAAAATCAATTCTATTTCATTTGATCAACTGTTAACAATTTTTTTATATTTTATTTTTATTTTTTTATTTTAATTTTTATTTTAAAAATCCTTTTAAATTTGATTTAATTGTACTTCTAACAAAATTATTTCTAAATTCTTATTTAAATCAATAAAAAATCAATCCATTTTCATCTGATCAACTGTTAACAATTTTTTTTATATTTGATTTTTTTTTTAGATTTCATTTTTAATTTTAAATTTCATTGAATTCTACTTTTAACAAAAAATTGTACTTTTAACAAAAATATTTCTAAATTCTTATTTAAATCAATAAAAAATCAATTCTATTTCATTTGATCAAGTGTGAACAATTTTTTTTACATTTCAATTTCACTTTTAATTTCATCTTCATTTTTAAAATCCTTTTAAATTTCATTCAATTGTACTTCTAATAAAACCTACTCTAACCCTTCATTTCTCATCTTTACTATCAAAAATCAATTCAATCTTATTTAATCTATTTAACAAATTTTTTTAGATTTCATTTTTATTTTTCATTTTCATTTTTAATTTTAAAATCTTTTTTTTTTTAAATTAAAGATATTTTTAAATGGACATCTTTTTTTTAATAAAACCTACTTTATCCTTTCATTTCTTATATTTATCAATGAAAATTCAACTCAACTTGTCCAATTTATTCATTTTTTTTTTCTTATTTTCATTTTTAAATTTCATTTTAAAATCTTTTCTTTTTTTTTAAATTATTTTTAAATAAAAATATCTCTTAAATCAATCTCTTCTTCTTTTTAATAAAACCTATTCTCTATCCTTTCTTTTCAAGTTATTTTTAAATAAAAATATCTCTCAAATCAATCTCTTTTTTTCTTCTTTTTAATAAAACTCCTCCTTCTAATCTTTTCTTTTACTATCAAAAATTAATTCAATCTTACTTGATCTATTCAATAAATTTTTCTAGATATCATTTTTATTTTTGATTTTCATTTTTAATTTTAAAATCTCTTCAAATTTTTTTAAAGATATTTTTAAATAAACATCTTTTTTTTAATAAAACCTAGTCTATGCTTTCATTTCTTATATTTATCAATGAAAATTCAATTCTTTTTTATTTGATTAATGATTAACAATTTTTTTTAGTTTAATTTTAATTTTATTTTCATTTTCATTTTTATTTTCATTTTTAAATTTCATTTTAAAATCTTTTTTTTTAAATTATTTTTAAATAAAAATATCTCTCAAATCAATCTCTTTAATTCAATTCAACCTTATTGAATAGCTTACTTTTATTAAATCACCACTAGCTTCGCCCTAACGACAGACTAATTTTTGCTAAACAGATGGATTCGTTTTTTTTCACGATAACCAATGTCTAACTCTTTTTTTATCATAATCATAGACTCTTTTTGATAAACAATAGATTTCACTACTTTTTTTTCAATCATTTTACTGGTTTTTTACAACAAACTTGGATTTGACTATTTTTTTAAATAAGAAATAAAGTTTACTGATTTTTTTAAAATAATCAACAGATTTTATTTTTTTTAAATAAATAATAGATTTCACTAGTTTTTTTAAAACATGTAATAAATTTCACTAATTTTTTTGTAATTAGCGTAGAGTTAAATATTTTTTTTACAACAAACTTGGATTTGACTATTTTTTTTAAAGTAATCATAAACTTTTCTCTTTTTTTTTAAATAATCATAAAGTTTATTACTTCTTTTATAATTATTCTAATCGTTTTTACAATAAACTTGGATTTCACTGGTTTTTTTCAATGATTTTAGAGTTTATTAATTTTTTTGAAATAATCAATAGATTTCCTAGTTTTTTACAACAAACTTGGATTTTAGTAATTTTTTTAAAACAAGTAATAAATTTCACTACTTCTTTTGTAATTAGCCTAGAGTTAATTAACTTTTTTACAATAAACTTGGATTTCACTATTTTTTTCCAATGATCTTAGAGTTTAGTGATTTTTTTTAAATAAACAATTGATTTCACTAGTTCTTTTGTAATTAGCGTAGAGTTTACTGATTTTTTTAAAATAAACAATAGATTCTACTAATTCTTTGGAGTAATCATAAAATTTAGATGTTTTTTTGAAATAATCAACAGATTTTATTTTTTTTAAAGTAATCATAAAGTTTATTAGTTCTTTTACAATCATTCTAGTGGTTTTTTATAACAAACTTGGATTTCACTAGTTTTTTACAATGATCTTAGAGTTTACTGATTTTTTTAAAATAAACAATAGAGTTTATCAATTTTCTTGGAATAATTCTACTGGTTTTTTACAAGAAATTTGGATTTGACTATATTTTTTAAATAACCAATAGATTTCCTAGTTTTTTTGTAATTAGCGTAGAGTTAATTTTTTTACAACAAACTTGGATTTTACTAATTTTTTTAAATAAACAATAGATTTCACTAGTTTTTTTAAAATAATCATAAAGTTTATTAGTTCTTTTACAATTATTCTAATCGTTTTTAGAATAAACTTGGATTTTATTTTTTTTTTAAGTAGTTATAAAGTTTGCTCTTCTTTTTTAAAATAATAAAAGAATTGAATAAATCGTAGTACTTCTTTTTAAATGGACATTCAGTTGACTGATTTTGCAATGAGATTCTAGTGGTTTTAGAAGAGTCGGGTGATCTGGTTAGTCACTTTAGGGTTAGGGTTAGGGTTACAACTTTTCATGATCATTCCATTTTCAATCGATCTAATGTTTCTCTTTTTGATGATCATAAAGCTCTCGATTTCAAATCGTCTTTTAATGGGTTCAAGATAACTTCTTTCTCTGGTTAGTGGGATTAGGGTTAGGGTTAGGAGGGTTAGTGTTTCATGATAGATCCATTTTACAATCATTTTAGACTGGAGTCGTTGTTTATGAGATGAGATGGAATCTTTTTACGCTGGTTTTACACTTGACTCATTTTTTTAAAATAATGATAACCCCTACTAATTCTTTAAGATACGCAGAACTCTCTTTTTTTCACGATAATCCATTCATTCAAGTGCTTTTACAACAAATTTAAACATCTTCTTATCATAAACTTTAGTTCTTCGATAAGCTTAAACTTTACCCGATAAAGCATAGTTTCGAACTAAGATGGTGTGTTAAAATAATTAAAACTTCATTTCATTCATTTAGATTTCTATTATATATAAACAATGGATATATGCACATTTTCAATCTATTAACATTTTTTTCATTCATTTACATCATCCCCATAACAATCACTCCCAACAATATTATTTTAATCATATCAGGGACTCTTATTTTCATCCCATCATTCGGTTTTACATCTTCTTCTCCTTCTTTTCCTTCTTCTCCTTTATCTGTCTCTCTGCTTGAATCAGTAGTACATTTGGTAGGCTTGCACTTGCGCATCGACGTCAACGTCACTGTCGACGTCACCGTTGACGTACTCGTTGTCGTACTCGTATGCAATGATGTACGTGTTACCCATGTATCTGTTGTTTGTATCATTGTACACTCTTCTGTTACTTTTCCTCCACCTATTGTCTTGGTTTCTGTAACAGTTTTCGTACCGGTCTTCTCATCAGCCTTGTCATCAGTCTTTGTTTCTGTCTTTGTTTCCGTCTTCGTTTCCGTCACCTTATTTGTTATTGTCTCTGTATGATGAGGCTTAATTTCTAATGGTTTTATTCCTCCGCATAACGTGTCTATTTCTCCGCAAACTTGAAGATCTGAACAATCCTCTTTAAAACCGCAATCTAGTTCTAAAGCATTGCATTCCTCTTTCAATTCCAAATACAATTCCAATGCTACCGTCGTTGCATCAAATGCTTTTACCTCTACTTCTGATACTCCTCCTTCTACATACGCTCTTTTAACGAGTCCAAGTTTTGCAGAGTCTGTCGTTCCACTACTTGGTGTGCCTGATCCTCCAGCGGATGTCCCTGATCCTCCAGCTGGCGTGTTTACCGTTCCGTCAGTTGATGGTGGTGGTGGTAGTGTCCCTGGTGCTGGCTCTGCTGGTGGTGCTGGTACAGAGCCATTGCTATCCTGTCCACTTGGCATTGCGGCTTTTCCAGACTTTGATAGCAATAAGCTAGCTTTATTTGTAGATTTTTCTGCCTCCTCTTTTGCCTTTTCGTACTCATTCTTCATCTTTGTCAACTCATCTTTCGCTTTATCCAGATCAGCTTTTAAAGTAGGACATCTCTCTTGTACTTTTTTAACTAATTTTGTGCAAACATTTTGCTTATCTTTTTCACAATCACTAAGCAGAATTTTGAATGTTTCATTCTTTTGCAAGTCAGTGCAATTCTTTCCTAATGCTTCTGTACATTGATCATCCTTCTTTAAACTGCCTTTCAACAGATGAGTCAGCTCCTCCTCTAATTTCAACCTTTTAAAGGTATCACTGCATTTTTCATCGAGTTCATCACAGTTATGATTATTGCCATTCTCTTTTTTCAACTGATCTGGACAATTCTCCACAAGTTGGTGACAATGTTGGCCCCATGTTGTGCAGAGTTCTTCGAGTGTTGCTTCATTTCCATTTGCTCCCCCAATTTTTCCTACAATTCCTCCATTCTTGATGTTTTCTTTTAAATATTTACAATCTTGACTTGTGTGGAATACCATATAACTACATGTTTCTTCTGGTAAAGCACATGAAACACTAAATGAATTCTTTCTCCTCCTAGATAAAGCATTACATTTCTCATGCAATGCCTTTGTACAGTTTTCCTGAGTCATTAACGAATCATCCTTTTTTTCTAAAAATACGTTTCTAAATCCCTCTGTAACCTTAAAGTATTCACAGCGTCTTTTCAATGTTATACACTTTTCTAAATTCAATAATGAATCACTACTAAGTTCATCACACTTCTCCACCAATTCAAGACAATCCTTTTCTAATGGAAAATCCCTTTGATCATCCAAAAGCGAACTTAACTCTTTGGATTGAAGAAAAATATCATTTGAAAGCGCATAACATAATTCTTTAGGATAAAGACATTTTGAAAGGTATCTACTATCTTCTTTAAGTTTTGTACAGTTTCCTACCACAGATTTTTTGCATTCTTCAGGATCGCTATAAAATCTTACAAGACCAAGATTTCCCCTCAATTCCTTTTGAAAGAACTTATTCAACATCCTGTCTTGTCCCTTTTTATAGCACGCTGCTCTTGCATTTTGACATGCTTCATCAATCTTATTATCCTTACACGCATTTTCTAAATAGAAACATTCCGACTCAAGTTCTGCACACTCTCCCTTCGTAAATAATGTTGGAAGCTGTCCCCACGATAAAGGATCTGATTCTTGATCATCATATTCCGTAGACAATCCTTTCAGATAAAGTTTTAATTTGAGATTTGTACATCTTTCTTTTACATTTACATCTAGTAATGCTTTGCATTTCTCTTGTTTATCACCATCTTTGCATAACTTTTTCAAATCAGCATCCAAATACTCAGAAGCACCACATTTTTCTAACGCTTTTTTGCACTTTTTATCTGTATTCTTATCATTCTCATCTCTGCTCAACACTAGCAAGAGATCTTGCAGAAATTTTGTACCCGACTTCCTTGGTAGATCCACTCCTGCTTTTCCAATAATAATTCCATCTTTTTCTGCGTTTTTATACACATCATCCAACCCAATACTTCTCAACAACGACGCCTTCGGTTTCACCGGACTAAAATCGGATTCTGGCGTTTTATATGTGAATCCTTTTCCCTCGCATTTCGTCTTATCCTCCTTACATTTCGCATCAGCACACGCTTCTCCGTAAAAATGACATTTCTCAAGTCTTTCATGACACTTTCCCTCTAATTCGTTATCTTTAAGCTTTTCTTTTAAAGGCTTGCAATTTTCTTCCAATTTTGTTTTCATATCTCCACATGTTTTAGTCGGATCAAGGCAGAAAAACATCAATTCGTCGCTTTCTCGGCTTAACACTGGGCAAACAGTTTTCATCTTTAGTTCACATGTGTTTTTTTCTTTAGCTTCCTTTCCGAGCGCCCTCAAAAGGAGCTCCTCTGCCACCTTTTCACGCTTCAATTTGTAACATCCTTCCCTCAAGTTGACACACTTCTTCTTAATATCATCATTATAACCCGTCTCTTCTAAAAGGATACATTTTTCTTCATGTTTTTCACATTCTTCATCTTTTAGATTTCCTAAATCATCTGGAAGTTCTGCATCAAAAGTGTCCAATTCTTGTTCAACTTTCTCTTTCAGGCCTTTGCATTTTTCGTCTTGTTTTCCATCTTCACAGAATCCTTTAACTTTATCATTCACTTTCTCTAGATTTTTATCTGCTTCCTTCAACTCTTTACAATATTTTTCAAGCTCATCTTTGCATCCGTTTTTATATTTCTCCTTCAGAATGAAAGCCAAAAGGTGTTCCTCCTTAATCCCATCCGCTGCTGGTGCTGCTTGTGGTGCTTGCCTCTTAACCGGCCGTGCCATTGCCACCTCTTCGGACAACTCATCCTCGATCAAATGACCTCCACGAGGATAACCATCAGTAAAAACATCCCCACCTTTCCTAAAATAGTCGACTCCTGGGCGTCTCCCCAAATGATTTAACTCAATTCTCCCTTCATATCGTCTATTAGAAAAATCTTTGGTTCTATCAACAAAGCCGGTTCCCAATTTTTTTGCCTTTTCAAGCATTTGTAAAACTTGATTATATTCGTTAAATTCGAGTTTTTCATGATCAAAACTTATATCGCCTCCTTCTAGAAAACATGAGTAAAACCATAAAAGGAAAAAGAGATTTCCAAAAGAAGAGGAGAGAATAGAAAGATGAGTAAAAAGATGAGTAAAAGACGAGTAAAAAAAGACGTGTAAAAAATGATACAACAGGAAATTAAGGAAAAAAAACTCACCATATATTTCATCTAATGACATGAAATCCCTTTCTGCTATTGAATAAACTAAAATACAACTAAGTTGCGCAAAAAGCGCAAAAAATGCAATCCTCATTATTGCACAAACAAACTGAAGACGAGACGGATATCAAGAAAAAATATATTTTCCAAGCGCTAAAGGAAGCAACGGGTATGGTAAAAATACAGTCCAGAAACAGTCCCCTTAATATGCAAAGACCCTTAAATATTGACGGAAATTTACGGATGAATCGAAGAAAACGCTGAAAAAGGAAAAGCCAATTTCCGGATGGGGGGATGACTAGCCGGAAATAAAAAGAGCTAGACCTTAAAATATTAGCCAGTCCTAAAAATGCATATAGAAGGAATATATCCAAAATTACAAGTCAATTTTTATAGGATAGAAATGAGTAAAAACGGTGTATATATAGATGGATAGATGGATAGATGGGTATAGAAGGGTCGAGGGAGGGACAGCCAAGAGCTGTCCGGGGTGTGTCCGGACAGGGGAGTGTCCCAGAGGGGGTGAAAGGAAAGGAGGGAGTAGAATATGCAAAGTCAGAGTGATATCGAGTATATGCATAGGTTTCCAAATATAAAGTATAAATAGTCATGTTAGGAAAAAAATAAATACTTTGTATAGAAGAATAATGGATTCCAAAACTAAAAAGGAAAAAAAGATTTCCTAATTTGAATAAAGTTTCTAAATTTAAAAGCACCATTCTATTTCACGCATACACGTTTCTATTTTTACGTATACGCCATTCTATATATAAGCGACGAGTCTTTTTATAAAAAATAGGGGAAAAATAGCATGAATGGTCAGTTAAATAAGATTTTAAAAGTGAGTAGAGGAATGAACCATCTATTGTAATATATCAGAAAATTCCAAGTATGATGAGGGAAAGAAAGGGACCAAGTAAAAATAAAAAAAAGAAAGTTTTATACATAAAACATGAAATTTTATAATAAAAACGGATACATGTTAATCTATAGATTTGAGTTTTATTACTTTTTTATTAAAAAAAAGTTTTTTCATTCAAAAAAGAGTGAACCTAACCCTAACCCTATACATAACTCAGACCTAACCTACACGTCGACCTAACCTATACTTTGACCTAACCTATACTTTGACCTAACCCCGAATGTTAGACCTAACCCTGCACTTTGACCTAACCTAAACATTAGACCTAACCCTATATATTCTACTTCAACCTAAACCTTCGACGTAACCCTATATATTCTTCTTAAACCTAAACGTTCGACCTAACCCTATATATTCTACTTCAACATATATTAAACTTCCAACTTCGTTCCAACTAAACCTTAATAATGAAATAAAAATACAACAAAACTTTCAACTCTTGTAAAATTTAAAAATCATACTAAATAATTCTCCTTTCAATTTTTTCAAAAAAAATAAAGATTATTTAGATAGATAGATAGATATATTTTGAAATACATGATTCAATAAAACTCTCATCACTACCACGACGAAGACGACGAGGACGACGAGGACGACGAGGACGACGAGGGACTAGTACTATACAATCACTTGAAATAATCATACATTCTACATTTTAATCAATTTTTTAAAAAAATAATCTTTATTTTAGAAAATATTCATTTTATTAGACAAAAAACAATATATATATATATATCACCATTAATAAAACATTTCTACCTTAATTAACACTCTCTTTAAAACTAAACCCATTGAAAACACTTGAAAATATATACTATAACAAGATTTATAAATATATAAAAAACATTTTATAAAATCTGATTTAAATACAAAAAAAAATCATGTTGCTATGATTTATATACTACAAAATAAAATTCCCCATATTATATATTATTCATACTTTATACCTTTTCAATTAAAAAATAATTCCAACGGATACCTAATACGACTTGAAAATATCAACATTTACTCTAAACATCAAGATAAATTACGATATTTTCAACATCAAGTTGATAATAGAAAATATTATTATAAAAAAATACTATATTTTAAAGAAATAATCAAAATTATATTCATAATTTACAATACAATTATTATGAATTTTTTAAAAGAATCTATATTAATATTTTTAAAATTATGATTAAAGAGTTTAAAAGACAAAATTAGATTTAATCAAATATCTATCTTATAATGCTAATGATTTTTCTAATTCTTCCTTTTTAAAGCAAATACAAATTTTACCATAATAGATCAATTTATAATAAAAGGAAAAATGTATAAATCATAAAAAAATATAAACGGATAATGATCGTTTGCGTACATCTCAATTATTAAGATAATACAAAAAAATCAAAGTGGACGATAAAATGAAGTCCCAGATGAGGATGTTTTAGAAATTAATAATCGATTTCGTTTTGAATATATTATTGGAAAAAGAGCGAAAATACCAATTAACATAATTGTCGCAGAAAAGATCTGTGCCCAAAAGAACGCTTTATTAAAACGTTTTAAAATAATACCATCTATTGGCGTTCCAATAAGAAAACCAATACCCGTAAATAAAAGACAAATTGACATCTGGGTTCCAACAAAATTTAAATTTGACGATAATTTTATAATTATTGCAGATGGGAGTGACATAACCGCACCTGCAAATATCCCATATAAAATTGAAAAAATAAAAAGTCCAGGAATATTACGAATACCAATCCATGCATACGTTAAAATAACTAAAGCCAATGTAGATAAAATAAATGTATTCAAGGGTCCCTTATAGTCTGCAATAACGCCTGTAATAACCCTACCGAAAATAGATGTTAAATTAATAACTGAAATAAAATAAGTCGAAAAACGAGAACCCAATGCGTTTGCGTACATAGGAAGATAAAAATATGGAAAATAAATACCAGTAAATATAAAAAACACAGACACATTAAAAATCATGAATGTACGATCTTTTAAAGAAGAAAAATTAAACAAGCATGGTGAACGACTAGAAAATGCATAAACCTCGGTAATTATAATGCTTATTATAATCAATATAAAAGAAACCAATGAAAACGCCCTAATAGTCCATGCAAAGCCAATTCTGTCAATTAAAAGCTCAAAAAGAACAGGAAAAACTAAGCCACCTAATATTCTATGGATACATTTATCCAAAATATTTAATAACTTTTACATACCTACGCTTGCTCCAGATGTTATAATTCCTGCTGCTAACGACTGCTTTTTATCAAAATATCTCGTTATTATTCCTAAACTTGGAATAAAAACACATCCTGATCCAATTCCAATACAAAGAGCTTGATAAATAAAAAATTGATAATATTTCTTTGATAAACTGGTCATAATCATCCCAAATATAATTAAAATAGATCCAATTATAATCAGAGGTCGTATATATCCTCTGTCGTATATTGGGCCAATCAAAAGACTAACCAAAATAATAGAAAACCCTTCAACAGTCCCTATCCATGCAATACTCGATAAAGAGTTGTCCTTTAAGAATGTTGACTTGTAATATGTCTGAAATATTCCAAACGAATTTACAATTCCCCTTTATTGTTAAAAATAATTATTTTTTTTTAATAAAAACCTACCATGAAACGAAGATTAAAAGATGTGCTTTGAGTGCTTGAAGCCAACATTCAAGGCCTCTATCACGAATAATAGGTTTCTCATTTGAAGAGCTCATTCAATTTTTTTTTTTAAAGGTTCGATATTAGTAAAACAAATGTAATAACCACTGAAAAGTCAATGTAGAAATTTCTAACATTAGTTAAGCAAAGAGCAACTTGAATATAAATAAAATGCGCTTATTTTCTCCAAATGGTTATTAATATATTATCAAAATGTTTGTTTATATAACAAATGTGAAGATTATACACGTCGTATATATGTTTATAAATTATATGTCTTTTAAATATATTTTGTGCATATCTATTACAAAATAACTAGATTTTCAGTATTTTCATATACATGCAAATAGATTGAGTTATGATGAAATAAAATGAATTTATTTTTTATACATTTTATTTATTCGGATAAATTGAATGCTTATTAATATACTGTGTTAGAATAATATTGGATAATAAAGCATGTCTTTATGTTTTTTAAATGACATTTAATGCTATTTTTCTTGGAAATCCATGTTTTTATTTTATAGATTTGCTAGATTTTGTAATTTCATAATATTTAAAAGAAAATTAGTAATTAAATAGCTTTCCTTTATAAAAAAAAAAGTATAATATATATTTGTTGCTAAATATTCTTTTAAAATGTACTATAATATAGATAATTTTATCCTAAATTGTTTTATATATAAAGAAAATTGTATAAATTTATATAACATGAATTAATATATATATTCATAAATATATATAAAGATGTCTTTTAAATAAAAATTTACATTTATTTTGATAATTTATTTTTAAATAAGGGATAATTGTATTTATATACTAAAAAAATAAATACCATTTTCAATATTATACAAATAATATAATTATTTTTTCCTATTTTCTTCAAATTATTATAAACTAAATAAATCTCAATATAAATAATTGTCAATTCAGTTTATTAAAGAAAAACTAATCACTCAAATACCCGTATAGATTTCATTTTTCATAATTCATAATATAATGTTAACCTTTTTTTAATTATATTTTGATATAACTGTTATTATAAAATAGAAAAAAATAACTAAATCCAAAAATTTACAAAAAAAAAAACATTTTTAGATATTTGTTTCAAGAATCTATTGTCAAAAATCTATTGTCAAAAATCTAAAATGCGCATCTTATAGGTGATCGAATATTTTCAACATGTTTCCAAAATTCAACTGTTTTTTTAGCTCTACAAGCTATTCCCTCCGGCGTAAATTCATGCTAATACCATATTAATTATTATATACTATCCATTTTAAAACATACTTTGCTATATATATCTTTGTATGAAGCACTAGCACCAAATGTATCAAGACCAAATTGTTCATGAGAATAATTTCTCCATCCAAACGTAGTATAAACCTCAACACCTAAAACTGGAATATGATCCTTAAGTACACTCAACCTATAATCAAAATCTTGTTGATCAAAAACATAAAAACACTTTTTAATATTAATAACAATAATTAAAAGTAAATCCCTTACAGGTATAGAAACTAATCTAGCACGAATATTATATTTTTCTTTAAGAATTTTAATCGCATCAACGCATAGAAATACTTCACTTCCAGTAGACGCAATAGTTAAATCTGCAAATTCATCTTCATAAAGAACATAACCTCCTTTAATAGCTTTATCTAAAGATGAATTTTCAAGATGAGGCAAGTTTTGCCGTGATAACGCAATGGTTGACGGTGTGTTTAAAGAAGTAATCGCAACATAATATGCAGCAGAACACTCATTGCCTAAAATATATTAATAAAAAATCTGAAATATAAACACTGCTTAACCGTCTGCCGGGCGCCAAAACATCATATTAGGAAGAGCTCTTAACCATGCAGATGCCTCAATTGGCTGGTGTGTTGGACCATCTTCACCTAATCCAATAGAATCATGTGTAGCGACAACAATTATTCGTAAATGAGAAATACTAGAAAGTCGAAGACTTCCTGCTCCATAAAAAACGAAATTTAAAAAAGTCCCTCCAAATGGAATAATTGCACCATACGCTGCAAGCCCATTCATAATCCCAATCATTGCATGTTCACGCACTCCATATCGGATATATCTTCCCCTATAATTTCCTATTTTTCTAGAAGGATGCTGAAAATCAACTGCATCTGGCCATCGAGTAAGATTGGAACTCGTCAAATCTGCACTTCCACCAATTAACTCAGGAAGAATACCCGAAATCTTTGTAAGAACAGTTTCGGAAAGTTTTCGAGTTGCAGCCGGAGGATCTGTAGATTTATATGTAGGAAAGACTTGCTTGAAATTTTCCGGAAGTTGCTTATTTAAACGTCTTTGAAACTCCTTTGCTAACTTTGGATATTGCTTTTCATATTCGCTGAACATTTTTAACCATTCATTGTGTGCATCAATACCTCTAAGAGAGACTTTGCGGCAATAATCATAAACATCATCAGAAACAACAAATGATTCTTTAGGATCAAATCCAAATTTTTCTTTAATGGATATAACATCATCTTCTTTCAGTGGTGCACCATGAACACTAGCAGTACCTTGACACTTAGAACCGTAACCAATTGTCGTTTTAAGCCGAATCATCGTTGGTTGATCTTTTACTTCTTTTGCCTCAACAATAGCCTCATCAATAGAAGCAAAATCAGTATCGCCATCATCAACAAAAATAACATGCCAACCAAGCGCACGGAACCTCTCCGCCACATTTTCTGTAAATGCACATCCAATGTCACCGTCAATAGTTATACCATTATAGTCATAAAAACATATCAAATTGCCTAACTTCAAATGACCTGCTAAGGACGCTGCCTCGTATAAAACTCCTTCCATTGCACATCCATCTCCAAAAAAACAATATACATAATTATTAATTAGATCAAACCCGGGCTTATTAAAAATTGCAGCTAAATGCGTCTGTGCTATACTAAGGCCAACTGCATTTGCAAATCCCTGCCCAAGAGGGCCTGTAGTTACTTCAACTCCTGGAGTTACTGACGCTTCTGGATGCCCTGGTGTTTTTGAATCTAGCTGGCGAAATTGTTTCAAATCATCCATTGTAATTTTGTAGTTATATAAATGTAACAAAATATATTGTAAAGCACACGCATGCCCATTTGAAAGTATAAATCGATCACGATTAATCCATGATGGATCAGTTGGATCAAATGTCATATGATTATTAAATAAAATATGAACAGATGTTGCAAGCGCCATAGGTGCGCCTGGATGACCTGAATTGCTTTTTGAAACCATATCCACTGATAAAACACGAATAGTATTCACACACTTCTCAATAATCATTTTTAAAAACATATTCCAATATATATATTTTTGTAGAATTTTAAAGTTTTTTAATATAAAGGACGAAGCTTTGAAAAAATGGAAAAAAAGATAAAAATGCACAAAAAAACCTTTGCTTTATTTTCTCCGAAATAACTGTAAGACATATGTCTCTTGAGTTATTCTTTCATATACTAAGCACTTTGCAAACGCCTATCACATATATAAGTCTCCAATGAAGCATGACACCTAATGTATTTCTTTTAACTCTTTATACATAAATTATGCATTATTTGTATTTATATTTGAAATGGGGCACACAACTTGTAGTTTTTATAATTATAAATTGTGTAAAATGCATTTCATATATTGGAAAAATTGATAGAATATATATATCTATGATCTTATAATTTATTTTTAATTGATAAGACGTGAATTTGCATCTTTAATGAATGGATAAGTGTATATAAATATCATTATTTAAGGGATTACGCAGTTTTTAACACATTGATTTAAAAAATTTCACAATATATATATGTATAAAATGATGGTTTGATTAATTAATGTCTTGAATAATCACTAGAAATATATGAAATTATAAAATAAATAGTCTTTCCAAATAAATTTTCCAATTTTTATATAATTTTTTATACATATTTAATCTTTCTAATTTAATATTTCTTTATGAACATTAAAAAATCATCTAACAATATTATAAATAATACATAAAAAATATATATTAAATAAAGAGATATTTGATTTAAATTTATCTTTTATATTTTTCTATATATCAATTATAGATCATGTAGAAAGATTTATAATAAAAATAGCTTTTTTTTTAATATTATAAAAAGTAATAATATTATTTGATAAAAATTTAAAAGATCTTAATTATTTTATTATACAATAGAAATATTCAGAAAATACAAAGCTGTTTATTTTAATAAAATGAATGCTAAATTATTAATAATTTGATTCATAATATATTTTCTTTGGAAATTGTCCATAGATATCTTTTCAATAAAATAAAATATTAACAAAATTTACAAAAATATTTTTTTTAAATATCAATAAATTCATACATTGATCTTTTTAAATAAAAATGTCGCTTTAATAGCAATTAATTATTATAATACTTAAAATATTTAAACTCGTAATTTTTTTAAATTAAAATTGAATATTAAATGAGTGAAAATAATTTTAAAAATACAACTTTACAAAGACTAAAAAATTAAATATATAATACCTATTTTTACAAATTTAACAAGATACGATCAATTTTTAGATTTTAATAAGATATCTGCAAAATTGACAATATTAAAAAATTCTATTCCAAAAAATTTAAAATTCTATTTTCTTTCAAATTACAAAATATTATTAATATAAAAACCAAAATATATTTATAATAATATATAAATTCCCCCAAAACTATATAACCAACCATATTATTCAAAAATAATTATACAAATTATTTATATGTAACTCCATTCATTTCTTTTTCTAACCTTTCTTTTTCTAATGACCACCACCAAGCATGCGTTGGATCATCTGAATTTAAGCCCATATTCTCATCATGCCAAGGCTTATTAAGAATATAATGTACTATCTTAACATCATCATTATTCCATAATTCCTTATGCACAGTTCGCAAAGTTTTCAAAGCATTATATATATACGGCAAAGGCGTCCATTTACCCTTATAAAGAGAACTTAACAAACTTTGCTCAGCAAAACTAAGCATCGATAGAGGATATTTATCGTAATTTTTAACATGTTCAAAAATTTTTGAGAACTCTTCAGGATTAGGATTCAGAACAACAAGTCCAGAATTCATCATCTCAGTACCATATGTAGAAGAAGTCAGCGAATCAGATTGTAAATTCTGTTGAATCGTATAAGCACAATTTGAAGGTATCCTAAAAAATACATCAGTAAATTAATAACCCTAATTTTTCAACTACCATTCTTTTGGATAATGTGGTTTTTTTCGTGGGTTACAAACACATGCATATGCACATGCAATAAACCCCCGATCAAGATGAATATCAAACAACTCATCTGCATTCTTCATAAAAATCATATCCGAATCAATAAAAACTACTCTTTCATATTCAAATAATTCAAAAGCACGAAGTTTATTAAAACATTCGTTAAATCTTTTAGTATCCGTACCATAATCCAGTGTTTTTGAAGGCTGCAGCGTTTCCACATATTTAGTCTTAATACCTGATTTTTCCAAAATAGATAAAACATTAGTTGGACACTTCTATGACGTCTTTAAAACAGATGCATAACAATAATAAGTTTACGCTTGTATATATCACAAGAAGAGGATATTGGGTCTTTACTTTAGTCAAGGTGTAGTTTAACGTCAAAACACCATTCAAATACCCATTCTTGTAGCCTAAATCAGATAAAAGAGTAACCCAGCCTGATACAAGAATGTTATTAAATAGATCAAAAAAAAAAGAAAACATACATCGTTTAGAACATTTATCCGTCATATTTTCTCGGTAGAAAAAATGCCTTAAGACATATCAACTATTAAAGTTATCATAAAAGATATAAATATAGACTCCTGATCAAACTGTGCAAAAGTAAGCAAGATCCCTCTTATATCGATTTTTAAAGCCCAATAAAAAAGTGAAAAAAAAAGTAGAATTTAACAAGAGTTGATTCGATAAGAATATTTAAACCTAACCCTTAAAACAGAAAAATGGTAAAATCTATAAGAATCTTATCAAATAAGAGCTAGTTTAACCTATACTGAATAGATTCAAATTTATTTAAGATGTAAATAAAGCATATTTATAGGTAGTATTTACATGTAATATATATATATATATATATATATATATATATATATATATATATATATTGATCTATACGATCTATATTCCAGTTTGCAAACAAAATAGAACATAATATAGAAAGAATATCACGTTTTAAAACATCTCATTATATTCAAAATAAAAATATATCTAAATCGCGTATAGTGCACATATAATACCTTTCAACATCTACAAAATTCGATATTTTACCAAAATATTACTTTTCAATGCTTCTAAAAGAATTTCACATTTATAGATCGAAAAATGTCATCAGACAGCATTGTCCCGCAACGTAGAATCTTTACTAATCATGATTTGGAATTATTTTGCTCGTCACATACATATGAGGACATTTTTGGTTTCATTTGCATGCTTAATAGCCAAATCCAAGGCACTCCTACATCAGAAACATGTGATCTTTCACAAGTATGTCTCTCATATACAAATATATCCATTTAAAGTTTAGAATGTTCGGCATATTCTTTCTATGTTGGAACAAATTCATTTATTAATTGATCGTCATCCTCCAATACAAAATAACAAATCAAGATTTGGGAATATAGCGTTTCGTTCATTTTATGATGATATGGAAAAAGTATATATGAAATCCTGTTATAAATAATAAATTTAATCTTGGCTTAGTCTGCCCAAGATATGCACAAATGGCTTTCATTACCAGAAAATACTATAATAGAAATTTCAAAATATTTCACAGAATCATGGGGAAATAAGATGAGAATAGACTATGGAAGTATTCATGAACTTAACTTTATTTCTTGGCTGTATTCATTTCTATATATTTATATAGCAACTCATCAGAGATAGATTTTGTTTATATAAATTAAATGTTTTATCAGACTTGGATGGAAAAGCTCTTATAATTAAAGTTTTTAACAGTTATATTTTAGTGATGCGAAAGATTCAAACGGTATATTGGTTGGAACCTGCAGGATCACATGGCGCTTGGGGACTAGATGATTATCACTTTCTTCCTTTTCTTTTTGGTTCAGCACAACTTGTAGATCATAAATACATACGTCCACGGAGTATTCATGATAATGATATACTAGAACAATTTTCTAAAGACTTTATATATTTAGATTATATCCGGTTTATTAATTCTGTAAGACATACAATATAATAGATTAATATAGCTTAACCATTCTAGATAAAAACAGTATCATTACGTTGGCATTCACCTATGTTAGATGACATTTCCATCGTTAAGCAATGGAAAAATGTTAATACAGGCATGCTTAAAATGTATAAAGCAGAAGTCCTAAGTAAATTTACAATTATGCAACATTTTCTATTCGGACGTCTAATTCCAGCTGCTGAAGGCATGACTCAAAATCATCATAATAACATAGAAGTAACTCAATGCAATAATACTTGGGGAGATTGTTGTGGTATTCGCATTCCAAGCATGATAAGTGCAGCTAGAATAGATAGAAAAAATGAACTACGAGCCATAAATGGCATATTTAAATCATGACTACTTAAAACATTTACAAACGTAAAATATCAAGTCAATATAGAAATTAACATAATTTTTATGAGCGAATATAAAAAATCAAACAAAAAACAATTAATTCAGCTATTATGCAAACTACCTAAACAAAAAAGTCTATCGAAAACTTTTAGGAGCTATCCAAACTCTGATATTTATATAAGCCATTTAATATATCAAAAACTAACTCAACCTTGAGCTCTTTTTGCCCTGCTTTTGAATACAAATATTCATTCCTATACGACATAATTAATTAGACAAATATGACAAAATACCTAATGTATTTCTTATACCTTTCATTGGCCCATGTATAAATAAAATATCCTACTGTTAAAGGTATACCGAAATACAAAATTTGTTGACTACATCGTCGAGACGTATTAAAAATAGCACTACGAAGTGCGCCTGCAAACGGATGTTGTGCACGTGGAGATCTATATATACTTTCTATCAAATTATCTAATACATAATCATGCCACTTACAATGAATACGTAATAATTCCTTTTTGTGTAGGTCCACCCATACAACCCCACCATCCCACTATATAAAATAAGGATTTTTCTTTATATAAATATTATTATTACTATATTTTTTACCAAGACCACCTCCCATATTTAAAAAGAAGATTCTTAAGGTCTTTTACTGCGAGTCTCAAGTGGAGAAATATAAGACTCACGTGACTTTTCATCTATCACGTGACCTTCGTCTATCACGTGACATCCTCTCGATCACGTGACCTTCGTCTATCACGTGACATCCTCTCGATCACGTGACTTTTCATCTATCACGTGATCGACAAAAGGTCACGTGACAATTACAAAAAATAATTTAGATAGAGAAAAAAGGCAGAATATTAAATGTTAAACAATGGCACATATTTTGGACAAACTTTCACGGCTAGCCATACCAATAGGATTTTCATTAGCTATTGGACAAGCATCAATGTATGATGTTAGAGGAGGTTCTCGAGGTAAATAATACATTAATTTTTCATGGAATTTACTGAATGAATTAGCTGTGATTTTTGACAGATTTGTTGGGATAAAAAAAGAAGTAATAGGAGAAGGGACGCATTTCCTTATTCCATGGCTTCAGAAAGCCATTATTTATGATGTTAGAACAAGAGTATTTCAAATTCATTTTTTTTCCTACTTTTTTAAGATTTAATTAAATAGCCCCGAAACATTGCAACAACTACAGGAAGCAAAGATTTACAGATGGTTTCTTTAACACTTCGTGTATTGTATCATCCAGATGTAATGAAACTTCCAAAGATCTATCAAGTTAGAAGCACAAACATACTTTTTTATCAAGAATTACTTATTTTTTAGTCTTTAGGTCTTGATTATGATGAAAGAGTTCTACCATCGATCGGAAATGAAGTCTTGAAATCAATTGTAGCGCAATTTGATGCGGCAGAATTAATTACACAAAGGGAGATCGTTTCTTCAAAAGTTCGAGAAGATCTTGTAAAACGTGCATCAGAATTCGGTATTCAACTAGAGGATGTATCAATTGTATGATTTTCCATTTACTTCGCATTTTTAACATTTTCTAGACACATATGACATTTGGTCAAGAATTTACAAAAGCTGTTGAACAAAAACAAATTGCACAACAAGACGCTGAACGTGCAAAATTCACCGTTGAAAAGGTAATTTTATCTATTTTTTTCATCCATTTATACATGAATTTTTAGGCAGAACAAGAACGTCAAGCATCTGTAATTCGTGCAGAAGGAGAAGCAGAAGCTGCTGAAACAGTATCAAAAGCACTTCAACGTGCAGGTGATGGACTAATTTCGATTCGAAGAATCGAAGCAAGCAAAGAAATTGCTGCTGTTCTTGCAAATGCTAAGAATGTAACATATCTTCCAGGACAACATTTAGGAGCAAAAGAAGGCACATTGCAAGGGGCTAATTATCTTTTAAATCTATAATTAGAACGCCATGAAATAAAACATTAATTAAAATAGGGTTATAAAAAAGTAATACAATAAAAGCAATACTAGATATAAGGACACTTGTTAGGAGAAGCAATCCTTTTCAAAAGAAACTACAAATTAACATATATTATAAAATACTAAATATAAGATGCATCCATCATTTAGAAATACATGATCCTACACTTAACCATCACATATCATACACCTTCTACTTTATCCACATGTAGTATCCGTGGCACGTGTATTTAGTAATAATGCTACGATCAATCCATATAACCCTAATACCTCTATATAAATCAATTAACACTAATAATCTTTTACTATAATTTATTTCATACCGCTAAAGATAAGAATTAAAATCATTCCAACGTATAATCTCGGCTGTTGTGCAGTTCCTCTTACTCCTGCATCACCAACAATCCCAATTGCAAACCCTGCTGCTAATCCCGATAATCCCACAGCTAACCCTGCACCAAGTTGAATTAATCCAGTGTAGAGTGAAATTTGCTGCTTAACTTCATTCACATCAGCAAATTCCTCTTTAATATATCTAACTTACGCCCCCCAGAAATTAAGACACTCACAACAAGACCATAAATAGCTATAATACCAGCCATAACCACTTTTCTTATAAATAAATAATCACTATTTAACCCTGATTTTACCTGGAATAGTATTTTTCACAATCAATTCAGGGTGAAGAACACCCATAGAAGAAATACCAACACCTGATTTTGCTGTACCATAGGCTGCACCAAAACCTACCATTTTTCAAGCAAAAAAAATTCAAAAAAAAACACTTACTAGTAAAAACAATAGCAGAAGCGCAACCAAGAACACCAAAAAAAGGTGCGTAGACCTGATATAAGTATTAATAAAACATTTAAAATATTAATTTCATAATATTTTAAAACGTCAAATATAAACTATATTAAAAAATATCCATGACAATAAAATAGAGAATATTAAAGATTATAGAATTAACACAACAGAAAACTGTATATATGAAGTATAAAATATTAAACTTACCGGACAAAGTTCAGTACTCATTGTGAAAAAAGTATTATAAAAAGAATCGAGATCTAATTTCTATCGAGACTAATTCAACGCACTTGTCTCAGAAAAAATCTATAAGATACATGATATTTTATGAATTAAGGTATTTTATGCGTCTAAATAAGCATTTAATACGCGTATATATGATAAATACTTAATATAAAAGAGATAAGAATTAGGACAAAAATACAGTAACACGATACAATGAATAAATTTAATATAATTTAGAATATATAGGTTTTTATGAGGCATAATATTTTACATAATTTATTTCGACACTCTCAAACACGTCTAAGACTTCCTTGGTCATCGTGTTCAGTCGCGGTTAGCCCACATGGTAAATAGATATATTTTATAGAAAACATAATAATCCTTATAGATCTTGCTATTTCTCTTATTTGGTCTCAACATCGACCACTTGCATTATTTCATCAAAATCAGAAAATCCAGACAAATGAATTATTGGTTGTACCTGAAATTGCAACTAAGCCAAGTAAAACATCATTTGTTTGGCCGGAAAGAATACGACATACATTAAATCTTCTTAAGACGAATTCTTCAAATGAACTGTTATTTGAATCAGCTTTGTGGCCCTTTCAGCCATTCTGTTTGGAGAAAAAGGCAATTTCTTATCCTACATTATATACACCTTTTTTTTCACCTATTCTTTATGATTTTTATGAAGAGAGACAAGCAACAAGTGTTAAGCGTAAACGACGACTTAAAATGAATAAGCATAAATTTCGAAAACGTCGTGATAGACAACGAGCGCTTCGTAAACGTCTTGGGAAATAATTCAAGAATAAGTTATATTTTAATGATTTACGTAAAACAACATCGACTTTTTTATTAGAAATTTAAAGCTTAAATTGTACACTTATTAAGTTTTACATGTTGAAGAACAAAATCTACACTTACAACGACAAAGATAAAGTCTATATTTTACAACAATTATAAAAATAAACGCGTATTTATGACGGCATCCTCTTTGAGCACGAGATTACATCCATCTTTCATTTATGCATTCCATCATAAATCTTTCTATACGGAAAAATATGTTCAACATTTCATAATCATTAAAACAATATATAACTTATGCAGTATTACATATTACACTCTTCCCTTTGAAGATCGGGTTTTGGCAATTCTTCCAGTATTAACACCTACTGTATTTGGTGCAGGATTGCTATTCGTACTGGCAGACGGTTTTTTTTCTCCAGTATTTGCTGTCTTTTTAGGAGTAGTTATAAATGGATTACTTCGCCTCAAAATTTCTTTATGTATATGCTCCAAAATATTGGTAGAATCAATTAAACAACTTTCACTATGTTTATTCGATGGACTCTCAGTTGTTATGATTGAATCTTCTTCTGCATCATCTGTTAAAGCCTCATGCAAACTATCTTCAAGACTAATCATACAACTTCGTCTTGGACTGCTCACATTTTTTCGAGGCTGACCAGTTGTAGGCACAGGGAGTGGGGTATTTTCTATACTATTATTTTTATCAATATTTCCAAGTGGACTTCTTGGTGGAGTTGAAAATTTAGTTGCTTTTGTCCATCGTGGAAGAGATCTCAATGTCCATGTCTTGAAATGGTGCTGATTAATATGCAGCCAATGCTGCTGTGGACCTACTACCATTCCTATATTTTTATTAAATATCTCAGTACTTTCTCATATTTAAAATTTACCTGGTCTCATAATTCTCATATATGCAATCACTTCATTTGCGGTAAAAGAATATTTATAAATAAGATAAGCACCTATTAAACATCCGGTGCGACCAAGACCAGCTTTACAATGCACAGCAACAACGACTTCAACTTTTTAATAAAACTTTCAATATTTAGATATACATACGATCTTTTTCGAATATTTCTTCAACTAAACCGCAAAACTTGCGTACCACTTCTAAATCAGGACATGTTCCATCTTCAAAAAACATATCAACATGTTCTACACCTAATCTTTCAAATTGCTGTTTATCATACAAAGGTTTATTTAATCTAATAACTAAGCCAACTCGATGGCTGGAGAAATACTTCAAAACACTCATAAAGGTGGGAGTAATTACATTTTTTTGTTTGCCATTAACAACATATCCTGGTTGCACGGGACTTGCAAATGCAATAAAATGGGGTGTAATCCAATTAAAATCACCATGCTCTACTCTCTCATATGTTTCATATCTGAATTAAAGTCAGAAAAAAAAACGTAGGTACAGGATATTACTCTTCTAAATCAAGATTTTTAATATTCAGAATACCTACTTCTTTTGCTTTCCAAAGACCATAAACACAATCTTGAATCGAGATTCCATAGTCTGCTGGTGCATATCCTGCATCTCGAAAAGGTTTATAAGGCGGATCAGCTTGAATCAACGGTGCTAAAGCTAGATGCGGTGGCCAATTTTGGACAAGTACCTAAAAATCAGACAAATATACACACAAATTATTTACCCTATACCATATAACATGCAATAAGACACGCAGCACGTGTTCTATTCCGATTATCATTTTTTGAATACAAAATAAATGGTTTTTCTCGAATTACAGGATTCTATAAATATATTAACCTATTTTATCTCTTTTAAAACGCAAAAATTTTACAGAAAGCATCTCATGCATTGTTAATGCAAAACGATAAAGGTGTGCAATATTAAGTGGTCCAAAATCATGATGAAATGGGTTGTAAATAAGGGAATCATCGATTGTAAAAAAATGAAATTGAGAAAGAATTTCGCCACTAGGCTTTTCATCCAAAGTCATAAGATAAATACGATCTATCAAATAAGAATCTATAATCAGTTTTTCTGGCTTGTTACCCTCCAAAAACTCAAGCATATCACCAGATACTAAATGTTTCATTTTAAAAAATAACCAAAAATATAGTTCCTCCTAAATGAATATATATATTATTACACAAAAGTTCGTCGATCAGCGAACTCTTATTATATCTTTACAACTTTTTTATCCAGCTTTTTCTTTGTTTTTTATACTTCAAGATTTTTCGAGTCAACAAATCGTCACCCCAGCAACGCCTTAAAAAACAGTCAATCAGCTATAAAAAATTAGATAAAAAAAATTTAACAAACACATCTATGCAAACAAAAGTCTTATAATATACTCAACAAAAAGCGATTGTTTATCTATACTTTTAAATGTTAATCGATTTCAGTTTTATCGGATTGACTAGGTAATTTAACCCTAAAAAAATAATAATGGGAAAAAGCAAAAAAGAAATTCAAACAGAGGGAGAAGGTATATTTAAATATACATATCTGATTTAGATTTCCTTTAAAAATCTTTTTTTAATTCTTATCTAATCGAAACAGCCCATTCGCCAAAAAATCATAAAAAAAAATTATCAGATGATTATATTGATTCAGTTTCACCCATTGCATCGCCCTTAGCACATAAAAAGCTAAGAAAAAAGGTATTTAAGGCCCTTAAAAAAGGTTTGTTTTAATTGTTATTTATTTTAGCTTATTTGTCATAGCATCTAAAGTAAAACATATTCAACGTGGTGTTAAAGAAGTTGTTAAAGCCTTAAAACGAGGCGAAAAAGGGTATAAAAGGAATATATTTATGATTTATCTCAAAAGTATAGTTTGGTTGTACTTGCAGGTGATATTTCACCTATTGATGTCATTTCACATCTTCCGGTACTTTGTGAGGATCATTCATGCCCATATGTCTTTGTTCCATCTAAAGAATCACTCGGTGAAGCCACCAATACTCAGCGACCTACTAGTTGCATCATGATTGTTCCGGGCGGCAAGAACAAAGATATGACTACAGCTGAAAGTACATATATGGAAATATACGAGGAAATACTTGAACAAGTTGAAAACGCTCATACATGGGATCAACCTACGAAAAATACATAAATCTCTGAATATCTACAGTTTATTTATGCTTTCATTATATACAAGCACAACAAATGGTTCAACGCATATCAATACATTTTTTAACCAAAAAAAAATAAAACACATCATACAATATTTGTGCACGTCTAGACATGATTATCATATGTATTTCTGGTCTTTTTAGAGTGTTAAATGCCCTTATAACCTATACAAAAATTACCATCCCCGTGCTAATCCTACTAAACTTCGTGCACATGCTTCTATTTCATTCTCGCCCACTTCCTTTTTAATACCTTTTTCATAATCAGGAGGAACATTTTCCTTACCCATATAATATGGCATACATTTGTTATCAGGCTCCTCATCCTTTTTATACAATGCAAATGCATTTTTATTATCGCGCAAAACATTAAACATAACCTGTGCTTTGCCACCTTCATTTGTACAAAGGCGGAGACTAGGTGCTTTCCCAAATGATGAAACCTTGTGATCTGCTTGTTGTTGAACACGAGCATTATCCGTATCCCATCGAGACGTGTTCTTTATTGCCTGCAAACTAGAAACAGTCTCTATATGATCATCAGATAACGCAAAATGCAAGGTCTGACGACGCATTGCTTGACGTTTATTCTGAAACCAGATCTAACAGACGATAAGTAAATATAACCCATAAAAATAAAAAAAAACCTGAATTTCTCTACTACCCATCTTATCTTCACCTGAAACTATACTATTAATTTTTGCTGCTATTCTTTCGCGATTCAATAAATTCGGCTTCTTATCTTTAAGATATTCATCCTCTAATATTGCTAATTCTTGAGGGGTTGTTCTTCGCCGACGCCGTTTCTGACGTAATGGCTCACGTATTTCAATTTGAGCATCAAAAGATGATGCAGAATGCGATGGCATCTGCTCTTCTGAATCTTGTGATGTCTGGGGTGTTTGTGATACACTGTTTTTTAAAAAACCATCCGTCTTCTCCGTTTCAAACGGTGTACGGTTATCTAATGCAAATCCCTTTAATACATCTTTTTTCCAATCTTTTTCCATACGTTCACATGTAAAAGAAAAATCTTTTCTTGATATACCAAATGGTGATCGCATAATCAAACTTATGTTTTTCTTCCGTTTGTTATCTAATAAACATAAATAAAACTTAAGTATTAAAATACACATAAAGACGTACTGCAAACACAACTCTCTCTTCCCTTAGAGCCCCAAATAACAAATATTCAGCGTTAATCTCCACCTTTTAAATTATATTAATTTTTAATATTATTCATGCACTGAAAAAATAAAGCTACGTGTATATAAGATCACGTGACAAACGGATAAATATACTTACATATTAAGAATCTCTGAAAGATATATAACATAGAGCCTATAAGAAGCGATTTAATATCAATTAGCATCAATATTGTAGTTATTAAGTTGTTTTCATCTTTTAGAGAAAAATATTGTGAAATAATAATAGAGATTACGAATACCAAAATATAATATCCTACTAGACGATAGAAATATGAATATGACAACGAGAAGAATATGTTTGAAATGTTATCCATTTTTCTGTTTCATAAACTTCCCTAGTACACGGCGCCATTTCCGTTTTCCTTTTGTATTTTTCGGAATACTTTGTTGATTCATTTTTATAGCAGTATTATCATGATTTATAGTATCCTTGGTACAGGATACAGGGAAAGAATTATATAGATCAGCCATAAGCTGATCGTCCTTTAAAAATTTTTCTGAATTATCCAATAGAATATCATCTTTTTTGAAAAAATCTACTTTCTGATCTATTTCTTCTTTCCCATCAGTTAGATCAACTTTGGAAGATTGTTCTTCAGCTGTCTGTGGATTTTGTAGATTATCAGAAACACCATCAGACGAAGGAAGCAATGATGTTGAAATCGTATCTGCATCTTCAATAATTACACTCATTTTTCGTCTGAGACTATAGCCATTTTTATAAGAACTATGATAAGTACTGCTAGATCCAGAGAAATATGGCGAAGACACCGTAACACTGCGTGAACGTTGATGGTTTTCTGAACCAGGAAACATAGATGAATTAGGAGGCTTAGTTAAAAGAGCAGCATCTAAATCAATCAAAGGTTGTAGAGTCACCGTACAAATAGATGATGGCGGCGGCCTATGCTCTTCCATATTCAACACAACAGGTACAGAATTCGCTGGAACCTTTTTTTTATGAGATCCTCCAAAATACAAATATACTAATGATAAAATAGATTCTGCCCAAAACCATCCATGAAATCCATTCCGTCTTTTTGTCGATGTCTCGGTATTTGGCAAATCTAACAGTTGTTCTGTATCATTTCCCTTCTGTTCTACAGTACGAGATTCCGGATCATGTGTCACCTCATCTCCCTTAGATGATGATGGTTGTCCTAAGTCTTTGGAATTGTCAAATGTCCGTTTAAATCCCAAATCTAAAGAAACGGCTCCCGATCGTCGATGAGTACGTTTACGACGACAATCTTGAGCCGTCAAGCTCGGCTCCATTGCTAATAGCATCAGAATGCGGAAAATAAATCTAAGATCCTGCTAAAATACCTATCTTAAACCCCATTAATAAATTATTTAATTATTCTTAATTTACTAAAAAACTAACCTGTTGTCCAATAAAACGAAAAAAAAAACTATTAGATAAATCTCTATTTAAAAGAATATGAATCTTAAAAAGTACTGCGTTAAATAATATTGCTTTCTAATATAGATTATTTAATCTAAAAAACCTTTACCTTCTATAATTTTCACTTAAAAATCGAAGGTATATATTAATGACCCTCGGAGCAGATAAAAAATATAAAAGATATAAATCTGCAAAGTAGACATAACACACATATAAAGTATATAAATTAGATTAAATAATGAATATAATGAATTAAACATCTTTTATATACATCCCACTACATTTTATTTAATGTCTTGTACATACGTTTTAAAACATTTATCTTAATTTATAATTTTACATGTAATACTATCTCAATACAATTTTAAACTCTTAAGCCTATAGAATATCATGAAAATCTTGTCTTTGAATAGAAACTCATGATTTTATTTAAAAACATGAATATATCATCAAAGTACTGATATCTCTTACGTCTTACACTAAAATGTTCAGTTGCCCATGAAAACTTATAGGCTTAAGCAAGATTCATATTATAAATTCATAATAAATTTTAAACCAATATTATTTATTAATCTAGATATGTCTATATATATATTATCTATTTATACAACGTATACACACAGTAAACCATAATATGGGCTTTAATAAAATATTAATAAAAGTAAAAAAATATACAGTAAATTGTTTAAAACAAGCCCCTTAAGACGGTAAAATTCTTTAAGGCGGCAAGAATAGAAGCTATAATTATGTTCTATAAATAAAACTAATATACAAGAAAAACTAGACGGCGATAAATTAGCGTGGAAAGAATAATCATAATCATTGAATAAATAAGTATTGTTAAATTTAGGTTATAAAATAAAATATATCAATGATAGCCATTTTTATAGATTAGGCTAGCTTTATTAAAAATAAGAGGACCAACAGCATCTTAAAGTTAAAAATGAAAAAAATGTTGTTAACAAAGAAAGAGAAAGTTTTTACATATAGGCTGGAAGAGTTCATGTACTCACAATTATACAATGGTGTTTTCTCCGGTAAACCAGACAGTGCTTCTTAAGAACTCGAAGGGAGATACAATTCCGTTTTTATTATCGGATTTTGATGAATTTTCACTATCTAGAGCTCAGACGTCTATGATATTTTCAGCACAATGTGCAATGAGCTTGTTATTGGCAATTGTCCTTATATTAACATCAAAAAGAGAAAAAAGGAAAACATTACTCTTTTTTTTAAACATAGGGGGATTAATAACAGTATTTATAAGAGCTTGTCTTCAATGTGCTTATTTATCAGGCACATGGGTAAGCTATAGTGTCCAGTTTCTTGGAGAGTTTGAATTATTATCGCAAAAAGATTTCTATGTATCAATTATCGCATCATGTATTCCAATTTTTATTATTCTATTTATCGAACTTTCTCTTCTTATTCAAATTAGAGTAGTATATGCAACTGAAAAAAAATTACAGATACCATTAACAATAGCTTTTTCTATAATAATAATTGTCGTTATAATCTTTTGGATTTTAGCTGCTGTTCAAAACTCAATGGCAGTTTTATCTCAAACGCATTTTGGACATAGCGGATTATGGGGCTCACCTTGGCCTTATACAGTAGCACGTATATCTTTTGCTTTTAGTATATTTATAGGATGCATGGTTTTTATATATAAATTACTTATCACCATTTACCGAAGACATAAAATGGGTGTAAAAGAATTTGGGCCATTACAAATTATTTTTATTATGAGCTGTCAAACATTGATCATTCCTGGTACTTTTTGTCATATTTTATTTTATTTCTAATATTATTTTATAGCAATTCTCATCCTTGTCGATTTTGGAGTAAAAATAACAGGTTTTAGTTCATTAACTCAAGCGCTCGTCGTAATGTCTTTGCCTTTATCTTCTCTCTGGGCGTCATCTAAAGTTGAAAATAATAAAAATAACGCAGCACCGACATATTATAAAGATATGAAGAGCATTGGAGATTATAGTATTGAAAGCACACCAAGCTCATTCACTAAGCCACCTTATATGGGATTTAGAAAACCATCATATTTCTCTGAATATTCTAGAAGTCCTTTTTATGAGGAGTATTTTGATGATAATGGATCTAAACTTGATATACTAGTGGAAAAATCTCTAAATATGTTTCAAGAAGATAAATAATTAGAGCATTTTCAACATGTTCAATTTGATTACTTAATACGTATTTAAATAGAAACGCATTATTTATGATTTGAGATATCAACATACAAACTATATTCCTATAATCTTTTGTAAAGCAATATTTGATAAATTTAAAATAGATGTTATTTAAAAATTCTTAAAATATACCAAAAATAATTTAAATAAAATTAAACGTATTTTTAAAAAGTATGTGACAATTTGCCTTTAAAAATTAATACAAATATTCTACAAAATATTGGACTTGAAGATTTTATAAACACTTTGAAAACACATAAAAATTATATAGACAAAAATTGATTAATATACATAAAGCAGATTACAAAATTTTAAAAAAATAATATTCAAATATTCCCTTGTCTAAAGCTCATCATGATCAAAGATAGACAACGGATCCTGTAATTTCTCATCCATTTTATCATCATCACCTTTGGATACATCAACTTTATGGCTTCCTTTTTGAGAAACAAAATTGATCAAATCATTCACTGTTCTTGGGCCATTATATTCAATTGGGTTTCCTTTATCATTAGCAGGGAATAATAAAATCGTTGGGAATCCTTTAATATCTAAATTATCCTCAACATCGTTTGCTAAAAATATATTAACACCAATAAAAATACATATCAAGCAAAACCTGTAGCATCAAATTTAGCTATTAAGACTTTAGAGCTTAATTCTGAGCTAGAAGTAAAAACTCTAGCTAACTCCTCATATTTAGGTGCAAGATTTTTACAATGCCCACACCTTAAAATATTAACATAAAAAACTCATTTAACAATAAAAAATAAATACCATGGAGCATAAAACTCAACAAGAACATCATGAGGAGATTCTATTACAACTTCTCTGAAATTATTCGCAACTACAACTGTTACAGGACCTTCTTGTGTTTCTGGTACAGGTTCTGATTTAATAGAAGGAACAAGTCGTTGTGAGATATAATCATCTAAGAATTTTTCAAGATTTTCTTTCGTAAAAGGTATATCCTGATCAAATGGAAATTTTTTATTAGAAGTTACTTCCTGAATAGCAAATGCTGGCCATTCTTGCCTCAGGTTTAAATTCTCTGCATGCCCGCCGTATATATTTGCATCAATTGCAGCAATATTTAACTTCTCCTTATATTTTTTTGAAAACGGAAGAAAAATATCTCTCATTGATTCTTTCTCCTCATCAGAACTTACAAAAACGCAACCTAAAGGTAATTTGCTAGAAATATAATCTTGATATGTTTCAGAATTAAGTTCTCCAAATAAAGGAATGCTTTGTGAAAGAAGAAATAATTCAAGAGAATCGTACTCGAAGTCCTTTTTAAAAACAGAAACAGGATCATTAAAAGTGTTAAAGATAACGAGACCTGGAGATGACAAGCCGAACTCTTTAACAAGACTAGCATCCGATGTTACTCCGAAAACAAACTTGTTACGATATGCAGTAGCAAGTTTGGTATAGACATCATTAGCTTTGTCTTCTTTATTAAGAAGTGCCAAAACCACAATTTCGTCTGAAGCTTTGAAAATATCATAATTTTCATGATTTACTTCTGTTGTAATAGGCAATGTTTGTTTTATCATGAAAGAAACAATGGAACTTGACTTCCTAGGACCTTCATAGGGCTCATGTTTGCCATCTCTAAAGATCTAAAGAATTAGCAACGAAATATTATTTACAAAAAGAAAAAATGGCAAATAGCAAAAGCCAATACATGAAAAACAAGGATTCAATAAGGAAAAAAAAAACAATATTTCTAGCAATTCTGTAAATACCTTAAGCGTGGGATATCCTGAAACATCATATTCTTCACAAAGACGTGTTTCGATTGTACAGTCTATCTGAATCAATGTAATTCCCTAAAAACAATATAAAAAAAATATATAAAAAAATCAAAATAAGACCAATATACCTTATCTTTTAGCATAGTAGCGGCAGTTTCATATTCAGGTGCTAAAGCTTTACAGTGACCACACCTATAAAAAAAAGTTAATAAAAATGTTAAAAACAAAAAAATACTAACCAAGGAGCAAAAAATTCGACAAGAAAAAGACCTGGCTTCTGAATCGTTTGTTTAAAAGCCGCTTCATTTAAATTCAATACATCAGAAGCTTTAATAAAGTGCTGAAAAGCAAAAAAAAAACATAAATAAATAAATAAACACGGAGAAGAGTATGAATATGCCATGATCCGCCAAAAATACGCAAAATGTTCAATCTCAAGCAGCAATTTATTATATAAAACTGTTTTTGTAACCTCTAGCGATGAAGATTGTTTAAACTTTTTTTCTAAGTAAATTTATATAGGTTTAAACCTAACCATAAAATTAAGTAACAATCCTATAAAATCCAGCCTTATAAGAGCCAACTTTTTGATAAGCAAGTCCAATATCCAAGAAAATATGTTTGAAAGAAACTTTATAATAGTAATAGATGAAAATGAAAAAATATATTCTATAAGAATTGAGTTCCTATTTACATTATTTTGTACCATTTTGACATTAATATCATTTTTTCCCATTTTTATTTACGAAATCTTACGAAAAATACGTTTAGAGCCTTCACCAAGAATCTGAATAGAATCATTGGCCTCAAAAGATCGCAATGCCTCATTAAAATCATTTAAATTAATTTCTACTGTACTTTGCTCGCTAAACTTCTTAAAAAGATCAGTAAATTTAACAGACAGCCCATTCGCAGTCATTTCTTCTAATAATTTGAGCAATTCGCATTTAAGATCACCTCTAGCACGACGTTGAGCAATCCCTTCTCCAGTATAGATAAGATCCATATCTATTTTTCCTGATGCATCTGTAGCATAATCTTTAATAGCAGATCGCATAAGACGAGTAGCCTCTTGTACGTCTTCCAAAAGGACCTCATTGCTTAGCCTAAAAAAAAACAGATAAAAAACAAAATATATCACAAATAATTTACCTCATTTTCGCATGAGCTTCACTTAAACGAATCATACTCTCCAATTGCCTAGTTGTTGCAGTAATTCTCCTCTCAGATGCTTTAACATCTTCACCTAACTTTCTCATTTCAATATACGTCCTTACTAACTCATCTGCAGCTTCATTAGTTAATACTGGTTGAATATTTTGCTTTGCATAAGAAATATATGAAGTTAAAAATTCAAATGGCTAAAAATATCAGAAAAAATATTGCAATGAAAAAAAAACATACAACCAAAGAACCCTTATCTTCGTTTATTCGATCTTCCATATACATTTCAACAAGATGACGTGCTAAACGTCTATCATTAGACTCATCTATTTTATCTAAAATTAGATAAACTAAATCAAAACGACTCAATAAAGTAGGAGGAAGATCAATGTTCTGAGGAACAGATAAATCTGGATTATATTTACTTCCAATAGGATTTGCAGATGCTAAAATAGACGTTCTCGCATTAAGAGTAGTAATTATCCCCGCTTTTGCAATAGAAATAGTTTGTTGTTCCATTACTTCATGCAAAACTGATCTAGTTGAATCCGACATTTTATCAAATTCATCAATACAACATATCCCTCCATCAGAAAGAACCAAGGCACCACTATTATCATCAGGTTATAATGTAATTGAATTTATAATAACAACCTTTCTAAAACCAATTGTTTTGTATCTTGATCACGAGTAACATAAGCAGTTAAACCAACTGCAGAACTTCCTTTGCCACTTGTATAAACCCCTCGAGGAGAAATTTTATGAACGTACTAAGAAATTCGACAACTATTTCATATCTTTATTTTTAAGTACCTGCAAAAACTGTGATTTAGAAGTAGATGGATCTCCACATAATAATATATTAATCTCTCCTCTAAACCGTGGAGCTTCCCCTTTAAGAAATTCCTTATTTGAACCCCCAAAAAGCTGAAGTAATACTCCCTTTTTGACATCATCCATTTCATAAATACTAGGAGCTATAGAGAATTAACTAAATATCCTTTATTAATTAATATCTTACCAATAGACTTTGTTAAAATAGAGTATAAATCAGGATTTCTTGCTAATTTTTTTATTTTTTCCTCCTCTTCTTCTGTAAATTTACGAATTTCAGTATTTATAGAGATAGATTCAGAAATTTCTGTCTGAAGAATAGAAGGATCTATGCCAATTCTCCTCTTATCTATTTTCTGAATATGAACAACATCAAAATATGTTTTAAAAAGAGATTTAATAGTTCTTTGACGTGGATTTATACGAACAGGAACAGAACGAAAGATACCTGTTACCTTTATCCTATCGCCAGCTCTTGCAAAATCCACTAATTCATCATAAACACATAAAGAAACAGAATGAGGAGTCTGTCCATCTGGTACCGTATCTACCCTCTGTTAATTTATAATATTTTTTGGTAAAAATATATTATCACCAGGAGTTTCTTGAAGTTTTATAATTTGTTTATCAGCAAATTCCGATCTATTATGAACAATTTGCATAGAATTGTCAGAAGAACATATTTCCCTAGGACAACGTGTTGGTTCAGATATTCTTCCCCTATCAATCTCAACAGTTACTGTATGATAACAAACATCACATCGAAAAAATGCTATAAATATAACTATCAATAAAAATTTCTGAAAATAAATAAATAACCTTGTTTCATATCCGGAATAATAGTGCTAACACGAATAACCAGGCCTTTAATACTTACCAACTTATCAATATCTTTCTCATTAATCACACTCAAAAAGACATGAAATTCATACCATTGGGATTCAAATCTCGTATATTTGTCGTCTTGGAAAGGCCAAAAGGCCTCACTTTATAAATATTATTTTCTACCTTTGAAATTTCTGTCTCATTTGCACGACTATCTATCAACATATCATGCATATATTCTTTAATTGTTTGATCCATAATAGGTATAATTTCTTGAGGATACGCTTGCAATTGATGATGCAGCTTCTTAGTAGGTGGATAACACTCTAAATCTTGTGCATCAAGATTCAAATTAGTAAGATCCAGATCATACATCTATATTATATGAGAAAATATGAAAATACCCTTATATATATAACTTGTTTCAACATATTAGCATACAACAACGTATCCCCACTGGCATCTACATTCATTTCGCCATTAAATGCCATTCGATACTTTTTTCTAAATTGTTTAAGAAATGCTTTGAACGTATTTATGCTTTCTTGAATAGAAACATTTGTTCCCCAAATAACACGGACCATTTCACCTGTATTTTCAGACACCGGATCAAACGTACTCATCATCTGTACATCCGATGTTAACTGGCTGCTTTGTGTTTCCGCAGTATATGGAAGAGGTGTTGATAAGATATAACGAGGATGAATATCTCCACGAGGCATTGAACGAGGCGTAGTAGAAACAAATCTTTCATATCATTAAAAATTAATCAAAACCCCATATAAGATGTATACAATGGCCTTTCAGAGCCATCTCTATTTGATGGATAACTATACGCTGCAGATGAATGTAATGATGTTTTTTTGCTTGAAGGAGACGTATAAAGCAATGGAGATGAAATATCTTATTAAAAATTAGTATAAAATAAAATTAAACTATAAAAATATAGGAAAATTACTTGATTGTATCAACGCCTTAGGAATTGAATTTTCCGATTCAAGTGCGTCATTTTCCCGAGGAGCTGAAGATGATGATTCTGGGAAAAAAAGAGGCGACGATGTCTTAGATGTCATACAATTTAAGCCGCCTTATTATATGTTTTTCTTCTTAATAATTTTAGTGTTTTTTTGCATCTAAATATTATCTTGAAATATCGAAACTATAAATATACTGGTCAATTGAAAAATGTTTATATAGAGAATATTTAAAAAAAATAAAGAGAAAATAACATTGAAAATTAGTGAATATAATTCTTTATGAACAATTCTTATGCTCCAGATAAAATACTATTTATTTTTATTACAAAACATTATAATGATTAACGATATTGAAATCTAAAATTTTAATAAATAGAATAGAATATTAATTAAATATTTAATTAATATAAAATAACTATTCAAAAAGATATATAATAAAAAATAAATATTTATATCAAAAAACCTAAAAAAATAAAATTGTTATAACTGTTGAAAAAAAACAGTTATGGATATTTATATCCAAAAAGATTTAAAGCATTAAATTTTGTAAATTTCGATTAAATATAATATCAGTAACAGAAATCATAACATTTTTTAAAAGCGTTGTATCAGTCGCATTTGTAAAATGTGTATACTATTTATGAATTAGAAAATAATAAAGTAAAAATATCTTACAATAGTTTTTTGATGATTTCTATTAAGTCTAAGAAATTTTTGTCGAAAAAAAAGACAACAAGCACGATAATCAGTTTGATTTTCTATAAATATGAGTAAACTGAAATATTATGAAAAGAAATACCATTATTAAAGTCTGGAAAATAATTTGATATTAGCGATACATGAAGCTTAACTTTAAAAAGATCGATCTTGTTAAGAAAAAGTATGATCGATGTATTAATAAACCATTGGGAATTACAGATCGAATCGAATAAGACAAGAGCCTCTTGCATTTGATTCTAAATCAAGAATTAATTTAATTTATATCCATTCGAAAATACATACAGCGCCAATATCTTCTGTTAAACACTGATCATAGCCAGAAATAGCAACAAGAAAAAGGACAGCTGTCACATTCTCAAAACAATGAATCCATTTCCTTCTTTCTGATCTTTGTCCACCTACGTCGATCATTCTATAATAAAAATGAGTTTAATTAATCAAAGTTAAACAATTCTAACCGATATGTTAATCGAGATACTTTAAAACATGTTTCTGTGATCCCTGTTGTTTTTAACCTACATCGTAAAATATCCTGATCTGTAGGAATATATTTCCTTTCAAAAAGTCTATGGATATTTTCAAAGAAACTAATTTCTAAATAAAAAATCTATCAAAATACAAATTCTTACTAAAAACAATTATCATGCAAAGCATATTCATTTCCACGATTAACAGCACGTGTTACCCCTGCATCTTCCCATAATGATATAAAGGGTCTATAATACTCTGGAGGAAGATTTTCTCTATTGGTTAACTCTCGTTCCTGCAATAATAAATCAAGATATTGCTATATACATTCATCAAATTCCATATAACAAATTTAATCAAATTACTTCGTTTTCTCGTCGCTCAAAACAAATATCAAATTCTTCCATAGCTTCAATAATAAGTCGCATAGACTGTAACATGTTGCTAAAAATAATTGTTCTATAGTATTCACGTTCTTTCAATGTAAAGCCAGATAGATGAATTAGCTTCATTTGCTATAAAAAATAAGCTAAAATAAACAAATGGAAAATGTTCCACTTTTAAAATTGTCGTCTTCCCACTTTCTCCAGCGCCTGATCGATTTAAGCTACTCAAAATACATATCAATTCAACTCTACCTAATAATAATATTTTGGCTTCATGACATGCATCTAAAATCAATGTTAGCATCAAGATACATATGTTACTAAAAAACATACGTTCTTGTTCCTGGCGAAGATATGACTCAATTTCTTTGGAACGAAGTGTATCTTGGTTATATGTAGCAGAAAAACAACATCCCATAACTTAAAATAACTAATTTAAGTTTCCAGGAATAAATCTAGTATTATCAAAAATATAAAATGCAATTAGAAATATAAAATAGTAATATTTAAATTATTTTAATAAATAATAGATTTCCGTTAAGCAAACAATTTCATTTATATTTAAAAGATAAATATAATCTAAAAGCATTCTAAAGACAAAATAATATTTAGAAAAGAAATAATATATTAATTAAAATACTCTAAATATTTAAGATCAAATAAGAATTGAGTATATAATATATTAATATTTATAAATAGAAATAATTTACATTCATAATCTTATACAGCTAAGTTTTATATAAAAACACATTTCTATGTATAATATGAAGTATTATGTATTTATTTCTTACATAAAAACATAACTGTAGCAAAAAAAGTTTATAATAAATTGTAACTACGATTTTCAAAAAAAAAATCAAATAATTATAAACATTATTTATACAAATAACCCTCCCTTTTATGATATGCAATTAAACTATTATATGTTATTTGAATAATTTTATAGTTTAAACCAATCTTTAAAATATTTGTCATATCATAAATATATACATGACTCATTAATATTATCAATTAATCTATTTAAGAATACATATATAGAAAATAATCATCTCAGTTTATTTAAAAATACTATTTAATTCAAAAAAACTTTATATTCTATAGTAATAATTCTCATAATACATTTAATTTAAAGAAAAAAATAAAAAATTTTACTATACTCGAATATAAACTGATATAATGGAAATTAACGATTAAATTTATTTCATAATACATAATTATGATGCATTTACAACTTTTAAAATAAAGATATTTTAAATTTAATATATAAAAAATACTTTTTTATTTAAATAACATTCATCCATATTCATAGTTTACCATATCTAAGTATTAGAAAAAAACACCCTATTAAAAAAAAAAGATAATCCAATAACAAAAAATGCATACAAATTAAAGTATATATAAACCTGATTCAAAGTAATGAATTTTCGTTCCCATAGAAACCATTTAATATTTGTCAAACATTATCGTACTGTTGTCATAACACATTCCTTTATCATTTCTATCTAATATTACATTAAATAATATTTATATCCGCTCAATAACATTGATATGATTTTTCTCCTTTATGTTTTTTTTTTAAAAAATCCGATATTTACATTATATTATACATTTTCACAAGTTTTTAATAATTCTTCGCATGTTTCAATCAATTCCTATACTAATTTTCAATAACAATTCATTATTCTCATATATTTACTCTTAATCCATCCATTGTCGTTTCTGAACGATCCAAACTTCCTTTATCATATTGAAAATCATTCATTTCACCAACTATTCTTTAATATAGTTTTAACCCTTTCTAAAAACAAAAACAAACATACATCTTCATATTTTTTAACAAATCATCACATCCTTTACCAAGATATTCTATTTCTTTCTGCATTTTCTCTACCGCCTCTTCCATTCGTTTAAGAATCTCCGGTAACGCTGATGATTTCATTGTAAACTACTTTCTATCAAAAACACATCCTTAAATCATAGAAAAAACGTGTTCTCACACGTAATAACAATACTTTATTCTTCATACCTTTTGCATTTCCTCTTTTTTCTCCTCTAAAACACTTCTCTCTACATCCATAGCTTTCATTGTTTGCATACCAAGTTTACACTCAAGTTGGATATTTTTCTTAACAATTTGACAAAGTGCACTTCGTTGTGCTTGCAACGAACGATATAATATAGGAATATCTGGATGTGATCTGAAAAATATTAAAAAAAAAAACAATTCATAAAATCCCAATCTTAACCTTTTAGAGGCTGGAAAAAATGATATAAATGTATTAAGTGTCGCCGTTTCTTGTAAACTTGACGGTGACACAAGAAATGTATTTAAAATTTGAGACTCAGTTTGTGACATATTATACTCCAAAATAATTAATCGTTAAAAGCTAATAACACTTTTATACACTAATAAAATAAAAATTTACATAAATTCTAGCACAAATTCTAGCACAAATCCTAACAAAAATCCTAACAAAAATCATTAAAATACTCTTCATAAACTCTTGTTTATTTTAAATATATTATTAATTAAAATATATCTTTCTATTATTATTATAAATACATATATTATAAATACATATATTATACATATATTTTAAATTCAATTATTATCGATTATAATTAAACTTAAAAACTGCTTTTAAGATCTTTTAAAATCTCATATTTAAGAATTCTTCTAGTTATAATGGATTCATTCTTTTATTATACAGGTTTTAGAAGAGGGCTAAACCCCTCTACAATTTAAAGGTTTTATTATGTTTTTCCGTTATTCTTCATCGTATTATAGTAATCAGGCATAATACGCGGGTTTATACTATTTATATTTCTAGGGAAATCGATATCGTGAAAAAAAACGGATCGACTAAGTTTTGGAGCTAAAATACAGAGATTGATTCATGTAAATTCATAACTGAAGTACTTTAAATATAGGAAAAGCCCATTTTTAACATGTAATAGGTTTTTCATTATGTATTTACTAGCATTTTTTTAATCTATTGATTAATATGTATATTGAATTATTTACAATTTCAAAATATTAAAATTTTGATTTCACGGCTTATCAGGTGTTTTGATAAGCCGTTATCTTTAAAGCATCGCAAGAGACAAGAACTTAAAAAGTAAATAGAATGATGTTATAAACAATAAGACTAATTGGAAAGATCAATAAAATATTTATCAAATATTAAAAATTTAAAATAAAAATAAAATTTATAAAGAAAAATAGATAAAAAGATCAAAATACAGTAAATCAATTAATTAAGGGGTTTTACTTGTTACTTTGATGGATGAAGTACCATTAGACTCGATTGAGCAGTTTAACAATGATTTAATGTATTCTGGATGGACAATGCCTATTTATGAACAACAGCCGCAATCGTTTTCTATGTTTTTGCCTGGACAAGAAACGGATATTACTCAAACAGAGCTGGTTTATCCTGTATTTTCTAAGGCAGCGCAAACAAACACAAAGTATATACAGATGCATGGACTTTTGCCTAGTTATGGTAGACAATCTTTTTCAGGACTTGTTGGATCAGCCTATATACCATCATCAACTAATACACAAGCGAGTGGATTGATAAATACATTGCCGACAATTAATATGCCCATTAATAATGTAATTAATGGTCCAATCAACACTCCAATTAATTCGATAACATCGTTTCAATCAACGCCATCGTCAGCCATTGCATCGTCGCAAATGCCGACTCAGTCGTTATCCGCTTCTTCTACACTAATTCAGCCTCCATTTTATTCAACAACAGCTTGTTCGCCATCAATTTCGATCCAGCAAAGTATATCAGGAACCCAAACATTATCTGGACGAGTGAATGCTAATGTACAAGCAAAATCTAGCACTATAGATAACCTTATGACATCACTGATAGAGTTTATGAATAAAAGAGGTATATCTATTAATGCGCATCCATATATTGGTGATCAACAAATCAACCTTGCTATACTTTATATTCAAGTGATGCGTTTAGGAGGTTCTCACAAGGTAACACAAGCAAATGCATGGGAGAGTATTGCACAGGCATTTGGAATCAATTTAGCTTTAATACCAAATGCTGGGCAACAGCTTGCAGAATGCTATAAAAATTATCTTGCAGCATATGAAGAAGCATGGATATATAACCAACAACTATTAATGCAACAGGTTATTTCAAATAAATACAAACATGGAATGTCTCAAGAGAAAAACGAACAAAAAACTAGTTATAATAAAACAAACAAAACCTTACTTCATTTTCAGACACAACATGCTTTACCATCAAAATCTATATCACCGCCTATATTGCAATCAATGTCGCAGCCAGTAGCACAGCCAGTGTCACAACCAGTATCGCAACCAATGTCTCAGTCGGTGTCACAACCAATAGCACAGTCAATGTCACACTCAGTAGTACAGCCAGTGTCACAACCGGTAGCACAATCAGTGTCACAACCGGTATCACAATTAATGTCGCACCCAGTAGTGCAATCAGTGTCACAACCAATAGCACAGTCAATGTCGCAACCGGTATCACAATTAATATCGCACCCAGTATCACAATCAATGTCGCAGCCAGTAACACAGCCAGTCTCGCAACCAGTATCACAATTAATGTCGCACCCAGTAGTGCAATCAGTCTCACAACCAGTATCACAATTAATGTCGCACTCAGTAGTACAGTCAGTGTCACAACCAGTAGCACAACCAGTGTCACAACCAATAGCACAGTCAATGTCACAATCGGTATCACAATTAATATCGCACCCAGTATCACAATCAATGTCGCAGCCAGTAACACAGCCAGTCTCGCAACCAGTATCACAATTAATGTCGCACTCAGTAGTACAGCCAGTGTCACAACCAGTAGCACAACCAGTGTCACAACCAATAGCACAATCAGTTTCACAACCGGTATCACAATTAATTTCGCACCCAGTAGTGCAATCAGTGTCACAACCAGTAGTACAGTCAATGTCACAACCAGTAGCACAGTCAGTGTCACAACCAGTAGTACAGTCAATGTCGCAGCCAGTAGCACAGCCAGTGTCACAACCAGTATCGCAATCAATGTCGCAGTCGGTGTCACAACCAGTATCACAGTCAGTGTCACAACCAATATCGCAACCAATGTCTCAGTCAGTGTCACAATCAGCATCTCTAGTATCTCAATCAATACCACAATCAGTATCTATACCCATTTCAGATAATTCAGTTCCATCTGATTCTCAACCAACTAATTCATTATCGCAGCCAGCATTTACACAACAGTATAAGCCAAAAAAACGAATAGTTGAAACATATGGGGGATTTGATATGGAATTAATAGCACGGATGGGTAATGATCTGGAAAATCTTAGATACAAACCGCCTGCTTTACATGAATTGGGTACTATTAATATAGATGCTTTAATAAAGAGTGTTCAATCAAGATTACATTCAGAAGTTAATCGAGCACTTGATGTTCTTACTATTATTACAGGAGACAAAAGATGGTGTTTACCATTATCGGAATGTGATGAATTATTGGACAGTATTATAGAAATAGCAGATGAAGAATACCAATTATTGATACCAGATATAAAAAATGCAGATGAAACAATTTCAATATCATCTTATGAACAAATGGTGGATTTATATTATGATGAAATAGATGATTTAACGATTAATTATCGGCCAGGAAGCCAGGGTTATGAAAAGTTTAGATCAATGGAGAAAATTTTATGTATTACAACAATTTTAAGAAATTTGACTTTTTCAGAAGAAAATCAAAATGTTATGGCAAAAAACAATGCACTGCTCATCCTAATAGAACATTTAATTATATTAATATCGAAAACAAATATTTTCGAAATATCATATCGTCAACGACTAGATTTAGCAAAAGATTTAATTATTCTTCTTTCGAATATTTCTCAATATATTCTTATAGATAATAGTTCTACCGCAATAGCAATTATTCGTTTAATCACAGCATTTTCCCCAGATTCAAACATTTGCTTAAAACCGGATAAAGTCATTTTTACACCATACAATCCAACACTACATCCATATCTTCCAGCTGCAATTGATACACTAGCAAAACTTTTCGCAAGAAGTTTTCCAAACCGACACACTTTTGCCAAGATCATGATTTTTTTATCTTCAAAACAATGCCTTAGAGATAACATTTTTATTCGAACATTTATGCTTTGTATATCGCCGATACCTGTTTCTACTTTAACTCATTCAATTCATATATGTGAAGCACGACTCGCTTTACTTGAACATTGCACACTTGCTGCAGAAACAATTATCAATATTTTTCCAAAAGAGGGTAATCTCGCTCAATCCATATTATCATCAGATGATAGTTTTCTTGGTAGCTTTTTAAGACTTGCTTGTTTACTTAGTTCTATTGGAGGCGGTCAATTATCAAATCAAATCCATAATATCGGATCAAATCCATTTTCTCGTTTTGCTAGACGAACAATGAACATCTTATATATTTTAATTGAAAAAGCTAGAGAAGAAAAACCGTCTACCGACCCTTATCACATATTTTCTAGAATATCAAGAAAAGAACAACTTTTAGGAAGTCTTCTTACACCGCATATGGATGGTATGATTATAAAAAATTTATGGTCTTTGGTAGAAGGTAACTGTGCAGAGGAAACACGACAATTTCCTTTAGGTTAGTCTTTTTTGGTGCTATAAAATTATATGGATATAAACCAGATTGTATATATTATTTATGTTTGGGGTCATCACTATGTTTTTCCGCATTTTTAGTTCAAAATCCATCTCTAATAAGGATTCTTTTGACTTCATTTACTCTTGATCCTTTTATAATAACATGTTTTGTTAAATTATTAACAAACAATTCTTTTTGGCTTAATTTAAGATCCTTTTCTAATTTCTTACATAGTTCCTAATATCATAAGACAAAAATAAAGTTTTCTGCTGTATTACATAAGCATTTCCTTCTACTTTTCTAATTAATGTTAAATATTTTGTTCCTCCACCTTTAATATCTAAATAAACTGGTAATGATCCAAATCGAGTCCGACGAACAAAATAAGCTCTTAAAACAGCATCTGAAAAGAAAGATCTACTGAGCTTATGTTTTACTTGTATCATTTCTACAAAAATTTTAATTTTTAATACTATTTCTTGAAAAAATGAATACTAAAAATAGTCATATTCTGTCTAAAAAAAACCGAAGGTCATTCATTAAATTCAATCTCAATAAATTTTTCATTTTTCATTGTATTTTTATCTATTTCTTTCACTTTCTTAACCAACTTAGTTTTTTTAACCTATTTTTAACTTCGAACCGCTACTTAAAAATCTTGCCAATCCTTTAACCTTTATATTAACCATAAAATGACTACTGAATCAGACAATCCTGTATCATCAGAGCCTTTTGGTATTATATTTATTAATATTTTGCTTTATTTATAATTAATTTTATTAGATCCTTCTCAATATGATTTGGTTCCAAACATGCTGCCATATCTTGACAAACACTTAATTTTCCCATTATTAGAGTTTTTGCAGCAAAAAAAGATATATTCTCATGAAGATCTTCTTAGAGAGAAATACAATTTACTGATTGAAACATATATGACGGATTATATTATAAATTTATTACAGGAAATGACTATAGAAGATCCAAAATTTAAAAGCCGTATAGAACTTGATAAGAAAAAAGAAGAAGAAGAAAAGGAGCTTTTAAGACTTAAGAAAGAGAGCGAGAAAGTTCTTGAGGTTCTTGAAAATCATGAAATAATTACGTCGTTAAGACAGGATAAAGCACAAAATCTTCAATTTTTGAAAGATACACATGGAGTATGTTTTTTATTTTTTCGAAAGAAAAGTGAAAAAAAATAGAATATTTCTAATTATTTGAATTAGATAACTGTTGAAATGATTAATGTTCTGTATAAACTTGGAAAATTTCAATATAATTGTGGTAATTATACAAATGCAGTGGATCTTTTATATCACTTTAGAGCTTTAGTAATGGAAATTACTATCTATAGATTTGAATTAATATATATTTAGTCAATGGATAATGAGATGAATATATCTGCAACATGGGGAAAATTAGCATCAGAAATTTTAACAGTTAATTGGGAGCGCGCAATAGAAGAAATCAGTAAATTAAAAGAGATTATTGATGCAAAGGTTCTAAAATTCAAGTTAATTATAGCCTTTATTTAACAATACATATTAGACTTTTTCAAGTCCCATTTTTCAACTTAAACATCGAACATGGCTAATTCATTGGTCCCTTTTTCCCTTTTTCAATCATGAAGCAGGAAAAGAAACTCTTTGTGACCTATTTTTTTCACCTCCATATATCAATACGATTCAAACATCATGTCCATGGATTCTGAGGTATCTAACTGTTGCAGTTATTACATTACGATCACGATCACGTAATGCAATGTCTTATCAACGTCGTATAAAAGAATTAGTGAGAGTCATTGATCAGGAATTATATGAATATACAGATCCCATTACCGATTTCATTAGTGCTTTATATATTCAATTTGATTTTGATGCAGCACAGGATAATCTTAAAAAAGCAGAAAAAATAATAAAAAATGATTTCTTTTTGGTAGCAACATATTCAGATTTTATCAACTCTGCACATTACCTTATGATAGAAGCCTATTGCAAAATTTACCAACGTATCAATATTGAGTACGTATATGTTTCATATTTTTGTTATTAAAAAATATTAGTGATCTTTCAAAATCTTTAAATCTTTCTCATACAGAAATAGTTAAATTTATTCATGATGATATTGTAGATTTAAATGCGAAAATAGGATTTGAAGAGGTAAACATATATAATCAAATCATATATATTAATTTTTTCAAGGGAATTATTACAATGAATCATCCTTCTCTTCAAATATATCAGAAAATTATTGAACGCATAAAAGGCATAACTTTTCGGACCCAAGTTTTAACACAAACTATTATTCGTCGGCAGCAAGGAGATAAAAAAGGAACTATGCATGAAATTGTAACATAATTTAAAATCTATGACCCAATACATATATTACAAATAAATAATATTATCAAAACTTTAATTTTCTTATTTAAAAAAGAGATCTTTTTTAACTAATATCTTTAAATATCAAAAGTCTAATCTTAAATTTCTGCCTTGTCAGAAAATTTATTTATCAATTTATTTATTTCATATACATTAAAATAATGATTAAGCATATCACACTTTTTTATTAAAACCCAATTCATATTATTTGATTTTTGAAATACCTTTTTCATCATAAAAATATAAAACAATTAATTCGTTATAACTCCAGGAATATATATAAATGCTATTCAAAATACTAATCTTAAATGGTATCAATCTTAATTCGAAAAAATAAAATAACTTTATTGGTTTCAAAATATATTATTTTATTCCTATTAACCAGGAAATTCCCCTTATATTAAATGATAACACATATCCATATATCCCTTATGTTTTATTAATCAGTAATTAACTCTGGAAAAGATAAGTCCATCTTAGAAACATATTGAAGCATCTGTATATCAAATGGCGTAATCTTTCTTATTTTATAATGTCGTAATAGAAAATTTATATTTTTAGAAAGAATATCAATTGATGTTTTAGGATTAGATGTTCGTAAAACAGATCGGATAAATAAAAGTCTCATAGATTCATTACATTGCGAAAATTTATTCTGTTTCCCCATATTAACTATCGATTTAGCATTAAAAATATATGGATTTCGTTCAATAATTTTTTTTTTATTTTTTAAATTAAATGAAAACGATTCTATATTTTTTATCTTCATAGGAACAAAACCTTTCGTCCCTTTTTCCCTATTTAATGTTTCACATGCCTTCTGTAACCCTTTTTTTACATAATCAATCAATGTTTCCCATTCTTCATGTAGCACATCTATATTTGCCACAAAATACAAATCATACGGTGAAACTCGACATATTTAGCATTCATTTATATAAAAAAAAAACACAATAAATACTTGGTAAATACAGAAATTCCTTGTCATTTCTATAAAGTAAAACTTGACGTGCTGCTTCTCTCAAACGTCGCCGAACTCTAGATCTCACAGATGACATATTAGATATATTCTTTTTAGACGCTAAAACCGTCACTCGAACTAATCCTCTAAGGTAATATACATTCATTCGCTTATCTATTCTAAACCCGCTTTTTTCAAGCGTTTTTCCTCCTAATGAATACGTTTCAAAATCCTCTCTTGGATAGAACCTCAGATTAAATAATTTACAAAAAAATTGAGGTCTTTTTCTAAGAATTCTCTTTGATATATTTGGAAAATATTGTCCCCATAATCTACCAAGTTTTACTCCAAAAATAGACATAATTTCGCCCTGAAAAAAACAATATACCATAAACTTAGGCCAAATAATACGTTAAACACATAATTATATCCTTTTTCCCACTGCTTATCCCGCTTTTTCCCTTCATTTATTTTTTCATTTATTTAGACGTTCGAATAAGTAGCGGCCACTTACCGCGTGTAACTTCAATCCGGTACACATCTTGTACCGAGAAAAATATCCATTCTTTTTGGCGGAAAAACGATGAAGTGCCTATAAATATGATCGTAAAATCCTTAATTAGCGTATTTTATTTACTAATATTCCTTTTTTCCAGCTTTCTTTAGCCCATTTTTGCGAGATTCATGGACCAACAGCTATCTTCTGTACACAAGCTATTTCATCACATCATGAGACGTTATTTGTAGAATCTATTGCGGATAATATGAGCGGAAATAGTACAGAAGGAGTTGTTTTGAGAGAAGAAACGTGCGCATCATGTCAGTTTTCGGTTCCAACGGATTTAACGGTTCATAAAAATGGATTTCCTATATTAAAGACACAAAGCTCGAATGATAAGATGTTATATGTATCTACTAGACGTCCGATACTTGTTCATGAGAATTCAGCGTTAAAAAATGCATGTGTTCGTAGTTTATCATGTGAACTTTTACCAGGAAAGACGGGACCCATTTTATTTGGAGATGCGACGTTTGGATATACTATTGCATATGTTTTTAGACTTGCGGATCCGTATGCTAGAGGATTGAAACGATGGTATTCATTTATATGTTTAATGCAGAACCAAGCAAATTTATCTCGAGCATGGAGATTTATAATTGAAAAATTTGAGATATTAGTTCATCGTTTGGATACTAAGTCAAAAATGACGTTAGTTGGTGTTGATGGAAAGAGCAAACAAAGAAGTAGTGTTGAAATTAAAAAAAGTCCTGAAGAATTTTTGCGTAAATATGATGGCTCTGGTATGCCTCAAAGTTTAGCAAAGTTAGTTGATATGCAGGTAAAAAAGGGAATATTTATGCCTGATTGAAAGTGAATTAACGTATTGAAAACAGGATATTTTTGTCCAGATCCATGCAAGTTTTGCATGGATTCTTTCTATATGGGGAATTCAATTTGAAAGATCTAGTAAAAATAATTATTCTGAATTTAAAGACTTGATAGACATGAAGCCAAGAGAAGATGAAAGGGAAAAAGGCAAGAAAAACATAGAATGATTATTCTTGAAATTCCTTAACGATCTAATGTTAATTTTATCATTTGAATTATCATATACGATTTGTTTTTGTAATATTATTAACGAGATTTATGCGCCTCCTATTGTATTCGAACATTCTTCTTTATCATTTACCCATTGATCGAATAATATTTTGGGTCTAAATGACCATTTATCAAAAACTTGTCCAATTTCATCAAATTCTTCACGAGTTATTTCATCTACTTTTTTTTCAAGTAAATATGAAGGTAATTTTTTTGTCAATACTTCTGCGCCTGGTCCGAGAGTACTGATAAAAAAAAGATTACAAACATGATATTTTACAAATAAAAATTACCTGATTGCTTTTGTAAGAGGGGTTTTTCTTAAAACAAAAAGATGTCTGACAACATAATCAAACGAATCCAGTGGTGCTTTATTTATATAATTAGTTTCTATTGGGAAAATATACCTAATGCTTACCTTTAATTGGAATTTCTGATAACGGGACTATTTCTATTAATATTAAATCTTTCTACCATTATTTGTAAATAAAACGAAAAAAACTCTTATTTTATTCACCTCTCTGATAAAATCTTTCGGTGTTGCCTCTAATTCAGAACATACACCTGGAAATTCTTTATTTCCAATAATAGTTTTACATTCTGCAACTGATTCTCTAACAATTCCTAATTTACATCTTCCCTGCTTCCCCGGCATTGCCATTAACCTTCTTGCTAATGACGTCGTAACCCAAAATAACATACGTACTCGTCCATATTGATGAATCCAAAGTCTTTCATATCGAGCAATCAAAAATTGCGCAAGTAGCTGTTCCCCTAAAACTCCATGCGGAAGATGTGCCAAAAATAAAAGAGACGTATGAATATGATCCATCGGTTGATATCCTGGTTTAAGTAACCCCTGCGTCTCCAACTGGGAATATGATGACCATAAAAAACCATTCAACTCCGTTAAAACAACTTTAGACGACGTCTTCTCTGAAATCGCCTATCCACCATATAAAAACATACTCAAGATATATTAAATCCCTATTTCTACCTTAAGAAACGGGTGAAATCTCTTATCTGGTTCCATTAAAATATAAAGTTTAGGATTAATTCTTTTCAAAAGGGCTTCCGTCATTATTCCCGGTCCTTCAACAATAAGAACATAAAATATACTATAATGATATTAACCTGGGCCCATTTCAAGCACTGTTGCTTCATTATATATGTTTAACTTTAACGCACTAACTGCTCGCTCTATAAAACGTTAAAATAGGTCATTTTTAACCCTTTTTTTTCGCTGAAAAATTACCTGCAATCTTAGAATTTAATAATACCGAGTTTTTCCATGTTTTCTGAAGGTTTTTCTCCAGAAAACCCTTCAATGCAAGATTAACCATTTTTTTAACGTTAAGTCGAATCGTCTCGACAGCCTTAACGTCCTATATATTAACATCAAGATGCGCCTAAAAATTAAATTTAAGGAAAACGTCTATGAAATAGAGCTAAATGAAGAGAATACAGTGGAAGATCTTAATATGGCTATATTTTCGTTTATAGATATTAATAAATTTGAAATCAGGCATAAATTTCCACCTAGAAAAGTGGATATTTCAGAATGTGATAGAACATTAAAATCGCTGGGTATTTTGGACTCAGAGGTGCTTTTAGTCAAAGAAATAGATAATAATGGAATGGAAATTATGGATAAAGGTCAAAATCCGGGAGAAAATGGAGTATTTTTGCGTAATTCGTCAACACAAACATCTATTTTAGAGTCAAAGGATGATCCGTTTGCACCGCCGGAAATTGAGCTAGAAAATAGTGACGGAAGGGTTGTTTTAAGGGTGATGCAGAACGAGTATGTTTTTGGAGTATGATTTTTTATGGAATAATAATGAAATAGTAATTCATGTCTATTTCGTGCAGTAGGATATATAATTATGGGGAAAATGGATACGGCGAATGAATTAAGGTCATTAGTTGCTCAGACTATTCAAAATGATCCAACGACCTATTCAGATGCGATTCTTGGACGCTCAAGAGATGAATATTGTAGATGGATCAATAAAACTAATAGTTGGGGAGGAGCAATTGAAATATTAATTCTTGCAAATCATTTTGAGGTTGAAATATGTTCTATTGATGTAGCTACGGGGAGAACGGATCGTTTTGGTATATTATTTATTTTTAAAATTCAATTTTTAAATAATTAATAATACTAAGGGGAAGGAAGACCTATGTGTGGGTTTATTGTGTATTCAGGTGATATTAAATATGTAATAAAACGAAGACTAGGATTTATTAACAAAAAAATAGGGATTCATTATGATGCTATTGCATTAACACCGATGTCAGGAGCATCGCCTAATTTTGATACGACAATTTTCTCAGTTGAGGATTTAAATGTAAGAAAAGCAGTTCTAAAACTTACGGATTATCTACGAAAGATTCACTATTATACTGATACATCAAATTTTTCACTAAAATGCAAAATTTGTAAAATAAATCTTCGTGGAAGAAAAGATGCACTAGAACATGCAAAAATAACCGGTCATTCAAACTTTGACGAATACTGATGTTATAAAATATCTTTTCCTCAATTTTACTTTTAAAGAGAATAAAATATTGATAAATGTCAATTTTAAAAACATCAAAATATATAATTATTAACATTTATTCCAACAGCAGCTTCTGCTTCTTCTTGAGAATACGGTATTTCCTTAAGAAGTTTTACTCTATAACTTTTAGTCTAACTGAAAAATAGGACAAAAATTAACCTTTTTTTATGAAGTTTCCCTGTTTGGTGCTTTATCAATGTATCATTTGTTTCAAAATATCTCGAACATTCAATACAATAATGTTGTCCTATTTATTTAAGAAATATGTCTTTATTACTTGAAATTTCTATACCAAGTCCAGGTAAATCAGGATCAATTTTTTTGAATAATAGTACTTTTTTTGATTCAGGTATCATGATGTCCTCGTGAATCTGATCAATATCTCGCTGATATTGTCTTGTTCTATACATCCTATGTCTCCCATTTGAGGTATGTTTTCTTTTTTGTCTTACTCTTCCCATCTTTTTTTAGAGAAAAAATCGAAAATATTTTAATAGGAAGAAGGTTAATAAATAATGCATTTTTATAAGGAAAAGATGATCTGCACTCTTCAGGAATTATGTACTGTCATGTTTTAAAAATCAAATTATATAAATAAAACATTATTTTTAAAAAAAAACTTATATTAAAAATTTAAAACATAAAACAAAATCCAAAAAAAAGGTTAATAAAGGACAGATACTTATATAATTCAATAAATATATAATATCAAGCTTACTTGTATATTGAGGAAAAAAAAAATTTATGGTTAGATACATGAAAAAAATAAATTATTCTGGGTATAACTATGCATTTTTATAAACATTTTCACTAGATACATTGATGCTAATTATTTATGAATCAAAAAAAAATATAAAGAAACAAAATTATTAAAAAGTACTCTTCAAAAAATATGATAAAATAATATAATAAAAGATCCAATAATAAAACAAATCACATCTATAATAAAGGTATATAAGGATGAAATGTATTAAAAAAAGTGTTTTTTTTTTATTATTAATTCAATTTATTCATTTCTTTTTTAAAATTCTAATCTTAATATAATATATATTGTTATTCTAATAGCATGATTTTTCAAATAAAAAAAATATATTAATGATAAAAATATAATATTTTCTATAATTTAATATCTCTATCTCTACAATTTAATATCTTTACAAAATATCCATTTAATACATATTTATACTTTTTATAAAATTCAAAGATCTCTTATTTATACTTATAAATATAAATCAAAAGCATTTGAAAAATTTACAGATATTTTCTTTATATTACTAAAAATATATCATTCCTTATCTTTAATCCTAATATTTATAATACTAAACTATCTTTTTTCAATATTTTTCAATATATATCATATATAATTATAATCTATACTATACAAACCATAATATAGATAATATATAATTCTAACATCTATTTACTAATAATATCAATATAATTTAAATAAAATTAAAACTCTTTTGCTATTAAAAGAACAATTAACCTTCTTTTTTTCATATTTAACCTCTTTTTATTAAAAAAACTTTTCTTATTCATTTTTTATCAAAAAAAAACAACATACAAATAATATTTTCTCTTCTAATCTCCTAATAATACATATATTACAACTTCTTTTCAAAATTCAACAATAATTCAACATTCTAAAAACTTCCAAACTAATAGATTCTACATATACATACATACATATATATATATATACTATTTCCAATAAAAACAATCTATTTAAGAGACATTCTGTACATAATTTATATCTTCCAACATTCACCCTCATTAATGTCTATATAACTGTCTCCACATCGTAAAACACCAAAAAAAAACCATCTCAATGGTTCTTACACAATTTGCTTGTAAATAAAGTATTTATTTGTAGATAAGACAACTAACTGATTATTTCTAGGTAGAACGTCTCAATATATCAGCTTAACAAATGGACATCCTTTATATACGCCTTTACCAGGCTTCGAAAGGTAATAAAAGAGTATAAATAAGGAATATAATTTTTAAGTGGGTATAAGACCAGGAAAAGACATGATTTCGTGCTGTTATGGAGAAGACGGAAGTTTTTTTGCATGGTCGTCAATAGAAAAGTGAATTTTTTTGATAAATTTTTTGATATTGAAGGGTTAATATTTAAGTGTTAAAATAGTCGATACATCTACAGGAGAATTAGTGAGAATCTTTGATATCCCTAAAGTATATGAGTTGAAATTATCGCCGAAAAATAATTATATTGTTACGTGGGAAAGACTGTGTAATTTTGTGTTTTTTTGGGGGGATGAAAGAAATATTAATAAAATTAGCGAAAGCAGAAGATGGAACTGCTAATGAAAATCTTAAAATATGGGAAATCTGTACGGGAAAGAAGCTTTATTCATTTATTGAGAAAAGTCAAATATCGTAGTTTGTAATTTATGTGGTTTATTTAAACTTATAAATTTATACAGGAATTTACAATATACAACAGATGAGAAACTTTGTGCGCGAAAAGTAACAAATGAGATCCAATTTTTCGAATCAACAAATATGGAAAAAGGTAAATTTAAAAGAAATATTGAATAATTATATTTAACGCTTTATAGGTCCTATATATAGATTACATGCTAATGGAGTATTTTCATTTTCATTGTCGCCAGGAAAAAACAATGTTATTGCAGTATTTATTCCGGAGACAAAAGTAAATTTTCTTATTATGTAAAATAACTCTTTAAATTATATAAATTAGGGAGCACCAGCAACTGTCTCAATTTATAATATTCCAACATTTTCTTTTGTTATTAGTAAAAAAGCATTTTATAAAGCAGATAGTGTTCAAATGAAATGGAATAAAATAGGAACTACATTAATTATTTCAACATCTACAGACGTGGATAAAACAAATAAAAATTATTACGGAGAAACAAATATGTATATTTTAAGTGCAATTAGAAATTATGATTCCAGAATTATTTTCGGTATTAAAGAACACCAAAATAATACTTATCTAACTGTTGTAAGACAAAGAAGGTCCTATTCATGATATATCATGGTCTCCAAATTCACGCGAGTTTGGAGTAGTATATGGGTGTATGGTTTAATAACTAACTATGTCTAATTAACTGATCAAATAAAGTTATGCCTGCTAAAACTACCATTTTTGATAGCCAAGCTAATATCATATGTTCTTTACCGCCTTCACCTCGTAATACAGTATTATTTTCTCCTCATGATCGTTTTGTTTTAGTAGCGGGTTTTGGAAATTTAAAAGGAACAATTGATATCTATGATAAAAAAAAGAAAATGAAGAAAATAACAACTATAGAAGCTAGTAACAGTACTGTTTGTGAATGGAGTCCTGATGGTAGACATATTTTGACTGGAATAACTAGTCCAAGATTAAGAGTAGATAATGGAGTTAAGATCTGGCACTATACCGGTATCCTAATGTACGCTGAGGAAATAAATGAGCTTTATGAAGTATTTACTTCATTCAAACTTCAATATTTAACTAATATACAGGTTTTTTGGCAACCACAAAATCCAGAAATTCATCCATTTCGTTCATCTCTTTCTCCTGTACCTGAGCCACATTCTTCTGCTTCACTCGTAGCCAATAAAACGCCAGTTAAATTAATAGGGGCGTATAGGCCTCCACATGCTCGTTCTAGTGCAACGCCTCAAGAATATAAAAGAGAAGATGAAAAAATTATAGTTAATAGTGTTCAAGAAGTAAAATCTAAAACAATCTCAAAACAATTTGTACCAGGAGTGGATCCTTCAATGCAAACTCAAGGTTCCAGTAAAGCAGCTTTAAAAAATAAAAAAAGAAGGGATGCAGCAAAAAAGGTTAAAGAATCGAAAGTCATTAATGTAAAAAGTACAAATGGTGTATCTTTTCAGTCTGTTACCTCGAGTTTGGAACAATCACACGTTATTGGAAATTCTTTAGATAATGAAAATAAGAAAATTCGTTCATTACTCAAAAAATTACGAGCTATTGAAGAATTAAAAATGCAACAGGAAAGAGGAAGTAAACTAGAGGATACGCAAATAAAGAAGATAGCTACAGAAAGCCTATTAAGGTCTGAATTGAAAACTTTAGGTTGGGATGATAAATGTATGAGTATGAAATAGTAAATGTTTATTCTTCTATTTTGATTTATGAAAACTAAGCGTATAATATGTTCGTATTTTAAAGAATGTTACTTAAATAACAACTATAAAATATCAAAACCAAAATATAGTTAAAATAACAAAATATTTTTCAACATAATTTTTTTCAATATTTAAATAAATATCTATATTATAACCTAATGTATATACCATAAATAGACATGCATTTTTCAGGATTCATATATTTGATAATTATTTTTTAGCAAGAAAATATTAAACCATATTACATTTGTATCAAATATTAAACATAATAACACGAATTACAGGAATTAAGTATTATTATAAACAAAATAGACTTTGATATCCTTTCCAAAATTCACTGAATGCTAGATTTTATATTTTGTGTCATCTTATCTAATGCAGCAATAAGAAATCCCGAAAATTCTGAGTCATCTGGTGTTTTGATAATATTAGTCTCTTGTTCTTTTTCTTCCTCTAAATCTTTCTTGTATTTTTCCATCATATTGTCAACATTTGCCAAGTATGAAAGACTTCTTCCTTTAACAAATGCATCTACTGCTGGTGCAACAACATCTATAGGAGGAACAGGGAACCATAATACTCGACCTTGTTCGTCCTGAGAAAAAAGTGCAGCTACTTCATCTGAAAAATTGTTACTTTTTTTTATACCCTTAATATTTTCAACTTTATCTCCATTTTCGATTTCCAAATTATCATTTTCATTTCTTTCAATTTCTTCTTCATCAATTTCTTCTCTTACATTCATACTCGCATCCCCATTAATACCCTCATTATTTTTATCTACAAGATTATCCGTATGATTTTCAGAAATTAAGTTTGATACAGGTAATGTAAAAGCAACAGGAGGATAATATGGAATATGTACTTTACGACTAGTTTGAGATTGATTATTTGGATTAATCATTACAGATGTATGTGTCTGTGTCACCAAAGATGGAATAATAGGTTTTTGTGGAATTATAGATGCAGATACCACTGAAGGCAAAAAGATCTCAGGAGGCTATAAAAATTAGTAATTGTTAAAATTATATGAAAAACCATACATTGAGTGTAGATTCATCCGGTATTGGCGCAGGAATTATTGCACCAATAATAGGAGGTGCATTTTCTTTACCTTGAGTTGGTTCAGGTATAGGTGCATTAGGATCCTCTATTACTTTTGATGGCAAAAGGTGCAAAATAGGACTAAGCATCCTTTTTGGCTGTTGCTGCCTTTCAAAGCAATACATATCATATTCCTTATTTCTAATTTCATCAGGAATACATGCTCTCCAGCTCTTGATTTTATGAAAAACTTTTGTTTCTTCATCATATCGAAACTCACAAACATAAATTGACTTGTTTCCCGCATCTTTAGGCCTCCCTCTTACATATTTAGTAATAAACATAGCATAACATTTATCAATAATATCATTAATTTGATGATCACGATATTGATTAGTTTTAAAAACTTCATTTTCATAAAATATCCGATCTGCCCTATGAACCGTTTGTTCCGGCCTGTAATACCAACAAACGCTTATCCATTTTTCTCCTCTAATAGATATTTTTTAATTTTACAAACACAAAATCAATATATACATACTCCAAGTTTTCCCATAAACTAAATATTTGAGCAATAATTGGTTTATTAACATCATTGTGATTTATTAAATGGACCCAGTCACCTAATAGCATATCATTAAATATGTATATACTCGTTAAAAAAAAGTAACTAACCAACTTCTAAAATCTCGCCCTTAACTTCAATTTTAGACAAAGGTGTACGATTAACTTTAATTAGTGTTCCTATACTAGAAGTCGGATCTTTTTCATATCCTGTAAAATCAATATCTCTTCTAGAGCCCTCGATTGATGCTACTTCGTGGGTAACTTGCTAATACCATTAAATATGTAAAAAGATAAAATGTAAATAATTAACTTGAAGAAAATCTGCATCGCGATACATATGACTTCCAGGGGGACTTATAAGTTTCACATTATTATATAATAAATCTAAGTCATCCAAAAAATTCTTAAGAGTCTTATATTCCCTTCTTTTTAGTTTTTGCTAAACAAATTAGCAACAACGATAACTACTACTACTACTACATACCCTAATATCTTCTAGAGATATAGTTTGCTTAATCTTATGTATTTGATTAAATTTATCATCCGGAAATTTTTCAAACCATGTAAATAAAGTACGTCCCCTAATAATTTTACTTTTTTCCGCAAAAAAATAAAACTCATATACCTTTCATCCTTCTCTTTTCGAATCACACGCAAAATAATTTTCATTCTTGCTTCATCTGGTGTATCTACTTTCGGAGGTCTACCTCTTTTTCTTTTTATATCACCAATATCAAATCTCATAACTTTAGCCGGTTCATATGATTTAATTTTCGTCTCTTTTCTTCTTCTTTTATGACGTACATCATCATCATCATCATCATCATTTTTATCCTCAACATCTGGATCAAACCCATCATCATCCGATTTCTCTTCTCCTTGAGAACTCGGTGGTAATGGTCCAAGAACAGGAAGTATACTATCATCTACAAGATTCTTATCCTTCAAAACTGACAGCTCCTTCACTATAATCATCTATATACCCTCATAAACACTTTTCACCAAATAATATCAAAATTACTTCGTTCAAACACGCATCTGAGTAAATCACTGATGAACGACGATTATACAGCTTAGCATTATAGTATATTTGTGCAACATCCGTTATAAACTCGTGAAATACATTATACACATTTTTATTCACATTTTCCTGTTCTGTATCACTACTATCTCTATTTTCTTCGCTCAAAAACGCATTACCCTGATTACATTCAATGCCATAGGCCTCTTGATCACCTCATAATAGTCAGGAACCTCTTTTTTGTCCGGCAATTCCTGGAATATCTTAGATATTGATCGTCCGCTAATATCACTCATAAATTAACCGTTTTTTTTCGTTCTTTTTCATACCTGCTATCCACTGCATCATAAAGAACATCTAGAATTCTTTTAATAGCTTCTTTATGTGCTTTTGTCAGAGGAACATGGCTCATCTTGAAGCTTTATCTCGACCACCGGTTCTTGACGTTGAGATGGGCCTTGTTTCCAGCAGAAAATCTCAGTCATAAATATATAAGAAAAATATACAGCAATTCTCTCAAAACAAACAGATATTAATCAAAGAAACATAGTGCAACCATTTTAAAGGAGTTTTTTTGCACTTTTGTATGTGATGTTAGAAACCTTATAACTTTGAATCAGCCGCTTTATTCTTCCTGGCTTTCTGTTTCTTTCTATCACGTTTCTTCAAACAACCCATTCCAGACTTGCATGTCTCCATATACCTTGAAAAAAAAGGTATTAAACAAGAAGTATCTACTAATGTTGAAATTTTTATTTTTTTGCCATCTGTGGCTCTAAAAAGAAGTTTATATGGCAAACAAGGAGTATCACAAGATTCTCCTTGGTCAGGAGATAGATCTTCTTTGTTTTTGTACGAATCTGGGCCCATTATTCAGTGTATAAGTCAGTAAACAAGACTCACATCGTTTTTGAGTCAAAAAAACAGTTCCTTTCTCTTTTTTTGAGGACAAAAGCTGTTCCAATGAATCCAAATACTTATAAAAAGACATATATTAGCGTTTTATCTAAAAGTATTTAATAATATTACCTCATCATTTGATAATAACATTGTGCAGGTTTTTTTAATAGCGGGAAACTATATAAGCTGTAGATATATAAGAATATGTGAGTATATTAAGAAGAAATATACGTGTCTTTATAATGAATGTTGATAGAGCTGTTTATTTGTCTATTTATTGTTTATAAACCAGATAAAATTTAAGTATAGAAAAAAAGAGAGATAAAAGGACGGAGGAAGGCTTAAAATAGGGAAAACAAGGGAGATATAGAGACGTAAAGATGGTATTTAATATGTGTATCTGCTTTTGAGGTTATAATTCTGTAAAGAATGAGGAAATGATTGAAACTAAGAAAGAAAACTTAAATGAGAGAAAATTGAAGAAAAGAAGGGAGAAAAAGAGGAAAAAAGAGGGAAATATGGAATATACAGGTCGTCCTGATGAAGAGGATAGTGTTATTTCGTACTTGGAGAAAAAACTGGGGCGAAAAAAGCATAATATTGATAGAAAAAACAAAAAAGATGAATTAGACTATCTTCTTGAAGATCTGGACCGTATGAATGCAAAAAAGATGAAGCATGTTAGGTTTACGGAGGATCTGTCAGTTTTTTCTGAGAGTAAAGTGGAAAATAGGGGAGATATAGATAAAGAAGAGCTATTTATTGGAGATAAAGAAGATAAATTGAATTTATCTAAAGAAAATGGGGATATTTCAGTGAAAAAGAGTAAAGAAAATCCTTATATTGCACCTGTAGATAGTAGTATATCTATAGTCAAAAACAAAATTTTAAAAGATGATAAAAATGATAGTGAATTTATTATACACTTAAGAAGAAAGATCAAAGGATTATTGAACAGGTAAATCTATAAAAAACTATGGAAATGGAATGTTTTCTTATATCTAAAAGATTAACAGAGTCAAATATGTTATCAATTTTGAATGAAATTGAAAATCTATATAGTTCATATGCTCGTCATTATGTTAATATAGAACTAATAACATTATTATTAAAAAATGTAGTATCTGAAACGACATTGAAAGAAACATATTTAGTACTATATTCAGGATTCATTGCAGCTTTGTATAAAACAATTGGGGTAGATTTTGGAGCATTTTTTCTTCAAAAACTTATTAAAACTTTTAATGAATTTTATTCAAAAGAAAACTCAAGAAAGGAAAGCATTGATTCAAACATATCTTATGATAAGGAGTGCATTAATTTAATTGTTGTTTTAAGTGAGTTATATAATTTCCAAGTTATTTCATGTACTTTTGTATATGATTTAATAAGATTATTTTTGAAAGAGATAACAGATCTGAATACAGAATTGTTGCTTAGGATTATTTCTAGTAGGTTTTATATTATTTTAATTCTTAATCTTTATATAGTATAGATTCTGGAAATCAATTGCGCTCTGACGACCCATCATCTTTAAAAGAGATCATTCTTATCATTCATCGCAAGATTTCAGAGGCTAATGTTGTTCTAAAGTATACATTAAAGATATCTATACATTTTCATTTTTAATAATTGGTAGTACAAGAACAAAATTCATGATTGAAACCATTGATAGCTTAAAAAATAACAAAATTAAAAATATACCTAGTATTATGACACAAGAAGCAATTGTTAGAATGAAAAAATTCTTAAAAACATTATCTACTCGAAATTCTAATAGGAATTCAGAACCTTTAAAGATCTCATTATCAGACATAGAATCTATGAATGAAAGTGATAAATGGTGGCATGCAGGGGCATCTTATAAAAAGGAAGAAAAGAAAAAGACAATTGCAAGTGTAGATAACTTCTATGAAAATGAAGAAACAAAACTTCTTACTTTAGCACAATTGCAAAGAATGAATACAGATATTCGTAAATCAATTTTTATAACATTAATGAGTGGAGAGGTTATTTTAAAGAAAATAGTAAATTTAATCTAATTTTTAAAAAGGATTTTGCAGATGCATATGAAAAACTTTTAAAACTAGGACTAAAAAAAATACAGAAACTTGAAATACCAAGAGTATTACTTCATTGTTGTGGAAATGAAAAAAATTATAATCCTTATTATTCTTATATTGCACTTAGATTTTGTCTAAGAATGCGTTTTTTACGTACAGCTTTTAAGTTTTGTTTATGGGATTTATTTCGATTTTTAGGGGAAAAAGATATTCAATTGATAGGAAATACAAGTGCTGAAAGCACAGAAAATATCTCACTAAGATATATTGTAAATTTAGGAAGATTATATGGTTTTTTAGTAGTGAATGATGGACTTGATTTAGCAATTTTTAAAGTAAGAATATTTATATGGTTATTTATATTTAATTTCATTATTAGAAACTTAATTTCTTTAATTTACAGTCTAAAACAAAGACATTCTTGGAAATTTTTTTTTGTACATTGATTCAAGAAACACAAAAAAAAACTAATATTCAAAACACAACATTAATTCAGAGAATTTTTGAAAAACCATCATCAAATCCTTCTTTGATTTCAGGCATTAAATATTTTATAGAAAAATATTTGAAAAATAGTGAAATATTAAATTCACGAGATAAGGAAATATTTATATGGGAATATAAAAAAGTATTAGAAAATATAAATATTCCAAGAAATATTTAACAACATTATCAATATCAAACAAAATAATATATTTTAATAATTCAAATTAATAAAAATCCAGCATTTTATAAAATATAAAAAAATCAAAATTTTTAAAAATAATTCATATAAATATTTATAATAATTATAAAACAGATATTTTTTATAAAGATCTTATAATTAAATGTTTCTTTCATCTAAATTTTTAAAATCTAAATATAATCTTGAAAAAGTCATTACACTCTATTTAAATTATTGTATATATAATTTTCAAGATATTTTTTTAAATAAAATAAAATATATAAATATTTTGATTTTTTTCAAACTTAATATCAAAAAAAGCTTTGAAAGAATCATGCTTTTTTTTATAGAAAATATTATTAATCAAAACCAACGTTATAATCTATCAAACAAATAGATTCCTTTAGACTTCTAAAAATATAATTTTTCCCTTTTAAAAGATTCATTTCGCATCATTAAATTTTATTTCATTTTAATAATTGATACAAGTCTGTAAAAGGAATTTTTTCATATGTAGCTTTACTTAATAAAATATTATCCTTATTTTCCGGTAATTTTACTATTTCACCAAAGATCTCCCAATGAAATACATCCTGAATCCATATTTTCAATTTTTCATCATGAAGATTAATCCATTCTTCCAAAATATCAAGTTTAACTTCCTTCATTGTTTGTGAAATTACTTTTGCAATACCTAGCCTAATTGTATCTTCAAATCCAATACAATCCGCAATCATATCAGCATAAAGATCATCATTATCAATTAATTGCCAGAATTCCTTATATTTTGCTGCATCTAAAAGAAGATAAAGCGTATGTAACTTCTGTACAGTTTCATGTAATGAATCTCCCACAAAAACCTCCCTTGGAAGAAGAACTGATGGATGTAATAAATGCAAACATGTAGAAAAGTCAGGTTGTGTAAAAACCGTCAATGCCTTGACAAGAATATTCGTAATAACTTCATCTTTTGAAAGATGTGGATTAAATTGATACCTACATAAAAAATAAGAAAAAAAAACATATAAAAAGCTTCGTTTAGATCCCCAATAAAACATCAGATAGAGCTAACACTCATTCTTTTCATTTAAATAATTTTTTTATCATTTTTATAGATTTATTTCATCAGTTTATTAGGAATCTGAAAAAACTGATATTTCACTAACAATTTTAATATAGCAAGATTTGCCATACAATCATAAGCTCCTTCTTGACATTGTTGCATTAAATATTCCTCTAATAATGGTGCATTTTGAGGATTATACCGATCAACTCCATCAATTAAATGTTGAATAACACTAGACCGTGAAGAAGGAATTGCTGCAATAGATGGAAAATGCGAAAACTCATGATCAAATGTCATCCTTATTCAAACCTCTTTTTATATCAAATTTTATAAAAGAACCAGATTTTCATAGATCTTAAAATTTTTTCAAAGTATCCAAGTCGATTAAAAACCTAGTTTTTAAAATGATATATAAATATATATTAATGAACCAGAATAATGTCTTAATCAATATTTTTTGAAAGTTTTTCTGAAGAAATATTATTTAATAGAAGACGACTTAAACATGATATGAGTTGATCGGTTTTAGACCAAAATGATAAATATTCAGTAGGAAGAGATTTGGCAGTGTCATTTAATTCTTTTGTAAACTTTTCTATAATATCAGTGAAAAAAATATGTATAATTTGTGAATCTTCAATATAAGTTAAAAAAGTGATTTTAAGAAGAGGAGCTTCATTTTGAATAGATACAAGAGATTCGTCAATAATTGCTTGAATAGAATGATTAGAAAGTTTTTTGAATTTCCTTATTTTTTGAATAGGTTCAATTAAAGGTTTTAAAGAATGTTCAATAGAGGCATTAATAGTCGTTTGAAGAAGAGTATTGAATTTCTAAAAATAATAAGCAAATATGAATGAAAAGAAATGTCAGGAAGACGTTATAAATATCTTTTTGTATAGATGAAAAACCAGAAATTTTACTCCAAGTAGATTTATAGAGAAGTTCTAATGGATTAAATAGTCGAATTTTATTATAAACATCCCAAGAATTAATAGTTGCAGTATTAATATCAGCATCATCTTCAAAATGAAAAAAATCTATATTGAATTCCAATATTTGATTTCTCAATATCAATAAGTGCTTTACAAGAAAAAGCTGACGATCTCTTATAGAAATATCTGTTTGTACTTGTGATGCATCACTAAGTGAAGAAATGCAAATACTAATGATATCATATGCAACAGTATTAAAAGATTTTGTCTAAAAAATTAATTAATGTAAAAAATATTTAAATTCTTACATTTAATAAAGGATATATTTTTGATAACAATGAAATTGTTTTGTTTAATGTAGGATGCCATTTAATAACCAAATCATTGTCACATAATTCATCTTTTTGTGCTTCAGAAACATTAGTCAATAATGAATCTGATTGATCTCTTTTTTCTAAACCTTTAGAAAAATTAAAAGCATTTTTGCAAGGAATAAAACTTTGAATTTCCAATTTAGCTACATTTCGAACTTGAGCTACAATAAATGATTGAATATGTTGAAGAATTTCATTAAATATGACTGAATAATCTATCTTATTAGAGTCTGGATCAATATCTAATGAAATTTCTAAATAATTTCAACAATTTTCATCCAATTAAATTAAATTAGATACCATTTTCATTATCTTTAGATGTTTTTGCTTTAAAAACAGAACAGACTTCACAAAGTAGTGATAAGTTTGTTTCTTTGGCTAAATTTGATTGTAAATAAGTAGATATAGACTCAAATAATTTTTGAGAATAAGAACTATCATGATTAAACATAAATATATAGACAATTGGAATCCATACTAGAAATTTGAATCATCACTTTGAAAAAAGTCCCGAAAAAGAGAAAACTCATCAAAACAAAGACTGGTAAAAAATGTAATACTTATTCTAGACTATAATAAAATAAAATAAAATAAAATAAATCAATATATAATTCCTACAAATCTGATAATATTTTCATTTGATAGTTCATTTAATTTCTGAGAAATAATTGGTTTAACCAATTTATATCTTATTCCAAAGTAAAAATTTTGACAATCATTAATCATTACGTTATATCTAATTCATATAAAATTCTTATATATTGTATTGTTTTAAAAATACTCATTATGATCTTTGATTCTTTCCTCTATTTCTTTGATATATGGCCTTAATTCAATAGCACAAACACGAAATTTTGTATATAAAAATGCAGTTTGGTTCATATTATTAGATACCTTATTTCTTTTTAATAGAATATATATATAATTTTTAAAGAAAACCTTTAAAGAAAATTCCTCATTAATTCCATCATTTAATTCCTTTATCACTTGTACAAAAAAAACACAAATCAATGTCATAACTTTTGTTAAACATTGTTCAAATTTTTCTTTATAAATCCCAGAATCCTTAAATTCAGGCTAATAGAATAATCAGAAATATGAAATAACAAAAATATAAATAAAATACATGTTCTTTCATCATTTCCAAACCTTTATCCAACTTTTTTAGCATATCAAAAAACTCTGGTTTTTTAATAAATTCAACACCAGATGTATCCAATAACCTATGAATTGCATCAAGAGAACAATATACTTCATTATTCTGTATAATTTGATCTTTTAATAATATAGCACTTTGCTACATGTAATCATTATATATATCAATTTTATAAAAATACAACAAACCTTTTCTTTTTCAAGCTTCTCATAATTATCTCTGAAAATATAATTATTTTCATATGATTCTCTTAAATTAACGCTTATTACTCTTAACTTTTCTGCCATTTTTGAAGCATGTGCTATAAGATCTTGACATATTGAGATCTTTCCAAGATATTCTTTCTTAAAAAGCCTATAAAACTAAATACCATTAATAACGACTATAATAAATATACCTGAAGTGTAAATCCTGTTCATTTTCTATTGATTTTTCTATTTCATTGCTCCATACTAATAATTTATAATAATTCTCATTTCTAGCCGCTTGAGAGTAATAAAAACGTTCATAGACATGTTCTAAATCATTCAGAGATAAAGACCTTGTTATTTCTCTCTTTTTTTCTGATAAAATATGTTTATTTTTTAATAAATAAGAAGTATCTTCTTCAAAATCACTCACAACACTCTAATTTAAGTATTATACAAGTATAACAGTTATTAATGTACCTTACAGTCTCTAATCCCAGATATTCACTGCTTTCTTCATTTATTAAGCAGTTTCCTTGATAAAAAACCATTTAGATAAGGCAGATTTTTCAGTTTTTAGAGAACATATATAATAAAAATAAATTATTAAATTTTAGAATCAATTTTATAATATTAAAAACCATATAAAATGATTTTAAAGATTTAAGAAATAATTACTCGAATATATATATATCAAATGTATAATTTATTAAATTATTTTATATAATAGTTTAAGAAATCAAAAATGAATTGCTTTTCCTGACCAAGCAGTTAAAGCAGCTTCTTTGAATGCTTCAGATAAAGTTGGATGTGCGTGTGTTCTATTTTATTAGTATAAAAAAATATTTATAATATTTCTTACGTTCGAGCAATATCTTCGGCACTTGCACCATATTCTATAGCTAATACACCTTCTGCAATCATTTCCCCGGCGTTTGGCTATATAGAATGGCTTAAAAAAGTAATTGAGAAACAATTATAAACTTACACCTATAATATGAATTCCAAGAATACGATCGGTCTCTGTATTTGTAATAAACTTGACTAATCCATCAGTCTCAACATTTGTTTTTGCTCTGGAATTTGCAATAAATGGAAACTTTCCAATTGTATATTTAATGCCCAACTTTTTGATCTGTTGTTCTGTTTGTCCAACCTAAATAGTCATTATAATATTTTAAGAGAAATATAATACTTTCCCATGCTACTTCAGGATAAGTATACATAACAGAAGGAATTGCATTATAATTAACATGACCACGTCCATATTTAATATATTCTACGGCTGCGATACCCTCTTCTTCTGCTTTATGTGCAAGCATTGCACCAAAAGTAACATCTCCAATAACACGAATATGAGGAATCTTAGTACGATATTCTGAATCGATAACAATGCGTCCTTTTTCATCTACATCTACATCAATATTTTCCAGACCAAGTCCTTCGGTATATGGTCTCCTTCCAATAGCAACAAGAACGACATCAGCATTTAACTAAAAGCAATAAATGTATATTCCAAGCCATTAAAATAATCATACAGTTTCCTTTTTATTATCCTTTAAAACTTGAATATCTATTTTAGCTTTATTTCCTTTAACAGCACCACCCAAAACTTTTGTACCAAGTTTTAATACTAATCCTTGCTTTTTAATTATACTTGTAAACTGTTTAGAAATTTCTTCATCCATTCCTGCCCCAATAAAATTTTCATATTCTACAACAGTAACTTCAGAACCTAAGCGAGACCATACTGAACCCTAGACTCTTTTTTAAAAACAATAAAGGAACATCTTAAATAACTATCTACCATTTCAAGTCCAATAATCCCTCCCCCAATCACAACCATCTTTTCTGGAACTTTTTCTAAAGATAATGCACCTGTGCTAGAAACAATAATTTTTTCATCTATTTCAAGACCAGGAAGAGCTGCTGGCTCTGAACCTGTAGCAATTATTATATTTTTCGCCCTAAGAACCTGATCCTTGTGTCCATAAACTCCCTTAATCTCTATTTCGTTTTGATTCAAAAATTTCCCTATACCCTTAATATATTCAACTCCATTTTTCTTAAAAAGATGCTCGATCCCTCTAGTTAAAGCATCTACCGTATCATTTTTCGACTTCATCATATTTTCCAAATTCAATTTTACTTCAGAAACTACAAAAACACTTAATATAATAAAATATACTATATTCCCCTCTTAAACCCTCAATTCCTCTATCTTTAGTATCATGTCTTATTTTATGGAAAAAATGTGAATTATTTAGCAATGATTTAGATGGAATACATCCAACATTTAAACATGTTCCTCCAAGTGTTCCTCGTTTTTCAACGCACGCCGTTTTTAACCCATATTGCGCCGCTTTAATTGCTGCAACATATCCCCCCGGTCCTCCTCCAATAACTACCACGTCATATTCTTTGTTTCCAGTGCTATAAAACCGGTATCCTGATCCTAATACACAAGGCATGATCTTCACTGATCTTTTTAAAGGAAATGACTGAAAAATAATCAATTTTTTTCCGGAAAAAAGGCCAAAACATAAACTCCATACCCAAATACACAATCTCCTTGAAATATTCATCTTTAAAACCAAGAATTGGGAGAAAACTCTGAATTTATATGATTTTTCAAAAGTCTGAGGTTGCCAAAAGACCGTACAAACCAAAGGACGTTAATAAATCATTAGATAAAAAATACATAAAGACATAGTTCTGAATATGAAAACGCCTTGTTTAACAGCAATTAAAAGATATCATGTCCTTTTTTTTGTTTATAATGCCCAATAAAAAGTACCCAATATTATCAAAATGATTAATCAATACAGAAATCCATTAGATTATTGTTTCTAGTAAAGATTTAACATAAAACAAAGCCGAAAATATGTAAATCATTGGTAAATCTTGTGTTTTTCCTTTTCTAAGTCTCGAAAAATATTTGTATTATTAATACACAAAACATGCCTAAATATGTTTCCATACATAAAAAAAAATCCTTATCTCCCCTTAGCCTACAAAATTTTTCACTTTTATAGAGTTTTATTTGATAATTTAAATAACATTATTCTTTCATCTTTATTTCTGACAATAACCTCCTAAAAACATTATTAAAAGAAATATACAAACCTTTCCTACTACTTTTGCATAGAAATATGTCTTTCTAGACGTTTAATAACCCCTCCTTGCTCTAAAATACTCATATCTTTGCCTGGAAGCGATTCAATCATTTTTCGTATATTAGAAACCTGCTGATAAAGCTTTGAAACCTAGACAAACATATATACCAATAACAAAGATATCCTGCCCTTACTTCCTTATTCAATTCCTTTAAATCATCCTTTTTTGCTGTCTTTAAGATCTGAATAATCTGAGGAATTATATCAGTATCTGAAATATCCATAGAAAAATATTAAATCTTAAGAAATATCTAGTAAAAACCCTTTAAAAAGTTAATATTTCTTAACCCAAGTAATTAACAATTAATACTTTTATTAGAGGGTAAAAGCGGGTACTTAGACGGGGTCAAAAAAACATGGCTAAACCTCTTGAAAAAGGTAAGATCAAGGCATAAATCAGACATAAACTTAATATATTATAGTTTGTCTTATATGTATTGATGGATGGGGTTTTTTTTCCAGAGAAAAAGAAGTAAAATTAATGAAAATAGGAATTAATCCAAAAGAAAACAGCAAAGGAGATGCAATTGCAGCAGCAAATATACCTATTATGACCGATTTAATGAGAAAATATAGTTATATGGAGCTTGAAGCACATGGAAATGCAGTTGGACTTACAGAGGGCTTGATGGGTTGTTTTGAAGGGATATAATATGTATAAAGGTTAATAAAGAGGCAGGAAATTCAGAAGTAGGACATTTAAATATAGGAGCAGGACGTATTGTATGGCAAGATTCAGTTAGGATTGATCATACGATAAAAAACAAGGGTTTTATTAAGGTAGATGCTATAGTATCATCAATGAAGCGATGTAAAGCAGGGAATGGACGATTTCATATTTTAGGATTGGTAGTTTTTTAAAAAAATAATGTTTATATGTATCTTATTTTAAAATTACAAGGTTTCTGATGGAGGGGTTCATTCTCATATAAATCATCTTTTTCATCTTTTAGAAACAGCAAAAAAATTAGAATTAAAAGAGGTTTATATTCATTTTTTTAGTGATGGAAGGGATACAAGTCCAATATCAAGTATTAAGTATGTAGAACAGCTTATGAACAAAATCAAAGATATTGGCATTGGAGAACTTGCTACTATAGTAGGACGTTACTATGCAATGGATCGAGATAAACGCTGGGAAAGAATTACAATTGCTTTAGAAGGAATAATTTATGGTATAGGAGAAGAAAATAGCAATGCGATAGATGTAATCAATAGACGATATCAAAAGAATGAAACAGATGAATTTTTAAAACCTATTATTATTAATAAAAAAGGATGTATTTCAGGTATAATAAAATAAATGAGATGAAATTTATTATAATATTTGAAGATGGAGATACTCTCTTTTTTTTTAATTATAGATCAGACAGAGTTCGACAAATTACACAAGTATTAGGTGTAGATTCGACTTTAACATCTGTCAAAATCCCCGAAAATCTTAGTATTACAACAATGACTCAATACAAAGGGGATTATCCATTTCCTATTGCCTTTCCTCCTCAAAAAATGGATAATGTTTTAGCTGAATGGCTATCAAAAAAAGGAATATTACAAGCTCATGTTGCAGGTATCATTATTTTTTCATTTATTTATATTTAATTCTATAAGAAACCGAAAAATATGCACATGTAACATTTTTCTTTAATGGAGGTGTTGAAAAGCAATTTGAAGGAGAACAACGTGATATGATTCCATCACCTAAGGTTTCTACATATGATAAAGATCCTAAAATGAGCGTTGATGCTGTAGCTCAAAAAATTTCTGAAAGAATTACTGAAAATAAGTATCCTTTTATCATGTGTAACTTAGTAAGTTGATAAAACTTCAAGTTTTATATTACTAATATATTCAATTCATTAGGCTCCTCCTGATATGTAAGTTATTTTTGATATTTTTACTTAATTAATTAATTTATCAATAGGGTTGGCCATGTAAATTCTAAATTCCTCTTTTTTTTCCTTTTAACAAAACTAGACTGGTGTATACGATGCTACTGTTGAAGCAATTGAACATACTGATAAGGCTATCGGAACAATTTATAATACTTGTAAAAAAGAAGGATATATTTTATTGGTAAATATCTATTTTAAAATACATATTCATATTTAAATCATAGATCACTGCTGATCATGGTAATGCTGAGGTTATGATCGATGAAAATGGTAATCCTCTTACATCACATACATGTAATCATGTTCCTTTTATCTTATGTAGTGAAAATTATACACTACAAAAACAAATTGGTGCATTATGCGATGTTGCTCCTACCATATTAACTTTAATGGGTATAGAAATACCCGAAGAAATGACTGGAACCTCTCGATTAGAAATACAAAAGTAATAATCGTCTGTATTACATAAATTTAAACTATATAAAAAAAATAATATATTTAAAAAAATATTATATATAAATAATATTATATATAAATAATATATAAATAATACACAAAAAATCTACCTATATAAAAACTTCTATTTAAGATATTTCTTTAATTCGCCACTATTTCTAAGCCCTTCTAAATCCGAATTCCCCCCAATATGTTTTCCTCCGATAAATATATTAGGAACCGTTTTTTGAGACGTCATCTCAAATAAAAATTCTTGAATCTCTGCTCCATTCTCTATCTCAATTATTAACTATTTTCCCTATAAATATCTCAAAATATCACCAATTTTATCCAATTCTAAAACATACGAATCAAATCCCTCTTCTTCAAGAATCCTTTTAGTACTATTACAAAATGAACTAATTATATCATTAAGAATTTGCTTTTTCTCTACAAATACTAACCAATATGTTTTAGAAAAAACTACTACTTTGTGCTTAGAAATTAGCGATTCTACCTATTTAATTTGTCAATATTATTCCTAATAATTCTGCTTAATTACCTGCTTCTTAACCTCTTCTGACATCCTTAAACTAGCTGAATTAATATTTCTATAGAGACGTAAAAGTTTAAACATGACGGAGGCCATAATATTTAAGGGTTAGGTTAATGGGGACGGATTGTGAGAGTCGTACGAGACGTCAAAAAAAAACGAAGATCAAGAAATCGGTATGGAGGAGAATATTGTGGAGAAAAAGGATAAAGAAGTATTGGAAAAGAATGCGGAGGATGGGATTTGTAAGGAATCGTTTTTGAACGAGGAAAAACGGATGGATAATGGGGAATTTACTGAGAGAGAAGCAAATCATGAAGATAGGGAAAAAGGAGAAAAAATAGGGAATAAAGGGGATTTAATGAGTAATAAAATTGGAACGGATAAGGGATCGCTAGAGAATATAACGTTGTTGAAAACGAACAAAAGAAAACGGTTATCTCAGGACCGAGTTGGTCAATTGGAAGATTTGATTGCTATGGATGACAAGGATTCGTCATCATGGCTGAAATTGATTAAGGAATATCAAGATAAGAACAAGATTGAGGAGGCGAGGAATGTATATGAGCGATTTTTGAAAGTTTTTCCTACAGCAGTATTTTAATATAGGGATTTTTTGATTAATTATGAATGAAATGAATAGGCACAACAATGGATTGATTATGCAGACATGGAATTAGCAAATAATGAGTTTATTCGGGTGGAGACGATTTTTTCGCGATGTTTAAGGTCAGTTTTAAGTGTAGATCTTTGGAAGTTTTATTTGGATTATATTCGTCGAATTAATAATGTTTCTACTGGAGGAGCTCAAGCCCGATCGGTTATATCACAAGCATATGAGTTTGTTTTAGCACATATTGGAATTGACAAGGATTGTGGTTCAATTTGGTCAGATTATATTAATTTTGTGAAAACAGCAGAGGTAAGTTCAAAGATGCATTATAATTGTCTTTTTTTATCTCTGTAGACAGTTTTTTCATCTTTGATTTCTTAAATAATCATTATACACTCTAATTATGTACTTACTATCTTTTCAACATAGAAAAATTCCATGTGGGAAGAGCAGCAAAAAGTAGATCATATTCGTCGTATTTATCACAAAGCGATATGTATTCCAATTGCAAATATTGAAACTTTATGGAGAGAGTATGATGCATTTGAAAATAATTTCAATAGATCTACAGTAAGATTTTTTGTATTTAATTATAATTAATTAATTTTTTTAGGCTAGAAAATTTCTTTCAGAAAAAAGTTCAAGCTATATGATGGCTCGAACTGCATGGAAAGACATGGCTACCATAACAGCTGGATTCCGTGCTACTAATATTCCAAAAGTTCCTGTCTGGACCGAAAAAGATGTCGAAGAAGTAATTACTTAATTTTATTCTTTCTATATCCGCTTATTTTCTTAGGTTGAACAATGGAAAAAATGGATCGAATGGGAAATGTCAGATCCTTTGGATCTCAAATTAAAACCTGCAATTGTTACACGAGTGAAATATGCATATAAACAAGCTATGATGAATCTAAGATTTTTCCCTGAGATTTGGTACAATATATATATATCTATATCTATAACTTAGTATTAAATATATAATTTAATGATAATAGGTTTTCTGCTGTTGAATATTGGTTATCTTTAAACGAGGAAAAAGAAGCTATTGAAATAATGAGAAATGGCATAGCTGCAAATCCTACTAGGTTTCTTTCTAATAATAATAATATTATTATTATTATTAATATTACTATTTTAGTTATTTACTTCACTTTCAATATGCGGATTTTCTCGAGCAAAATAAGAGGTTTTCAGAAATGAGGACAATTTATGAAACACTTATTGAAAACCTTTCAAAAGAATTTAAAAAGATTTCATGTTATATGGAAAATAGGGTATCAGAAGTCTCTAAATATCTAGAATACATGACTCCTCAGGATCCTGCTGAAGAAGGTGAAATACAAAAATTAACCCCAAAAAAAGAAATACAAAATATTCAGAAACAAGGAAAAGAAGAATTAAATAAATTAACAAAAAATATTTCTATTGTATGGAGTGTTTTCATGAGAGCGGTTAGACGTACAGAAGGTATAAAAGCAGCAAGACAGATTTTTGGAAAAGCCAGGAAGGTGCCTAATCAAGCATATCATATTTATGTAGCTTCTGGTTTGTATAAGTATACGTTTAAATTATTATGATAATGAAGATTAGCCTTAATGGAATATCATTGTAGTAAAGATTCTACAATAGCTAGCAAGATTTTTGATTTAGGATTAAAAAGTTTTGGAGATGATCCTGATTTTGTTCTTCATTACCTAACATTTTTAATAAATATTAATGATGATACAAGTATATAATTTATTTGTTAAAGAAATAAAAAATTTAGTTTTTATAGATGCGAGAGCTTTATATGAAAAAACAATAACACATCTTGATCCTCAAATAGCTAGACAATTGCATGAAAAATTATATACATATGAATCCATGTTTGGTGATCTTTCAACAACTGTAAAAATACAGTCAAGAATAGCTGAACTTTATCCTGATGGTAATTGGATATTTAAATTTACGATTTAAATAATAATATATAATCTAATAGATTCCTCCATATTACGGTTTTCTAGACGATTCAAATTTTACAATTCAAATGCGATTTTGGAAAAAGATTTAGGAGTAGCATCTAAACCTTCAATTATCTCGGAACCTATAGAAATACACGATAATGGTATTTTACAATTGAATCTTGATATTAGAAAAAAGAGTTTAGCTACTTCTTTATTAACTACAAATGATAAACTTTTGAGTCTTCCTGAGCCTATTTTATATTTTTTAAGTATTCTCCCACCCGCTTCTTCATATACTGGTAATTTACGATTATTTATTATTTATATATAATGGTATTTTTAGGAGCCACTTTCAAAATTGATGAACTCATAAAGTTGATTTCTGAAACAGAAGTCCCTACATCTGTAAAAAAAAAAATAACAGCATCGAATTAATACGAATTTAGATCATTTCAGGCACTGATATTGAAATTTGATTCTATTTGTAAATTATTACATTACATAACAAAATTTCGAAATGCAAATACTGCTAATCATTAAAATAGGACATATCATAAATTAATATTTAAAATATTAGTATTATATTTTGTCTCGGTTAATTATCTACATAAATTGTTTTTATATACAATTTAAAAGAAAAGTATTTAAAATCATTATTTAATATTTTACAGCATAAAAATTTATTAAATATACATTAATTTTAACAAAATCAAAAATTATGTCTTCTTACATCATTAAATTAATATAACTAAGAAACTATATCTTTTATTATAAAATAATTACCCTATAATTCATGCCTCACAAACATACAAGACACATTATATATATATCTATAATATTAATTTTAATACATTATTGACAATAATAAAACACTTTTTTTATTATATCTAAAATCCTTTTTAATTTTTTAATATTATTTTGTCTTTATAAATTATAAAGTTAAAATATAAAAATATAAGATTATCTTCTTTTAACCTATTTAAATACATCAATTACTAATATTTTTTATATAATTGTTAATTATAATTTTAAATATTAGAAATAATATATTTCTATATGTTGATTATTTAAAAAAAAACATTTTTAAATAATCAAAACTAAAGTCGTTAATCATTTAATCTTAATAAAAACTGGAGTGCCCTCAGCTGTGCCGTTTATGCTCAAAGCAGACGGTAAAATATAAATGCCCTACCTGTTTAATTCCTTAGTAATTCCTTTATAAATTAAAATATATATTATTAAGTCTTAATAGCTGTTCTTTTACTTGTTTTCAAAAACATAAACAAGTAAATTCACCTCCAACAGCAGATGATACTTCTATTAAGTGTTGTACTCCTAAAGATATATCTATTGAACAAAAATCAAATGAAGATACTTCAAATATAACATGTGATGAGCTTCTTTCAGAAGCAATTCTTAAGAAAATTGGTAAAAAACAATTCTATTCAATATATCTAATAAATAAAAAGAAAATGATGAAATATTACAAAAGTTTATTAATGAATCTAAACTACTAAGAGACATTCTTCTAGAAATATATGAAAAAATTCCTTCTAATGATAATAATAGTTCTTTTTCTGTACCAAAATTTCTTTTAGATAGAATTTCAGAGTTACGAAAGTATGATACAAATAATGTATTTTCATCTTTTGTACAAAGAGTGTTGTATCTTTCTAATCAAGAAAAATCTAATACTTGATCTTTTAAAAATAATCTATTAAATATTTTTTCTATTTTATAACTTTATTTTTTAAAATTACATTTATTAGATGTTAATACATGTATATTTTTTATATTTATCAAGTTTGTTTTATATAATTTGATGTTCATTAATCACAATTGTAATATAAATTAAAGATCTAAGTCTAAACAAAAACAAAATCATATAAAAAGAGATTTTTTTTATTAATTTAATTATTTCTCTAAATAATTAATATATATAGTTTTAAATTATTTTTTAATTAGTCTAATATACATTTTTATAATATCTTTGCTTATTATTCTTAAAATTTTGATTAAAAAAGCAAAAAATTCAATCATTGAAAGCTAATTCTTAGAAAAATACTATAAACTACTAATTTTACATAATAAAATATAAAATCATATATATTTAATGAATCAAAGAATAGTAATTTTAACAACTATTAAGTTAACTCATCTTTAAACAATTGTTTTATATAAGAAAAATATATAAATAATTTTAATATTTATAAAAAAAGACTATCTAATTCAAGATATTTTTACATTTTAAAATCATATTTGACAAGTATTAAGACAAAATATCATCCAAACAATATATTTAAGAAAAATTCATAAAATAAAATATTAAAAAATAAAGAAAATTACAAGTATGAAAACATTAAATTAATTTCAATATAACTAAATAAATATATCATGAAAAAACATTTATAAAATATCTATTTTTATAAAAATATTAATCTTATCATTTTCAGGAACCATCTGAAACTAACGATTAACTATAATTAAGCTAATTTTTTTAATGTACATAATATATTTATAATCATTCTCAGCTAAATGAATGTAATACATATATATATACTTATATACTTATATGATTAGAAATGAACTTTAATATTTTTACACTAGTAAAATCTAAATTATAATAGGTTTTACGATAAATAAATATTATTCAGTAGAAATCCATTTAATCAATCAATTGACAATGGAATTAACCCTCCATTTTTTAAAAGATCATTTATGAACTTTTTAACAAAGGATCAATAGATTTAGGTGTATTGTAAAAAGAATGGCCAGCATCATCATTGGTAGGCATAGATATAATTATCTTAGCTACTATCCATAAAGGCCACCATAATAACCATAAAACAAGAGGCGTCCAAAGATACCATATCTTCCATCCGAAAGCAAACGAATAAATAAAATCTATAGCTTCCTTATTTTTATAATAAGAAAAAAAAAATACCCAATTGAGAGGATTGACAAGTTCCAAAAGAATTAAAAAAAGCATTCGTTCAGTTCTAGTTCTTGCAGGCCGGATAAAAGTTAAAGGAAATGTTACAATACCAATAAAAAATGATAAAGAAAAATTTACAATAGCTAAAGTAGATAATTCTATACCAAGAATTATTTGAGAAAAAGCCTTATTAAGTTTACAGTTATTAATTAATGACATATTTTGACTTTTAATAATTGTTTTAAGGATCTTTTGTATAAAAACTGAAATTATATGTTGAAGAATTTGAAGAAATAGAACAAATATTGAATAAAACTAAAATAATTTAAGTAAAATAATCCAAAATTCATATTTATTTACCTTTTTATAATTACTAGATTCTTTATAATAACATGAGTTATATATTATTTTCAAAAAAATAACAGCAATAATATGAATAACAATAACTGTAGCAATTGAAAGTGCAATTTCTTTTCTAAAATGCAATTGCAGATCCCTTTCTATAAAAACTTTCTTTTTTTCGTCTTTAGAATTATCATGTTTTTCTTTTTCATATAGACTTAAACTCCTCTTATTGAAACTAGCAATAAAAGAAAGCCACAAACTGAGAGAATCAAAAGTAAAACTACTAGCAATAAGTATCGCAGAAGGAAAGTATGCACTAATAGAAACAAATCTATTAACCGATAATATAAAGTAAAAAAAAAAAGATTGATGAAAATGTTCAAGCAGATTATTCAAACTACGAAATAATGACTCAATAATTTTTCCTAGCAATATATCATCATATGTACCGCTTTCTTTAGATTTAACTTTAAAAGTAATTGAATCAATTTTATATGGTATAAAACAACTCTGCGTCCCTGATAAAAATCCAAAGCATTGATTAATCATTCCATTAATCATAGTACAAAGCCTTCGAAAATATGTTTCCTTTTGTTGAATTACATTTTGCATATTTATTTTTACATCAGATTTTAATTGAATAATACGATTTACCGAAACTAAAAGATCCATATTTGATAGCTGTCCATTCATTCCATCATATAACAGTTCTATAGAATCAAAATTTCTATAATTTGAAATAAAATCAATATCAACAAGTGCCTGTATCTCTCCACTTTTTAAAGGCAATGATAAAATAGCATCATTATAATCCATTTTATGATATGCATCTACCCATACTTGAGGTCCTACTTCTTTCTCCCCAGAAATAAGAAAAATAATATCTTTTGACCACAACGACCATTCTATAATACAAATTAATAATATTTTATACAATATCAAACAAAAACCTTTAAAATATCTCGCCAATGCAAGCAAAAGAGATACTCCTCCCAAATTCACTACATAATAAATTAAAAAAAAAACACTCTAATTATTATATTAAATCACATTTTCCATCCATATTTTTCCATGATGCGCTCAAAACAAGTGCTTCTGTACCATCTCCCCTCTGTGCATCAAAAACCGCAAAATAATTTCTACCTAAATACTCTTTCCCTTTGAATTCCACCTTGTAATCTTGTGTACCTGTCCTTAACCCAAGTCTTCCAAAAATCTCATGCAATGATTCACTTTTCCTATAATAATCAAAAATATATTCAAACATACTCTCCCTATTCATACGCTTCTTCTCCCTGTTCGTCTATAAACTTAATTTCTTCTCTATACGCCTTAATAACTTCACTATCACTATCACTTTCTCCAAAATATGTATTTGCTGTCCCTGGAAGAATTGCATTCTCTGATATAAAGACATGACGATTAAAATATTCAATTGGAAGCACAAATATCCACATAAACCCCACAATAAAACAACATAATCTATAAAGATTACCTTGTTTCTTTATTATTTACTTATTCTACCGAAACAAAAACAAAAACTTATATAAATTAACCATTTTTCTTATCTTTTTAAAGACTTCCACTCCTGTTTATTAGTCATTTACATTGTAATTCTGATGAAATATCAATTATCCTGAACTAAGTCCCGATTTTTACGCAAATATTAAGGCTAAAGAGAGGGGTTAAAAGGATAAATAGAAATATTAATTAGAAAATCCTTAATAATAGAGAATAAAATAATTTATATTTAAATTAGAAATATTTTATGTAAAAATTTAAGGATAAAAATAGAGGAAAAAAAATAGAAAAGAAATAACTTTTTTATAATAATATGAAGAAGATAAAATAGAATGATTTATAATGTTAATATTGTGATAATAATATGTTTAATAAATTGTAAAAAAAAACAAAAAATAATGATAAATTTAGCTTTAATATGTATTAAAAACATTGATTTAAGATGTTAAAAGTTAAATTTATAGGAAAAATTAATTATTAAAGTATTATAATAATTTTATTTTAATAGGTTAAAAATTTAATATTTGAAATAAAGAGTATAAAAAATAGTATAAAAAATAGAATAAAAAATAAAATTATGATAGAAAATAAGGAGCGTTTGTATTTATTAAGTATATTTACGAATTATAATTTAATTTGAAGTAAAATCATAGTTTGGAATTTTGAGTGTTATCTAGCAAATTTTTTAGGGATTAGTATTTAGTTGATATAGTAAATTGAAGTATTTACTGTAATTTTTATAAAATCTATTTTGAAAATCAATAAGTCTTTTTTTTTTAAAATAATCTATCTATTTTTATTAAAAAAAGAGATAAAAATATATATATATAAATATACCCAGCTTTTTGCACAGTTATTTCTAAAGCTCTCTTCTTCTAATGAACAGAATGAATTAATTTTTTCAATCTGTGTTATTGGATTAATAATAGAATGTTTATCTAAACATTGAAAAAAGATATCTCTAGCTTGCCAACAGCGTTCTCTTTGAGATTTTGTTGGAGGTATATTTGCAATGGAAATCATAAAGAGCTTAAGAAATAATATTTGAAGGCGATTTTTTTATTTATTTGTTTTTTAATGAAATAATTTCATATCAATACATTAAATAAAAGTTTACTATAAAAATGAAAAAAATCAAGATCAATTTTAATAGCCAAAAACAGAATAAAGGTTTCATTACAGTAGTTTCCAAAATCAAAATATCAAAATGCGTTAATTATTTTTTAATGATGCCATATAATTTAAAGCAGAACCGGCTCTAAACCATTCTATTTGTTGCTTATTGAACGTTCTTATAAAAATATAATTAATATATAAAAAAAATAGAAAAGAAGAACTTACGAATTTAACAGTGTTTCCCAAACCTGACCATTTTTAGGGTGAACACGGAGTATTAAGTTTTTTCCTTCATCAAATTCAGTCAAACCAATTATATCTACTCTATCATCAGAGGAAATTCTATCATAGTCCGATTCATTAGCGAATGTTAGAGGAAGCATTCCTTGTTTTTTCAAATTAGTTTCATGAATACGAGCAAATGATTTAGCAATAATTGCACAACCTCCTAGGTGTCGTGGTTCTAAGGCAGCATGTTCTCGACTTGAACCTTCTCCTAGATTTGAATCACCAATAACCACCCATTTAATACCTTTAGCTTTATATGCACGTGCTACATCTGGAACCTTTTCATATTTACCAGATAATTGATTTTTTACTTTGTTTACTTCACCATTTTCTGCGTTAACAGCACCAATATACATATTATTTGAAATGTTATCTAGATGGCCACGGTACTTAAGCCATGGACCTGCCATACTAATATGATCCGTTGTCGTTTTTCCTTTACATTTTATCAAAATAGGCATATTGAGAGCATCTTTTCCATCCCATTTTTCAAATGGTTCCAATAATTGTAATCTTTCACTTGAAGGATTAATATTTACACTGATAGAAGAACGATCCTCTGGAGGTGCTTGATAGGTATTTTCTCCTAAATCATAACCTTTAGAAGGCAATCCTTTGCCGTTAGGAGGAGATAATTTAAATTCCTTCCCATCGGCACCCGTTAATGTATCAGTTATAGGATTGAATGATAGATCACCTGCAAACACCATAGCAGTTACAATATCAGGAGAAGAAATAAATGCATGCGTTGAGGAATTAGCATCATTTCTTCCAGCAAAATTTCTATTATAACTCGTAATAATAGAATTTCTTTCACCCTTTTTAATATCTTTTCTATCCCACTATAATAATATTAGAATAGCCAGATTTTTTTTTTTTTTGCTTTCAAACCTGTCCAATACAAGGCCCGCAAGCATTGGCTAATACAACACCACCAACATCTTCAAGAATTTTCAAGAAACCATCTCTAACGATAGTTGCACGAATCTGTTCACTTCCGGGCGTAATCGTAAATTTACTCTTAACCGTTAAACCATGGTCATAAGCATCTTTTGCAATTGAAGCAGATCGACTCATATCTTCATAACTTGAATTCGTACAAGATCCAATAAGACCAACTTTCAACTCAGAAGGCCAATTATTTAATTTAATAGCTTCTTTAAACTTAGAAATAGGTGTAGAAAGATCCGGTGTAAATGGACCATTAATGTGAGGCTCAAGTTCAGACAAATTGATCTCAACTATCTTATCATATTCGCAGCCTTCATCTGCCGACAAGAAATGTGAATACTTGTCTAAATGATCTGCAAGATATGAACGTTTAGTTGCTACCAAATATTCTCTCATTCGCTTATTATATGGAAATAAGGACGTAGTCGCACCAATTTCTGCACCCATATTACAAATTGTACCCATACCAGTGCATGATAAAGATTCAACTCCCGGCCCAAAATACTCAATAATAGCACCCGTGCCTCCTTTAACCGTAAAAATTCCCGCTATTTTAAGAATAACATCTTCAACCCCGTTTAATCTTTTTTATAAATAAAAATCTAAAAACTACCTTTTGGTGATGTCCATCCACCCAATTCTCCCGTTAATTTTACACCATAAATTTTTGGACATTTTAACTCCCATGGAATATCAATCATTACATCTACAGCATCTGCTCCTCCAACACCAATAGCCACCATTCCTAAACCACCTGCATTCGGCGTATGAGAATCCGTACCAATCATTAATCCGCCTGGACTATATTTCATCAATATAATTGACCCATTATTTAACATTTATATACAATGCATAATTCTCTAAAATAATTTGATGAATAATACCAGATCCTGGCTTCCAAAATCCAATATTATATTTTGCACAGGCACTAGACAAAAAATCATAAACCTTTTCTACATTTCAACACTTCATTTCTCAATGTCCTTTTTTTTTACCTCTTTATTAATATCATAGGCACGAATTAAATCTTTCTTCCCATCAATCTGCGCCTCAATCAAATGATCACAATGAACTGTTGTAGGAACCGCCACATCTGATATCCCTGAACTCATAAACTGCAATATCGTCATTTGCGCCGTAGCATCTTGACATGCTACTCTATCTGGCCGTAAACGAAGATATGATTTCCCACGTTCAATATCTTGATTATAAGGATCATCCAAATGTCCATAAACAACTTTCTCCGCGTATGATAAAGGTCGGCCAAGCCTTTTCTTCACAATTTCAACATTTCTTTCCAATTTATAATAATCAATATATTTATCCTAAAAACATATGCCAAAACAATAACAAATAACACCATATATACCGTTTCCCAATTGCTGATACGCACTTTCTGAAGTGATGACGCAAAGGCCAAACGTCTAGCCTGAAAAACCGCTCGGCTCATTTTATAAATGATCTCAAGACGTGCTAAACGTTGTGATATAATAAAGAATAATTGAGACGGAGACAAACCTTTTAAAAAAAAATAAAAAAAGCGTAGATAATAAAGATATTTAAATAAATATTTATGAATAAAAAGCTTAAAAATAATAAAAATAAATGAAAAAAAAATAAGGATAAATGAGGAATAAAAAGATAGATAAAATTCGGTGTATTTAAAACAAAATAGGAATTTAATAGATGCAATTCAGTGAATAATGGAAGTTTTTGAATGAAAAACCAAAAAAGAAACCATATATTATTAGTTTTAGGAAGTATACTAATGCATATATGACGCATATATGACGCATACATAACGCATACACATGGTAAAACATATGGTAAAACACATGATACAATACAAATTGAGACATACAAGATAAATAATGACTATTCATTATAATATTATTTATCATTAAGGGTAGTTATAAAATCAAAAATCTTTAAAAAATTCAACGCAAAATAATCAAGAATTAAACGCATTGAAATAAATACAATTTAAAACAAAACGGTTTAAATTGAGGCAAAAATAGCCTCAAAATCATCATCAGGATTTTCACCTTATCAATCATTAAATATAATTCAACTTTTAAAAAATTCTTAAATTTTGACTTATAAATGAGTTTATCTATTTTAAAGACTTATCAAAGTGTATAAAATAAGGTTTTTGACGATTAAAAGTTAGAATATTCGAAGTGAATTTTTTCGAATCAATAATCATATGTTTTCAGATGTCTGTGAATATTGGGTTTACCTTGTTACGGAGGATTTACTTTGCCTTGAAGACCAGTTGGTTCATTTGAAAGAGGTGCAAGAAATTGTAAACACCCAGTTTATGTCATGGACCAAAGAATATATATGGCATTATGAGCCTTTTCGATTAGAAATTCAAGATATACCAGGTTTGAAATAGAGTTTAAAGATGATATGTAAGAAACTAATGAATAAATATAAATAGGACCAGTTCATTTGTATGGAAAGACAAATTTCCGTGAAGGAAACCAAGATGAATGGACAATAGTGTTCATATTAAGGGAAATAACAAGAAATATTAAAGATATTTATGTCAGGCATGTAATGGAGAAGTTTTTAGGAGAAATGGTTAAATGAAAAAAATAGAATTATAGATTCAGACGGGGAATTTTTATTAATAGAGAGTTCAAGGAAACTTCCTCGGTGGATTAATGAAAAAAATTCAGCATATCGTGTAGGATTTAATTAAGGTTTATGAAAAAAGGTTAACTCAGCAAAGGTATGGATGAATCAAGGACGATTATTAATAATTCCACCGGAAAATGATAAAAAAAAGAAAGAAATTAAAGGATTAACATTGTCAGAAGGACTATTCTTTTTACGAAATAAAGCGAAACAATTGATACATGATGAGAAGATAGAGAAAGAAGCATTTCGTAGGATCAAAGGGTTTGTATAGAAAAAATGGAAAAATAAGATTTAATTAAAATGGTTAAGATATCCAGAAAAGATGAAGGAAAATCTTCATCGAACACAAGTGATAGTACCTCGAAAAATAGCACATATTCTTCATACAGAGCCGAATTTGATATCAGCAGCAATACATGAATTTTGCCAAAGAGATCCAATATCTTTTAAGGTTTATAAATTATAATCTATAAAGGTAGAAAATATGCTTATTTCTCATAAAGGTATGTGAAAAAATGAAATATTTTTATCCAGAAGATATGGTATCTGTTGTTATTAAAATGACGAAAACACTATACGCACAATTAAAAGGACAATTATTTGAAAAGCATCCTTTATTTAATCTTTCAGGATCAGATTATGATCAAAATGTGATGGGTATGAAAATCACATATGGATTTGAAATGTTAACTACAAAAATACCTAAAAATCGTCCCGAGGTATGTTGTATATAATTGGAGTATTAAGGTTCACCAAATACAAGTATTCTTTAAAATCAGATCCAGAATGGAAGATGTTTATAAAAAAGTTAAACATAGCTGGTTATTTCGAAAATGAAAAAGAAGGTTCAGAAAAATACAAATCTTTAGAAAAACATGCAGAAGAATGCTTTTTAAAATCATGTCCATCTAACCTTCCTATTACAAATAACCCAGGATTACGAATATTTAATATTTTAGAACATCCTCTTCCAACAGACGAAGAAATTGCAGAATGGCCTAATTCATATGATAGTGACAGCTTTTTAAATGTAAGCCCAGAAGAATTGGATGAACTAATGCGTTCAAAAACCGAAATTTCATCAGATGAAGATAATATTGGAGAAACGCCAAAACATAAACATGTTTCAGATAAACCAGTCGAATCAGTCATAGAGAAATTCGAAGATTTCATAAATAATGAAAATGCAGGGCTTTATGGCGCAGAGTTGGAATGGTAAGCATATTTTTTAATCATATAAATATAGCTTTTTTAATAATAATAAAAGCGATTCCTTTACTGATGATACAACTACTGATAGTAATATAAGTTTTGATGCAGATGAATTCATAAAAATCATGAAAGAAACATTAGGTAAAAGCAAAATAAATGATGCTTTCATATTTTATTTTTAAAATGTACTAACTTGTTTAGATTTTGCAGATGAACCAATGACAGAAGTCAAAGATGATAAAATACAGAGTGAATCGTTACAAGATGAAGAAGAAGAAGAAGAAGAAGATAAACTTGAACTTAAAGATTTTATGGATGCTATGGATACAGAACTTTTATCTACAACTTTAAAAGATTCATTTTCAAATCTACCAAACGATACGGTTGATTCTATCAACGAGCAAGATAAAATCGATGCAAACATGCATTATAATCTACTCAAAAATCTTTATGAAAGCGTTAATAGTCAACAAGATGCAACAGGTCCAGCAAATACAATGTTAAAAAGTATGCATCTTTCGCTACCATCAACACATTTACCAACATAATTAATTTTTCACTTTTTTATAACAAAAAAACTATCATAATCATTCTTTTTTCAGGAAAAACTACATCTTAATTCTTATTTGGTATAACAATATTTATTTTTCAACTAAAGTGAAGCCATCCTCTTTTTACGGTGCTAAGCATAAAGAACTCACATAACCCTAAATTAGATCTTGCATAAAACTTATAAAATACAGTTAAGTCTATTCGATATACATCATATATCTTTAGAAAAACATACATAGTTTGATACTTGTATTTTTTTCTTAATCTAACTTATTCATATCTTTTATATTATCAACTACAAAAACACTTCAGGCAAAACTAATATACATAAATCATCATCTATTAAGGCTGATTCAAATAAAGATAAAACGTTTATCTGATTATTGACTAGCTGTTTCTTTTATTCATCTACTTTTTTCCGGGTTAACTGCCTATTACAAAATTGAGATCGATCTTCAAATATTTTTATTTTTTTTCGATTTTATTGCTTAGTTTAATCCAAAATACTAGAAGAACATATGTTACCAGTAGTGGACACGGTTGAGCAAACACATATGCCAGGGAATGTAGTATCTCCTAAAGTTTTGATGGATTTAATACCAAAATTAAAAATTTCTATGCAAGAAACGGATAAAAATGAAGTAATAAAAAATTCAGAGCAACATTCATCTGTTTCATGGGATCCAGATACTTGTGAAAACTTATATATTACGCTGGAAGAGCAAATTGAATCAAAAGATACATTAGCTCGAGAACAAGCCTTAAAAGCACTATTATTAACATTAGATGCAACAAATAAAAGAGTTGAGCCGTATCTGGTTCGTTTATTACCGAGGGTTCTGAAGCAAGTTGGTTTGGAGAAGGTGGCAGCCGTCCGAACACAAGCATCTACGGTTGCTGAAGATATTATTAAAACAATGAATCCATATGCAGTTAAAACAATACTTTCCCATGTCACAAATTCGATTAAAACATCGGGAAAATGGATGGAAAAGATGTGCGCATTCCGATTACTGGATATGCTGGTTGAAAAGGCGCCGTGCCAGATGTCATATAGACTTCCGGAATTAATTCCAATTTTATCAGAATCTATGTGGGATACAAGAACAGATATTAAGAATCAAGCACGTAAAACGATGACGAGTGTTTGTACATTAATATCTAATCCGGATATTGATAAGTTTATTCCGGTTCTTATTGATTGTATTGCCCAACCGGAAAAAGTTCCGGAAACCATTCATACGCTTGGTGCAACGACATTTGTTCAAGAAGTACATGCGTCAACGTTGTCCATTATGGTTCCTTTGCTTTACCGGGGTTTAAATGAGCGTGAGACAACGATTAAACGAAAATCCGCTGTAATTATTGACAATATGTGTAAACTCGTTGAAGATCCTTATATTATTGCACCATTTTTACCGAAGCTGATACCAACGCTTGAACATATTAAAGAAACGATTGGAGACCCCGAATGTAGGTCAGTAGTTAACCGCTCTTTAGCTACATTGATTCGTGTTGGAAATGTTAAAGAAGGAAAAATACCCGAGGTTTTGAATATCGCTAAGCCAGAAAATTGTATGGAAACACTTCTTTCAATTCTTAAAGGGCAGGAACTAGTACCGGTATCGGATGTTTATTTAAATTATATTTCATGTATAGCATCTCAGCTTATTGATGAGAAGAACAATGAAGTTGTTGATTGGGATGTTAACATTTCTCCATATCTGCAACCTATTATACTCAAGGCAGATATTAATTGTATCATTGATCAATTTAGGAAACGATCTATTTCGGGTTTCCATAGTTCTTCCGCTGAATCAGAAGAGGAAGAAGGAGAAGATTTATGTAATTGCGAATTTTCTCTTGCATATGGTGCAAAAATTCTTTTAAACAGGACATCCCTGAATCTCAAGCGTGGTTATAGATATGGTCTTTGTGGGCCTAATGGTTCCGGAAAGTCAACTCTTCTTCGCTCTATTTTTAACGGTCAACTTGAGGGTTTTCCTACAGAATTAAAGACAGCATATGTCGAACATGATATCGATGATACGGAATCAAAAACATCTGTTTTTGATTTTATAGCAAATGATCCATCAGTCGTTGTTAAGAATAAACAGGAAGTAATAAGTTCGCTTTTGGAACATTCTTTTACGGAGGATATGCTTTCAATCCCTATTTCCAATCTTTCTGGTGGATGGAAGATGAAATTAGCTCTTGTTCGTGCTATGCTTCGACAGGTCGACATTTTATTGTTAGATGAACCCACGAATCATTTGGACGTAAAGAATGTTGCCTGGCTCGAGAATTTCCTAACTTCACAAACTCATATTACTAGCATTATTGTTTCACACGATTCTAAGTTCTTGGATAACGTCGTTCAAGCTATCATTCATTACGAACATTTTAAACTTAAAAAATATATGGGTAATATGAGTAAATTTATTACATTAGTTCCATCTGCTCGGTCTTATCAAGACATTTCTATGTCTGAAATTGAGTTTTCATTTCCAGAACCAGGTTACTTGGAGGGAGTTAAGACTAAGCAGCGTGCTATTTGTCGTATGCGAGACATAGAATTTCAATACGAAGGAACTAGCGAGCCTCAAATTAAAAATGTTTCGCTCCAGGTTTCTTTATCATCACGTATTGCTGTTATAGGTCCCAATGGTGCAGGAAAATCTACCTTAATTAAAGTTCTTTGTGGTGAACTTATCCCACAAAAAGGTGAAGTTTGGTGCCATCCTAATCTTCGAATTGCATATGTTGCTCAAGCTGCATTTGTACACCTGGGTTCTCATGAAAATAAAACGCCATCTGAATATATTCAATGGAGATACCGAACTGGCGAAGATTCCGAAACCATAGATAGAGCCTCTCGACAATTAACAGAAAATGATGAACACCTTATGAACAAGATCTTTAAAATCAATGGAACCAGTAGAAAAATTCAAGGAATACATTCTCGAAGGAAGCTTAAAAACTCGTATGAATACGAATGTTCATTTCTTGTTGGAGAAAATGTTGGAGAAAAAAATGAACGATGGGTACCATTACCTAGTATGAATAATGAATGGTTACCACGAGGAGAATTGATTGAATCTCATTCCAAAATGGTCGCAGAGGTTGACATGAAAGAAGCTCTAAAATCAGGATCTTTTCGTCCTTTAGTTCGTAAAGAAATTGAGAAACATTGCGAAAGTTTTGGACTTGATGCAGAAATTGTTACACATTCGAGAATTAAAGGCTTATCAGGTGGTCAGAAAGTTAAACTTGTCCTTGCAGCTGGTTCATGGTTAAAACCTCATGTTATTGTTTTAGACGAGCCTACGAATTATCTTGATCGTGATTCTTTAGGCGCTCTTTCTAAAGCTCTTAAAAGTTTCGAAGGAGGTGTTGTTATCATTACACATTCAGTCGAGTTTACAAAGAATCTTACTGAAGAAGTTTGGAGTGTGCAAAATGGACAAATGACACCATCTGGGCATAACTGGGTTCAAGGTCAAGGAACAGGACCTAGGCTTCAAGAACAAGAGGAGGAGGATACGTTTGATGCATTGGGTAATAAAATTGAGGCAAAAAAGAAGGCCAAAAAATTAACCAGTTCCGAATTAAGAAAGAAGAAAAAGGAACGTATGGCTAGACGTAAAAAAGGTGAAGAAGTCTTTTCCGATGAAGATGATTAGAAGAAAAGTTCGATTCACTCCTAATTTAGCTCAATAAAATGCCCAACATCTATTTTCTATTCTTCTAACTTTCATATATTTTTTCTTTTTACTCTTCGAATCTTTAATAGTAATTGTAATACTCGAGGTTTTAGAATTGTACTACTTTCAACAAAAAATTCTCAAAAATCAATTTAACTTAGATCAGAATCAAATGCTATATAATTCAACATTACTTAATAAAAAAAAAAACTATAAAAATGCCTTTAATAGATTTAATTAGATAAATACATTAACTAGTTATTTCCATGTTTTTCTTAGTTTCCATTCTTAAAATAGCTCTAATAATTTGTAATTGTATCGGCTTTAACATTTTAAGTTTCCCTTCTGACGAAATAATAAATCCTGCACATCCAATTCGACATAGTTCAAGTTGATTAAAATCAATCGTTGTTTGTTCAAATAAATATTTCTTTAACCCTTCAAAAAATCCAAGTTCTCTATTTAATATTTTATAAAAAAATACCATTTAAAATATAATAATAAACCTTTCTCTCCATATTAACATATCTTGCCCTTTAACTCCCACTATGATTCGACGTAGCCCTTTAATTGATTTGGTCAAAAACATCAATTCCATTGATTGATATGCATCTTCTGTACCCGGTTCAACTGATTTAACATACATTTCTAATAAATCAATTAATGTCATCGATTTTAATTGAAATGGCATTCCCCATGAATCAAATCGACTTGTTAAGTAATTTAATACTATTTGTAACAATTCTCCGGGAATACGTGATATAAGCAATGGGTATTCCCTCCATCCTTCTTTTTTCTCTCCTAATGATACCAATAAACATGTATATATTATAGACTTTTCTGGCGTCTGATCTCCTGCAAATAAAAAATGCATCCAAATACATGATCCAAGGCCTTCATAAGGCGCTACTAATTTCCATAAACACTTCTCAATAACCGTAAAACCCGGTAATCTTGTTCTACGAATAATATCTAATAAATCTCTTGAATAGATTATTAAAGAGTCCTCTGAAAATTGAAAAAAAGGTGTTAATCTTGTTAATGTCATTGAATGATTAAACCAATTGAACGAATTTTCTAAAGATTCACCAAAAGTTTCATCAAAATCATGATTCATCTTAAGATGTTTTTAATAGCTTTTTAATAACTTTTTAAGCTTTCTTAAGAATTTTTAACTTTTCTTAATTTTTTCTTAACTTTTTCTTAATATTTCTTAACATCTTTCTTAACGACTTTAATTTTTTTATTAACTTTTATTAACTTTTCTTAAGGTTTGTTAAGAATTTCTTAACTTTTATTAACAACTTTTTAAGATTTCCTAATTTTTCTTAACATTTTCTTAACTTTTCTTAACAACTTCTTAACATTTTATTAACAACTTCTTAATATTTATTAAAAAAAGTTAAACAAAATTATGAGCTATCCAGGCGCAAGATACCACAAATACCACCCGAATACACCAAGTTGCAAGAATAACTATGTATATTCACAATTTACACCTAATATGTATCATTTTTTTAAGGAAAATATATACATTTTTTAATAATATTTTTATAGGGCACCAAATGCCCAAGGACCTTATGGATATTATAATACGGGACCTAACGTACCACCGCCTTATCAATATGAGGCGCCAGTAGCAGGATATCAGGCGAATACGGGAGGACAAACGGGTTATCCATATAATTTTGAATATTCGAACTGTTCAGGGAGAAAAAAAGGATTATTTATTGGTATTAACTATATAAATACATCTAGACAGCTTTCAGGATGTGTTAATGGTGATTACAAATAGTTTTTGAGGGTTTAGAGGTTACTTAAGAAGATTATAGATGTAAATAATATTTCACAATTTGTTCGAGGTAATATGATTAAGAAAATACAAGAAGATAAGTGCAGAACAGGGAAAGAACGGTATGGATATAATGTTGATGATATGGGTATTTTATTATTTTTTTTATAATAGTTAATAACAGGGTTAGTTTTCCTTACAGATAATCAAACAAATCCTCGCTCTATTCCAACTAAAAGAAATATTATTGATGCGATGAAATGGCTTGTTAAGGATGCTAGACCGAATGTATGTTGATAAATTTATATATTTTTCTTACATATATATATAGGACAGTCTTTTTTTTCATTATAGTGGTCATGTATATTTTTATTATTAAATGAATGAGGGGATTTATTTTGTTTAGGGGGGTCAAATAGATGATCTTGATGGAGATGAGGAAGATGGAAGCGATGAAGTAATATATCCATCTGATTTTGACCGGGCAGGTTATATTACGGACGATGAAATGCATAATATTCTTGTTAGACCTTTACCACCTGGCTGTCGTCTTACAGCTATATTTGACTGTAAAAATATTTTTTTGATTAATGTATATTAAAAATATTTAGGTTGTCATTCTGGATCTATTTTAGATTTACCATTTACTTATGTAAAATAAAAATAAAAATAGGAATATAGATTAATATTTTTTAGTCAACAGAAGGAAAACTTAAGGAGCAAAATCTTCTATCAGATTCAGCAAATAAAATATTAAGAGAAGGGCCATCAACAAAAAATATGATGGGAATGACTTCTTCTATTTTTAAAGTATTTAAAAGAGCTGCAGGCTCTGACAACAGTATGCAAGCAAAATATGCAAAAGCATCGCCTGCAGATGTAATTATGTTTTCAGGGTATTTTAAATATTTTTTAGTAGATCGACTAATTCTATAATAGCTGTAAAGATTCACAAACTTCAGTCGATACATGTATAAGAAACCAAGCTACTGGTGCAATGAGTTGGGCTTTTAGGAACGCACTTCTAAAGATGCCATATCAATCATATTTACAACTATTGAATTCTATCAGATTTGAATTGTCTCAAAAATATGATCAAAAACCCCAACTGAGGTAAATATAATTTTTAAAAAATTATATTTAATATATTATAGCTGTTCTCACCCAATTGATTTGAATCGTATGTTTATTTTGTAATAACCTGCTTTGTATATAACTTAAATAAATTTATACTCTTAAACTAGATCCATTATATTTCAGCGCACTTAATGTTATAAATTTATGAAAAAGATAAACATCTATTAAATTGTTTAATATAAATACAGCCTTTTTTTAAATCAAACTAGCTAAATTTTTAATTTACTGATACGAAATTGCTATTAAACCAAAGAAATGAACTATGTAAAACAAAACTCTATATAACCATATGCAGATTCTTTTGAGAAAATTAACCATGTATTATGTGAATCAGAATTAGTCATAAAAATTTGAATATTTTTTTGAATAATTGTTAGTATATAAACAATTTATAGGTTCCATTGGAATTTCCTGGCCTAGTGGTTCTACCGGTAGCGCCTCTTGGATCATTAGAAGGCTGAATAAGTCCCAAGTTTTTAAGAAAAGCAATATTATTAAGAGATTTTGGAAATTTAGAATGCCCTAGAGCTGGAACAAGAATAATCATAAGAAAAAGTAAAAAAAGACCAAAGAACAAAGTCGCATATCGACGAACAATCCTTTTTCGAAGCTTATTTTGTTTCAATGAAAATATAGGTGGTCGAATTTGTCGAGAAGGTCGAAGCCAAAATAGAAGCATAGAATGCCAGCGATCAATATAAGGTATAGCCAATATAGGTGTTAGAATAAATAACAATAAATGTCCAAGGCAAAAATCAGCAGAAAAAAGAGATAACTCAATAACTTTGCAAACAAATTCTCGGGCAGGTTGAGACATAGCATAAACACCTAAATTATTACTATACCATCGTCCCGTCCTAAAATTGTAAAATTCAAGATTTCTTTATATAATGAAAAATGTATGCTTACCACCATGCCAAATTGGACCCATCATGCTTAAATTCACGAGTAAGAATCATTATTGTTAATATCTTTAAGAAAGCTCGTTGAAGAGATATCATAGTAACTAATCCTAAAATAGTTTTAGAGAAAGACCATCCTTCTAAAAACCATAAAACTTCAAAAAATGTCACCAAGATTATTACAGCTATTGCGTGAGAAATAGTCGCTAAAACAGCTCCAAATTTCTTGCAACAAATAGTTAAAATTGGACCCATACAGCACGCCATACCGAAAAACACAAAGGCAACCATTGCATTAACACAGATCGGCGCAAATGACACAATTGCAATACGGATCAAAGGATTTGATCCATTTTTAGCGGGATTTGATTTACCGAATGGCTCAAATCCAGGCCGTGAATTTATAAAACAATATGGAACAAGTGATAAAAGTACCAAGATCATTGGCCCAATAACTTCGCTAAAAAAAACATTACTAAATCCGGCTCTAGGAATATCTCCTGAAAGCTTTTCTGATGGTTGCCCGAGTGCTTTTCGTTTAAACCCGGTTATCCTAGTTCTAGATAAACGACAATAACCAATCCAAGAATTTGCGTGTGATCTAGAATTACCACGAGATAACCAACGAATGAATTCCCTATAATCCACGAAAAAATCTGTCCATGAAAATTGATGTGGATTAAAGATAAATGGAGATATACAAAGGGCCAATACTGAAACCCAAAAGTACACTAAATGAGGTATCCACATTGTAACCGTCGCAAATAAAAGCATAATAAGGGTACGAGAACCCAAGTATATAGATGCGCCAGCAAATCTTGAAAAAAGAATTGAAAATGGAATTCTAGTAGTGGCAAATCCACGACCAGTTCCAATATATCGAGCACCACCGAATGCAAGATTTTGAAGCAAAGAATTGGCATAGATTTGAGAAACAAACACTTCGAATAAAGGAGATAAAGAACCAAAATGTTTGGCAAGCCGTGTAGAAGCCCTCCATACTCCCCTTTCAGTCAATTCTTGAACAACCAAGGGTATAAATGCAATAAAGAAAACGATAAATATAGAAATAATACTACGCTTTATCCAATCAAGTACAGGAGCAATAGAATAACATCCCACCGGAAGATATGGATCTGTTATAGGTTGTCCTCGACGAGGCCTACATATAAGCAAAATATTATACATTGATCCCAAATTTATCATAACAATCATGAGTAATTGTACCGAAAGAATAATAAAAAGATTATTGATATGAAATCCAGGATGCGCATAATAAAACGATAAAAACCTATCCAGTGGAAGTTGCGTGCCAAGATAATAATATTCTCTAGAAAGCATTTGTTCACCCATTCCTGTACCAACCTTTGTAGTGAAATTTAGAATAGAACCGAATCCAAGATCACGACCTTTTCCACACTGATAATATTCACAATGCTTAATACGACCGCCTCTAAGTAATGCAGTCATGCCGGCATATATATCTTCATTGAGGTGTAAACCCTTTTGAGCCTTTGAAACACCTCCTCTAGTAGTCATAAAAGGACCATTCAAGAAATCAGGATGACCATAATGAAGCTTTCCGCCGATCTGTGCTAAAGTACGTGCAAACAATGTTCCAAAAGTTTGTTCTTTCCCTGCAGCTACGTCACCCAAAACACCTATATTTTCTGAAAAAATGTATTCTCGAGCGCCTAAAATAGCCACTGGATTAGTAGCACTCGAAATTTCATTTGGATTATACGGTGACTCCTCTGTAGGAGTCATTTCTTCAAATTCGGCTAAAACCGAACGAATCTTTAAACATTCTTCCAGATAATTGTCTTGATTAGCGTCAATGAGTTGAATGTATTCCCCACGATAAAATATAATCGCATGATTCTGATTATCACTTTTACCATCGCCAAGAATAGGATTACCAGATAATTGAATTCTAAACTTTGGTCGTCGTTTACCATTTTCCATAATTTCCGAATAACCATCGATCAAGGAAGAGTATATTTTCGGTTCATCTCCTTCGTTCATCGGAGGCTCTTCATCCAAATATGCAATTTGAAGATCTGGATAAGCACGAAGAAGAAATTCCGTATTCTCCAATTCTTCTTTACTAAATTTGAAGAACCGTTGCATTGATATGACAAATTTGAATTTCCTACGTGCCATCCTTTCTAATTCATGTTCCAATTTATCAGTATTTCCACCGAACATTTGAACAACATCAGGATTTTCAACACGATAAAGAAGCTTAATAGCACGTGAATAATTCATAAATCCAGAAACAGTTCTGTATAAAGTTTGAGAACGTAATGATGCCCAAATACGTGTCCTTAATGTATACTCTGGCGCAGAAGATTTAAATCCAACACAATAAAAGGGTAAATCATCGATCTTGCTTTTCACCGTATCCTTTTCATCTTTATCAAAAGGAACTCCTCCATTATAAAGTGAAGTCTCTTCGGCTAATATCTTGGTATCCTTAACAAAACAATCCCATTCTACAGGATGCAATTGTTTAAGATATTCCAGCAATGTCACTCTTGATAATTGATCATCCTCACGAATAATCTCCCTTAAAGAGTATAAAATCTTTTCTCCATAATGAGGAACAAGAACGGTAAACGTAGGCATATTATCGACAGGAAGGGGTTCAGGAATCGGAGTAGAAAGAGATTGAGCGAAAAACGAAATACGACGTTCTGCTTCACTATGTGAAGGAAAAAACTCCGTTTTAAAAGAATGATCCTCTTGTGATATGAAAAATGTTGGCGCCCTTAACGTTCTTTTTCCCTCTTGTTCAGAAGGAACCTACGAATCATTAGGAATAAAGGAAAGAAAAAAAAAACCCTCTCCCCCCCTCCCCCTCCAATGATAATACTAAGATCATACATACCTGATGATATAATAACTTTTGAACATGATCAATTGCAAGAAGATGTTCACGATACATCGATATAACAACGGCATTCCAAACTTGTGAAATAAGAACTTTAGGTTTATATTTTATTTCCATATCATTTGTAGCCAGAATCTTAGAATAAATCCTTTTCGGCATTCTTGAGAATATATTCCGCCAAGGTGTCCATATAGAAACTCCCAAATAAAATGACCTAGCGACTGAACAAATAGTATTCCAAATGATATACCATAAATACGTGTCTAAAAAGAATAATACCAGATCAGTGATATACATTATTCCAAGAGTGATCTTGGCTTGATATGGACAAAGCGAAGAACCAAGATACCGAATACCACAATGACCTATAGTCATTGTGTTAAGATACCTAATAGGATCTCTCAAAGAAAGAGACAAGAAGAAATAGGATTCTGCAAATTTGCAAGCAAACACGGCTATCCAAAGACCATAGCTAAGCCATAAGTCGTTACCTTTCAATTTAGCAAAATTAGCGGTAAAAGTTTGACTTGCAACATAACGTCGTGTTTTTTTATATAAATAATTCCCAAACAAACCCCCTAAAGGCATGATTGCAAAAAATAAAAATGTAAAGATTGCAATCAAAAAGTGCATAATACTTATGAGTGTTGTGACAATGCTAACATTCGGTTTCCATGGAGCAAATTTTATTACATATACACCAGGTGCAACATTGATAATGAAAAATAGGATAAGGAATAATAAACGCCTAGTTAAATGCTGAGCGCCAGGCCATTTTCGAGGAACATATGCCCATTCGGCCAATGTGGCAACAATCATTAATAATGAAGCAACACCCCCGCCAAAACCAACGGCACTCATACGATAGGCAAAAGGTGGTTGATTATCGAGCGATTGCTGATAATTATGAGTATAAACGGTTGGTGAATTTGCTGCAGTGTAAAACCAATATACGGTTATATGAATAATCCAGATTCGATTAAAATTAGTGAATAAATGAAACCAGCTCCGAGTTTCGCGATAAGTTTTAAAAAATGCTTTCTTCCATACTACATCTTTAAACCTGGGATACCTCTGATCCAAGGGTAAATCAACCATACGAGTTTTATCAGAAAGGACGATACGTTGAATGCCCTCTGGATACCAAAACAATTGGTTAATATCATCATAACCAATGATTTTATTATGATCACGCTCACGACGAACATATCTGCCATTAATGATTTCATAGCCTTGATCACGCATATATGCATAAAGGGGTGTAATAACATCGTTAAGATAGGATCCTTCGGGTGCCGGCTCGACCATTGCTTGACATTGTGGAGAATTCAGATAATCATTAGCACATTTGAAAATGAAACAAAGGCATTCAGGTGTAAAACGAACTTGATTCGCCTCACCCCAACAAAGCAAATAAAGGGCTAATTCTCTAGCCCTATCATATTGACTCATTTGAGTGCATCTAGTCTTCCATCGATATATCGCAGATTCCAAGGAATTATCCCCATCCAATGCTTGTAGAATACTTTTTGATGCTGAATTTTTTTGAAATTTTTTCGAAGACTTTTGTGAATAATTCGATTTTCTATTCTTATCAAGATCCATATTAGAAAATCCTACTGCATCATCTAAATCAAATTGTGCCGCGAAATACCAATTCCTGTAATTCGCATTATCCCCACCAATATAATCCGCATGAAGAGATAACAATGCTTGATTCGGCGTCATTCGACTGGCACGTGAATCCAAAAGTACCATCATATGATCATACATGTTTCGCATGGAATCCCTTTGAAACCCAAATTTATTCGTAAGATCGATAAATATATCCTCTATTTCTTCTTTAGAAATGGGTATTTGATTTTCCGCTGTCCATGCTGGGTAAGGCTCACGAGATCTCGCTGACGTCATCATAGCCGCTTGATTATAGTACATACCGTAAATTGGCGTACTTGCTCCCGATGATCGATTTCCCGTATACGATATTTGAGAATCCGGACGATATCCACGTTGTCGTGATGCCATTTGATTCAACGATTCCGTACTAGGCTCATACGACCGATATCGCTCGTCAAATCGTCCATACGAATCATATTCCGCCGCTCGAACCATGTCCGATCGCATCGTAAAATCCGAAAACGTCTCCGATGCCTCGGATGACCCTCTACGCTTTCCTTTACGATCATACATATAATATTCATCTTGTCCTTGGAAATACGGCATAGAACGTTGATCAACCATAGGCACCCCATACGCATCTATCATAAAAAACATAAATTGGCTCCATTACCCCTCAAAATATCTTTTTTTATACCATACGTATCTCCAACATATCCATCTTGAGGATAATCATAATACCCCTCCTCCTGACGATAATATCCTTCCTCCCCACTATTATACATCTCATGCCCTTGTCCATTATACATAGCACCCCCTCCATCATACTCATCATAATATTCTTGTCCATATTCCGGTCCATAATACCCCCCCTGTTGCTCATACACTCCCGATCCATAAGAACCATTATTAAACCCCGTATTATCATAACTATGCTCCCCATAATACCCTCCATTCTGCCCTCCATACGAATCATCGTAATAATGCTGTTGTTGTGACATCTTATAACAGCTCCTTATTCTTGTTTTTCATCCAACAAAACGGAAAAAAAGGGACGCTTCTAAATGATCCAATTCCTCTGCATCAACCGTATCTGCGTTGCCCTTCAATTAATAGTTTCTCCACTTAATCTCCCTTATTAAATGCCTTTTTCCTGCATCTTTTTTGTTTTGGTTGGGTAGAAATTCGCGATCGTCGTTATTTCATTCGCGTTGCCATGGATACACCATCTGGTTGTCATGACAACAGTCACGTGATATATATATAATAAATCATTGCTTTTTTTTATTAAATAATAATCATTTTTATATTTTACGCGTCAATTTAATAAAAAAACGCGTATTTTGACTTTATTTATCTATTTTTATCTATTTTTATGTATTTTATCTATTTTTTTAAATAATCTTTTAATTACGTGTCACCCTTCTATCTGACATTTTTTCCTGAATTTATATAAATCATTCAATTATTCCTTTTTTTTTAATATTTACTAACCTTTTTGTATCAGCTATTATTATATGACAATAAAGACGCGTTCGAAGCACGCTTGAAAATCGATTCGTATTGCTGCTCTGCTCTATAATAAGGATAAGATTATAATCTGAATTGAGGAATTTATCTACATATGTATTTGGGATATCCGATATTTTATATTGTTATATTTTGGTATACGATTAGATATACCTACGCAGGAGGGCAAACGGTATATGCATATGGTAATAAGCTGTTTTATTCGAATGGGACGCAATTTTTGATAAAAGGTGTTGCATATCAATCACCGTTGGGACTGGGAGAACCGGGACATTATAGGGATCCATTGGCAGATAGGGAAGCATGTAATCGGGATTTGCGGTATTTTTTAGATCTTGGGATAAATACGATTAGGGTGTATACGGTGGATCCGGAGAATAATCATGATTATTGCATGGAAGTTTTTGGAAGGAATGGGATCTATGTTCTTTTGGATCTTTCAGAGCCAAGAAATTCTATAATTAGCACGGAACCGTCATGGAATGTGAGACTTTTTTGGAGGTATAGTCAAGTAATTGATGCGATGCATCGATATTCGAATTTACTGGGTTTTTTTGCGGGAAATGAGGTTATTCTTGATACGGAGAATACGCATTCAGCAGCATATGTTAAAGCAGCGATACGAGATGTGAAATCTTATATAAAAAAGAAAAAATACAGGAGAATTCCAGTAGGATACGCGGCAAATGATCATGAACATACGCGTATTCCGTCAGCGAATTATTTTGCATGTGGGGATCCAGATTCGGCAGCGGATTTTTTTGGAATTAATATGTAATCTATATTTATCTATATATATGTATAAAAGAGATATACTTATTATATATTAGTTATGAATGGTGTGAACCTACTACATATGAAACGTCTGGATATAGGGATAGAGTCAATGATTTTAAGCATTATAATATTCCAATATTTTTTTCTGAATATGGTTGCAATATTGTAAATGGAAGAATAGGCACTCGTACTTTTAAACAAGTTGAGCATATTTATTCCGAAAAGATGACGCAAGTGTTTTCCGGGGGAATTGTTTATGAATGGTTTCAAAATGTAAATAACTATGGATTAGTTAATTTGATGTCGGATAATACCATTTCTCCACGTGAGGATTACAAACATCTTAAAGAACAAATTGGTAAAATAAAACCTAAAATTGTTCACCGTTCAGAATATAGAGCAACAAATGGCCCTCCAGAATGCCCGGCTATTAGTCAATATTGGTCAGCATCGACAAGACTTCCTCCTATACCTAATTCAGAGCTTTGTGCATGTGCATCTAGAGCATCTTCATGTATTGCAGTAAACGATATCACAGATACAGAAATTTCCAGCATTTTTTCATATGTTTGTGGCGAAATTAGTTGTAAAGGTGTATCAGGAGATGGTAGAACAGGAGTTTATGGTGCATACTCCGTTTGCGAGCCCATTGATCAACTCAATATTATTCTTCATTCATATTATATTAAACACAGACAAGAGAGTGCTTGTAACTTTAAAGGACTCGCATATGTAGTAGTTTCAGAAACTACTAAAACATGTTCTTCATTATTACGAATTGTAGGAATGGATGGTTCTGGTAGCATTACAGGCCCCCCTGTCGCAGATGGTTTTGATAAAGAAAGAGATCCAAGAAATCGCAAAGACAATTCAGGAAAAACTATATATGCAAACTGGAAATTAATATTTAAAATTATTGCATATTTTTTTGGAATCATTATTCTTACTGCATAACATTCGATACACTTATATCACTCAATATTTTGGATATTTTGCATTCGAATATTGGCAAATCATATTCAATTAATTAATCCTTGCATTTTAAAATATTTTTATATATTTTTATCCGACATTATATTTATACAATTATTAAACTGCACTAGATTTCATATTTTTTCAGTCTATAAATTCAATATGATTCCTTAGTTAGAACCAATATATTTGATTGATTTAATACATATTTATACTAAAATTATTTTTTTCTAAGACCGCTATTTAAGACTCTGATATTTAAATATAATAAATAGTATTTAATTAACTTATATTATTTAAGAATATAAAGAGTTAACAATGCACAGTAATACAACTAAATATATGTTTAAATAGTAAATTTGTTTTAGGAACTCAAGATTTATATCAAAAAGATTTAAATCAAGCAAATTATGATACAAGTTCATCAATATCAGAAATAAGAAAGCGACAATCAAGAAAAGATGAAGTATTTATCATTAGATGTCTATATAAAGAGAAGAACTTATGTTTTTCAAGGCAATTCGGCGTAAAATTGAGAATGAATTAAGTAAAAAAAAACCAACAGCAGCACGTTTACATCCAGGTAAACAGGAATCCAGAACAGTATTATCATTGAAACCATCACCTCCTCTTACGGTTCAAATTGGTATTACTGTTTCAGAGGCATCTCAATTGATGGCAGCTAAAAGAGAGGATTGTATTTTAGTAGTTGATGATGATCAACATTTAATTGGTATTTTTACTGCAAAAGATCTTGCATTCCGTGTAGTAGGAATGGATATGGATCCAAGGAGTCTTTTTATTGAAGATATAATGACGGAAAATCCTTTATGTGCACGAAATGATACATCAGCAACAGATGCACTTGATCTTATGGTACATAAGGGATTTAGACATTTGCCAGTATGTGATGAAAACGGGAATGTTTCAGGAATATTAGATATAACAAAGTGTTTTCATGAGGCTATGAAAAAGGTTTGTATATTTTTTTTATTTAAATGGGTTATATATATATGTATGTTGTATAAGGTTGAGCGTGCATATTCAAGTTCTCAGCAATTATATGATGCTTTAGAAGGGGTTCAGACAGAATGGAGTCAAATACAACAACCTGAACAAATTTTTCAGTATGTTGAAACATTAAAACAAAGAATGTCAGGACCGAATTTAGCGAGTGCATTAGATGGAACCACGCCTATAACAGTAAATATACGAACTAGTGTTAGAGATGCGGCCTTTCTTATGAGAGAAAATAATACGACAGCAGTCTTAGTTATGGATCAAATGAATATTTCTGGAATTTTTACATCTAAGGATATTGTTTTGCGTGTTATTGCACCAGGACTTGATCCTGCAAATTGTTCTGTAGTTCGAGTCATGACTCCTCATCCTGATTGTGCTCCAATGGATATGAGTATTCAAGAAGCTCTTAGGAAAATGGATGGTAAGTCGTTTAATATTTAAACAATTTTTCATTATAATTCAAAATATCAACATTAATCTGTTTCAATAGAAGGTCATTATCTCAATCTTCCCGTATTAGATCAAGAATCTCAAGTCATTGGGATGGTTGATGTTATGAAATTAACATATCTCATTTTAGAACAAGTTTGTTAATTTTAATTTAATTTTAAAAAACAATTGATAAATTTAGATAAAGAATATTAACTCATCTGATGGTGATGGTCCTATTTGGAATAAATTCTGGAATACTATAGGTGGTGATACCGATTCTGTTTTATCTGATAATCAGCTTTCTGCATCTCATCCTTATCAATCTTTTTCATGCACTCCTTTATCTGAAAATCAACAAAACTTACAGGTCCTTTCACCTGAAGTTTCTCCAACAAAATTAACACAAAAAAATAATTGGGCTTTTCCAATTGATACATCTCTTCTTTCAAACAAAAATACATTACCATCAAATCAAACTCCTTTATTAAATCAAACTCCATTCGTTTTTAAATTTACCTCTCTTTATGGCAAAACACATCGAATACAACTTATTCCTCAAGCCGGTTTTCTATCTCTTAAACAAATTGTCATTGAACGTTTAAAATTAGAGCTTGATAAATTGGGTCATTCTGATGATTTAGCTATTAATTTTATTGACGATGATGGTGATATAATAGCAATCACAACCGATGATGATGTACTTCATGCTGTCGAACTTGCTTATAAAAATGGTGAAGATAAAGTAAATCTTATTATTCAACATCCAAATTTCTCTACTAATCAAAATTCTACCGATTCATCACCTCTTCAAAATAATCATAATAATCAAAATAATCACAATTCTACTTCAAATCTCTCCACCGTTTTCTTCTTTTCTGGCTCAATTGCTCTCTGCATCGCTACTATCGCTATTATCTACAGATACGTACAAAAATGTTTCTATTCTACTTGATTTTTTATCTTATTAACTTCTTTATTAGAGATATTTATCTATATATTTCTTTTTCAAAAAAAATCTTTCTTACAAAAAAAAATCTTTTACTACAATAACTACAACATTAAGGAACTAAAAACGGTTTATATTAATCATTCTATTTTGTTTTTATATTTCACTTATATTCTAGTTATTTACTATTTTTTTTCGTAAATTTTTAAACTTATTATGTTATTAACTTTTTAGAAAAATATATGGGAAAATTAATAAAAAGATGCCTTTTATAGAGCAGGAAACAGCATTGGCTTTAACATCATTATTATCTTCTTTAAAACATACAGATAATGAAATTCGAATGAAAGCGGAAGCATCATTACATGAACAATGGATTGCACAAGAACCAGAAATTCTTTTAGTGGGACTAGCGGAACAAGTGAATATATCGGAAGATAGCTCAGTGAGTGATATATAAGAGGGGAGATTGGAAGGGTTATATTGATAGAAGAAATAGTTGCGTAGTTTTGCAGTTATTCTTCTTCGGAGAATATCATTTAAACCGATTTCATTTGTAAATGATACAAAAGAGACGATGTTATGGAATATGCTAAGTCAAGATGGGGCGAAAAAAGTTCAATCGTTATTACTAGAAAGTTTTACGAAAGAAAATGATGAAAATGTTCGACATAAAATAGCAGATACGATTTCAGAAGTGGCACATACGCTTTATGATGAGAATGGTATAATAATTTTAAAAAAAAAGGGTTAAAAATGATAATTTGAAGTTGAATGGCCGGAACTTTTGTATATACTATCACAATGTACGAAATCTATGAATTCAGGACAAAGAGAATCAACATTTCGTATATTTGCATCTATTCCAGAGATTTTAAAAAAAGAAGATATAAATGTGATAAAACAGGTTTTTGAATTGAGCTTACAAGATAACGATGTTAAAGTAGAAATTTGGTTTTTTTTTTGATAATTAAAGGTTTTAGGTTCGAATATCATCATTAAAAGCATTATCATCATTATTTACATCATTGGAATCGGATTCTCATGAACTTGTATCATTACTTCCATTGATGTTAGATGTTTTTCCACCTTTACTTCAATCTCATGATGGCGAATCCTTTACATCTGCTTTGACATACTTAATTGAATTAGCAGAAGTCTATCCAAAAATATTTAAACCGTATTTTCCAACAGTGGTTCAATTTTTTGTAGAATCCTTAAAAAATAAAAATCTTGGGAATTCAGCTAGGCAATCAAGCCTAGAATTTTTGGTAACATTTAGTGAAGGCGCTCCTGGAATGTGCCGTAAAGATGAAAACTATGCAAAAAGTGTAATATATGAGTGTTTATCATTTATGACGGAAGTAGGAACAGAAGAAGGAGACAAATTGGATGAATGGCTTGAAACAGATGATGTATAATATGTTTTTTTTTGTTTTATTTGTTATTAATGTTTGTTTAGTTGGATTTTGCGGAAAGTGAATTAAACCATATAGTTGGTGAACAAGCAATGGATAGACTAGCACGAAAATTGGGTATTTAAATATATTTTATTATTTTGTCGAATAAATTAATAAATATTTAGGCGGAAAAGTTATTCTTTCGATTGTCTTTCAATGGTTACCTTCTCTTATAAGTTCACAGGATTGGCATCAACGGCATGCTTCTTTAATGGCAATTTCTGCGATAGCAGAAGGTTGTGAAAAGATAATGAAAGCAGAACTTGGTCGAGTTTTAGATATGGTTTTACCATTGCTTAAAGATGCGCACCCTAGAGTACGCTGGGCAGCGTGTAATGCTATTGGACAAATGAGTACAGATTTTGCTAAAACAATGCAAAAGAAATTTCATAAACAAGTGTTAAGTGAACTTATTCCTGTTTTAGAGGCACCTGAACCAAGGTAAACAATAATATAAACGATTTTTTATATAATATTTTAGGGTACAAGCTCATGCTGCTGCTGCTCTTGTAAATTTCTGTGAAGAAGCCGATAATAAAATTTTAGAGCCATATTTAGATGATATCCTTAATAGACTTTTATATCTTCTTAAAAATCAAAAACGTTATGTTCAAGAACAAGCAATTACTACTATCGCTACTGTTGCAGATGCTGCAGAAAAGAAATTTATTAAAGTAACTATTTCATATTTAACAAAATATTTCTGAATTGTTTATAGTATTATGATTCAATTATTCCACTTTTGATCAATATACTCAATCAAGCTAAACAAAAAGAATATAAGCTATTAAGAGGAAAAGCTATAGAGTGTGTTACCTTGATTGGTATAACTAATAATTTTATTTCACTTATATTTTAATTAGAATATAGCTATAGCAGTTGGAAAAGAGAAATTCTCTTCAAATTCTGATGAAATTATTCAAACTTTAGGTTCAATTCAAAGTATATTGAACAAATTACATATTTTGCTTCTAATTCTATTAGATACAATTACTGAGCCCGATGATCTTCAAGGGAGTTATCTTATTGCAGCTTGGGGTAGGATATGTAAAGTTATGGGAAAAGATTTTATTCCTTATATGGGGGCTATTATGCCTCCTCTTCTTCATTCAGCTAAATTGAAGCCAGATTTTACTGTTTTGGACGGTAAAAGCCTTATCATATTTGATTATTGTTTTATATTAGCATAGATGATGATAATAATGAAAAATATTTACAGGAAGATGGATGGGAATTTATATCTCTACAGGGCCAACAAATTGGAATAAAAACTAGTGCGTTAGAAGAAAAGTGCATTGCAATAGAAATGTTATTATGTTATGCCATAGAGTTAAAGGCAGCATTCGAACCATATGTGGAAGAAATACTTAAAGATATAGTAATACCTGGTTTAAATTTTTATTTTCATGATGGCGTCCGTTCTGCGTCAATAAAAGCTGTTCCTCAGTTATTATCTTGTATAAAAGAAGCTCATGGTGAAAATAATTCCAAATTAATGTTGGTATGGGAAACATTATTAGATAAAATTATTAATTTGATTAAAACCGAATCTGCAATTGATGTTTTAACTGAATTATATCAGTGTTTATATGAATCTATTGATGTAGTTGGAAACAATTGCTTAAATTCGGAAAAAATGGACACATTTATAACATCATCAGAATCTCAGCTTCAAGATTATATTACAAGAGTTCAAAAAAGGTATCATGATCATCAAACTGATGAAGCCAATTTAGAAGATGAGGATGTTGCATCTGCTATAGCATTAGATGATGATCTTCTTAGTGAAATGAGTAAAACTTTTCATATAATATTCAAAAGACATAGATTGTCATTTCTTCCTCATTGGGAGCGTTTATTACCTTATCTTGATGAATTTGCAAATAATCAACACGATCCTAATGCTAGACAATGGGCAATCTGTGTAATGGATGACTTAATCGAGTTTACAGGTCCAGATGCATGGAAATATAAAGATCATTTTCTAAAACTTTTATCTAATGGTATAATTGATGATGGTATATCTAGATTATATTCTTTTAAATAATTAATTGTTCTTAGCACCAGGTGTAAGACAAGCAGCTGCATACGGTATAGGTGTTGCTGGTCAATATGGCGGAGAACCTTTTTCAATGATATGTTCTGCTTCTTTGCCTCATTTATTTCGTTGCTTTGAACGACCTGATTCTAGAAGTGAAGATCATATTTATGCCACAGAAAACATTTGTTGCGCTATAGCAAAAATTCTACGATTTAATTCCTCTAAAATATCTGAAATAGATAAAGCTATTGAGTTATGGGTTAAAACTCTTCCCGTTACGCATGATGAAGAAGATGCGCCATATGCATATGCATTCCTTGTGGAACTTATTGAAAGGTATGTTTTTTTTTATGATTAAAAATTTCAATTAATACTTATTAGAAATCATGTTGCAGTATTATCACAACCCGCGCTAGTTATAGATGCTATTGCGCAGGCATTAGAATCAGAAGTTTTACAGGGTCATATTCTTGATAGAATTCTAAATTCAAGTAAATTATTTTGTCGGAAATTATCACAAGAACAAATTAATATGATTATTTCTAATATGCCATTGGAAAGACAACAAGTAATGGCTTCTTATTTTTCCTGAAATATATTTATTTATCATTGATCTATATAATTGTTTTATATTAATAAGTTGTATTATTATATTGGATAAACATTATTTAAAAATATATCTAAACTATATTATCCAAAAACAAACTAACACCCTAATTGTTTACAAATAATGACCAATCATGAATTTGTAAAGTATTTGAAATATTCATAAGTGTTTCTCTTGTTGAAAATTGTGTTTCTTGCATATCAAATATATTTTTTAAAATATTTAAATGATTTGGATCTGGATTAGATATTAATTCTGATATTCCAAATGATAAATTCTTTAAAAAAGAACTTAAATACTGTATTTCTATGAATGGAATATTTATAGATATAACAATATCTGTAGATTTTTCATGTAAACGTAAAACAGATAAAAAAATCGCAACATATGGCACCAATAATGGATCTTTGGCTTCTTTATTTACATAATCTGACGATCGCTTATCATATTTATATATTTTTTGTAATCCTTCAAGAAGATATACTGTATATCCACTATTATGTATAAACAAAAAAAAATAATTTATACAAATATAAACCTTTTTTCTAATGTAATACATGATAAATTTATGATTAAACTCTCTTCTGATTCATTATCTTGTGCTAAACTATCAAAATGAAATTTTGATGCATCTATATCATCTACAGGTGCAATTTCTAAAAGTTCAATCATAATACTTCTTTCATCATTAATATTTACTAATACTTCTTGATGATCTGGTATTTCTCTGAACTGACTTAGTAAAATTAATACATTTTTTTAAAAAAATATAAATTCCAATTTTAACCTAGCATCTATGAAATCTTGAGGGAGTTCAGCAGTAATAGCTCCACCAAAAAAATATCTCAAACTTGTTAAAGGCATAATGTAATTTATTAAGAAAAAGAAGAAAAAAGACACTTTAATATAAAATATTTCTTGTATATTATAAAAAACTTAAATTTTAGATAATATTATATAGTTTTAAGTATCTTTTTAATATATAAAAAAATTGTTATATAAAATCCATTTAAAATAAGTGATTAAAGAATATTTAATAGACAATGAATGATTTTTGAAAGGTAGAAATAGATATTATTTTATATCATTAACATAACTATAAATGATGCATGAACCTCTAAGAGTTAGAAAACATAAATATTTTCGATAGAATATATAAAAAGTATAAACATTTAGAATCTTTTTTTTAAAGAGTCTAGTATTTTTTTCTTAGTATATCATTTCCTGTAATTTTTAGATATTATGATTTATCTGTTTCAAACAAATATGATATTTTTCTTTTCTTTTCAAAAGCAGGAATACTAGAAAGAGTTAAAAATAACTTTAATTTTTTTTTTAATACATTTTATCTTTAGAAGCATCATCACTGCTTAAAGCACTATCGCACGATTCAACCAAAAATTCATCGACCTCTCTAATAGCATCTTCCCAGTCGATAGTACCGACTTTATTTTCACTATTTACAGATTCAAAAACCTCATGTGTACCTTTATCATCTAAAAATAAATTAGTTAAAAGTAAAAAATATCATTGTATATCTAGAATTCTGATTAGTACCTTTATTATCAGAAGAAATAAATTCATATGAATCATTCATATCTAATAAAGGATGAAAATCCCCTTGAAATTGCATATTATTAAAAATATCGTTTTCAGAAAATGAATGCAATAAGTAATCGGATTCTGGCAATCGTTTCCAATGAGATATAGAATGGAGAAGCCAATCAATAGATACTATCTTAATATTCTTTTGTTGAGCTTTTTTTACTTTAGTTGTACGTATCTAATATTAATTAGAAATTCTTCTTTTCTTTTTTTTCAAAAAAAACTTTTGTAGCTATCAAATGTGTCACGTTATTAGAAATATTTATAGCAATTTGAGCTCCAAAATTTATGGCCCATTGAGCAATATTAGAACTTATTATTATTTATAAAAAATATATTATATCCAGAAAGAACTTACCTTAAAACATCAACACCCATAGGTATTACACCTGAAAATAACAAAACAGTTCCTTTTAATACATTTTCTTTAAGCGCCGGCATTATTATCTTGATATCCAGTTTACTTATATCTGGATCATAATTTTTTTGTAAATTAATATTTTCAAAAAATGATGCAATCAAATCATGTTTTTTTCTCGTCTTTAAAAGCTTGTTGTATTCTTTATAAAATTCTCTATGAACCAATCTTAAAGATGATTCTAAACGCTGCAATTCTGTATCATTATTATGAAAGAAAATTTTCTCAGTCGGTTTTTTGAAGAATTCCAAATGGTTTATTCCATTAAACGATTGACCAGTCTTTGTTTGGTCATTAACAACAACTAAAACGTCCTGATTTCCAGAAACCAGAGAGTTAATCTTATGTTCAAACATGGCCTGTCGAAAATCATCTTGTAAAACAGTATTAAGATCATTCGCAAGCATATCATTATAAACATTATCATGAGTGGGTATAAAAGGCGTTTCAGGAGAGTATGAAAACATAGTTTGTTGGTTAGTCGGAGATGTTTGTAATGCGGATAATGAAGCGGGCATAAGTGATGATGAAAAATTATGTAATGAAGGCTTTATAAAAATAATTAAATAAATGTCTACTTCATAAAAAGGAAAATCATACCTTATTTGTTACAAAATCTCCATTAATATCACCAATTCCAACAAAAAATTCATACGGCGTAACTTTAATCAAATTTGGACTCCATTGCCATACATCTGCACGATCATCAATAATAACAACCATACTTGTATCAACAGGAAAGAGTCTTTGTATATTTTTTTGCGTAGTATCTTAAAACAATTTTATAGAAAAAAGTAGAATGATAATAATACTTACTTCCACTTTCGTCTCGACTTAGAATTCTATCTCCAAAATATTTCTTATCCTTATCAATTAATTGAGCGATTGATGCTGCATACGCTCGTGTTCCCATTGTATAAATATGCATTTCATATAATTTACTAATATTTTCAAGAAATTGTTCAAGACCCGGTCGCATTTTAATATAATACCAACTACCTATACTTGCATTCCCCTCTCTAAGACAAAATGTTTGAACATCTCGAACAGCTGCATAATGCTCAGAAGATGGATCTGATAACCATTCACCAACAATAGGATCTACCGTTGCATGAAGAATCGTTTGATCAAGATCAACAATTAACGATAACTTTGTTTCATTTAATAAACGTTCTGCTGTCTCCCGCTCAAGTCTAGCCGCTTCTTGTCGACTTACTGTCAATTTTGTCGCATCATGTGACATTTGAATCGTCGCTCTTGTAGAATCCGAAAATCCCATAAAATCCTGCTGCGTAACATCCCTACCACATGTAGCACATAATCCATGATATTGAACCGAATGAAGACATGGTTCTATAATAGAAAGAATACGTATATATTGATCTTTAATCACTACCCCTTCCCTTACAAACCAGGAATCAACTACCCCCTCAATAGGACTCTGGAAAACATCTACATATTCACGTGCAACATTCCGTTCTGACCCATCTTCATCATATTCCGTAAATGTACCTTGATATCTATAGGAAAGCAATAAATCATGCTTTTTCACCGGCTGAAAAACCTTTACACTAATAGAAACAACAGTAACAGGAAATCTTAGCGACGGAGGAAGATAAACGTATGTTGGTTCCTGGTTCATACGTAAAAATAAGCGACCGTTTGTTCTTCAAACGGTCGCTCCCTAATCCACCATTATTAACCCGTTTTTAACCGTTCAAAAACGAAATACCTAAAATACCCGGTAAAAACTATCAAATAAAGGTCTTTCTGCTGGGTTTTCTGACCTTTTCTTAGCAAATTTAGACTTTTTAAATACTTTTTTATTTTTATGTCGTCGATCTCGATAACTCAAGAAGCCATATAAAACAAAGATTTAAGTATAGAAAATAGATAAACCCATAAATTATTCATAAAAAACACTGAAAAACACTGAAAAACACTAAAAATACCTTTCAATTGAAGAATACTACAATAACAAGCCTTTTTCTAATAAAATTTTGTTATTGTTAGAAACTTTATATTTTGAAAAAAATCAAAATATAAAAAGAAAAAACTGAGAAAAATAATATAAAACAAACCTATTTTAATTGGTTTTGTTCCATTTTTATCAGTTATTTAATAGAATTAAAGCTTTAGCCCTAAAAAAAAGGCTACCGAGAATATACACAAAATTTTGAGTATTATAGAAACATTCAAAAAAAATGGGGAAAAAAAAGATACAGGTATGATATTTGAAAAGAAATACAAGTGTTTTATAAATATGATTATACTTGTATTTATATTTGTATTTTTTTTTCTAAGAAAAACTGACCATTTTATGAAGATTAAGAAAATTATGGATCCTAAGACACAGATTGTAGGCTAAATACATAAAATATTTTGTAAATAAGAATATAAATGAGTTATAGACAACGTTTTCAAGGCGCAGGAACGGATTATTAAAAAAGGCATATGAATTGTCAGTTTTGTGCGGTATTGATGTTACAATTCTTATATTTGATGAAAAAAACAAGTGTCATGTTGTATGTATAAAAAGCGAAATAAGTATAAAATATGCTAATTATACAATCAAATAAGTATTGTTCAAATGAAAAGGAGAATGCAGCAGAAATTATGATGCAAAAGTATATTGATAGACGATTTAAAACAGATACATCAAAAAAACATAGTGAATCTATTGGATTAGAATGCCAATTGGACAAAACTATACACGAGAATGATGGGTTAGTTATTTTTTAGGAATTGGATTAAATTTGAAATGAATATAAAATAGGTATAATTTGAATGATAGAAATGAAAGTGTAGCAATTGTTCAAACATATCAAGTAATGCGAAATGATAATCAGAAAAAAGGGACGTCTCTTTCATATATTCCTTCAGAAGAATGTTTAGATGAAACAGACAAAACAGAAGGACTTTATGTAAAATCGAAACGAACATATCATGTATATACTGAGTCACCTAAGAAAGAAGTAGAGACAGAATATCGAAGATCAGATTCATATTTTCTTGAACAGTTTCAAAATGAGTTTATAGATCAATATCAAAACAATAATCTTCAAAGTGATTATACTAATCATACACAGTCAACTGCCAATTCTAATAATACATTTTTCCAATCTTATCCATACACATATATGATGAATAATAATTGTAATTTTGGAAAATCGGTTCCTAACTTACGAATGTTCTCAAGTCTTGAAAACATATCTCAAAATTCTGCACCTATGGTTCACAATAATCGGATAAGTCCTATCTACAATTATTTACATCAAAAGTCTCCAGAACTCCTATTATTTAACTCTTTAAAAAAATTCAATAACCAATTGTCTTCAGACTTTGAAATAAATAATCAGAGTGAATCAAATATGTTAAACAATATTATGCAGGAACCATATAAAGAAGTAACTTCAAATCCTTTATCTCCAAATGACGAAAAATACAACATTCCAAATGGAATTTTGACAGATTTTCAAAACCATCTTTATATTTATGATTAAAAAATCTATTTTATTTTGAATCTATATTACAACAAATATTTATTTTGTATTTAAATTGTAATTTTTGAAATTATATCTGTAGATGTTTTTATATTATTTCTTTTTACAAATAGTTTATTTATTTAATTTTTCTAAAGACTCTGTAATCCTATTAAACTCTTCTGATTCACTCCAAGACATTTGACCTTTCCCTTTTAATGTCCTAAGAATGCTTTTTGCCTTAAATTTCCAATCAGGCATAATTAAATTACCCATATGATCCTTCATTGAACCAAAAGTTTCATATGCATCAACCAATTCCATTGCAGACTTTACAGTTCCTATCCATACATCTCTATTAGTATTTATATTTGCTTTAGACGTCCAAATATTATATGACTTTATATAAGCTTCTAAAGCATCAGAAGGATTTTTTCTCCAAATATTAATTTTAGCAACAAGACTCCATAGTTCTGGTTTTGATGTTATTAAAGGAGGTATTATATTAGTTATTAACTCAATAGAATTCTTTATAAATCCCTTTTCATCTCCAGTATATTCATTTTTAGTTACTTCATGAACAAGTATTTCCAAAATTTTTATATCAATAACATTTTCACCAAGCTTTTCCCCTCTTAATTCTATACATCTACGCATAGACCTTATCACTTCATTCCATTCAAGCATATCTAAAGATAATGTTAAATAATTTTCCCAAATTCTCCATGATTCATAACAACTACTAAGTGCTTGCTTCAATGCATTCCATGCATCTTGCTTTCTTGGTGGATCATATTTAAGAAATGACAGGGACAAATTGTTCCAACTTTCACCATCAGATGGATCTAAACTGACACAACGAGTAAAAGCTTCTGAAGCTATCTGCCAATTACTTAATTTTAAGTGACAACATCCATATGTAAACCATGCAGAATAATTTAAAGAATTTATATCTAATGATAGCTTAAGTGCTTCTGCACTTTTTTCAAATTCTTGTCTTGAATAATAAAACATCCCAAGAGATTTCTGAGCTTTAGCATATCTGTTGCCAGAAACATTCCATGCTTTTATCCAATGATCCGGATTTTGCTCTATATCACCAAGCAATGTCAATATTTTAGGATTCTTAGGTTCTATTGCAAGTTGTGAAACAAGAACATCAATTGCTTTATCTTTTTTATCTAATGCATTCCAACATATTGCAATTTTTTCCCACATTTGCAATCTTTCAAAAATCTCTAATGCTGATCTAATTATTCCAATAGACATGTATCTATTAGCCAATTCCTCTTCTATAGCCCAGCGAGGAAGAAGTAAAAGTTGCCATACATACATTAGTCTTTGTTTTGTAGATGCAGATTCTTCATATGAATGAGGTTTTCGCAAGAATGATGTATTTTTTGGCATATCTTCTGAACAATCTATATCATCTAGCAATTGATCAACTAGAACTTGTAATTGTAATATACTTCGTTCCATAGTTCTTCCTTTAGTAATCTCTAATTCAGAGCGAATAAAAAGTGCCATACTGTGCACAGTCCAATTCCTAGGATGTTTTAACACCCTGTCAATATATGATGCCATTTCTTCCATTGTTAATCCATCATTAGGATTCGTATTTTTAATCAAGAGAGTTAATGCCAATAAAATACATGAATCCAAAGGATTAAGAGAAGGTGGATCATTAGGATCAATATCTTCTAAAGACCTTGGAATACATGAGTCTTGGTGATATTCAGAAGAAACAATTTTCCCAGATTTAAAAGATATTGTTTCAAGAAGCGTATCATCATTTAAATCAAGTGTTTTAGGTATTTTCTGATTTCCTTTTTGTATTTCCTCAACCTCTTCATTTCCCTTAGCAATTAATACAAGTTGACTTGTATCAAATGTTTGAAATTTAGTTCTACGTCCTAGAATTCCTGTTAAAACCCATTTTAACCCAGTTTTTTTTGAAGCATCTTTAATAGTATCAAGTGCTTTAGAATTCTGCCCATAATATGATAAACACAGTTCAAGCTCAAGTAAATAACATGCATAAACATGAGATTCATGTTTTTTACATTCTATTTTCATTTTTTCCATGTTTTCAAAAATACAATCATGAAGTATTGCTACCTTCTCATCCAGAATACGTTGATGCATAAAATCCACTCTTGCTTTCCACCAAAAACATGTTTTGCTGTATTTAAATGTCTTTGAAAGTATAATTTTTGATATTAATAAAAAAATTGAATATTGCATAAGATGATAAGGATAAGCACTACCGATTTCTAGACATTTCAACGCATCTTTATTCAATTGCAACTCTGAATATCCCATTTTCCACTCATCTGGCAGTAAAATATATGAATCAAATACTGGTTTAGGTCCTGTAAAATGGATCTGTATAAATACATGAATAGATGAAATTGCAAGCAAAAGAAGATGTAATTCCCCCTCCAGAGTAGGAGGGTTATCTGAAATTCTATCTTCAATGTATTTTTTTAGCTTATGTGGTCCGGGTTCTTGTATAATATTAACATCTTTGTAACTTTTCTTAAAAATCCTCTGTATTTCTGATGACAAAAATACTGTCTTAAAATCACCATCTATAACTAGCTGAATTAACCTTTCTATCCCGATATTTATGTTTATATTTTCTCCTTTGAGTAATGCCCATTCTAACATATAAAAATCTTCTTTTTTTAAATTTATAGTCATTATTATTAAAAATATGCAATTATTTGTATCCTAGTTCATTTATATACTCCCAATATCATTCATTTTAGCCTCAGGCAATGTATATATATATATCTTCTTTTTATCTTTTATATTAAAGAAACCATTAAAAACATATAAATCTAATTAGGAAACTAAAACTTCTTGCATCATCACTCATTCCTTAATATTTTTTCATTTTTTAACAAATGACATTTTTCATTATACATAAATTAAAGACACCTTTATATATATATAAATATTAAAAAAATATCTACATCTATTATACATAGAATTATTCCTATTTATCATTTAAATCATCATAAATACACTATAAAATTCATCATAATCTATTGTTCTGTTAAATATCTTGCATTTTATCTCTTACTTTATTCTTGTTCAATTATATAATTTATATAATTCATTATTTATCAATTTTGTTTCTAGTTTTTCTATATACATTATATATCTGGCTCTAAATCCAGAAAACAATTATAATATATATACTATTTATAGCACTTTTTCTATAAAATACGTTTATTCTTAAAAACACTCTTAAAACTTTGTAGCTAACATTGTTATATTTAATATTATTCTATAAATAAATGATTTTAATTAAATATATATAAAATTACTTAAACTTAATCTTGATATTCGTTTTTAAAGTTATTTTTACATTATTCTTTAAAAATAATCATATTATTCTTATATCTATAATGTCATAGAAATTTTATTCTCATCTTTTTAAAATACTAATTATATTTTATTCAAATACATTCACTTATTACATTTTATCAACAAATTTATCTCTAAATACAAAAATAAACTCTACATTATCTTAATTTATATCTTTTATCTCCAAAACTCCCCGTTTATAAAAAAATCAAACTTCAAACTTAGATCTTCCTTAATTTTTAAATATAATCCCATCTATTCTTATCTGAATTCTAAAATATCCCTTTTCAAACAATAAATTACTTCAAATCCCTTCTTTATTTTATTTTATTAACATTATTCACATTTATCTATATTTTCTCAATACTCCTCTAATTTTTCTCTTTAAAATCTATTTTAACAAAATTAAACTAATCAATTCTTCTTATTACTAACAAAAACTACTTCATTCCTTCATTATTCATACATTTCTTTTAATAAATTAAAATACTAAAACTTATAACTCTTCAAAAAAAAAAAAAAACATAAAACATAACAAATATTTTGTTTTCTATTATAAAAACCCTCTAAATCTTCATTTATCTACTCTTTTTCCTCCAAAATTTCATGGCTTTATTTTCAACCGTAATCGATCAAATCAAGGCCTTTACTATATTTTACAGCAAAAAACAAACTGCAGATTAAAATAGAGTGTATTTATCAGTAAAATAAACATATGACAGCACAAAATAGCATGAGATTTGGTCCAGAATGGTAAGGAATGGGGGTAACCCTTTTTTTCCGGAGAAAAAAGCTTAAATATATGAATTTTTAGGATGCGTCAAGGACCTCATAATAATGTAGTAGAAGAAGGATTAACAGCAATCAGAGGAGTTCAGAACAAAGAACAGGATGAAAAGGAGCATCAAGAACAGATATCATATCTGTTTAGTCCTTCATTATCGCAGCAACCTAATAATACGCCAGAATCACCATCTACAACATCACCGGGTTTATTAAGATATAGCAAGGAATTTCTATTGTCTATATGGAAGGATATGTTTATGTCAGAGAAGGGAATTAGTAAGCCGTCAGAGCTTAATCAATTTTCTCAGATATCAAGTGATGAAGTGATAGCTCCGGTATCATTATCGGAGATGAGTGAAGAAGAGAAGAAGCTTTTTATAGGACCGGTTAATAGTGAAAAGAAGAGGAGAAATGTAGAATTAATGAATAATATAATATATGGGAATTCACATTTTTATGCAAATCGAGCATATTCGCCACGAAATGAGCGATTTATAAATAGTTCGAGATTTGATCAAAAAACAAGAAGTAAGGAGGGATATGAAGGATTTAGAAATCCACGTATGCAAAAATCTCGAGAATATTTTCCTAATACATTTCCTTCTGAAATTTGGACGCCTGGACTACGAACTAACACAGAAACACTTGTAAATAATATGCTTTCTAATGGAAATAATGAAGTTGTTCCATCATCTATTAAATCAGAGGAATCAGAACTTAGAAATGCATATACGAAAGAAAATAGAAATATTTCATTAAGTAAGGGTATTGCAGATTTGTCTATTTCACAAATTAATACACCTTTTTTATCATCTGATTCTATGCGTTCACCTGTAGAAAGTATAGGGTCTATTCCAGGAAGAAATATTTCGAGATTACAATCTTTGGGCATGTTTGAATCGCAAAATTCCTCAAAAATTTCACCCACATCAACATCACCTTTTCAATATGATGATTCTGATGATGTACTAAAAGAAGCAATGGAACATATTTCTGAAGATAAAGATAAATCACTGGAAAATTTTCAAAATAAACTTAATACTAATTTGGATATTAATAAATCTTTGGAGAATATGCAAAAAGAAAAGACACAATTTTTAGGCCTATTTAGTCCTTCAGATTCACCATCTTTGAACAAAAATAGCAAGATTGAAAAGCTTTTTGAAAATCCTCAACAATCTAATTTCTCTCAGCCATCACCATTGCAACCTCCTTCTAGAACACCTGTTATGCCTGATAAATTGAATTGGCTTTATAAGGATCCTATGGGTATCACACAGGGTCCGTTTTCTAGCTTAAAAATGCAAGATTGGTATAATGCAGGATTTTTTCAACTTACATTATTGGTAAAACAAGTCAATGATGAAGATTTTGAGCCCTTGAGTTCTTTAATAGCACGTGTTGGGAATCAAAAAGAACCGTTTTTGGCACCCTTTTATACCAAATTACAGGCTATTTCCCCTGTAGACAACTTTTACGATACGGTTAATGATTGGGATTCACCAGGACTAGAATCTAAATTAGATCATCATCTATCTGGAACTACTGCTCTTGGTAATATAAATCCTGTAACTCCTACAAGTCCTGGATGGAATCGACAAACACAATTTCCCAAGTCATTTTCTTTTGAATCTAATTTAGCTCCAGATCAACATAATTCATTAGAAAGTAGAAAACATGAAGAATATTTGATGCATCATAAAAAGAATTTGTTTCAACAACAACGATTAACACAACTCGCTATTCAACAGCAAAAGCTCCAGAATATCCAAAAACAAACTCAAAATCAACAGGAAAGACCAATGCAAGTAAATTTTTTAAGGAAAAATGAAACATTTCCTTTAAAGTTAACAAAAAGTACAACATCTGAACCCATTGTTAGAAGTAAACCTTTGGATGAGTTAAATATTCCAAGAATCGATGAAGAAACTCCAGAATTCTCGCCACATTTTAATAAAACAGTGGAAGAGAAATTATCTAATTTAGATCCTATGCTTTCTTTTGTTAATACTGAGCAAAACGATTTATTAAATTTCACCAGAAGTTCTTCAGAAATTATATTTTCAAAACCAGAAACAATTCAGTTTACTAATTCTAATAATATACAAAAACAACCTTTTCAAAAGAAAAATGGAATGTACTTAAAATCATCAAATACTAATCAAATATTAAACCAGCCTTTAATAAAACAAAAAGAGTCACAAAAAACTCCAATACATCCTATTTCTCCATGGGCAAATGTTTTAGATGATATTAAAGATGTTTCATTACGTGAGGCTCAGGGATCTGAAGTCAAGGATTCACAAAATTCTACGCAAGATATATTTTTAAATTGTGAATACTCTAAAAAAGTAAATTCGACTAAAAAAGAAGCACATCCTATTATCAATAGTCTTCCAGAGACTTCAGCATGGAGGCTTCCAAATAGTATTTCTGAAAACTCTTCAGGTTCTATGCCAAGTCATAATTTAGGTCCTGCATGGCAATCCCCTGGCATTATTGTTAAAAAATCTCTTGCCGAAATACAAGAAGAAGAACAAAAGGTGAAAGTAAATAAATATCAAAAACAACTCACTATAAATACCATGGCAGCGTCATTATCTTCCAAAAATCATACTACTCTTCTAAAAAAACCATCTCAATCTCCCTGGATAACTGTTGGACCAGATGGCCGATCAGTTTCACGTTCTTCTCCTGTAACATTATCTTCTCGTACAAATATTGAGGCATCTAGAATAAAAACGGAAAATTTAGACCTTAATCAGAAAAAATCGAATGTTTCTAAATTCTATAGTACACAACCTATTAACCAATCTTCTAATTCGACTAATTCTAATATTTCTGGTAATTCAACAAAAAGTAATTCAAATGATTTCTTTAATTGGTGTAAAAAGTCACTTAAAGCATTAAATCCTGGAATTAATTGTAAGAACATTATGTTTTTTTCTTTATTTTTTTCTAAATAATATCAGTGGAAGATTTTCTTCAAATGCTTATGTCGCTTCCTGTTGAACCTAGTCAAGAGACTATTGAAATTATTTCAGATAGTATATATGCCAATAGTGCAATTCTTGATGGTCGTCGTTTTGCAGAAGAATTTGTTAAACGAAGATTAGAAAATATCTCTTCAGATAATGAAACCCTTGAAAAAAACATTGGCGTACAAAGTTGGACTGATGCTTTAAAATCACAAAAACAAAAGGAGTCTGAATGGAATTCCACATTTAAGATTGTTTCAAATAAGAAAAATAAAAAAAGAAATTGAAATTAATATATGGAAAATTTCAAAGTATTTGAGTATTTGCATTATATTTTGTGATTTTAAATTTTAGAAATAATTATCCTAAAAACTTTAAAAATTGAACATCTTTATAAAAATATATTTGATTTGTATGTTAATATTTATTAAATATTTCATTAGGAACAATATAATATTAATTACTATATATAATTTTATTTTTTCAAAATATTAAGAAATATATACTAATTCCCATATATATTAATATTTTTATAACAATATATACACATAACCTTTAATTGTAATATTAAAAATAATTCTATTTAAGCTCCTTAGTTTCAATAAGAACATTACCAATTCTTTTAAATAAGGCTTCAAGAGCAATTCGCATTTCACCATCAATTCCATCTTTTCCAAGGATATCAAGTCCAAATTGATAAAAGTCCTTAAGATATTTTATAAACTATCATATTTATAAATCAAAACAAAAAGAAAAAATATCTTACATCGGTATCTTCAAATTTTATAAAACTATTTAAATTCTCTATAATAATAGGTTTCCATAATTGAATATTTCGCAATTGCGATTCAATGTCTAGAGAACAGTATACTGAAATAATTTCTTTAAAGATCCTAAACTATTTAGATTTAAAACATTAATAAGAATAATTACATAATGAGTCTCTTCGCAATACTATCTTTATCAAAAAATTTGTCCGGGCAATTAAAAAATATTTTAAAAAGATTTATACAACAAATTGATGCACTATTGGTTTCTTGTCGTAATAAATTAGGTAAATTTTTCATAAATCCTATCAATATTAAAAATCGTTTTAAAAGGTGACAAATAAACCATGTTTCCATAAATTTATCCTTAACTGTTTATCACTATTAAATTGTCGTGCAAAATTCCAACTATTTTCTAATATATCCATTATACGCAAAAAGTCCTTTAAAGGAATTTTAGAATATATATTGTCATTTCTAAGAAGTTCACCGAGTAAATCAATTAACAATAATTGAAGGACACATTTTAGTATCAAACTTTTAAATTTTTTCCTTTGAGAGATAAATAATGAATAAGATTCAGTCATATGATCCTCGCCATATGTTTCTGGTGTTTGCAGTTTATTTGAAAGAAGATCGGTTAACGAAACATTACTAAATTTCTGATTTTCCATATACAACTCTATATCAATTAAAAAAAGTACTTTATAAAACAAATATATATACCAGTTTTATTAAAATCAGTTTCAATATTATTTGTATTTTCTACTTTATTAACTGGTACACATTCGAAAAGCTGATATGCTGTAGTAGATTCAAATAATATTTCAAAAGTATTGATAATTAGATGCCAATGGTCATCTTTTAAATCATCTGCTTTTTGTAAAATTAAGTGTTGAAGACAATTTATACTAGCTTTTGCTAGTATATCATTTTCTATATCAAATTAGATCTTAAAATATTAAAAAAACCATAACTTACCTTGAGATATATAAGTAACCAAAAGTTCAAGAATTCCGTCTAACATTTGCTCAAGAACATGAAAATATTTATTTAATAATTCTATCATATTTGAAAGAGCTTGAATAATTATATTAGAAGTCCAAGAAATCAAATGTTCCGGAGTGTTGAGTTTGAATGCTTCATATTGAGATCTAAGAATAGCAAATATGGGAAAGAGTATTTGCCTGCATACTGTATCCCAAAATGTTAGAGTATAATTTGAACCATATAAAATTAATATATCGAATAAGCAATTTAACGCTCTAAATTATTTGTCAATAAAATTGATAAACAAAATTTAATACCTAGATCTAGTTTCTAAGTTTTCACATGTCACAAAAATATCGAAAAAGCTAAACAAAACAGGAAACCAATATTTAATCAAAGAATCATCATCTATGATTTTTTCCTGATTTTTATCTGTTGATGAGGATTCCTGTAAAACTAAAATCCTGTCGTTAATTGATTTAAGAAGTTTCATTGATTGTAAGCTAATTGCTTGGTATTTTTCATTCTTTGAAAACTCAGTAAGACAAACAACAAGATCTGCAAAACTATTTTGAGATACAATAATATCGAGATTTTCTTTATATATTTGTCTGACTATATCAAATGAAAAATTAACAATATTTCCTATATTCCATTAGCAAAATAGAAAAAGTTTGGCTTGTAAAATACCATATTCTTCTCGTACAGCAAACTGAAACACATTGAACATTGTTCTCCAACCAGAACGAATATCACTTGCACGAGCCTGTATCATTTGTTGTAGACATATTAAAACCTAAATTAATTAATCAATTTCTAATGATTATATAATACTACCATTTCTTTAACTTTTTCAATAGGATTATTCATTAATATATATTGAAAAGGTTTTAAAAAATCCTTCTGAAATTTAAAATAAGAAAGTTCTTTCATATCAAAAAATCTCATTGCTAATTGACGTAAAGAATCTAAAGCAAAAAAAACTATAACAATATTCTGAAGACATCCAACCTAGAATATCTTAATTTTGTTTTTTTTCTAAGATGGTAAATACTTTATTAAAATGATCACCCAAAATAATCCATAAATTTGACCATTCCATACGAATTCTACCCATATTATAATATGATATTTCAACCAATTTTTGCAGACTAAACATCCTAGGATTTTCACTAGAACCAGATGACTGTATTTCTTCCCAAGAAACTTCACTTAATGCACGAACAAAATCTATAATAGCATCCCCTGATAAATGCGCACTTTGGGTAAATATTTTATCTACAAGGAGAGTAACTTCTCTTGATCCAACTTCTTCAGCAACTACTTTATTGTATGTAACTTGAGAATTTGATTTTAAACGTAAACTTGAGCGACCTAATTGTGATACTTGATTTTTTTGAGAACCAGTTGGGGAAATTTGTCTGCTATATTCAATAATTATTTTATTATAAAAATCTTACTTACGCCTTCATTTTATTAAATGTAAAATCTGGGACAAAAAGTTCATCAACACCAGAATTTATCAATTGAAATCTTTCTAATTGACTAACGCATGTCAATATGTCCTTCCAAGATTCATTTAAACTATTCCCTTCCGAAAGCGCTATCTCTAAAACAGTCTTAATACAATTTACATTTTTTATTTTCATTTCATTCAAATTTCCAAGATATGTAAATTTTGTCAAAGTAGAAATAAATGCATTCTTTGAAAATTTTAGATCAAATAGACATGAAATCTGTATAGAAAGCTTAAATGCCTCAAGACATAATGATACAATAGTAGAATCATCATGTGATTGCAAAAGATCGGATATACTGGCCAAAATTGGAATCCATGCAATTTCAAACATAGGCCCCACATGTTCAAAATGCGAAGCGCTATAATAAACAGATATTGGTTTAAAAATCCCTTTTTTCTGAACTTTGAGAATGTTTTTAAAAAGCATCTAAATATATATATAATTTTAATCAATATATATAAAAATGTATACCTCAGTCTTATTAGCCATTTCCTCCGAAGTAGTCATATAGGTTTCACGCTGAATATTCCTACCAATTATTGCCAAAACATTGTTAATATTTGCCATTAGACCATGGGATGAATGAGCTAGTCCAGATATAAGAGCTGCATTTTGTTCATCTTTAAGTACAATCTCATTGTTTGATATTTCCTCATATATTTCAGTTAAATAGTTTTCGGAAAGTTGTTCTCCATCATTCAATTTACTAGTATTTTTTATAAAATCACTTAAAGTCATACGTTTTTTAATATGAGGATTATGTAGATCAGTATTTAAAATTATAACAGAATATGCTAAAAAATATGCAGTATCTAAATAGATAAATTATGAAACAAACTTAATCAAGACTTAGTGACAAACCTGCATTCGTAAAGGCTTCTGGATTACAATTAACATAACGTTCTGCAAATTTAAGCATATAGCGATCTATCTTTTGAGCTTCCCCTGGAAGCCTAAAAAACTGAAGAAATCTTCTTAATGCATCTACAAATGACATTTGAGAAAAATCTATATGATCAACAAATGAATGCATTATTGAAATATTTTCAACATTTCTATAAAAATATTCAATCTTCATTTTTAAAATCCAAAATAATTACCCTTCCCCAAGATATTCTCCTAGATTCGTCTTATTTAGGCCCTCAGCTTCATATAAAAAAGCAGCAATATCATTAGGAGATAATGATTTGATGAATTTATGCTGATACAAAGCTTCAATTCCCTAAATTATATTACAAAATAATATTTTATCTATATAAAAAAAGACCTTTTGAGGTTTAAAGTTAAATTTCTTAATACATTCAGAAAGCGTATTTTTCCTATGTTTCAAAGCCTCAAATATCTCAGGATCATCTGAAATATTATTCGTCATATTATTAGAATAATCAATTATATCTGCAGGAATAGATCCAAAAGCAAACGAAGGTCTTCTGGAATCACGTCCATATTCGTTAAGGTTATTTTGGTTTTCATTGAGTCGCAATTCTTTGAATTCAGTAGTAGCAGTTTTAAGTCCTTCTTGAGACCAAGAAACAAGAGATCGTAAAACAGATACTATACATTTGAGTGAATTTAATTTCAAATTATATTCCATTGCAATTAGATTATTTTCTGAATTCCCAGATGTCGGTAATATAGATAATGAAGGAGAAAGAGGTAAAGAAGGTGAAGAAATAGATGACCTATGAGATACCTTTGCTGCATGTTGTTGATACTGGTTTATTTGTAAAGACGATGTTGCTACTTTAGATAAAATATTCATAATCCTATAACAAAATTAGTCCTCATTTCCTTTTTAAAGATATACTTTCTTTTCATATATATTATCCAATGCTGCATGATCGCAATCATAATTCAAATAAACTTCAACAAGAACCTTAGGATCATTAGATATTCTTTGTAAAATCTCAAGTAATATTTGTTTTTGTCGATAGGTTGAATTTCGCATCTCCAATATGGGAAGAAAAATCTCTTTTAGAAATACTTCTATTTCAACCTTTAACAGCATTCTCATAGAACCAATCATCTTCCAGAATATTTCACAGCTAATATTGAATACTTGTTGAACAGGACTAACAAAATTTCTTGTTAATGTAAGGCATAAATGTTCTTTAATAGCCTGAACAAACGTAATAGATGATGAAGATAAATAAATTTTAATATGCTGAGATGTAAATACTTCCATATAATTATCTAAAATGGAGTATATTAAATGTAATGAAAGAAGTTTTGATCTCATAGAATGAGATTTTAGATCATTAGTACTAGAAATCAATTAAAAAAAAAACTCGTTCTAAATGTTATATACTTGTCATATGATAACTGTTTTATAGATAATTTACATAGAACTCGAAAAAGAATAAAAGCATCCCTTATAAATAATTGATTTTCGTCATGTTTTTTAAACTCTGGATCAGAATCACTGGTATTTTTGGGTAATTTAGAATTTTCAAATGATTCCCTAAATGACTTATTAATTTTTCCTAAAAAATATAATAGAAATACAAAATATTTTTTTCAGATGCAGAAATAATTTCAAAATTAGATAACTTTTCATCAAGTATATCCAAATCAAGCGTCTCTGCTGGAAAATCTTGTGTTTCTGAATCAATAGATTGAAAATCAAGTTGAACAGATTTCTTTTTTTTTTCTGAAAAAGAATTTGAAAGAGGAACATCTGAAATATTATTATCCTCATTCTTCGAGGCCTCTATAAATCTTGATTTGATCCTTCCAAAAATCGTATGAATCATTTGCGTTAAAATACCCTGTATTATCATTTGATTTGAAATATTTTTATTAAGTAAAAATATATTATATGTTTGTCGTATCGCTTTTAAAAGAAGATTTTGATGAATAATTGTCCTGGGATCTTCATTCAATACTGCAGAAAGTAATGCTTTTACTGTTTGCAATTGTACACGTTCATCTGTAGTATCTCCTTGAAAACAACCACAAATAATATTAATAACACGTTCCATAATAGACGGACTAGACGCTTCTGCCTCCCGTATACCTTCCGATCCCTTCGATGACGGTAATGCTGTTGATGAAACATCAACAAAGAAAGAATATGACAATAGTTTTGATAAACAATCTAAAGCTGGTATAATACATTGAGAAGCTCGACTTTCACATGCATAATTTAATGACTCCAATATAAGACTCGGTGATGGTGATTCTCCAATCCTTATCACATCCAAAAACTAAATAAATTTCATTTTATACTTAATTTTATTTACCTAATGTTTTAAATATAGAATCCCTAAGAGGCCCATTTTTTTTTCCCTCCTTTGTTGAAAGAATACTCTCCAATGCTTGGACTACAAAAACAATAAACCCAAATTCAAATCCTTCATTAATATTTATATATGAATCAAGAGTATTCGGATATGTCTTCAACATTCCCTTTTTTACATAATTTTCTACAAACTTCTTATCTCCTTCATTAATACATTCCTTAGAATTTTCTGATACATTATTTGATGTTTCCTCCTCTATTTTATGTATTTTTATATCATCATATTCCAAATTTTCTTCCTTATTATTTACTTCTTTTTCCTCATTTTTCTCCGTTTTTTCGCACTTAACCAATTCATTTAAAGAACTACATTCATCTATATCCTCTGATTCACTTAAAACCTCACTATTCTTCACTTCATTATCCTTTCTTGACGAATCTTCAATATCCTCTAATTCCCCCAAAAATAGTCATTTTAAGCCCAAAAAAAACATATACCAACCCTCCCCATCCATATCTCCTCCGCAATTCTCTTTTTCCTCGTTCATTTCTCTTTTTTCTATCAAAAATATACGTTATTTAACTGCCCCTCAAAGCGCTGTCGTTGATAATATATAATCACCACGTCTAACCCTCTTTAACCACCAAAAATTCAAAATACACAAATATAACTCTTCTCTTCTCTAATAACCTCTATTTCACCTTATTTTCCATTTAATAATGATTAAAAAGACAAATCTTACCAAAAAGTTTTATTGAAAATTCATGGACTATATATATCAAAATTTTATTCATAATAAAACACAAATTTAACATGAGAAAACATCTCATTCAATTCTAACAAATCTCTCTATCAAATAGTTATGTATATATTTCAAATATTTTATTTCTTTACCTTTTTGCACTAAAATAACTTCTTTTTAAAGAAATATTATAATTTAAACATTATTCTTGAATCAGGAAGTTAAGAAATACTAATAAACTCTCTTTTTTTCGGATATTTTTTAATATATATTTAAGAAATTTAAGCACGGCTTTCAGCGTCAACCTCAGATTATCAAAATATCTTAAATATTGGTAATGAAATTATAAGAATCACTTGAAATGAGTCTAGTAAGAAAGGCACAGATTGGTTTAATATGCCAGCGTTTTTTAAATTTTAAAAATCCAAGAAATATGTAGAATAAAAGCAAAATAAGGAATTATGTTAATAAAATGAACAGATATTGGGGTATTAAGACGAGAAAATGGGTAGATATGAGGAGTATTTTATATAGAAACTATGGGGGAAAATGTATATATTAAGTGGGAGATTGAATGGGGATTAATGAATAAAATAGCGCTTCCAACACATAGAATAATTGGTATGCCAGCCCTTTCACCGACTATGTCATCAGGAACAATTGGAGAATGGAAGAAGAAGGCGGGAGAATCGATTTCACCGGGAGAAATATTAGTAGAAATTGAGACAGATAAGGCACAGGTAGATTTTGAGTTTCAAGAAGAAGGATATATAGCAAAAATATTGCTTGAATCGGGAACAAAAGATGTAGAAATTGGAGCGGTAGAAGATCGGGAATGGGGGAGATATAATGGCTGATATTGATAGTAGCCTATTGCGATTTTGGTAGAAGAAGAATCAGATATAGAAGCGTTTTCTAATTTTACTGTTAATGATGTAAAAAAAGAAGGAAAGGCGGTTTCTAAAGAAAAGGAAGATTTGAAGGAGGAAAAACAGTCTACGGAAAGTCCTAGGAAAGTAGAAGAGGTAACATTATTAAGAGAAGAAAAACCGAGCGATCGAATATTTGCAAGTCCAATTGCTCGTTTACTAGCAGCAGAAAAGGGAATTCCCTTAGAAAAAATCAAGGGAACGGGACCTAAAGGACGAATAATTAAATTTGATGTTGATAACTTTGAATTTGAACCGGTATCTGCAGTACAACCAGCAGCGATCCAACCAGCAGTAACCCAACAAGGGTTGTATACAGATATTCCCTTAACAAATATTCGCAAAACAATTGCTTCTAGATTAGCGGAATCTACACGAAATACACCTCATTTCTATGTTACTGTTTCAATTGTCATGGATAAAGTTGTTAAGTTGAGAGAAGCTCTTAATAATACAGCGAATGGTCAATATAAAATTTCTATTAATGATATTATTGTTAAAGCATCTGCTGTGGCACTTCAAAAAGTGCCAGAACTAAATAGTGGATGGTTTGGAGATTTTATTCGACAATATCATTCAGTAGACATATCAATTGCAGTTGCAACACCAACTGGTCTTATTACACCTATTGTCAAAGATGTTCAAAATAAGGGTCTTCTCAAAATTAATAATGAAATCAAGGAACTTGGAAATAAAGCAAGAGAAGGAAAACTTAAACCTGAAGAATATCAAGTATTTTGATAATTTGTTTAATTTTTGTTTTTAACCAGATATAGGGAGGAACTTTTACAATTTCAAATATGGGAATGTATGGCATTGAGCAATTTACATCAATTGTATCATTTATATCTTCATTTCTTTATATCTTATCTAACTAAATTTCTAGATAAACCCTCCTCAATCATCCATTTTAGCTGTAGGTTCAATTGAAAATTTTCTTGTAGAAGATCCTACTTCAGAAAAACAATTCAAAACAGAAAAACGCGTGAAAGTAACACTATCATCTGACCATCGTGTCGTAGATGGCGCTGTTGCCGCAAAATGGGCAACAACATTTAAATCTATTTTGGAAAATCCCTTAGATTTACTATTATAAAATATGCCTTTATTTTAAATTAAATTCTATGTAACATTTTGTTTAGATAATACACTATAGATATTTCTGTTTATAATGCATTAAATAAATCCCATAATCCTTTTACATATCCAATAATCTCGTCTCCTCCTAATTTAGATTCCCCATACAATCTATCTACAAAAGTAATAGGCACCTCCCCAATAGAATATCCGTATTTCTTAGCCCTCACAATAATCTCCTATCAAGTATTAAACAATAAAAAACAAAAATTAACCTACCATCTGAAAAACATATCCTTTACTTTTACAATCTGCAATTATCTTCTCTAAAACACTTTTTTTATACAATCGAAAACTACCCGTAACATCACTCACACCATGTTGAAGCAGAATTTTACTCAAAAGATTCGCTCCTAATGAAACTAGCTTTCGTTTAACATCCCATCCATATACACCTCCTCCACCTATATATCGACTTCCTAAAACAATATCCCATGATTTTTCTTTCTGAAAACGAATAAATTCTGGAATATATTTCGGCTAAAATATTCCTCAATTATATTCAAATCTTAATAATTTATATATTTTTACATGATGAGAAAAATCTGCATCCATAATAATAACAAAGTTTCCCCTACAATATTCAAGTCCATAGACATATGCCGTACTACAAATTAAGCTCTAATTATCAATAATTTCCTTATCTAACCCAAGTCCAAGCTTTCCTGGCCGTGTTTTCAGTATCTGCCCAAATATTAACCGTTTTTTTTCAAAAAAAAACGTCCGATCTAACAATACGGTCTTTCCCGTACAATTCAATAAGTTTTTTCCCCATTTCTCCCGTTTTATCCGGAGAATTGTCATCAACAATGATAAGCTCCCAATCCATTTTTCTCCACAAAGTAAACCATAATTTCATAAAAAAATACATAAACTACCCCTCATCTAGTACTTTTCTAATAAAATATGTAATAATAGCAAGGTTTCTCCTCTCATTATACGTTGGAAGAATAATTGAGTATTTATCGGTCGTCATAGAGCTGGTCGTCGTCGTCGTCGTCTCGAGAATTATATAGAGGTTGCCTGAATTTTTAACTGTACGATCAAGACGACCAAAATTTAAGTTTTTTTTTAAAATTCAATAAGTCCTAGAAAAAGAGGAGATTGAGTATAAATCAATAGAGAATTATTGAGAGGAAGTATTATATTTAAGATGTGGTTTTTTTCCGGTTTTTTTTTGATAAAATTTGACCATTTTTTAGGAGAATTGGGAAGACAAGATATTGTAAGGATTCTAAGCTAGTTGAGAGTGCATTAGTATCATCATCATCATTACACGTATCAAAGGACATTATATTTCATCTGTATGTTTTTCCATTCGTTTTTTTATATTCAATTTGGGGGTATATATACAAGTTTAAATATGATGAATATATTAAATCAGAGGAATGGACATTTATTACGCTTGGAACGCTTTTTGCAGTTCAGAGTATTCTTTGGCTTAGTAAACATTGGAATGTTCATATAAAAACATTGTTAACAACGAGATTAGTATGGAAGAAGAGGAAATAAAGGATATAACTGAATTGATTTTAGTGTTATAAAGTGGAGGAGGCGGAATTGATACGTATTACGCCAGTTTCTAATCAAGGATTATCTGAAATATGTGTTTTAAATCGTGAAAAGGTATATTTTTTGAAATATATATATATATATATATAGAGAAAGAGGGAGAGAATGATTGTTTAATATATTATTTAGTTTGAAGATGAGGCATATCCTGAAATATACTTTTTTTTTCAAAAAAAGAAGTTTGTATATTCATATGAGAAAAAAAAGTTTCAAGAGCTTTCGTTCAGAATCGATTGTAATCTTCTTATTAAAGATATACAAGGGATGAGAGGATTAACGACAGATAAATTGATTAATTATGCTAAACATCATTATGGATATAATCGATTTGATATACCAGTTCTTACATTTTTGGGTTTATTTAAGGAACATGCAGTTGCACCATTTTTTGTTTTTCAAGTTTTTTGTGTTGCACTATGGTGTCTTGATGAGTATTGGTATTATTCTTTATTCACATTACTTATGTTGATATTATTTGAATCAACGGTAGTATGGCAGGTATGTTATATTTATTGATATTAAGATAGATTCATATGATTACAGAGACAAAAAACGCTTACAGAATTCCGAACGATGTCAATTAAATCATACCAAATTTATGTATATAGAAAATATTGCTGGACACAAGTTAGTACAGATGAATTATTTCCAGATGATATTGTTTCGATTGCATCTTTTAAAGAAGAACATGATGTACCCTGCGATATGATTTTGCTATCTGGAACATGTATTATTAACGAAGCAATGTTGAGTGGTGAATCTACACCTCTTTTGAAAGAAAATATATCTCTTAGGGATCCCGAGTCTAATTTTGATATGCATGATGTAGATAGAAACTCTTTATTGTTTCGAGGTACTAAAGTTCTTCAAATATCTCCTTCAACAAATCCATCAATTCCTCTTGCACCTGATAACGGTGCTTTAGCAGTAGTTATTAAAACAGGTTTTGAAACTCAACAAGGTGATCTCGTAAGGACTATGATATATTCCACAGAAAGAGTTAGTGCAAATAACTTAGAAAGTCTATTTTTTATTCTATTTCTTCTTGTTTTTGCAATAGCAGCTAGCTGTTACGTTTGGACAAAAGGTAAACTAAATCTTAAAATTATACAGCTATTTAACAAGTAAAAAGGCATAGAAAGCAATAGGAACAGATATAAACTTCTTTTGGATTGTATTTTAATTATAACATCAGTTGTTCCTCCAGAACTTCCTATGGAACTTTCATTAGCTGTTAATTCTTCTCTTGCTACTCTATCAAAATTAGCTATTTTTTGTACAGAACCCTTTAGAATACCGTTTGCTGGAAGAATTGATGTTTGTTGTTTTGACAAAACGGGTACTTTAACTGAAGAAGATCTTATAGTAAAAGGTGTTGCAGGCCTTAGGTACGTTTTATTATTTATAAAATTTAAAACTGGTGCTAAATATATAAGTAAAAATCCTGAAGAACTTCTCGACATTAATTCAGTATCTAAAGAAACTATGCTAGTTCTTGGAACAGCACATTCTTTAATTAAACTTGACGATGGTAAAGTTGTAGGAGATCCTATGGAAAAGGCAACCTTGGATGCATTAAAATGGAAGCTTGAAAAGAATAATATTGTATTATCTTCTCATAAGGAATTTCAAGAAAGTAAAATAGAAATTGTTAGAAGATTTCAATTTTCATTAGTATTAAAACGTCAATCAAGTATAGTAACAATATCTGATCAGACCAAAAAATATAGAAAAACCTTTGTATCAGTAAAAGGTGCACCTGAAGTTCTTGAGAAAATTTCTACAGTTCCAGAAAATTATGAATCTATATATAGATATTTTACCAAAAATGGATGCCGTGTTTTAGCTCTTGGTTATAAATTTCTTAAAGATCAAATTAATAGTTCTGAAATAAATTCTCTTTCAAGAGAGGAAATAGAAAGCAATTTAATATTTTCAGGGTTTCTTGTATTTGGTTGTTCTTTAAAAAGAGATGCAACTAGTACAATCAAAATGTTAAATGAATCTTCTCACAGGGTAAGATTTATAAATATAAATATATAAATATATAAATATGTATGTATGTATGTATATGATTAATTTGTATAAGGTAATTATGATTACTGGAGACAATCCACTTACTGCATGCCATGTTGCTCGTGAAGTTGAAATAATCGAAAGAGATGTTCTAATATTAGATTCATGTAATAATGATTCAGGTAATAATAAAAATAATATAATTTATAAATTTAATTATTTATAGATCTTTGCTGGAAAAACATTGATAATGAAATAATTGCTTCAATTAATGTTAATAATCCTTTAGATAAAACTATATTTCAAAAGTATGATATATGTGTTACAGGATATGCTCTTTCAAAGTGTTACAACTCTAATCATATGAATGATTTATTAAGACATACATGGGTATATGCAAGAGTTTCTCCGGCACAAAAAGTAAGAATATTATAAAATTACAAGAGAAATTATAACAACTTTTTAGGAACGTATTTTAATATCATTAAAAGAAGCAGGCTATATTACTTTAATGTGTGGAGACGGTACAAACGATGTTGGCGCTTTAAAACAAGCACACATTGGTGTTGCACTTCTCAATGGATCAGAAGAAATTTTAAGACGGATAGAAGAACATGCACGTAACGAGAAATTGAAGCAAATTTATGAAAAACAAGTTAAAATACTTGCAAAATTCAATAAGCCACCACTTCCTGTTCCATTTCCTATTGCATATCTTTATCCAGAAGGACCATTTAATCCTCATCGTGAAGCTTCAATTCTTGCTCGTTCTAAAAACATAGAAGCATCAAAAAACAACAATAAACTAGATTCAAATAAGACTTCACAAACTAAACTACAGGTTTCAAAAGGTTCAAAAAAAGATGAAAAATTTGCAGAAACATTATTATCTAAGTTTGCAAGTTTCGAGGATGATACAGAGCCTCCTATGCTTAAACTAGGAGACGCTTCATGTGCAGCACCATTTACATCTAAACTTTCTAATGTTGTTGCAAGTATGTTACATATGTATTTATTTTTAAGTTAATAATGAATGAATTAGTTGCCAATATCATTCGACAAGGACGATGTACACTTGTAGCTACAATTCAAATGTACAAAATTTTGGCATTAAATTGTCTGATTTCTGCGTATAGTTTATCCGTATTATATTTAGATGGTATTAAATTCGGAGATGGGCAAATAACAGTGTCAGGAATGCTAATGTCAGCATGTTTTCTATATATTTCAAAAGCTAAAGTATATCTTTATTGTAATTATAATATTTTTCTTTCTAAATTTTTTAGCCTCTTCAAACTCTTTCAAGAGAACGTCCTCAATCAAATATTTTCAATGTTTATATCATAGGCTCTATCCTTGGACAGTTTTTAATTCATATTTTAACTCTTATATATATAAAATATTATGTATCATTTTTCGAAACGTATTTTATAACTAACTCTTAAATTTATCATTAAGCTAATTGATCTCAGACCTATTAAAAATGTCGATCTGGAATCTGAATTTTCCCCTAGTTTACTTAATAGTGCAATTTATCTTCTTCAATTTATGCAACAAATATCGACATTTACTATTAATTATCAAGGACAGCCTTTTAGACAATCTATTCAAGAAAATAAAATCATGTTTTATGGAATGTTAGGTGTTACCGGACTTGCTTTTAGTTGTTCTACAGAATTTATACCAGAAATCAATGAAAAATTAAAACTTGTTAAATTCGAAACTTCATTTAAAATAACCTTAACAATCATTATGATCTTAGATTATATAGGATGTTATATAGTCGAATATATATTTAAAAAGCTTTTCTTTGACAATCGGCCAAAAGACATTGTTAAAAGAATATCAGATCATAATGTTAAAAAAAATACTCAAAATATCAAAAAATAATTTCAACAAAAACAATACTCAATAAGAAATATATGTATTTTTCAATATTATTGATATTATTTCTAAACTCTTGAAAATATCTACAATTCAACATACTATTATTATATATAATTAATCAATTGACTTATTCTATTTTTATTAATGGATATATTCATGATTCTACAAAAAGGCTAAATTAACTGGTCAATCTATATAATATTCGATTCACTAATTAAATAAATTACAGCTCTTAAGGAAATACAATACACTATTATCACAAAAAGATCGGTTGATAGCTACCTTCTTTCCAAGACCACTCAGACCTCAAGGTTTCCTCGTATTCACATACCCAAGCCGGACGGTGTTCTGCTGGATGATGCTCCCCTCGAACGGTACCGCCACTTTTCACAACCATTACCAATATAACCTTCGTTGTATCAGTAAATGGTGTACTCAGGATTCGAACACGAAACCTTAAAGGATATTCTTCTGATGAATCTCGGCCATCTAGAAGGATGCACTACCTTCCGAATTAGCGCCATTACAGCGCAAATGTCGAGTTGAATTATTCATATTATAAATCATAAAAATCAATTATACTAAATTGATAAACTAATAATAAAATATTAAAAATTTATATAATATGAATCAGGATGATTTCAGAAAACTATTGGCAACACCTCAACAGCCAAGGCAGACAACATCTCGACCTTCTTTTTTTCGGCCAATATCTAAAGATTATAGACAAACATTTATAGGTTGGAATTTAAATGTATAAAAGTCAGAGAAAAAGTATTAATTAGTGAATTCTCATAGAAAAAACAACAAAGAAGTCATCAGATAAATCAACACATGGAAATCATTGGACAGGAAAAAAAGCAGTGAAGAATGAAGGGTCAAATAGTAAAGCATCATCATTATTACCAGAAGGATATAGAAATCGGGCAAAGGAGCTGCAAAGAGAGGACACAGAGGATAGAAGAACATATTCTATGCAAGAAAACATGTTATCGAATCTTAAAGAAGCAGTAAAAAAGGGAGAAATATCACATCAAGATTATTTATCACAAACGCAACGATTGGGAGGGGATTTTGAAAATTCATGCTTAGTAAGAGGGTTAGATCGAGTGTTACTTGAGAGGGTTAGACGTGGGGAGGAAATTGGGATATCAGAGCCGACGACTATACAGACAGATTTAACAAAGACAGATGAAACTAAGGACGAGGCGTTAGATCTCGATAAAATATATATAGAAGGTCTTTCAAAGAAAAAAGACAGTGAAGAAAATATTCCAAAAAGAAAAAATAGAGATGAACTTCTTTCTATTTTAAAAAAACAAAAAACCCAAGATCCAGTAAAGGAACAATCAAAATTCAAGCCAATAGGTGTTCGTGAAAAAGATCATAAAAAGAAAAAGTCATTGAAGAAAAAGGAAGATCTTTCTAGTGAAAAAAAACTATCAAATCAGGATCAAGATCAGGATCAGGATCAAAAAAATGAAAAAACGACAATATTGGAAAAAACAACACCAATAGAAAATTCCCCTCAAAAAATACAAGAAACATTAAATGATGAAAGTAATGATATTTTCGACGACGTAGGCGTATATGATCCATTTGAATCTATGAATTTTCAGACAGATCAAGAGCAATCTAATCAAAATCCGGTTCAATATAATACAAATAATACACATATACCAAAAAGGAATTATTTTCATACATCAACATCATTAGAAGATGATGATATTGTACAAGCGGGATCATTAACAAGGGAATCTGTATTAAAAAATGACGCACAACTTGTTACTGCATTAAAAAAAGCTGCTACACTAGAACATTTAGATAACCATGAGGAAAATTCACTTATAAAGAAAAAATCAATAAATGTGGGTTTCGGTCTTTGGTTAGATGATACATGTAATGATATAGATATTAATGATGATCCATTTGACGATGATGACAATTTTCCCGCCAAATCAAAACGAAAATCAAAATTAACTGATATAAAACGATCAAAAGGGAATAAAGCTACATAATTCTACATAAAACTTTAAAAAAAAAAACATTAATTAAATCATATTATCTACTTATTTCATCATATATCAATCTTAACCCTAACCCTAACCTGACCCTCATACTTTAACCTAACCCTCGTAGTTTAACCTAACCCTCCTTTAATACCTTGCCCTAACCCTTCAGGTATAACCCTACCTCTACATTATTCCCCCCCTTTTCAAACGCTGATTTAATAAACGTCATCAATCAACGATATAAAAAGAAAACGCAATTATCGCATAATTAAAGAGATTTTTAGGCATTAAACATAGTTTTAATAGAAAGAACGCATCATGGAAGGTATTAGTCGTTTTTTTTGCGGTTGAAAAGGATAAATATTGACTTTTTTAGAAACAATGCATGTAAATTGTAAACTATCTTCTATAACAGAGATAAATGCAGTCAATTCCCAGACAGAAGATCTGGCAGGATTTGAGGGACATCAGGATCCTTATAAGGCAAGTTTAAGCGGTTTTTTTTGGGCTTTTTTCCGGGTTTAATTGGTGGATTTAGGCAAATGCATCGTCATCAGGAAGCCATATTATTCGGCGGAAATTGACAGGTATTAGCACAGAAATAAGGTAACAATGCTTCCTAAGCATTGTTACCTAGCGTATATGTGCAAAGAACCTAATACTATATTGTTTATTAGGGTATGTTGGGTTTGCTAATCTTCCGAACCAATGGTATCGAAAATCGATTAAAAAAGGGTTTATTTTGAATCTTATGGTTGTTGGAGAGTCAGGGCTTGGAAAGTCGACACTTGTGAATACATTATTTAATTGTTCATTATATCCACCAAGGAGTGCTAAAGCGTTGACAAAAGATTCGGAAAAAACAATTGAAATTAAAAGTGTTACATCAGAAATTGAAGAGAATGGGGTTAAATTAAAATTGACGGTTGTGGATACACCAGGATTTGGTGATTTTGTAAACAATAATGATAGGTATTTTGGAAAGAAGAAAAAAAAGGATAAAAACGGTATATTTAGTGCTTATATTTAATTAGTTGGCAACCAATTTTGGAAAATATCGAACAACGTTTTGATGCGTATCTTGAAGCTGAAAATAGAGTAAGCAGAGCAAATATTATAGACAATCGTATACATGCTTGTATATTTTTTATTGATCCTACGGGGCATTCTCTTAAACCCTTAGAGATTGAATTTATGAAGCGTCTTCATCAACGTGTGAACTTGATTCCTGTCATTGCTAAAAGTGATACATTAACTGAACAAGAAGTATTAAGTTTTAAAAAAAGAGTAATATATTTAATGCTTTTATTTTATTTTATTACTTAAGAGTATAGATATTGAGCGATATTGCTTTTCATGAAATTGAAATCTTCAGACCTCCTAATTATGAATACGATGATGAAGAAACACTTAACGAAAATAATGAAATTGCTTCAAAAATACCTTTTGCCATTGTAGGAAGTAATTATGAAGTAACAACTTCTTCTGGTCATACAGTAAGAGGTAGAAAATACCCATGGGGAGTGATTGAAGTAGAAAATGAGAATCATTGCGATTTTATTAAATTACGTCAGATGCTTATTCGGTAAGATAATATCTTATTTACTGTTTTTTCTTCTAATAATTAGAACACATATGGAGGATTTGAAAGAATATACCAATGATGTGCTATATGAAAATTATAGAACAGATAAATTGTTACAAATGGGTGTTGCACAGGATTCTAGTGTATTTAAAGAAGTAAGGTGAGTTTTTACTTATTTTCTACACATATACTTATTCCTGTAGTCCTTCTATTAGACAAGAAGAAGAAAGACAACTTCATGAAGCTAAATTATTAAAAATGGAAGCAGAAATGAAACTCGTTTTTCAACAAAAAGTTCAGGAAAAAGAAAACAAATTAAAACAGTCTGAAGAAGAATTATATGCCCGACATCGGGAAATGCGTGATGCTTTACAACAACAACGTGCAGAACTTGAAGAGAAAAAGTCTCGGTTAGAATCAGGCCGTTTTACAGAGGAAAAAGGAAAAAGAAAAGGGTTTGGCTTAGTAAGATAAATGAAATAGAAAATTATATGATAAAACATATATCCTATTTGAGTTTATATACTAGGACTTTTCATTATTACTCAATTTATACGACTAAAACATATCCTGCAATTATTTAAAATTAAATATCTAACATTACAATTTTACTACAATTCAACTGATTTCATATGATTTTATTACTAACTATTTTGTAAAAATAAAATATTTCATTGTTTTTAAAAATTATAAGTGATAAATATATCAATTATAAAAATTTATTTAACTTAATTTAAATAAAACATGAAAATAATATACTAATTTCTATTCAATTGGCTTTTTATTATTATTCTTATGTACCTTAGTAAATACCTATTTTTTAATATCAAACATGTAAGATTTAATTTAAATATTACATATTCAAATTATTTAAAAAAATATCAATCTCAAAACATAACCTATTGTTGTTTATTATGAGATTCCTTATTATTCAATGGTTCAGATGGAGCATTTATAAAAGATCGTGCTGCATAATCTTTAATAAATTTTTTTATAGAAAACCATGAATTGCGCACTGATCTTGGAACTCGACTATCTGCCACCAAATGATCAATATAAATAGATATATGAACAAACGTCTGTCTTGTATACGTTGATGTAAAATAACGATAACGTATAAAGAAAGCATAAAATAAAAGAACTGTAAATGAATTTTGAAACCTATATTTATACACATATATAAATCCTCACAAATTTATTTATTACTTACGTAAATGCTCCAATTAAAACACGAGCTCCTATCAATATCACTTCTACCTTAGATACAAGCTTCATTGCTGAATCATAATGTTGTTTGATAAGAAATTGAATATATCTACATACACTAGCTTCTATACAATTTTCTTCCGGTTTAAGCGCATTAGGATTTAACGTTGGTAATACATTCGACCGCAAATATGTAAGAAAATGAAATAATGAAAATATCATATATGGCGTTAAACTTAATGCTACCGGCCTCGATAAAAACCATACTATTGCTAACACTTCAAAACATTATCATTCCATATAAACACTTTCCATTGACCTCTTACAAAGATATTGAACATTCTCATCTAGCCAAATACGCAATAAAACCCCAAATTCTATCTTGCTCCTCTAATTACACTCATATTAAATTTATTAACCAATAACCCCCCAAATAACCTACTGTATATGTTTTCATATACGTCTTGTAAACAACAATACTATATGTCAAAATTGCTCCCAGGAAAGCACAACGATATGAAAAAACATGGTGAATTGATGAAAATGTCATGTAAGAAATAAGATACCGTAGAGAAAAAAGAAGAAGAACACTATGACCGATAAACCATAAGAATTGCGGGTGCTTTAAACATTAAAACCCTGTATAAATCTTCTTTTTTTAATATTATGTACCTTGACTAAAACCTTAATACGACGAGATAAAGGCAATTGAACATAAGTATGAGAAGGCATTATTAATAATAAGTAAGATCTTAATATTTAATCTATAAATTGTTAGAAAATATTAATAAATTAGAGGATTTTCTTACATAAAGTTAAGAATATTTTTTGCAGAGGTTAGAGAGAGGAGAACGTCAATAAAAAAGAAAAAAATATATATAAGGAAAAAGAGGTAAAAAAATTTATTTAATGATAAGATTAAGTTTAGAATAGGGAGAAATATAGGAAAAAGTTTTTTTTTTGTTTTTTTTTGGAGAAAAATGAGTGAAAAATGAGGGAAATAAAGAATAAAGAATAAAAGAGGTTTTTTTTAGTGAAAAAAGGTATTATTTTGAGAGGGAATGAGACGATATGTTTATTAAAAGAAGAAGAAAGTTTTTTTTTAAGAAAATTGGAGAAAAATTGAGTAAAAATTGAGAAAATTAGAAAAAAATAATAGATGGAAGAAAAGAACGGGATAAATAGGTTAAAAAGGGCGGATTTTGTGCCTATAAGGCCTAAAATAGCGTCTATAGAAGGTAGTAGACGTCTTATAGTAGTATTAGAGAAGGCATGTTTAGAAATATATAAAATTGGAGGAAAAAAAGAAGGGAAATATTATTTATTAAATTGTGATGAACATCAAGGAATTTTGAAGAAAATGAATAGAGATATTTCAGGTAAAAATATTTTTGAATGATTAAATAATTGATTAATTTTTGAAAGAAGCAAGACCAGATATATGTCATCGTATGTGATGAAAAGTAAAAATGAATAATTATGAATTGAAATGATGTAGAATGTCTTTTAACGCTTCTTGATTCACCATTGAATAAAGCGGGTTTTTTACAGGTTTATATTCATACGACAAAAAATGTTTTAATAGAAGTGAATCCAAAAATTCGAATTCCTAGGACATTCAAGAGATTTTCAGGATTAATGGTGCAACTTTTGCATAAAAATAGTATAAGGAGTGTTGATGGAAAGGAAAAATTGTTAAAAGTGATAAAAAATCCGATTACAGATCATTTACCACCAAATTGTAAAAAAATAAGTTAATTTAGAAATATTTATTATTGGTTATTTGTTAAAAATAGATAGCATTTTCAGCAGATGCACCAACAGTTAAAATATCAGAATATCTTAGTACACTTGAGCCAGATCAATCATTATGTGTTGTTATTGGAGCAATGGCACATGGTGAAGATAATTTTGCAGATAGTTGGGTTGATGAAAAGATATCAATTAGTGAATATTTATTAAGTGCAAATACAGCTACAAGTAGAATTGTACATTCATGTGGTAAATAATAATTTGAACTATTTTATATAATGATTTTTTATTAGAAAATTTATGGGGAATTATTTAATTGAATAATATGTATTATATGGTAACAAAATATTAAATATTTTGTAATAATAAAGTATAATATGATAGAATATAAGACTAAATTTAATAAAAATAAGTTAAAATGTAAAAACATATTGTCAATATATTATAATTTAAATAAAAAAATTATTCAGAAATAATTTTTTGTATCCATTTATTGTTTTGAATATCAGAAATATATTTTTCTTGAACTAGATTTCTGAAAATATTCAACATTTCTAAACCACTCATATCTGATTCTTTGATTTTTTCTTTCCAATCATTCATTATTTGTAATAATATATTAGTTCCTATTTTTATATCCTGTGAGGCATATTTTTCTTCATCAATGATTGATACGGAATTTTCCAATTCATCTGCTTTACGTTTTGCTAATTTGACAACATTTTCAGGAAACTTTTAAAAATATTAGTATATACCAAAATTTTAAATCAATATACATTAATCATTTTGGCTACATGAATACCGAAACTTTGATCACATATTCCTATATTTGAAATTAGAGTAATTTTTTAAATAATATTAAATAATATTAAATACCAGGTTTTACTTTATATAAAAAAATAACATCTTTATTTTTATCATTATTCTCAAGATGAACAATGACACTTAAATTCCTTACAATAGAATATTTCTTTGATAATTCTGTTAATCTAAAGAATTAAGAATATTATATAATATAGTTAAATATATACTCATGAAAATGTGTAGCAAATAAAGAAAATGCATTAATTTTATTAATTATATATTCTGATATTGCCCATGCCAAACCAAATCCATCTCTAGTACTTGTTCCTCTTCCTAATTCATCAATTATAATCAAAGAGTTAGATGTAGCTGTTTGAAGTATTGTTGCTGTTTCAAGCATTTCTGCCATAAATGTTGAAATTCCTTTAAGTTGAGAATCATTGGCACCAACTCTTGCAAGAATGCTGTCAAATATAGAAATCTCTGCTTTTTCACAAGGAACAAAGCATCCTATTTGAGCCATTAAAACAATTAATCCAACCTTTAAATATCAATTAACAATTACTAATATATTTGTATTACCTGACGAATATAAGTTGATTTTCCTCCCATATTAGGGCCTGTAATAATAAGAAATTCAGATACACCACGTTCAAGATTAACATCATTTGAAATAAAAGATATATCACTCTGAATCTCAAGACATGGATGCCGAGAGCCCTTAAGCATAATTTTATTGTTTTTACTCATAATTGGCCGTACATAAGGAGAAATTGATGAAACTGATATATTTGAAAAACTAAAAAAAAGTTAAGTCTTCATTTATGTTTATTTAAAATCTACCTTATTATTACATCAAGTTGAGAAATAACTAAGCCCAATTGCTCCATTACAGGGCAAAATGATGCTAAACAAACCATTGGCTTAAATTAATATCAATTAAATAAATTACCAGCAATTTCAATAATTTCTTTTATAAGCTGTTTCTGTTGCTCCTTATATTGAGCCATAACATCATTGTATTCATTACTAAGTCTACGCATTGTTAAACTTGTAAAATATATACCAGATTTCAAAACAGATAATTCTATATAGTCCTTGTTTTTAATACAATGTGATTGCTAATTTCATGAGATTTTTTTTCTTAAATATAATAAATAATTACACTTCTAGTAAGCCTAAGACACCATCCATATATTTCACTTTGTTCTAATTTAAGTTTTTTTAAAGTATCTTGCTCTAAATCTTCACCAACACGAATGTATTCTTCCTGAATAGTATTCTTTATTTCATTTAATTGATCTGAAAAACGACAAAGAGAATCATCAAATTCTGATTTAACAACCCATTCATGATTATCCATAGCCTTAAAATCAATTGTAGTTTCTACCAATTCTATGTACTTTTTAAATGTTTCATAAAGTTCCTAATATATTTTAAAACAAATATGATTTTTTAATATAAAAACCCTCAATTTTGATAAATATGTTTCTTCTATCAATGGTAAATAATTGACATCTTCAATTTCCTCCAAAGCTGTTATTAGATCAGGAATTTTTACTATTGTTTGATAAACTCGAACTACTTCTTCTAATGTTGTAGCTTTTTTTTCAAATTTTCTACTTAATTTATAAATATCTGGAAAACTTTTCAAGAACTCTTCAACCATCCGCATAGTTCTTGAATTTTTAAAAAACGCTTCTACCAACGTATGTCTTTTTTCAATCTCATTTTGATCCATCAATGGTTGTTTTATCCATTGTGCTAATAATCGGCTTCCAATCGGTGTTTTACATCTATTAAGAAGATTATAAAGACTTGCATTTGATTCAGAATTCGCATTAGGAAAAAGTGAAAGCGTTTTAAGAGCTGGAATATCTAATTTCATATATTGAGATAAATTATATTTATAAATCTCAAATTTTTCTGATTCCATCAATTCACATGTAGTCTACCCATTCATTAATTCAAAATAACACATATAATCCTTCATTTACTAATAAATGTTTTATAATTGCCGATATTGAATCTTTACATATTTCATTATCAATATGTGCTATATTGATTTAAAATTTTTTTTCAATTTATATTAAAAACTTCACTCACATAGCATCTTTAAGCTATTTACTTGAAGAATACCCTCCAATTCGTGCTCAATATTCTTTATTTTAAAATCTTTTGGACTCATCTCTTTAATTTTTATATCAAGATCTTTTGCTATATTTTTGATTTTTGATAATTCCAAATTCTCTTTTTCACTAAAACACATAAGAACCTCCTTTATATTTAGTTGTATAAGAAGAAATTCATAATTGTTATATAATTCATTATCTACAAATTCTGAAATTCCAAATCTTTTTGTTAAATTATCTGTAAAAGCTATTCCAATAGACCTTTGATTATCCTTTACTAGGACTTTAACTGCTAAAAGTGCCATAAACTTGGATTTTTTTTAAAAATTATTTTTAAAAAAAATATATAATTTTATTTTTAATAATATACAATTTCTTTACTTTTTTTTTTAATCTTTCTTAACAATTTTTTAATTTTTCTTAATTTTCTTAACTTTTTTCTTGACTTTTCTTATTAATTTTTATTAATTTTTATTATTTTTTATTATTTTTTATTATTTTTTATTAACTTTTTATTAACCTTCTTATTAACCTTCTTATTAACCTTCTTATTAACCTTTCTCCTCAAGACGACTCAGTTTTATACATAAAAATCGCTGCCTCAGGAAAAATAGCCTAAAAACCTTTAAATGTCTGAATTATTGCTTTCATCTTTCTTAAATGATTCAGTATATTCTTTTCCTGTAGAAGGATTACTGCCTAAAGATGTATTTTCTAATTAATAATGGATAAAATATTTATTAGAATTGATAGGAAACAGAATCTCAGAAATTTGTTAAGAAATATACAGAATATGACGGTAGAGGAGTAACAGTAGCCGTTCTGGATACGGGGGTAGATCCATCAGCAGCGGGATTACAGAAAACAACGGACGGAAAGATAAAGATTGTAAATCTAATTGATTGTTCGGGTGGGTTGTGATAGCACGTTGAAAAGGATGTGATATTGAAAGGAGATATAAAGGATCGGGAGATGTGGATGTTAGTACAGTTGCAGAAGTGTATGAGGAGGAGGGAGTTCTTAAAACAAAAGGGTTAACAGGAAGAATATTAAAAATCAATAAAGAATGGAAAAATCGGGATGGAAAATGGTATATTGGGGTTAAAAGAGGGTATGAGATATTTCCAGATTCATTAATTACTCGATTGAAGAAGGTAAATAATAATAAAAGAGGAGGAAGGGAGTATAAGATGATTGATGAATAGAAACGACATGAAACGTTTAATCAGCAACATATAACGCTTTTAGCACAAATGCAATATCGTATTAATATGTTTAAAGAAGAGCATAAGGATGAAAGCAAGTTTTCCAAGGAAGAAATGGATTTAAAACAAGATCTTGAAGCGCAATATGATGTTTTAAAAGAAATGATGTCTAATTATGAAGATCCAGGACCAATTTTTGATTGTCTTGTTTGGCATGATGGGAAGAATTGGCGTGCGGTTGTTGATACGGATGAAGAAGGGGATTTAATTCGTATGATTTGAATTATAGTTATTTTATTTTTCTAATTTTTAGATAAAAAACCTATGTGTGATTATCATATTGAACATCATTATGAATATTTTTCTAAACAAGATATGCTTTGTTATTCTGTGAATATTTATGATAATGGTTCTGTTTTGAGGTGGGATTCTATTTTTTCTTAATAAAATAATAAGCTTTTAAGTCTTGTAACATTATGCGGATCACATGGAACCCATGTTTCTGGAATTATTGGAGCAAACCATCCGGATGATCCAGATTTAAATGGTGTAGCACCGGGTGTTCAAATTGTTTCTTTAAAGATTGGAGATGCACGCCTTGGATCTTTAGAAACAAATCATGCACTTCTTCGAGCTGCTATTGCTATGGTTAATCTTGGCGTTGATATTGCTAATATGTCATATGGAGAAAGCACAGGAATAAATGATGCTGGCATATTTATTGATATTTTGCGGAAATTTATAATTGGGAAAAAAGATATAATATTTGTTTCTAGTGCTGGTAATAGTGGTCCAGCCTTAAGTACCGTTGGCACACCAGGAGGAACAACTTCTGGTGTAATTTCTGTTGGTAAGATTAGCGTTTTGTGTATAATTTTAATCCTTATGAATTCAGGTGCATATGTAACTGCATCTATGATAAAAGCAGAATATTCTATTTTTGAAAATGTCCCAGAAGGAAAATATACATGGTCAAGTCGTGGGCCAAGGTATAAAATACATTGTATTTAAATAAGTTTAACATTTTCATAGTACAAATGGCGCAAAAGGTCTTACAATTTATGCCCCTGGCGCAGCTATAACATCTGTTCCTACATATGTTCTTTCACGTAGTCAATTAATGAATGGAACAAGGTCAGTAATAATTATTTGGTAAAATTTTTAATTATTTTATAGTATGTCATCACCTTCTGCTTGTGGGGGAATTTGCTTGATTCTTTCTGCATTGAAAGCACAAAAAATAAAATACACTCCGCCAAGGTAATATAATCTCTGTTTATTTTTTCTTAATTAAATATCTAGGATTTACAAGGCGATAGAAAATGCTTCTAAAAATGTTTCTGATGTTATGAATGTTGGATTTTTACAAGTTGAAAAATCTTATGACTATTTCATTCAACATATAAACTTTTTGGATCAGGATTTTGATTTTGAAATATTAATTAATAATTCGTCTTTTAATGGTAAAGGAATATATTTGCGCGAATTTGAAGAGACAAATCATCTTCATCAAATAACAATTGAGATTAAACCAACACTCAAAGATGAGGAAATACTAGAAAAAAATGCATTGGAGCTACGATTAGTATTACTTTCGTCAAAACCCTGGGTTAAGGCTCCAAATTATCTTTTATTAAATGCAGCAGGTTCAATTACAATAATATTATACATTAAAAATCTAATCATTATATAATAGGGAGGATTTTTGACGTTCAAGTGGACCCTGTTGTACTTTCATCTGGATTTCATTATGCTGAAATTGTTGCATATGATACTATTGTTCCTAAAAGAAGAATATTTGCAATTCCTGTTTCAGTTTGTAAACCCGAGCTTATTTTGAAGCCCCTTGTATCTTGGAAAAATATATTATTGGCTTCTGGATATATTGAAAGAAAATTTATTCGTGTACCTGACACATCTAATTGGGTTGGTAAGTTATATATATTTATCATCTTGTAGTTCATTTTTATATAGAACTTCGAGTACGAACTAAAAAAATTGATACTTCTATAAAGATTTTTATACATTTTACTCAATTGGTTCAAAATTTACGATTAAATGATACTGAACATAAATTTTTTTTAAAATTACATCAGAACGAATTAATATTGAAGCAATTTGCAGTAATTCCTGGTGTTACAATGGAAATTTGCTTTGCAAATCTTTGGTTATCAATCGCTTCTGGAGAAATAGATGTTGAATTAGAATTTCATGGTTTAAAGTTGAGTTCTAACAAAATTAATTTAGCACTTTCAGAAAATTCTCAGAGTATAAAACGGGTAGAAGTAATTAACACTTTAGCACCCGAAATATTTGAACCTTCTTTGAAATTAAGTAATTTTTTTCAATATTTTTATAATATATTTAATAATATTATTTAGATTCTCTCAAGAGAACATTCTATCCTTCTTTTAGCTCTATACGACCATTGGGTGAACGTGATGTTTTTCCAGATTCAAAAACATTATTCGAAATGATTCTTACATATCCTTTAAAATTTTTAGAGAATACTGAAGCTACTTTTCTTATGCCTCTCTCAGGCTCTTTATATGATTCCTCATTTTGCATGTTAACTGCTCTTTTCAATAGAAATAAAAGACTTCTTCAATTTAAGGGAGTAGAACCAATTAAAGCCAAATTGAAAGCTGGGGAATATGTTTATAGAGTTCGATTGATACATGATTCTATTTTAGTATTAGAGAAAGTCAAAAATATAACATTATCAGTTATTCAATCTATAGGTGATTCAAAAGAATTTTCTTTGAATATTTTTAATGGTAAAGTTATGAATTTTAATAATTTTTATATTTATTCATTTAGATCATATTGATGCTTTTAATAAAGAAAAGTCTCAAGATTTTAATATGAAACTGCATCAAGGAGATCGTAAAAGCATTGTTATAAGTACATTTATTGATCCAAAACAGCTTCCAAAGGATGCTAAAAATGGTGATAAACTACTAGGTCAATTGCATCTTGAAGATAAAACGAGAAGTCTTAAAAAAGCCGGATATGATGTTGAAATCAATCTAATATTAGAATCGAAAGAATCAGCTCCACCAAAAGATGAATCAATTATTGATTTACAAGTTCAAGTATTAAACAAGATTAAAGACAGCGAAGAAAAGAAAAACTTCTTAAATGAACTTCTTAGACTTTATCCTAATGAGCTTTCTGTATTGAATGCAAGATTAGAAACTATATTAAAATTCGCATCTGATGATGAGATTATTGATGCTGCTAATGCTATTATTGCTTTTGTTGATTTTGAAAAAATTACGGAATATATTAGATCTGAGCAGTTTTCTAATACAAATCTTTCGAGTGATCAGAAAAAAGAAAAAGAGAAATTGGAACAACAAAAATCTATTTTGCTTAAAGCATTACAAAAAAAAGCTGAAATTCTTGGCAGAACTTCTGATGGCATTCTTAGCAAAGAATTCGACGATGCATTTGAAAAATGTAGAAAATGGATGGAATTTCCTGGAAAAGATTATGATTTTTTTCTTTTGCAGATTAGACGTTTTATTGCTCGTAAACATTATGGTCTAGCTTTGCAGCTTATCTTAAAACTAGAATCTGACTCTTCTTATGATCTTAATGAATCTGAATTAACTAAAATTTACCAACTGAAAATAGATATTTTAAAAACATTGGATTGGTCTATATGGGAAACATATCATGAGAAATGGAAACTTATACTTAATCCCCCGAAAGGATATATATTATTTTAAAATTTTTATTAATTAAAGATAGATCATTCTAAAATAAACTAGAATTTAAATTATTTTTTCGTATTCATAATCTTTAAAAAATATACCGGAAAATTAACAATTAGATTAGGTTTATATAAAGCTTGATAGAATATCTATTTTTTTTAATTCTCATTTAATTAAATATTATGAATGAATTTTCTAAAAAATCTTATGATACATTTAACTCTTTTAATGATAAACTTAAGCTAAGAGGATGCAAAATAAACAATATTAGTAAAGGAACAAATGATTTATCATTAAAAAATATCGTTATTAAAAAGATTGTTGAATTTTCAGATCAATTGACTGTTAATATATTAAAAACAATTCCTTGGGACAATATTGGACAATATTTATGGAAAGAAATTATAGATAAAGGATATGATTCTTTAAAAATATGGAAAATATTCGTTGAGGTTTATCATAATTCAATTGAATCACCAGATGTCTTCAACAAAAAAGAAATAATTACATCATCTTTTATACCTATATTTAAAGAAATTGACTGTGATTCATTATATTGGCTTAGTACTTTAGATATCAATGGCAACAAATCTTTAACTACAGAGAATTTTATTTATATTTCATATTTACATAATTTAATTGCATTGAATGTTTCAAATACAAATCTTACAGATATGATATTAAGTCATTGGGGTAGAGCTGCTCAAAAAGATAAATTTATTCAATTATTATATATAGACATAAGAAATAATCAATGCACAATATCCTGCGCTGTTAATTGTATGGCAAAATTCAAATCTTTACTGTAGGTATTTATTATTTTAAAAAAATTAATAATATTATAGTTATTTTTCTATTGAAAATAATGAGTCAGAAACTATGGAAATTTTATATGAGAAATATCCGCGATTGAAACCTTCTTATCAATTGATTGAACATATCTCACACTGCAAAACATTTGAAGATTCATATAGGTGTATTTTTAATTTTCATTCACATTTTGCTGGGCATTCAATTATATATAATTTATTAATAAAATCTCAGGATACTGTTCTAATTCAACAATTTCCTCCTCTTTTATTCTACTCAGAACCTTTAAAAGGTATATCTTCATCTTTAAATACAACTTCAACAAAAAGAAGTTCTAAAATACAAAAAAAATCATTAAAAGAAAAGATCTATAAGAGAAATAAATCCAAACAGATAGAAAATTGGGAAGATATTATAGAATAATTCTCTTTGTATTTATAATTAACATTTAAGAGCTCAAAATCAAGCTTTGATTTTTTATAATATTGCAATTTACTTTGATATGTAAAAAATAAAACTATATTTCCCTAATAAAAAAGATAAACTATCTATATATGTAGACATATTTGAGAAGAAATAAATATATGTTCCATAGGGTATTATGTTGATATGATTCTTAAATAATTACACTCTATTTGAATTCGAAAAAATACAGTCGTTATTGGTTGAAACTTCTATAAAACTGCTATCTGATTTATTGCTCCAATTAGTAGAAAACAAAATATTGTTTTCTAATTCATCGTTTCTTATCCAACTTATTTTAATACATCTTAATAATAATTTCTCAGTGATAGAATTAGCAGATTTATTATGTTGATATTCTATAACATCTTTTAATGTTTTAAATAGCTTCTGAAGTTGATCTTGTTTATAATAAGGTGGATTTTTTAGTTGAGTATTCTTAAGTAAATAATAAAAGACACGAAGATATGCATGATAAAGCTAATTCTTATATATTAAAGTTGTAAATTTTAGAATAATAAGTACCTTTTTGTTGTTTTCAGGAAGATTATACAATTTTTGAATAAAGACATCTACTAAAACTTTCAGATCATTAGTATAAAAATATTCAAGCGTCTCTTTAGTAGTAAATAAAAGATATAGTTGCCTTAAAATCAAAAACTGTAACCATACGTCTTCTACAACTTATAAATATATATATATAGATCAATTATAGATAACTATACTTTCCCTATTTAATATAAATATTATATTTTCTCCAAAAGTTTTATATATATCTCCTTTTTTTTTAAGAATATTCATAACAAGATTCACAGGTGATTCATTTTCAATGTTTCTTGATGCGTCAGATGATGAATTTTGTAAATGAGAAGGTAGTGATTTTATAATATACTGTTCATTAATGACAAGCTATAAAGAAATTAAAATCAGTAAAAAAGTATTCTCCTGTTATATTACGATAAGCTTTATAGCAGAAAGAGTATATGGATCCTCATAGCATGTATTTTTCTCAATTAATTCAAAAATAAAACAAAGAAATTCTTCATGTATAAAAAATAACTCGTCTGATGTAAGATGATGTACTTTGCATATTTCACAAAGAAGTTTTAATCCAAGTTTATGTAATTCTGGGAATTCTTGAAACCGTTTCCAGGTAGTATTAATCAATGATTGAAATGATCCTTTATCCTTTATAAGTTTATATGTTTGTGGATATGTTCGTGCATCAAAAAATAAAAGCCAATACAAAATATAAAAGTATTTAAGCTTATCTTCTTGATTTATCATTATTATTAGCTGATAACGTGTATAATCTTTATTGGATATAAACATATCAGAATTCAAAAATTTCCAGCAACAAGCCTCATAATCAGATTCTTTTTTTAAATACTTGTTAACTATAACATCTCTTATTGTGTTTCTTATATTATTAGTATTATAAACCTCCATAGATTGTTGTAAAATTCAAAAAATTCTTAATACAAATATCCACACATTTTTGTGTTTTTTCAATTAAAATTAAGATCTCACTTAATTCTAAGCAAAATTACTTAATATTCCTGATAATTCCTATAATTCTTAGACTCAACCTGTCCAAAATTCCTGCTCATTATCAATCTCATATGAGACAAATTCCATTGAATAAATGATCCCTCTATATACCAGTAAAATACACCCTTAAAAAACTATTTCCATACAGATAATAACTTATTGTCTCATATACTATTGATTATTAGTACTTTTTCTCTTTAAAAATTATAAAATATTAAATCTTTATTTTAACCTTAAAATTTCAAATATCTTAAGCGATTAGCTTTGTATAATAAATAGATATATAATACCTTTACTAGATTATACAAGACCTGTTTGATATGAACAAATTATTGTATATAATTAAATAATAGAATTGATATTAGAAGATGTAATATTTTTGTTAATTGAAAATAAATTATATGTTGCACCAGAGTAATACTTAGTAGAATAACCAAAGAAGAGTTATAATGTATCCAGAATGCCAGTGATTTGAATAGAAGAATTGTCTGTTCCTTACAGGACTTTTAGCTACTGATATTCCTATAATAAAAGAAAATAAATAAAGTTTTTATAGTTTTTGAGAGTTTTCTTTCCATAAAAAAGAAAAAATGAGGTCCATTATCATTGAAATAGAATAAATTATTTGTTTAAATGTAAATTCTGAGCCAGAAATACTTATATTTTGTATATATAGAGTATTTTCCCTTAAAAAAATATTTAATGATGAGTATAAAAGTAGATAATAAAGCAAATATAGCAGTAATAGTAGCTAAATGTTGATTGAGAAAATCCCTTCATGGTAAAAGTTTGAGAAATTGTTTTCCAAGTAGAAATAGTCGGTATACCAAAAAGACAATTTAAATAAGAAGTATTAGGATCTAAAATATAACCATAAGTTTTTGTAAATAAGAAAACACCTATAAGAATCCATATGAAAACAAAGATGTAAATAGAATGTGTAAGTAATTGTGAACGAGAAGATAATAAAAACAATTATCCAATTTTTAAATCAGTAGTTATGTCTATACTGGAAAGTATTGTAATAGAAACAATACCAGAAATAATCTGATTGTAAGAATTCCATTAATTGGTATTTTTTATGAAATGCTGCTCCACCAATTATAGGTTGAGTTGCTTTTGTACAGTTTGATATAGGAACAATATCTGTAGCGCCTAGCAATTGAATTATAATGTGATAAAAAATAGTTAATTTGTCAGAGTCAGTTATTAGCACCAATAATAGACAATGATTTCCATATTAAAGAATAAAACTACTAAAATATATAGCAATCCCAAAGAATACCGGGAGTATATTAACTTATAACTTTCCATATTAAAGATAATGAAAAAGAAAGAATAAACCATCTTCTTTTTCGCTATATTTTCTCTAGAATGGCCTCCATAAGAACTCATATTGTAAATTGAAAAGCTGTATATGTCGGAAAAATATGTTTTAATTTTAAAATACTCCATTTCCTAAAACTAGTGCTAATAAATGAACCATAGAAAGATGCAAAGACAACAAGAATCATAAATTGCCAGAGATTTTGAGATAAATTTTTAGAAAAAATACTAAGATGATACATAGCAGAAATAATGAATGTATAGATCATAGATAGAACCCCTAGCACCATCATAAAGATTAAGAAATTGCATTTTCCCATGAACCAAAATAATTATATCCAAAAAAGCCTTGATAATTTATAGGAAAATTTTCAAAAATTATAAAACTCATAATAGAACTAAATATTCCAGAAAATATGTTAAATCCCAAATATGTATATAGCAGTTTTTTCATTGATTTAATATTATTTGAGATGATAAACCCTTTAATATAATAACAATCCTTTATATCCTTTAAAATAATAATTTAATTCCATAATCTTAACAATTTTTAAAAGATTTCTATATTTTTTATTTTCTCAGAATTCATCTCTGTCCTTTGATAATTTGATAAAAAGAATTTTAAAGATTTATACAATATATTTTATAAATTATCTTAATTCCTTTGGTTTCTATGTGTTTCTGTGAAAAACGTTTATATCTGAATAAAACATATTAGCTTTGAATATTCCTTAAAGTTCTGAAGAATCTTGTTTTTTTATAGATTGAAATAAGAAATTTATATATTTGTATTTTTTATGATAAAAAAAGATTAAAAACTGAGATATTATGAGAAAACATTGATATTAAGAATAATTGAGTTGAATATTTATGAATTGTTTATATACTTTGCAGTTTAAAAGATATAATATGTCTTGATAGGGAAAATTCATTAATGAAATAGAATTCAAGAATATTTTAGAGGTATCAAGAAATAAAAAAGTTATATAAATGTTTTTTATCACTGATTTTATCTTTAAAATGATTATGTTTTTTATATTTAAAGTTAGGGTAGATTTTAGTGCATTAAAAACAGTAGATAAAATTATAGTTATCTTGAAAGGTTTTATAAAAGAATATATTGTTTAATTAAATTTATATTTATTATTAAATATATTTAAAACATTTAATAGTATTTGTTAAAAAAAGGCAATTCTGAATATTCATGGCAATTTTTATATAATTGGGTCTTAAAATATTTAATAAAATTTAATATAACAAATTTAATCTTTAATTTTGTGTAAAATTAATCAATTGAATAGCAATTTTTTTAAAAAGTGTTATTTATATTATTTGAATCAGAATTAAATTCTGAAAGATATTTTAAAAATCAAAATAATCTCAAAAATGTAATCATATATTATTAATTTTTTAGAAGAGCTTATTAGAATATGTATAAAAATGAAAATTCACATTTGATATAAATATATTTTGTATTTTTCTAATCATTATGTTTTCTAAAAAAATCATACTAGTAACTTTTATGATAAAAAAAAACAATTATGTTATATTAATTATAAGAAAATCTTTGTTATATGAGTTTTGATAGTTAAAATTATGAGAATATTTATAGGACTAGAAATATAATTCTAGTTATTTTATATTCACTTATTATAGAACTTTACAAAAATAAGATATTTTATTACAACAATAGAACAATTTATTTAAATAAAATATAAAGATTCAAATTATTAAGATTTTAATAAAAATAAGCTCTTTTAAAGATAAAATTACAGTAAATTATTCATAATTCTATTGAATCAAAAGACGCTAAAAAATTATAGATATACTCTCATCTAGATATACCAATTTAAAAAAAACAAAAAAATACATAAATAATATCTCAAATCTAATAAACAAATCAAAAAAAGCCATGATTAACTATTATTAGAAATTTTTTACTTAATCTTATCAATCATTGAGTTTTACCATAATTGTCTGACATCAACCTAGAGAAATTAAGTTAGATAAAGTACAAATTAACAAGATTAAATAAGGATCTATTAAGGAAAATTATAAGGGAATTAAGAGTATTATCTTGTAAGAATATCGCCATAATTATATACATTTTCTTTTGGTATCTTTTTAAGGCTAAACATATTTGTTAAATCAAAAAAAACATAAAAGCTATAAACAAGCACTTAGAAATAGGTATTTAGAATAAGGAGATTGGAGATCTTTATAGGCTTTACAAATAAAAATGGAATTTCAAGAAAATTTTGAAAAAAATGATGATATAGAAAAACCAGAAAAGAAAAATCAAGAGGTATGTATGATTTCTTGATATTTCATCAAAAACAAATATGATATTGTTATTTTGTAGGATTATGTTGTTGATGAAGCTCTTCTTTTTTTAATTGATGTTTCTTTATTACCAGAAACTGATGAGGAAGTAAGCACAATTGCAAAAACAGCGCTGATTGCAGCCTATAAAATGCTTATTTATAGAGTGATTTCTAAACCAACAATTTCATTTGGAATATTGTTATATGGAACAGTAATAATAAATAATTTAAAAACATTGGTTGATTTAGTATAGAGAGATACAAACATAGAAGAATTTCCATTATATTCTAATTTATATTTGATATTAGACTTAAATGTTCAAAGTGGATCATCTATTAAAAATTTCAAAATATTATTATCTGGTAACTGGAGATTTTGATAAAGATTTATGCTAATTGAAATATAAAATAGATGATGCAAAAGTATCTAAAATAATTATCCCAACAACGAGACATGTTAGGCTCTTTAATATTTTAGAATATGCAAATAACATGTTTAATAAGCTGTATGTCTTCATGTCTTTATAAATAATGGTTATACAAATTTTATAGGAATTCTTCATATAAAATAAAGAGAATATTTTTAATAACTCATAATGATGATCCAAGCTTAGGTTCTCAAGAATACAAAAATTCTACTATTGCTTCCATTAGGAATCTATCTAATTCTGGGATTACAATAGAACCATTTTTTATTAATGGAAAAAAGATGTTTAATTTTGACAACTTTTATAAAGATGTATTATACATATCAAAAAATATTGATAAAATAGAAAACCATTTAACGTATGAAATACTGGATCTTGATCAAATGGTAGATACTATCTTAAAGAGACAGAGTCCCAAACGTTTAAGGCTCATCTTTTTTAAATATCAATGTATAATATTGATTTAGGATTTCTTTTTGAATGTCCACTTCAAATTGCTCCAAATTTGGACATTAATGTTCGTGGTTACATATTATTTAGAAAAAAAGCACCACCCAAGACTCATAATGTTTATATAAAGTCAGAAGAACCACAAATTGTTAAAACAACAGTTAATTATATCTGCCAGGTTTAATATCTATACCATATTTCTATTGTCTTATATACATCAGGAAACGTCTAATCCTTTAAAAAATGAAGATATTAAAATGGCATATGATTTTGGTGGAAAAAAAGTATATATTTCTTTTCTAAAAGGTTTATAAATACATTAGATCTTATTTTCTGAAGAACAAATGAATTTATTACAATTCTACGAGCAAGATCCTGTCATTAGGATATTGGGTTTTAAGTCATTCGATCAATTGCACTTTTGGGAAAATGTTCATCCTTCTTATTTTTTATATCCAATAGATAAGGCAAGTTATCAAATTTCTTTAAGACTGGAAAAATATAACATATATTAGAAGAACCTCAATTCTTCTGATCTGTTTGCATCATTGGCACGTACTCTTTATAAACTAGATAAAATTGCTATTGCATGGTTTCGTCCATACAGAAATTCAAATCCAAGAATATCTGCATTAGTTTCCAATTTTGATTCTAATAAAAAAGATGATAATGACGAATTTCCAAGAGGTCTTTTTGCTATTATTTTACCATTTTTGGATGATATCAGACAAAATCCAGAACAAACTTCTGCAAAAGGTATTTATATTTTTAAAATATACAATTAATGTTTAAAGCTCCTGATCCATTGATTGATAAAATGTCTGAAATTATAGAACGCTTAATGATTGATTCATATAATCCATTGCACTATGAAAATCCAGGTAAATAAATAAAAATTATCATTATAAATTAAAGTTTTAGGTATGCAATGGACTTATAAAAAGTTATCATCAATAGTTCTTGGAGAAGATCCATACGTAGATACCATTGATAAGACAATTCCAGATTATTATTTAATTAATAAGGTTAGAATTTCTTATTTATTACTTTATTTATTTAAAAAAAAAGAAAGCTGGATCATTTATTCTTCAATGGAATCAACTTTTAGGAAATTCAAGTAATTCATATGAAGAAACATCATCTTATCCATCCAAAAAACAAAGAATAAAGGCTGATGATTAATTTTCTTCAAAAATAAAATTACAAATATCTTCTTCTATTTATATGGATATAAAATTAAAAAAGAATATATACTGGCAATTTCAAAATAAAACAATTTATAAAGAACAAATTAAAGTATATACAAAATATTTATTAATACATCTAAGTATTTTTTAGAGGGTTAAAAGTCCTATTTCTAAGCGAGTATTTTTAAATATTTATTCTTTCAAAACTAATATTAAGATAAAAATTAATATATTAATGGAATTAATATATAAAACATGGGGAATTCTACATATTCATTTTGTACATCATCTCAGTTACATTTTCCTATTCATATTAAAATTGGAACAATTAAAGGCAATCTTTCAGCAATATTTAATAGTATAGATTATCTTAAAAATCAAAATGAAGATAAAAAAGAGTAAATATAGGGTCTATTATTTCTATTTAAGCTGAGGACATAGTTTTTTTCCGGATCTTTTTGTTACAGTTCAACTTTATTCAGATAATAAAGCTTTAACATTGCCAAATAGAACACGTTATAAGAATTTTAAATATAAGAAAATGTGCGTCTTGGAAGAAGCTTTCATTAGAATTTATATACACTAAATTCTATTATTTAATTAAAAAAAAAAGGATTAATAAGAAATTAGATGGAACGAATGGCTTTCATTTCCATTAAATTATTCAGATCTTCCATTAAACGCACAATTTGCAATAGTAATTAATGATGCTTATGGATCTAAATTAAATAGACCTTTTGCTAGTACAACAGTGAAACTATTTTCACCTGATAAGTAATATATGGAAATTAAATTAAAAATATTAATAAACCAAAAGAACATTAAAAACGGGCCTTCAGAAGCTTAATTTATTTATTGGTGTTCCAGCAGATGGAAATAATGATTCAAGTACATCTGATGATATTTCTTTTCCAAATGATATGAATCATTTGGAAATGGTATAAAAATTATGAAATATTTATTAGTATTTACTTTTATATAGCTTGTTAAAAAGTATGAAGCAGGAGATATACAAAAAGTTAAATGGCTGGACAATCTTGCTTTTCATCAAATTGAAAAAATACGTCAAGTATGAAATCTCTATAATAATTTATATTTAAATCCAAATATTTAGAAACATCTTGATAAGCTTGAGTCTTTAGTACTTTACATTGATTTTCCTCAATTTGATTTTCCTATTTTGTTTTCAGAATATGAATATCCAGCTGCTCTTAGTTTTTCATTTAATGGTTAAAATATATAATAGTCTTTATGATATTCGCTAATTAATCTTATTTTAGAAAAACTATCATCTTCTAAACTTATTCTTACACCTCCAGATCCTGAATTATTTAGGGAAAATTTAATTGAGACTAAATACAGATGTTTAATAAGATCACATAAAAATGGGCCATTAGACAGAGAGCTAAAGCCTAATTCTAATATAAGAGATCAACTTAATGTACGTCTTTTATAATTATATTAAACATTAACTAAAGAATCAAAGATAATAATGACATTTCCTCCAACTCAGGAATTAACTTCTGAAGAGAAAGATTTAATATGGAAATTTAGATTTTATCTTACTAGAGATAAAAGGGTACTTGATTTCATAATATTAAAGTATTTTTTAAAATATTTTATATAGGCTTTGGCAAAATTTCTTAAAGCTGTTGTATGGACAGATGTTATTGAAGTGAAACAGGCCCATGACCTCCTCAGATTATGGACTGAAATTGATATTGATGATGCTCTTGAATTACTTGGTCCTGGATTTAGAGATGATGTTGTTAGAGGCTATGCTGTAGATAGACTAAGAAAAGCAGACGATGATGTATATTTTTCCACTAAAATTGATTCGTTTATAATTAAATTTAGGACCTGATGTTATATCTTCTGCAACTGGTTCAGGCTCTTCGTTTTGAGAATCCAACTTTAGAAATATCAAAAATAAATAACTATCCATCATCTCTTGCTTATTTTTTAATTGAAAGAGCTATTAAAAATGAAGTACTAGGAATTAATTTTTACTGGTATTTAATGGTTGAATGTGAAGATAAAACATGTGGAAAGTTATTTTCAGAAATTGCTTATCAATTTATGACTAGTTTAATGGAGGTTGTTAATATGGTTACAATTTCATTGTTTATTAATTTTAGGTTCCAAATGGATTAATACGGCAAAATATTTTGAAAAGACAGGCAGAATTGTTAGCATCATTGTTGTTTATATCTAAAGAAGTTCGTTCTATAAAAGAATCACGTCCTAAGAAAATTGAACGTCTTCGTTATTATCTTTCCAATCCAGATAATTGTTTAATCAAATTTGAACCTCTTTCACTACCTTTGGATCCTTCTATTTCTGTTGTAGGAATAATTCCAGGTTACTTTTTTTTGCACTATACTTTTCAATTTTTAATTGTATAAAGCTGAATCAACTGTGTTTAAAAGTAGTCTTTTTCCTCTTCTTATATGTTTTAAAACAACGACTGGATCATTATATTCCATTATTTTTAAGAATGGTGATGATTTGCGACAAGATCAATTAGTTATACAGATGGTTTCTCTTATGGATAAGCTTTTACGTAATGAAAATCTTGATCTTAGATTAACTCCATATAAAATTCTTGCAACTGGTGTAAATCATGGCGCTGTACAATTCATACAAAGCATAAGTTTAATGACATGTTTAACTGAATACAATGGAAGCATTCTTGCATATTTTAGATCTAATAGTCCTGATAATTCTTCAGAATTGGGTGTCAAGGCAGAAGTAATGGATACTTATGTAAAAAGCTGTGGTATTTAAATTAATATAATTTAAATATTATTAATAATTTTTATAGCAGGTTACTGTGTAATAACATATTTACTTGGCGTTGGTGATAGACATCTTGATAATTTGCTTCTGTGTTCTGATGGTATGGTTTTTAATATTTTTGTTTTTTTATACAATATTATAGGCCATTTTTTTCATGCAGATTTTGGTTTTATTCTTGGAAGAGACCCTAAACCATTTTCACCAGCAATGAAACTTTGTAAAGAAATGGTAGAAGGAATGGGGGGTGCATCGTCATCATATTATTCTCAATTCAAGTCTTATTGTTACACTGCATTCATTACATTACGAAAATCTTCAAACCTTATTATAAACTTATTTGCATTGATGTTGGAATCTAACATTTCTGATATTAAATATGGTCCAGATAAATCTGTATTAAAGGTTGTTATATATACATATATATATATTCTATTTTCTTAATATATATAGATCAAAGAAAGGTTTTGTTTAGAAATGACTGACGAAGAAGCAATAAAATATTTTCAACAACTCATTAATGACTCTGTTTCTGCATTTTTTCCTGTTCTTATAGACAGAGTTCATAATATTGCACAATATTGGAGAAGCTGATTATAATTCATTTTATAAATAATTTAATCATTTTTAATGTAAGTCAATTTCATATATGTTTAATTCTTAGAGTAAAATGTACTAGTAATATATATATATGATAAAACTTTTTAATTTTTACAAATTACTTTCTATTTATTTTTGCATTGAACCATTTGTTCTGCTTCAATCTTATATTACTAATTATGATAGATAATTATACTTCAATGAAGATAAAATACACAAAAAATAACCTCTTATTTAAGGTTGTTTTGCTTCAGAAAATCATGACTTTAAAGATAGATTTTGAACAGAGATCTGAGAAGTATATTTAAAGAACAATATTTATATCTTTTTTCTATCATAAATAATAAAGATTTTTTAGATGATGAAAACATATTCGTTAAGACACACAAACCATGGATCTTATGGTTTACACTAATGATATAACGTAGTTTTCAAGCAGATATTTCAAAAAATAATCTTTAACTCTTATTTATATATAGAAAATTGGATATTTTGTAAATGATGACTTAAGCCAAATTTAAGCAAACATTAATTATTGTTTACTTTGAAATAATTTTGAGAGGTCTGAACAAAATATTCTTCTATATTCTTAACAACAAAAAATTATTCATTCATTATAATCTAAAAAATATATACACAAAATAATTCAACTATTCTTCAATAAAGAGACATAAAACATGGCAAAATACTGTATTTTATTCTTCTTAGTCTTTGATGGTTAAGTTTAGACTTAAGTTCGATCGATAATCAAAACTTAGCAAATTTATAAGATGTTTAATAAATCTTCTAAAGGCTTTATAAAGGAAGATCCGGTACCACCGGATTATGGGACGTCATGTCCATATAATAAAGGTATTAGTGAGACTATATTTGATGGTTATACGCCTTTACTGGATGAACATCATATAATTCAAGAGAATGAGATTCCAGAGGACTTTAAATATGGAACAACAGTTAATCAATGTGATATTTCAATAAGAATGGGTAGAATCAATAGAATAGAATGGCTGTATAAAGAAGAGCTGATTTTGGGGGGTTAGATTTTGTTAGAAAAGTATATTCTATACTTTTTGTGCAAATCATAGCATCAGTTTTAATTTCAGGAGTTTTAACAATGAATAAGATGTTAAGAGAATATATTGTATCTAATCCAATGATAATTTTTTTTTCAATGTTTGGGAGTATTGGTACATTACTTTTTTTATCATGGAAACGGCGTTCATGTCCATTAAATTTCTATCTTCTCGCTTTATTTACATTATTTGAGTCATTTACAATTGGAACTATAGGTTTATACATTATTTTGTGTATAAAGATTGATAAATACTTATGGAAATAGTTTCTTTTTATAATAGTAATGTTGTTTTGGAAGCACTTTTAATTACTACAGGAATATTTTTGGGGTTAACGCTATTTACATGGCAAAATAGATATGATTTTAGCAGTATAGGGGGTTATTTATATTTTGGACTTATAGTATTTTTGTCAGGAGGGCTGGTTTCCTATTTTTTCCCTTATAATAGGTAATTTAATAATTAAATGATTTTTTTTTTACATTTTAGGACATTTGATTTACTATACGCTATGTTTGGGGCTCTTATTTTTATAGGATATATACTTTATGATACATCAAATCTCATGAAACACTTATCTCCAGAAGAATACATTGTTGGAGCGGTTTCTCTTTATATAGACATTGTAAAGTTCTATTTTGATGTTATAAGTTGTTTTTTTAACATAATTAGGTAAATCTTTTTTTGCAAATTTTAAATTTGATTGCAAAATTAGATGGAGGAGACAATGAATAAATAATAACTTGACTCGACTTTCCTATTTTTAATAGGTATTTACTATTCCTGTTGACGTTTGAATAAAGTATGTCTTTTAACATTATTTTATGGTATTTTAATATTACACTTTTTTATTAAAAAAAGGTATTTTTTAAAAGATATCATCTAAAATAAACTTTCCTAAGTTTCCTGTTCTATATTTTTTAATAAGGAAAGTTGCAGCTGTATAAATATTAGGAATTCCTCCTTTGTTAAGACAACCTGTAGCTATAGCAATTGCATTTAATAATTCTTCTATATTATTTGTAGGTTGCTTCATTTTGAATGGTGTTAAATATAATTCTGGATCAATTAAATTAATACGAAATAATAAATAATCTGCAACTGTAATAATGTCAATAATATTGTCCTTTATACATCCAACTAATGCTAATTTTAAAAAAGTAATAGGATCATTTGTAGAAGGAATCATAATTCCTATAACAAATAAATAAATTCCTTCGTTTTTCCTTAATATTACCCGGTGTATCTATACAATATACTAAAGGTTTTTTTATAATTTTGATTTTTTGTGTTATTTTTTTTGTAATACCAGGTTGTGCACCTGTTTTTACTGCCTTTCCTAAAACATAACCCAATAAACCATAATCAAACAATTATTTTAAAGACTACATACTATTTTTCTGATACATATCAATTGATTGTAGTCCTATATAACGAAATGAATTTAAAAGAGTTGATTTTCCAACATTTGGCATTCCAACTACCATTACATTCATTCCTGATATTTTATTCATCTTTAACGCCCTTATTCTTATACTTTCATATATTTTTCTCATTGATTTTGGATCTTTTAGACTACAGAATATCCCATCTTCATAAAATTTCTCTTCAATTCTCTATTTTCCTTAAAAAAATACCTTTTTCTTCCCATCAAAATACCTTTTTACTATCATAATCCAATAAATCATACTTGTTGAATATTATTATCCTTTCTTTCTTTCCAATTGCCTTGTTTAACAATTTATTTTCACTTGAAACAGGAATTCTACAATCTCTAGTCTCAATTACCAAATCAACCTCATTTAAAAGATCCCTCATATCTCTTAATCCTGAAAACATATGTCCTGGAAACCAGGTCCTCTTTAAACTGCAATAATAACTATATCTAGGCAAAAATATGGTCATAAATATCTTCTTAAACTTAATAATTAAAATATTAAAAAAAACATATCAAATCTTCTACAAAACATTGGATTCCTTGTTTTTCATCTTATTATTTGTTAAAACATTTAATATAAATATCATCATTCATAATATACCTTACAATTTCTAACTAAAAACTAATATCTCATACACTTTTAAAAAACTTATTTTAATAACTATTTGTCTATTAATTACTATAAAAACCCTTTATCTACATATTTCTAAACATTTTTTAAACTATATTTTTAACATTAAATTTTAGCCCTTGTATAGCACTATTTTAGAGCAAAAAAATCTATAATCATATTAAATAGTAATATTTAGACTCTGTACAGTAAGTATTCTATAAGATAACCACGTTTCTTGTCTTGTTATGTCTTTTAATACCATATTAATACTATAATAAAGACCAAAATATAAAATTTTTAAAATATATATCTTTAAGAAATTTAAAAGATAAAAAACAAATATTTAACAAAATATATTATGTTTATTTTCATTATTATTTCTTCTTATAACTAAAGACTTATAATCCTATTTTTTAGCTACTTGAAAATAATGTAAGTTTTAAACAGCTTAAAAGTGATTTAAATTAACAAATCTTAGTTAAATCCTGTGTTAGAAGCATTTCAGGATTTTATTATTAAGTTTTTTAAATGACTGAAAATTCACCATATTCATCCTTTACACCAGAGACAGAATTGCGTATGTTGCCTTTGGTAAGTTATTTTTAATTATTTCATGATAATATCTTATTAAAATGAATAGACATGGTAAATTAGAAGCTATTTTATGTATATTTTAAGATTTTTTTCTTATCAGAGTTAGTTCAGGACATACACGTCCAGTGATGCATCTTTCATTCTCACGTCTTCTTGAAAACAATCAATATTATCTAATATCATCATGCAAAGGGAAAATTATCATTTGAACCAATTTTTCTTGACGTCTGATAGATGGGAATTCTATGCTTCGGGATGGGATAACAGGAGATTGGATTGGTACGTTTTTAGGGCACAAAGGAGCTACATGGTCATCAAGATTCAATAAAGATGCAGATAGGGCAGTAACAGGATCAGCTGATTTTTCTGCGTAAAGAAATGTATTGGATTAGATGTCGTTTATGATTTGAGTATAGAAAAGTATGGGATACATATACAGGAAATATGATACAATCATTTTCTCATGAACATATTGTTAGATCAGTGGATTTTTCATATAATTCTAAGGAAATAGTTACAGGTGGACATGAGAAAAAGATTCGTATATTTTCATTAAATTCACCTTTGACGCCAATTTTTGATTTATCAGGACATAAAGGTACTATTAAGAATGTTACATGGATGAATAATGTTATTATATCTTCTGGAGATGATGAAAAAGTACGTTGGTGGGACCTTCGAATGTTGAAGGAAGTAAATTCTTTTGATGCAGGAGAATTTGTTACAAATTCTGAAAAAAGTCTTGGGGAAGAATATCTTTTAGTAGTAGCAGGCAAGAGAATATTTTTTCTTGATTTTAAAACGTAAAACATGCAAGTAAGAAAGTTCTTTAACTTATTTTTATAGACAAAAAAGTGTAAAAACAATTGTTACAGAATATGATGTTTCTAGTGTCTCTCTTCATCCTGAAAAAACCAAATTTGTTACAGGTGGAGGTTCTCAGCCTTGGGTTAGAGTTTATGATTTTAAAACAGAGAAACAATTGAATGTTTATAAAGGACATCATGGGTATCTACATATTTATAATAATATATTATTCATATTAATTATTCAAGGCCTATACATTGTGTCAGCTTTAGTCCTGATGGTGGATTATACGCAACTGGTTCTGAAGTAGTTTTATACATTATATTAAAGATTTTAATAATACAATATAGGATGGTACAATAAGATTATGGAAGTCTCAACAAGGCCCATATGGTTTATGGCAATAAATTTAATTATTTGGAAAAATTAATTGGGAATATATTTTTTATTAATTATAAATTTTATAATATTGGTAATTTAATAATCATCCTTTCTGTTTAATAGACTACCTTTAAATATAATAATTCTATTATTTTGTCTTTCTTTCTCTTTTAATAATATATTATTAAAAAAATTATTATTGCATCTATCATTCAAATATATTTATATAAAAAACAAAATATTCTCCTGTATTAAGTATAGGGTATTATAAAATAATACAACTTATAGCTATTTATAACTTATTATTCATAACTCATTATTTCCATATATTCGCATTCCATTGAGGATCCTGAATAAATGATGATAACGCTTTACTCCCCGTTTGCAAAAGAGGATGTCCTGCTACTCTTACCCCTCTTTTAGGTTTCTTATCTTATATAAAATCATTCTTACATTTGTAAAAAACGTTCAAGTTGATCTCGTCTATGTTCAATAACTTTGTCCGAAAAACGATTCGTAAGCACTTTTCCTGGAAGCGGAGGTATTAAAACCCTTGATGACTCCCTTTCAAGAATACATCTATGACTTATATAGACTTGCTTTAAAATGACTTATTATTCACTTAAAATCCTCAAATTCAGAGTATCTTCGGCGAACCGAAGAGTATTTCGCCTTAAACGCTGGTATATTTGTCTTATATACTTAATATTAACGCTTTTCTCCTCTGTTTTACCCACTTTACATATAATTTCATAATCCGTATACATTCCACGTCCAATACCATGAGTAATCGGATTTTTCACCTAAAAAAAAACATAAACACCTACAACTCTTCACGGAGAACACGGTAAACATGTCAATTCCCGTTTTTACCTCGATTTCAAGGAAATTTTGCGGCGGTTCATACCATGCATCTTGTTGAACTTTACGATCGCAAAAAAACTCCTGATTTTGAGAAAATGATTGAAAAGCCTTTGATGAGGGCATATTTTATCCTTAAAAAACTCTTTTTTCCCTATAAATTAGACTAAATTTAGCCTGTCCGTCATCAACCTTTTTTTTTGACGTCGAAATCCTACTGAAACGTCGAGACTTAGTTAACGACGTCAACGACAGCAAATTTTTTGCAGGAAAAAAAGGCAAAAAAGATGCTACTTGAAGAGTCATTAGATAGTATTATTAATTCTAGAAAGGTAGAGCGAGAATTAAGGAGAAAAATGGTTTTTTTCCGGGTTTAATAGGCCTTATAGACGTTGAGAAAATCGAGAATAACCGAGTCGAGATCAAAGCGGAGATTTTTTAAAAAAAAAGGGTTTAGGATGAGTTGCAAGGTATTTTAAAGAATGGGAATGATAAGAATGGGTTATAAGAAGTATAGGCATGTTTTTTTCCTGCTTTTTTAGGCGTATTTTTGAATGAAATTTGACTTTTATATTTTTGATAATAGCCTGATAATTTATACAAGAGAAAGTATGATGAACCATGGAGACATGATCTTTATGAAGGATCAGGAGAAAATCCGTCTATTTCAGGGTTAAAAGAGGCGTATGAAGAAGAGCCAAAGTAGAATATTTATATATATAAATATTAATATGAATGAAAACTGAGAGATTAAGGGCTTTAACATATCGTGTTAAGGTGGAAAATCTTCATTATGAGCTTACAGAGGATGATTTGAATGTAAAAAAAGAATTTTTTTTATGGAATAATTTTTAAGAATTGAAGGGATTATTTAAACGAATTGGACCTGTTGCTAAGCTTAATATTAAGTATGATCGTTCAGGTCGCAGCACAGGAATAGCATTTGTTAATTTTGAAAGAATTGAGGATGCACATAATGCAATTAATCAATTCAATGGAGCCAATGCTGCAGGTTTTATTAAAAAAAAGAGTTATATATTAAAGATATGAATTTTTTTAGGTCAGCCGATTACATTAACGTTGGATTTACAGCCATTACGTAAATCACGAAGAAAATCGGACTCATTATTTGGTCGTATTAGTGATTTTAAAGTTGATGCTTATAGGCATAAAATATTCAATAATTATAGACCATATAGAAAGCTAAGAGGGGAATATAAGACTCAAGAGGATTTAGATAATGAACTTGACAAATATATGAATGTTGCAATACAATCTTCAAATGATACAGAAAAGCCTATGATCATTGATGAAAAGTAATTTATATAAGAAAATGAATATATCTTTTATTATATTTATTTTTATTTATAGTATTATTTTTCAATGTAATATTTCCGAGATTTCTTTAATTAATGAAGTTATTCGTGATTCTTTAAAATCATTTTTGCATTTCTGCGTAACCATTTGAATCCTGTCTGTATATATATATTTGGATTCTTTAAGTGTATGTAGAATTGTACCAAGTGCAATTAATGTTCGATAAATACACTCTGAATCGTCATCTTTTAATAAAATCTAGATATATAAGTATAGATCAATATTATAGAAAGAATTTACTTGAAATATAGGTTCTATAAAATTAATTGCATTTTGTGTTGATGATAGTTGATAAAAAAGAACAGAAAAGCTAATATTAAGTTAAAAACATATGATTTTTATAATTTTAGAAGAGATACTTTAAATATAAAGTGCCAAGTGCGATCTTAATATTACGATTAAATAAAATATTATAAATATTGAATATTTTAGTTGTTATCTGTAAAAATAATTAAAAAAAAAATAATTAATCCAGTTATGAATATTAAAACCTTGTCAAGATTTTGATAAAGTATTTTTCTTCCAGAATCCCTTTCAAATAAATTAACTAAAGCCTTAAGAGATAACATAATATTATTTCCAATTATTTTTTCTGAAAATGCTAAAGAATCATTTGAAAGTCCACCTTCTATAATTATATCGATTATTGATTTTGTGCCGTATTTATATGAACTAGTTTCTTCAAATCTTTCGCAAAATATTCTTAACATATCTAATCCAGGAAACCTTTTATCATAGGGCCAAATGTTTGTTAACTTAACAATTAAATCCAAAGAATCTAAAACCATATTCTTAGTGAGAGATTTCCCTTTAGGATCTTTAAGATATTTATCAATTGTTTCTAAAGTTAAAACTTCTTCAGGATTTAAAGAAATATTTTTATGCTAAATTATATTAAATCATACTTAATCAATAAAGAAATCAAAATACCTCTGATTTTCCAAAAACAGAATTAAATTCCATGCATTTTTGGATTAATCCAAAAATGTTTATTTGCTTGAATGATAAAAAGCTAGTATGAGGTAAAATTTTCTTAGAAGGCTAAAAATATTAAAAAGCAATTTAAATATTTGTTTAAATATTTACTTCTGAACTTTCAGAACAAGATTGACCAGGAATATATCTTCCAGCTAAAACAAAATAAGTCATGTTTTTAAATTTAATAATAATTATACTAGAATATGGATCTATAAATGAATTTTGTTCTCCTATCTCGATTTTCTTTGTATTCTCCTGTATAAACTTTGCAATCCTGTCAAGATATTCTATTGAAAGTTGATAGTTTTGTATAAATTGATAAGCAACCTCATAAGGATTTTGATTTACATTATAAGGCAATTTTAGTGGCGGTGATCCTTCTGCAATATCAACATCAAAAACATAATCATATTCCTGGCCATTATAAATTTGTTTTTGTGATGGAGCAGCTACATCAACAACTTCTCCAACTTTATTCCATGCCATCTTAGAAACATCCCACTATTATAATTAACAACACTTCTTATTATTTAAATGTCATTTCACAGCTTACTTGATATGCTTCAATTGTATTATTTTCCTTAATCATAATAACTTGATTTTTTTTTCCTTAATTTAATAAGTTTATTCATATTTATATAAATTATATGTTATACCTTGTTTTTGAAGCGCCTCAACACCAGGAAGCTTCTCCTTATTTATATGACTAAGATTGTTGCTATTTTCTTTTAAAAAAATGATTCCTTAATTAAATTTAATACATACGTAGAGATTTTGTATGAAGCAACACTCTTATTAAATTCCTATTAAAATATTATTATTATTTATAAAATGTCATAGATTTATTTATTAACATTTATTTCTTCTTTAGATGCCATTCTTTCTTGATCTCTTGTAAATATCCTAATAATACCATCGCTTCCTCCAGTAACAATATCATCGTTTTTAAGAACAGCAACAGACCAAATACTAACAGCAGGATGAATAATAGTTTGAATACATTTTCCATCTGTTTTATTTCAATCTATAAATACATTTTTAAAGAAATTATACCTTTCCATATTTTAACTGATCTATCTTCCCCGGAAGAAATAAGTTCCTTCGTAGACAACATAGATAAAGAATATATAAAAGAACGCCCATTTGTCATCTCCAATATCTGTTCTCCTGAAAATGTCCATATACGAATTACACCATCATTTCCACAACTACTAAATTCGCTATCTGATATTTTACATATACTTCTAACACAATCCGTATGTCCTTTAAATAATCCAATCTGAATACCATCTAACCAAAGTATAATTGTTTTATCTGCTGATCCTATATTTGTTTTTAAGCCGAAATAAACCTAATAAAATTAAATTACCTGTAAGAAATCGATTTTCATCAACTATTAAGACTGCCCAGACAGCCGCACTATGTCCCTCCAACGTATATAGACATTTCCAATCTTTCCATACCTTTGCTGTCCTAAAAGACTAAATATACTTATCAATTTCATTAAAAATATTTAACTTGTCCCATGATCCAGATATAATCATTGCATTGTCCGTAGCATGCAAGGCACAGACATTTGCCTGATGCCCAATCAATACATAATCCGGTTCCACATATTTATAAGGATCATAAACAGCAATTAACTTGTCTTGTCCTCCGCTAACTATAAGGCCTAATGGTATAAGGCTTATATAGCACATATTTTATAATAATAACCATTTGGATACTTCTCTGAACATCTAATAAATGCCAAACTATTAACATATCCAGAATGCATTGAGTAAATATTGGGTTTAATTGTAGATTCTTTAGAAATATTCCATGACCGAACTGTACCATCTCTTGATGCAGAAAATATTAAAGATTCAGAGCCCTCACAAACAACCTTAACCTAAGAAACATTATAAACATCTAGAAGAACATTATAAAAGTATAATACATCCTGATCATGACCAACAAAGCTCTTTGAAAGTATATAAGATTGAGACATCATGAACAAAAGATTGATAGAAGGGGTTAGGGTTTTTTGACGAGAATAGCAGTAATATATATGAATAGACAAGGTGAGAATTAGTGAATGATCATGTTTTAATGATTTTTATGTTGAATATTTTTCCAATAGAATCTGTTTTCGCTTTTGAAGTAAAAATTCTTCGATTTCTTTTTGATTTGGAATATATAGATCAGGAATAGATGACCAATCTTGCTTTGGATCACCTTCTGTACTGTTTAACATAGCTTCTATACTTTCTTTTTCCCTTTGTTTTTCAAATTCTAAAAGTCGATCGTCATTTTCATCCTGATATCCAAAATATGATGCATCTAAAGTTTTATACAATGTTTCAGATATTTTCGGTTTAGGTGGAGGTTTTGGAACTAATTCATCAAAAAGTTCTTTAACACCTTTACATTATATTAAATTTCAAAAATTCAAAAAAATACTCTTATATTTTACCTGGTAATTCTTTTGCACGACCAAAATATCTATTATAATAAAAATTAGTATAAAACATTCATAAACTTGTAATAATATGAAATACTTATATCCTCTATGTCCTGGAATTTCTCTGCCTTCTGCATCTACCATTTTAGGTCCAAATCTCTAAAAAAAACTTGAGATAAAAATAATTCTTGACCTAATATAAATACCATATAATTAGGCCCTTGAAGATTTCGTAATTGTATCTCCCACATATGCTTTTCTCGCATCATTTTATTAATATCATCATTAAGATCACGGATTTGATAATCTGTTAAACTTGCTAACAATAAAATAAATACATAAAACTTTCTTTTAAAGTATTATTACGGTCTTGTATCTTTGAAATCTTCCTATAAATCTCTTTTACTACTTGTCCTCTCCATTTTTCACAAGCTTGAATTGAATTCACTTCTGTAATTAACTTTGGACGACGTTGAGATCCTGTATCAATAATTCCTTGGAAAATAAACATATAAAACATTATGTACTTCATATATCTAACCTAATTCTGCTGCTTGAGAGGCTCTAAAGCGGTAGAGCTGAACTTATTAACAAAAATAACAATAAAAAATAATTTAACCATAGATTGTGCTTTTTCACTGTTTCTAAAAAAACTAAGACTTATAACTCTATTAAGAATACATCCAAACCTTGCCATATTATATAATTTAAAGGCCTAAAATACTTGTTAAAAGACAAATACAAAAAACCAAGATTTTAAGAGGTTTTCGACAAGACCTTTAAAAATTTTAGTGTAAAAATATATAGAAAAATGTGCTAGAAAATATATAAAAAGCTGATCCGTAACAAAGAATTATTGAGTTTTCTGTATTTATTTGAATATTTGTTTTTTTTTCCTATTTTGTAGCATTTTTTTTGATTAAAAATATTAAATACTGAAGTAAATAGAGAATGGTTGTGAAAATCCGGTTACAAAGGTTTGGAATTAAGAAATATCCATTTTACCATATTGTTGTTTGTAATGCAAGGTATTTTTGTGTTTTTTTTTTTTTGTACCTTTGTTTTTTTTTGATAAAGATGTTAAAAAGAATATAGAACAGCAAGACAGTCTAAACCAATAGAAAAATTAGGAACTTATGACCCTATACCTCGAGAAGATGGTACCAAAAATATGGAGATCAATTTTTTAAGAACAAAATATTGGTTAGGAGTAGGTGCACAACCTACAGATGTCGTATATAAACTGCTTGAAAAGGTTTGATCTATAATTATATTATTTTTTTTATAAAAAATCAGATTTCATTATTACCACCTAAACCTCGTTTAAGAGATAAAGAAAAAAAAGATGTATAATATAATATTGTTGTATAAATGTCTATGTTTAGTTATATATTTTGAAATAAAATAGGTTTTTTTTTAATTATCCTCATCTGTTTCCAATTCACTTTCTAATACACTTTTTCTAGGTTCTAATTCTTCCATTTCTTCCAAAATAAAGCGAGTTGGCAGCCGAGGAAGAGCAATATCACAAACACGTTCTTCATTTAAAAGTTGATCAACAAATTCATCAATATAACTTAAACCATATAGCCCTATTATAAAATATTACTAAGAAAATCTACACATTGTTAAATTCTAAAAAACCCGTTGAATATCTAATTCTCAATTTTCTATAATCATTAAGAAATGGTTCAAGAATCATATAACATTCTTTAGCTGGAAATGTAAGTCGAATATAAAATGCTGCAAGTGCCTGAAGATATCTTCATTCCTTAATATACTTATTCTATAAATTTAATACATAATTGATATACTTAAAGTCATTTGCTGATAAATATTCTAAAATTATTTCTTTTTCTGGTTGAAGTTGCAATAATTTAAATGTTAAACATAAAAATTCACTAGGTCTTTGATTCAAATATTGTCCTCCAATATATTTCATCTTAACTGCCCGATCACAGATAGTTGCTGCTGTTTTTATTCATATCTTTTTTTTTTTATATATAGATATTTATATACCAGTTAATCCAAAGCACATTTCTTTATAATATCTACATTCCGCAATTCTTTCCCTTATAATTTTCTCAATAAGATTCTTATATTCCTTAATCTTTTCCTATATAATTCTTCTTATCTTACAATTGGGTTCATAGAATGTATAGATTGCTCCATATAGGCTAAAGATTATTACATAAAAATAACCAGGAAAATATAGATAATAACAAACATTTATCTTTATTAGTTTCAGAGCCTTCCATAGTCTAATTTATGTAAAAATATTAATTTAATTAAAAATACTTGGTTTTAATATAATTTCATTAGTCAGGAACCTTAAGATAAAAAAGATAAGATAAAAGATAAATCAGTGAAAAATGGTTATTAAGGTTTTTATATAAATTTAATGAAAAAAGAAGAATTTAAGGGATATTTAGTCATTAAACAGAGATCAGTCTAGTTCGGTTGATGAAGAGAGTTTTCTTAAAGGATTTTCGATTGATCAGTAGGGATTTCTTTATAAAATGAATAAATAATTAAATAAATAACTAAGATTGATGGAATTGTCTGGTCTGAGTGTTTCTCAAGTTATTTATGATGTTCATCCTTTAGAAAAAGGCTCTCGTATTTTAGTTCTTGCAGGACCAGGTAAGCCTTCGAAGATAAAGAAATAATAATTAATATAATAATATTATAAGGGAATAATGGAGGAGATGGTATAGAATTGACAAGAATAAGTATGAAATATTGATTTTAAAATTTAGGACTTGTTGCAGCAAGACATCTTTGGCATTATGGATATATATTGTCAGTTTATTATCCAAAGAAAGGCAAAAAAGAATTATTTGAAGTTTGTAAAAAACAGTATAGAATTGAAAATAATGAATTGAATGTAGAGATTGTGTTGTCAACTTAATGAGTTATCGATTCCTTTTGTAAATGATATTTCGTTAGCGATGAAAGAAACAGATCATATTATTGATGCGATTTTTGGATTTAACTTTTCAGGAGAAGTAAGGGAGCCATTTATCGAAGTGATTGAAGTAATTGCTTATATAAATTTTTGTGTTTTTTTTTTTGTAATTTTTTCCAGATGCTTAAACATACGAAAATACCTATTACAAGTATAGATATACCGTCAGGTTGGGATATTGAAAAAAGTAGTTTAAGAAATATTTATTGAGATCCTAATATTGTTATTGTAGATCCTTTTGAAAATGAAGGAACTGATCAATGGAATCCGACATTTCTTGTTTCATTAACAGCGCCAAAACCATGCAGTCAATATTTTAAAGGACGACATTTTATTGGTGGAAGATTTATTACTCCGTATGATAAAAATTGAAAGTTATAAAGTAATAATGAGTTTAGTTCAATCATGAAAAAATATAAACTTAGTCCTATAAAATATGATGGTTATAAACAATATGCCGAAATTACTGGAATTCCTATTGAAAATGATTTCAAATAAAGTTTTCGTTTTCTTCTGAATATCTGAGAATGTTCAGATATTAATAATATTTAATTATTTGTATAAATTTAAAGATTTTGAAGAAATAAAATTATTTAGTTAAAATTTTTAATGATTTATGTTTACTTTTTAAATAGATTGATTTGAAAGTATTAAAAAAGATCCCATTCCAGTATTAAAATATTGAGTTATTTATTGTTTCTATCCTTTTTATGTTTACTTTCATCATTTTTCTGATGATTTCTATAACCGTTTCGATTTTCTTCATCTGAATGACTTTTTTTACTTTTTTTCACTTTTTTTGATTCCCTTTTACGCTTTTTTATAATGTATGAACGCATTGGATCATTTATATCGATTCCTTTAGCATAATCATCTTCATCTGATTCTTCTTTTGTTTTTTGTAGATCTTTATATGTAAAAATTTAATATATAAAAATAATCACATACTTTCATACAAAATTGGTGGTGCTGCATTCATTCCCAATTTTCCGGATTCTTCATCATCATTATTTTGTTTAGGATGCCTATAATTCGAAACATGATCGACTCTCAATATTCTTCCAAGAACCTATAAAAAAAAAATAAATGAATTCTTATATATTTTCTTCTAATACTTTTGTTCCATTCATATTATCAACTGCAAGAACTGTTGAACGTTGATCTTCATATTTTAAAAAACAAAATCCCTTAGATTTTCCCGTTTTTTTGTCTCGCACAAGATTTATATCCAATGGCTCCCCATATCTTTATAATAATATAAACTATTGATCTTCTATAAAACTCCTCTTACTGGCTAAAAATACAAATAATATCGCCTTCTGTTAATTCATATGGTAAACCGCCAATATAAATATACGCACTATCTTTATACTAAAAAAAACATTAAAAAAATATTCATAAAATATAAAACGTACTTGAGCATGCCATGATTCTGATTCTGATGCCCCAATCTGAGCTTCATTAATTCGAGCAATTTCTCGGACTATACTTTATCATTTTTAACTGTTTTTTTTTCAGAAAAAAATATAACCGTACTTCATTATCTTTATATATATATATAATCTCTTAAATAAACTTGAATCGCTGTTTAATTATGTTTTTTTTTCCTTTAAATTCAACCTATTTTTATATATTTTTTTTTGAGGTTGCCCGTTGCTATGGATAAGCCTATCGCAATACTTGAAAAATAGAGACAAGCAAATAGAATATTAGTTAGCCATGAAATATTAAGAACCCCATTAAAATCATGATATTCCAGATGCAATATGAATCATCTCTGCTGTATTCTGATATTGTCCTCTGCCCTAACCCTTTTGTTTCCTAGATTTACCCGCATAAAACAAACCGATATTAATTAATAAATAAGATATAGACGTAGATTCAGATCCTTAGTAATTATTGGCAGCGCGGTGCGTGTGCATTTCTATAGAAATACATTTTAATATTATATATATATATAGTTTATTTTTGTGCGAAATTTCATGTTTTTAACATATCCTAGTGATGATTTCTCGCAGAAATTCACTTGATTTTGCTTTGATTATATGCCAAATTATTGCGCTTCAATCCTTATTCTATCTTTCCCAGACAGTCCTTATACAGTTTATGTCTTATGTCTTAGAAAAACCTGTTTCTTTAGATTATATTTTTGATTTTCATAAAATAACACTTGATAATAACGAGACAGTTATTACTGGATTAGTCTGGGACATAAATAGCATATTCGGGTGTGTTTTAGAAAGACTTGAACCTCGTTATATTATATACTAAGTTCTAAAAGTGTCCTTATTATATTTTTTATTGTTCGGCGATCAAAGCAGGTGCTTGATTTTACATTGACAATGCATTTTATCCATTTCATTATTGTTTTATTATATTCTGGTTCCTTACCGACTAATATATATTGGTGGGTTGTCCAAATAATCAGTTGTTTATCTATATGTTTGGGTGGTGAATGGATATGTATGCAAAGAGAATTGAAACCTATTTTCTTTGGAAGCTGGCAAAACCCTTCTATGATAGAATCAAATTCGCATATTGAACAATATGAACTCGATAAGATTGATGCTCAGAAGCGTTGTGAAGCTCTTTGCTGATATTATTTCTGTTTTATTATTAGTCTCTATCCTGATGGATTTACTATATATATATATATAATTCGAAGACATATAAGCATACCGATATTAAAAAATTGCTGTAATTGTAGTGCTTTAATATTGCAACGATGTTGTATAATTCAATCATTTATCATTGTTCTTAATTTCAGTTTTTTATATTTCGCATTACCATTTAAACAATTGAATCCATCAGTATTGTAAAAAGACTTATGTATTCCTATAATTCCTTTTTTTTCACGTTCTAGTTATATATAAATATATATTTGTATATAAATGTTTATAAAATATGTATGTTTTATAGGTGCAAATGTCTACTTATAAATAATATCGACACTTTTATGACTCTAATAATAGATTTTTGGAAACCATATCTATTTTTTATATAGTTGATTATTTGCTAGGTGTTAAATGATTTGCTTGATCTATTGTATCTTGAGAAATTTTAGCTTTTTGAAGAATCTCCGCAACTGCAAATCGTTTTCGAGCAGATAATGGTCGACATGCTTCTATTCTTACTAAATCACCATTCTTACATACAGAACCTTCGTCATGTACTAAATAATTCTTGTGTAAAGTAATTAACTATTTTATGATTAATTTTTTATTTTTATTGAAAAAAAAAAGATTAAATTACATACCTTATGAACTTTTGGATGTAAAACCTTTCGAATTACTTTGACTTTAACAGTTTTGTTCATTAGTCCTGAAGAAACAACAATACCTTTAAAGTTTTGTCTCATTTTTTTCAAAAGCGATTTTTTTATGAAAAGTCGTTTTATAATTTATAAAAACATGAAAAATAAATGTTTATATTATTGTAAAAACATTTATCTCGACCATTCGTGAAGTATACCATTTTATTATGAGCAATATAGACCTATAAGATATATCGAAAAAAATAGACTTATTGTTGTATAAATTAGTATGATTAATATTGAAAAGAAAACAAATAATTCTCCTATATTGCCTATAAACCCGTGAAAAATTCAGTTCCTTAATTTTCTATATAAACGCTAAAATTCTTGCCAGCCCAGTTCTCAATAAATAGTTTTCCACTTTCGCTTGGTTGACTAAAAGCTACTTCATGTTTTTTAACAGTCATTCCATAAATAAAATGATTGCAGGCAATGTCCAGCAACAAAGTAGCAATTTTTCCTCTTCTATAAGTTCTACACACCCATATACGTGAAACGCCCATAATATAAGTTGATAGAGCCTCCGGTTTTAAAGTAATAGAAGTTGATTGTGAGGATGAAGGATAAACCGGATATGCCGACTGAATAGGTTCCACTAAAATAAGACCAATACACTTTTTCCCTTTCAAATAAAGAAAGAATTTGTATTGTTTTGCTAGATGATCGTGTTCATTCATAGAACTAGGAAACGGACTTGCACTTCCAAGTTCTAAATCAACAACGCTTAAAACTTTCTTTGCTTTCTTTATTTCACTAAGTGGTGAAGACATAGTAATCATAATAATTTTATTTGAAGTGAAATTTTCCCTCCAAATTTCTTTAATTGAATTTGTAATCGGGTAATCAATTCCTCCAATAGATTTTGCATGAAATTTTACATGAACTGTTTCATCATCTGCTGATCCTTTTGTATATGACATTCCACATTCAGAACATGTAACTCTAGAAGGAAGTAAATCTAAACAGAGCTGCGTAAATTTCGTTTTTGCTTCAAATATTTTTCTTTTTTTATGATTATCCTTCTTTTTACCTAATTTCCATTCATATACACGGTTTTTTTCTGTTGAATTGACTGATTTAATTGGAGAAGAATGTATTTTACGCGGATCTTCGACTTCAAAATTTTCATTATAATAACGCTTTAAACACAATGATAAAGGACTAATAACCATATTTAGATATAGAATTCCATATTTATATATATATTACGTCTTTATTTCTCTTTTTTTCCCCTCAATTGTCTCAAGATCTGGTGTTTTTTGTCTTTGATATGTACGTAAAGGGCGTCTTTTATCATTTTAAAACCGGTTTTTTAAGAAAATACCACTTACCTCTGAAAATCTATATTGTTTATAACTTCAAATACTTCTTTACTCATCAATTCTTTGAAAAATCTTATCTTTATGGTTTATCTAGATAAAGCTTGTATCGTGATTGTCGTAGACTAAGTGAATAAAATATACATTATTTATATGTTTTGTTAACATTTTGCCTTTAGTATTGAAGTAGTATGTTATCCTGAAGAATTGTTTATAAAGATTAATATATAATTGAAAAAATGAATGTATAAATAAAGTTGATAATTTATAATTGAAAAGATATTTTGATCAAAAATTTAGTGACAAAAAGATTAATGACTAATATATTGAAAAACGAATGAGAGAACATCATTATTTATTTCTTGTCGAAGTAAAAAATCATTAATTTTTTCTAGAGAATCTCTAGAAAAATGATTCCAACTGTAATTTATGTTAAAAAAGGAAATTAAAAATAAACAAGATATACGTGCTAGTATCACCGTAAAGAAGAGCAGGTGCTTTGATGAATTGTTTATTATTTTTGCATCTTTTGCATTTGAAGGTGTCATGGGTATCAGATAATGTATTTAAATTAAGTTCAAATAATTGTCGTAAGTTATCAAGGGAAAAATGTCTTTCAACGTTTTGAGCTTCATCAACTACGCATGAGGATAATGATTGTTTATGAGATTGACGTTGGAAGATTTTTTCTTCAATGGTTCCTGTTGTAATAAAACGATAAACAAAACCTATTGCAATTAATAGAGAGAAGTAAGCAATTTTTTACTAACAATCTTTTTTTTGTCCATCTCTCCAAACACGAGCTAATGCTTGTTGATCAGCGGCAGGATTCCAATCTATAAAAAAAGTAAGCAATTAAAAAATAATTAATATTATAAACCAGGATCAAATAAAATTAATCTATTTGCTCCAATAAGATTAAGTCCGCAGCCGCCAGCTTTACTACTTAATAAAAAGACAAACTCTTCACCTTCAGGGTCATTAAATTTATCAACGAGCTTTTGCCTTTTATTGGTAGTCATTGTTCCATCAAGACGTAATGTTCCATATCTTGAAGATTTAAGGAAAAAATGTAAATACTATTTTTATAATTCACCTTCTAAATCTGCATAATTTTTCAAGGAGATTTAATGTTTGTGTATAATTACTGATAAGAACAATTTTATCATTAGTATCTTTTCGAATTTTTGCAAGCATACTAGAAAATTGGTAAAATATTAATCATGTATTTAAGTTACCGATCAAGAAGCATCATTTTTCCTGAATATTCAATTCTTATATCATCACTTTTCCCCCGTGCATTTTTAGAAATAAAATCTTTTGGAAAGTAATGTTCATATTCCTTCATATCTTCTTTTAGATCTAGCAAACTAGGATGATTACAGAGTTTTTTCAAAAAATCTATAGCTTTCAATGGCCCGCTTTCAATGCCTTTTATGAGATTATTAATTTCACAACTCGATATGAATTTTTGATACAATTCTTTTTGAAAAGGACTAAGATTACAAAAAACAACATGTTCATACTTGACAGGTAGATATTTCGACAAGAGATCATTAGTTCTACGAATAATAAACTTATTTACCAAAACGCTAAGTTCTTCAAGTTTTTGATCGCCAATTTCACGATCTTTATCTGTTCCCAGTGCATCCCGTCCTTTTAAGATAGGAAGTTCATATGTTTTACGAAATTCATTAAGAGAACCCAGTAATCCTGGATTTACAAAATTAATAAGTGAAAAATATTCAGATAAATCATTCTAGAAAAATGAGATCAAATAATTGTTTCAAATATATGATACTTGTATAGGTGTTCCTGATAGAATAATTCGACGTTGTACTTTTAAAGAATTCAAAGTAGAAAAAGTTAAAGATTCACAATTTTTCAATCGATGTCCTTCGTCACATAAAAGAAGGCCAATGTTGCAATTTTTCAATTGATCAATATTCATTCGTAATGTTTCATAGGAAATGATGAGTACTGTATAAAATTAAATATATTATTAAAATATGCAATATGATCAAACCAGGTTGTACGACATTTTTTCCTACTGCAGATGCCCATTTAGACAAAGAAGTTGAAAGTTGTTCCCGTGTAGTCTTTTTTCCTACAGAAAGTGAATTAATTGTCCCTTTTCCAAGCCATTTATCTGACATTTAATTAGAGATTCATAATAGACCTTTTATTTACCTAATTCATTCTCCCAATTTTTAACAAGAGATGATGGACATACTATAATTGCTTTTTCAATCGTTGGACATCCTGCCTGAGGCGATTGTTTAAGAAGCGTCCACATAAGTGTAATACATTGAAGCTAATAATCGTTAGATTTTTTACATTATAAATTATTCTAACTGTTTTGCCAAGACCCATTTCATCCGCCATAATACATCCATTTGCTCGAGGATCAACAATTCCTGTCACACATTTGTAAAGAAACTAGAAAAAATAAGATTAAATTTCTTTTTTTTCCTTCAAATATTTACTTTAACACCTTCGATTTGATGAGGACGAAGCATTTTAGATAGTTTAGGATCAATTACAACCGCCACATTTGTATACTTCTTTTCTTTCTTAATTCCAAGCATTTCTGCCAATGGTTTGTGTATTTTTGATACACTTTTAGGTATCTCTATTTCTTCCTCTTCTTTTAAAACATTATCTATCGTCGGGTCATATAAAACAATAGAAAATTCTCCACATGGATCATAAAGAGGCTTTGGAATCAATTTAATAGGTCTAAGCGTCCCTAATGCCCGTGGAACTCTATTTTTATCATATTTATTTTCTTTTTCTTTATCCTTCATCGGTATTATAAATTTCTGCTTTAACACTTCTGTTGGATCTCTAACTTGAACCAATGAGTTCCTTCTTATCAATTTCTTTTCTTCATGCTCCTCTTCCCTCAATTCACTGTATATTTTCAATCTCTTCCTTAATCGTCCCTCAAAACTCGGATTTCTTTTATATGACGGGATTTTAAACGCCTTTGAAAGCCCATTTCCTATTTCTACCAAGGCTCCTCTATCATTTCCTTGATAATTGACCTCATTCTTCTCAATTATGCCCTTTTGTTTCACATAACTTGGTGCAAGTGAACGAAACATCCTTTTTTCCTCGTTTTTTCCTCGTTTTTCTCCGCTCTTTTTTCCTATACACTCCTTATACCTGATTCTACTCTTTTTTGTCCTGTTTTCCCTGTTTTTTCCCCGTTTTTACCCTCTTTTATCATTTCTTCTTTTTATCTAATATCGATGTCGTCTTGATCGTCCCCGTACAGACCACCTAATAACATACAAAAAAATGGTTAAGTCAAAGACACAGTCAAATAAGCGGGATGACGGTAATTATACGCTAAAAACTACATAATATCTTCTTTATATTAATATTTATCTTTTTATAGAGGCATTGGTCCTTGATTACCTGAGAAAAACAAATCGCCCATATTCAGCAAGTAAATTTATATATATAATTTATAATTCTGGTCTCTAAAGCAGCTTTAAAGCTGATATATGTTTAAATCTTCATAATGCGGTTTCAAAAACAGCATTGGCAAAAATTCTAACGACATTGAGTGAAAGAGGAGATATTCGCTGTAAAACGTATGGTAAATATCTCTTATTAATAAGAAATTGTCAAAGGATATCTCTTATTTTCCTAGGAAAACAGTCAGTTTATGTTATTGATCAAGTTAACTTCTGGAAATTATCTGAAAAACTAATAATATAATAAATAGGAACAATTTGAAAATCCTTCTTCTGAAGAATTGAGTGTTATGGATGCACGTATTGAAGAACTTCGCAAACAAATTACTGAAACTCAGGAAAAAAATAAACAAATGAAACAAGGTATTCTTTCTTTTTTTTACTAAAAATTGTAATTTTATATTTTTAGCACTTCAATCATTATTAGTACAAAAAACAACTGCTGAATTACAATCATTATCAAAGGATTTAGATCAACGTGTAATTCTATTTCATTTATTATACTTTATTCATTACATTTCATTAATAATTAAAGATTTCCACTCTTAATACTCGATTAAATTCTTTACAATCTGGAACTGCAAGGCTAATTTCTTCTGAAGAAAAAGATGCTATTCAAAAAAACTATGAAAATATGCGTAAACTATGGAAAGACAGAAAAACTCTTTTCTCTAATTTATGGGATGCTATTTCCGAAGGTGAATCTTCTCCAACTGAACTTAAGGCATTCAATCATATTCAATCATATTTAATTATATTTAAAAATAACATTTTATTAGGAACGTTTAGGCATTGAAGATGATCTTATTGACTTTAATCTTGACCCTCTTTCTACGATTCAATAATTTTTATTAATATTCAATAATTCTCAATAACTTTAAATCTCTTCAAATCTCTTCAAATCTCTTCAAATCTCTTTCTTCATATCTCTCTTTTCTATATTTTTGCTAACTCTTTTTACTTAATATACAAATTATATTCTTAAATTTTTAAAAAAAATACATAAAAAAACTTTGCTCTTTCTTATTTAACTGTTTATCTATTTGTTGCTTCTTTTCTAATATAATTCTTGTTCTTTATCTATTTTCCCATTATTACTTATATTGTCTGAGTCTGAACCGCACTTTTTAACAGGAAAACCAAAAATTTAGAATATCAAGAAGACAATATAGAATGGCGCCCAGCTATGCACCAGGACTTAGTAAAATCAAGGGAAGAAGTCGTATGATGAATATGGAGAAAGTTAAAGGATTAGGGAATGTTTATTTAGCAGAAGGACGAGGATCATTAAAAAGTAAGAAAGTAAAAAAAAAGGAAAAAACGGGATAATTGAAGGGTTTATAGACTTACAACATGTTCCGTGTAAGTTCCATAAGCAGGGGGTTTGTACGGGTATGTTTTTTTTTGGTAGAAAAAGGTGGAAGAATGGATTAAAGGGATTTTTTTAAGAAGGGGGTATTATGAAGGGTATATAGGGGTTTTATGGAGAATATATGGAGAATATATGAAGATTATAATGGGAAAGAAGCCATGGAATAGATTCTGACCGTTTTTAGCAGGAAAAAATTGTCCGTTTTCTCATGATTTGGATATGGATTTGGTACGTACACCATGCAAATATTTTCAGAAAGGTTAGAGATTATGAAGTATAATGAATAGGATGAAGGACTTATATTGATAGGAAATTGTAAATTTGGGGCGAAATGTGCACTGGCACATGTTTATATTGAAGATGAGAAGTGTATAGATGTTCAGACGCATGGATTTCCGTATGGATTGAATTATGGGATTATGAATGAAATGAAATCGGGTACGTCAGGGGGGCATAATGGTAATATACAGGAGACGTTTCAAAATACATCTACTCCGCTTAGAGAATATAATTTTTCAATGGATTGTGAATTTTCGATTCCAAATACGATATTTTTAAAGGAAAACCATGCGCCAGTTTCATATCCATTAACGCTAGAGAATAATTCAGGTATGATTAAATAAATTTTTATTATATTTAAGTTAAATTGGTTTTTTTTTTTTAGATATGATTTCTCCCTCATTGAAACTAGCTAAAAGTGCATCTTTACGTGAAATACAGTTGTCATCGAATTTTGATCATAACAAAGCTTATTTTCCATCGTACGAACCATCTACTAACAATGTTTCTACAAAATTTGATTGTCCGGATGTATCGTCATTATCACTTTCTGGACAAAGTACAATCTATTCACCTTTACAAGAGAGAAATACCACTTTTTCGCCTCTTTTAAATAATTCAAAGTCTATTTTTTCTGATGATTCCTTTTCATTAAAATCTGAAAGATCATTAAAAGCTGAAAATTATTCAACACAGTCTATCTTTTCGAAAAAATATCCAGAAAATAATAATCTTCATGATACATCATTTAACTTTTCGATTAAAGATAATTGGTCAGATACCTGGAAAAATTCAAAAACTCTTCAAAGTAATGATAAAACATCACCTAAATCTTCACTTAATGATAAACTACGTCTGTCTGTTCCACAAAAATCATATACCTTTAATGAATCTCAATTTCAAAAAACTAATGAACATGAAGCAATTTCTAATATTAATTTTCTCTCAAATCCTTCTAGCTTTGGAACTTCACCTTCTTCCAGGTTTTGTACATTTTTTTCTAAATATAACGATTACTCCGATAATATGACTTTGAAATGTTCTTCTGGACCGGCATTATATCATGATCATATCCAACCTTACTATAACGACTTTAATTATTCTCAAACAAATGAGCTTCAGATACCAAACTTACTGCTAAATTCGGCTGAAAATAATGTTTTTCATTCCAGAGATATTTCTTTAATACCACAACAAAAATCACTAGAAAACTTTAATAAAAACTCTTCTTTACTCAATGCTAACGATATTATTAAACGATCTATTGCTACAATTGATGATGAAATACAATTTAACATGGACGAAGAGATTTCTGAAAATATTTCTTAAATCTATCTTATAATTTATCTGGTTTATATAAAAATATTTTACTTTTATATACTACATTCTATCTAGATCACATTAAACTTATAGGTTTCACTTATTTTCTAATTATTAAAGATTTTTGAACGACATTATAGATTTCTTTGCTTATATTATTTCTTCTTAAGAAAATAATATAAGTTTAATATTATTAATATTGGCCTGTTAATATCTATATTTTCCTCTGTATTTACTTCTTATTTGCCTTTTAATTTACTATCTCATTATAGACCTTATCGTACTTAAGAGATAACGAATAATGAGTTTTTTGAAGGAACAAACAGTATTATTTCTTGATGAATTCGAGAGATCAGAGCTATTTCCTACAGATATAGCCCTTTCAGATGAGAGGGTGTTTTATGACGTGGAAGAAGGAGTTAATTCTGAAGAAAAACAAACATATTTGAGTGTTTTAAAAAAAAGTGGCAAAAAGTCCAGAAAAAAGCGGAAAAAAGGTCTCAAATACAGTTGAATATGTTGTATCTTATGGGGAGATTTAGTTTTATCTCTTTTGAACGAAGAAAAGGCGATTTGGAGCTCTCAAGAACTGACAAAACTTCGAATTTTAAAAAAATTCATGAAAACAGTAGATTCTGAGCGTTTTTCGCAGCTTTCAAGGCTTCTACTGAATAATAGAAGTGAGGAGGAGGTTAACAAGCGTTTTTTTGATTTGGAAAAGCCTAATTGTTCGAATAAACCGGCTTCTGCGCTTCAAAAGTTGATAGAATATGAAGATATGCTTGATTCTCAGGATATCTCTAAGAAAAAAGGCAATATAGATAAGGTTCTTGGTCTTTTGAATCATTTTGAACCTGTAAACACGCTTAAAACTAATGAAATGGACATTGTTTTGGGTTTAACTGGAAATAATATAGAAAACAAAAAAAATATGATGGATCTTGTTTTAGGATTAAACAGAACAGAAACAATGAAATAAACAAGGTGTTTTATTCTATTTAAAGACTTGGTTATTTTTTTTTTATCTAATATTTTTATTATTATACTAAAAATTTAAGTTTTAATAAAATTCATATAGGATTTCATTAGTCATATTAAGATACATTGGATTTTATACAAAAATATGAGGTTTCTTATTTTCATTTCTATTTTTCTTGGTGATTTATTAAAAATAGATTTTGCTAACTACCGATTATTTGTTTTTATAGAACAAACGCTTAGAAATAAGAGGTTTTAATTGGATACAACAAGTACCTGTTTTATATTGTTCTATATATTATTTATATTGTATCTGATAACACTGGAAATCTGGGGAATATTAGTTTTATTATTATCAATTATTCTTATATTTATTACAACCTTAATTTTGTTGATAAGGCTCTAAAATAATGAAGGAATAAGCCAGATTAATATCTTGTTAGAGTTTTTAAAATTATTACTTTGGAATTGAGGTCTACTAAATTTCTCTTCTCTTGTTTTTTAAATCTTAAACGCAATTCAAATAAGCGCAAGTCAAGGTCATTTATTCCTTATGCTCTTGTTCCTATTTCATTTTATGGATATAATAAGGAGAAGTTGTCTGTATATTTAACTAGAGAACTTGCAGAAAATATTAGGAAATTTATACCTCGTCGTCTTCAATTGCAAGAGAAATGGAAATTAGTATATTCATTGGATCATCATGGCTCAAGTTTACTTACATTATATCTAAAATCATCTCAAAATAGAGGTGTATTTAGCTCTAGACCAGGATTTGTCTTGGTAGTTAAAGATAGCAATAATAATGTAAGTTAAATATAAATATTTGAATTTATAAATAATCAGTAGATTTTTGGTGCCTTTATTAATGAGTATTTTCATCCAAGTACATCATACTATGGTTCTAGGGAATGGTATATTTTCTATTTTTTAGATGATTTGTTTTTAGATATTTTAGTTTTGTATGGAAAGTTGTTTCAAATGATTCATTAGATGATATAAATGGAGTTGCATGTCGATTTAAAGCATTTATGCCAACTGGTATTAACGATTTTATGATTTTATGTGATAATTCATTTTTATCAATTGGTGGAGGTGATGGGAAATATGGGTTATGGATAGATGGACAACTTGAGAAGGGAATATCAACTTCAACACAAACTTTTAATAATGATCCTCTTAGTGATAGTGTGAGGCCAGGTCAACGATTTGACATAATAGGCGTAGAAGTTTGGAAAATATAATATTTTAATATTTATATTGTAATATAGATCTGTTTTTATTTTTAAATAATAGAAGACGCAAGCTCCTACTCAAAACATAAATATAATATTAGAATCTATTTTGTAGATATTCTGTTTCGTCGTCCTGTAGCAGATGCACCTATGCTTGATATTTTGCAAATTACACAGAGAGTTTTTTTATATTTTGGCAAATACTTTGCCCCACAAAATGGACAGATCTCTTTTGGATTCCCCTTATATATAGGAGTGTATGAATTTGCACATATATCAAAATTAGTATATGGATCATAGTTTAATTTTATGGCATCTTTGGGATTCCTGTCTCCAATTGTAAGAATTTTTTGTGCCTAAGAATTGCTTAAATTATTTTCGTATAAAGATATATTTTATACCTGTTCTACAATTTGGCTAGAAGGGTTGAGTTCTAGTAATCGAGTCGCAAAATGAGATGCACTATATAAATTTTTGTTTTTATATAATAAATTCATAGCTTGACGTAATGCAAGCTGCCTATGAGGCGGTTGGAGTGCAATGTGAGTGAAATAAGCAGCTAGCTCAAGATTGAGTTCTAAAGATTCGGCAGGAAGTTCTCTTCTTTTTAACTCCATAGATAAACCGAGAATATATTGTTGACTTGTTTCAATTAGTTGAGTTATCTATAATAATTAGTGAAAATATATAATAAATATTAATGTTATATACCTCTTCTTCTTCAGATTCTGTAGAAATAACTGTTAATAAAAGATTATATAATATATCACGAAAAATATCGATCGCTTCTGGTAATTTATTAGCTTTAACGAATTTATATGCGTTTTCAAGAAGTTTTAAAGTCATATTTAAATTCAATGGGATATATGGAAGCAACTTTTTTGAATCTGTTTCTTTTGTTCGCCGAAGATAATAACAAAGTGACGGTAAGGATGGTGATGCAAATAAAAATACTCTTGATACTTGAAAAATCATCATGAATTTTGGTTTGAGGGGTTTGAGATTAACAGCTGCAATCTGTCGATTGAGTAACTTTCATCATTAAATAAGCAATCAACACACTGGCAATTTTCTTACTTGTATTGCGGTTTCAAAAGATCCTGCTGCAATATGATCTGCAGCGAGAGGGGAGTTTCTAACCCAAAGATCAGTTTCTTTAATTCCAGAGGAAATGTCTATTTCATTTTTAATATCTTCATTAATTTGAACGTCTGCATTTGAAACTATATCGTCCTCTATGCCCCATCCTTCATCTAAATCTTCTGTCACAACATTTTTCTGGTTATGTTCTAGATTAGAGTTATTTAGACTAGCTGCGGTATCAGCATTATCATAATGAGAATATTCATCTTCTATTGTCATTAAATCAAGTTGATTAAATAAGGCTTTTTCAATCCAAGTTTGTGTTATAGGTTTTAAAGGCCAATTTGTTTCAAACGTATTATATAAAGGCTTTGGAGGTAACAAAGCTATTCCAGATGGAATCTTGATATCACTTTCTAAAACACCTGTTTCCTTTAAAATAGAATTACAATGGTCCACAAGTCCATATGTTTTAGCAGTAGCATATGCTAATGCATCTATAGTTGATTAATGAATTGTATTAAGATAAAAAAAGGTATACATTGATCAATCTCTTTAAACATTTGTATACGAGATTCTACGTCTCCTAGCAAAAGACTATTATGAAATCGGCTTGTATAATCTCCTCTACTTTTGGCAATTTTTAGCATTTTTTCTATTTTACCAGTATTTCCTGTTATGAGGTATAACATGGAAAGTTTACTGAAGTTTTTAAGCTTTTGATATGATATTTCTGCAACTTGATGATTTCCTTGAAGCAATGCCTCAGTAGCAAGTGAAGTCCAGATTTCAGGTTTATCGATTTTTTTAGCTATGTTTAATGCAAGGTTAATATTAGCACACTTTAGGGAAAGTTCAAATCGAGTTTGTGGATCTTGAACAAATTGTAAAGCAATCTATATATTTTAATGTTTGAAATTAAATTAAATCAATAATAAATATTACCTCTGGATATCCCTTCTCTTGAACATAATTGATAATGCTTTGTCCTACGAGATTTGATGTTCGAATAATGTGTAATATTTCATTATAACTTTTATTTATTAATGAAAGTTTAAAATAATATTCAGTTGTGTCAATATTTATAAAGTTTAGCTTTGAATCACGATCAAGAGAGCAGACAGTTTTATCTTTTATTTGTACAATATATATGGGATGGTTTATTGTACGAATAATACCATTGTCACTATTTTTGTTAAGATAGTTTAAGATATTGTTTAAAATAATTATACCCATTCAAAAGAGCGTATTTAATATGATTAAGAGTAGAATATATTAAAACACTTGAAACATCCCAACATGCACTTTTAATGCGTATTGTTTCATGTAAAGAACACACTTGCTTCAATAGTTTTGTCGCTATAGTTATTGTATGTTTTCCAAGAAGAGCAACATGTTCTCCATCATCAGACCAGACAACATATTTTACTTGAGGAACAGAAAGCTGAGCAATAATACTTTTTTGCTGAGTATCATATAAAATAACTGATGATGAGGAGGAAATAATAATATTTTTATTTCCTGCTGGAAAAATGTCATCAATAATGGTCAATAGTTGTATAGTTTTTATAGTAGTATTTAGTAAATCTTTAATTTCAATGGTTTGACGTGATTTATCAAAAATAGCAAATCTATTGCGAGTCATAAAAATTGCTGAGGAAGCCGAACCAGATAATTTTTCACAATCTTCATTTTCATGTGCAAACGAAGAGACTTTTTTGGTTCCTGTGAAGTTCAAGGAATTTTCTTCATCTGATTTTAAATAAAAAATTTCATAACTACCATTGTCGGCTGGTGAACATGCTAAAATCATCCTTTGGGCTGGATTATATGATATAGTACGTGGCTTTTTCCAATGACTACCAAGCTTTTGGAAAGAAACAATAGATGATTCACCGGCATTTTGTTTTAAATCATACGAGCATATACATTTTTCCTTATTTATAAAGAAAAGAGTATTTTGATAAATAGTATACGCTGGTCTTTCTCGTTCTAGTTTAAAAATCATAACACCATTATCATGGCCTTTTTTCAAAATGAATATTAAATATATTAAAGCATCTAAATCACCTGCAACGAAAAGATTGATTTCAGGATGTGCTGCAATGATCCAGAACCTATCATTGTCACGTCGAAATGAATGCAAACTAGTACGTTTATTAAGATCCCAAATACGTATCGATTTATCTTCTCCGACAGAAAGAATAAGATCTTGATGAGGATGAAATATGACAGATGATACATTATTAAAATGTCCTCGACATGTATCTACTTCCCATGCTTTTGTATCTAACAAAATAAATGAAAATATAAAAATAAAAACATAGAAAATACCACTCATACGCCAAAGTTTAATTAAACGATCATCTCCCGCAGAAACAATAAGTGGTAATGTCGGATGAAAACATACCCAGTTAACGCCACGATCATGACCTTCAAGAACATATTTAACAACAACTGCATTATTCCCAAAGATGTCTGAAGATTGATTGTGTAACTTATTCGATTGATTTTCAAAATTTATCATTGTATTTTTTTTATGAAGTCCTGAAATATCCCATACACGAATTGTTTGATCTAATGATGCGGAAACAATAAGATCTTCTTTCGGATGGAATTGTGCACACTATAAAACATAAATGTAAATTTATAACTCAAATAATAACAGTATAAATTCGGCTATTACCATAACATAATGATTATGCCCCGTAAGAATAGCAATTGAATTTCTAGATTGCCAATTCCATATACGCACCGTTTGGTCATCCGAACATGAAAGAATCCAAGGATATTCATGATGAAAAAAGACTGTCCGAACATAATCTAAATGTCCATTTAACGTAAAAAAAAGCTTTCTTGACTTATAGTTCCAGACACGGATTTTATAATCATCCCCCCCTGAAACAAAAAGCGGCTGTGTAGAATGAAATGATATTCCTGTTCTATTTTACAAAATTAACCTAAATACTTCCATTTATACCTCGAACCGGTCCTATATAAAATTAAGCTTAAAAACTCTTAAAAAAACAAAAACCAACCATTATGCTCATCAAATCTATCAATCAGCGTGCCCATACGATAATCCCTACACATATTAACCCTTTTTTTTGCAAAAAAAAACGGGAAAAAAAGCATGCCATAGTTGAATAGTACCGTTATGCAATGACGTAAGAATCCATGGCCGCTTAGGATGAAATGCTACTCCTTTTACTCTTGATGATTTGGATTCAAACTAGAAAAATCAGTAATTTATTCAATTTATTCTTTATTTCATACTTTGGTGAATATTTGCATCTTTTGTAGTAGTCAGGTCGATCGAGCAGCGATATTTAAATAAGTAGGAGGATGACAGTAGCCTAATGAAAATTGCAGATAATATTTAGTGATAAAGCTGTTATAAATGATAAGTTGATAATAGTTTTAAATAAAGAAGAATAGATTTGTAATTATAAGTGTTGTTTGTGTATTTTGAAAAATATATATATAAAGAATATGATTTGTGATTATAAGAAGAAAAGAAGGATAAAAATGAGAATTAGAATGTGATATGTTGTATTTTGTTTGAGAATTGCTGAATAGAAATAAAAGTTATTTTTTTTTGAAGAAGAAGTCAGTGATATATTTTAAAGATAAACCAAAATTGTTATTAATTGTGATATTTGTTGGAATGATATTATCATTTATCCATTTAGGAATTTTGTTGCGTATTTGTTGAGATTCATAACGTTTATCTATAAAAATGATAGCAGCATAATCATTTTGATGTCTTATAGCTCTTCCTTAATTAATTAATAATTAAAAATGTAATTGATCTGATAAATAAATACCTATAGATTGATTGACAGAACGCATGCAAATGTTTTCATAGTATTCTTTTTTAATATATTTAAGAGATTCATCAATTGAAGTTTTTTGAGTATCTGGATTATGTTTAGAATATTGACGAAAGTTATTTTCAATAAATTCTAGTTTAGCTTTCCATTCGGCGGTTTGATTATTTGGGAAAGGAAGGCCTATAATAATTACGCCTCGTCCAAGTTTATCAGAAAAATTGATTCCTTCAGATAATTTGCCATTGACGACAGATAAAAGAAGAGCGCCATTGCATGTTGAAGTATTTGAGGAATCAATTGCATTTGAATAACTTTGTAATATATTTTCAATATTTGTTGAAAACCGTTCTTCTTTAAAAATCTAGATATATTATTTTAAATAGAATATTAGTCTGAATATACTCTTTTTTTTTGTTCAAGTCTTTCCCATATAGAAAACTTTGCACCTTCTTGCTTTATAGTCCATTTTTTAATTATATTTTCTAAATAATCATAACTTGGAAAAAAACAAATAACTCCATCTGGTATAACTCTACATAAATTTATTAAAGTACTGCCAAGTTCGTTTAACTTAAATCATATTAATATAATATTATAAGTTTTTTCATTTGTACCATATCATTATTGTTCCTTTTTTCATAATTGAATATGAATTCTTTTCTGCTAGGCCCTGTAGATATTACTATAGCACATAAATTATTTGGTGATATAATATGTCCACATGAAAATTTATGTATCTTTTCTTTTGGCATGTAAGGGAAAAGTTGATAAATGAAATCATCCATCTAATATAATGAACAATTGCACTTTTTGTTGGAATAATACTTACTGGTTCCATTGTTCCACCTGCAAGAATTACTGCTTTTGCTTCATCAACTATTTCTTTAAAATAATGACATGGATTAAGAAGTAGATATTTTAAATAACAGTTTGTTTTTGTTTTGTTGTTAATTTTGGCTTCTTCTATATGTCCAAAAAATAGCTTTCCTTCTGTAAAAGGATTTGTTAAGTTTAAAAGAAATGTTTGGATATGAGAAAGGACTGGTAATTTGGGTATATTACTATTTTCGTTGTCTTTTTTCTCTCCTGATAGATTCCTAGATGTTTTTTCAAAATAACTATCTATTTTCCTGGCCAATCCACTATTTTTTATGTATTTTTCTAATTTATATATGTTTACTTGATCTGCTCCCCCAGAAAATAGTAACTCAGATTGTTTAACTTGAATGTCCCCGACAATATCAGATTTTTGCTTCATAAAATCATTTATGTTTTGTAGCAATTTTATTATTTGCTTTATGTAAACCTTATTTTTTCCTTTAAGTCTTTTATTAAATTTAGAAAGATAACCATTGATTTGATCCAATGCTAATGAAACTTGATCTAATGTTATTGTACTTGAATGTATTGATGTTATAGCATCTATTAAATTGTGTGCCTCATCTATAATAACTATATGATCTTTAAGAGATATATTGAGTGCTTCACGAGCAGATGCTTGTAAAAGAAGAGGATATGGCAATGTAATTATCTTAAATATTTATATTCAATTGACATAATTGTATCTTCTTACCTCTGCAAGTTTAAGAGCAGTTCTTGATGAATAATATGGACATATTTCTAATTCTTGACCTAATGAGACAAGATCTTCAATGTCACGAATATTAGCCTATTGAAATTAAGTATTATATATTTTTTAATAAATATTTCGTTTACTAATGCATGATCCCTAAAATTGTGTATTTTTGTCTTATCATTTTTGGGAAGATATTTACATCTACCTTGTTCTGTAGTTTCTACTTGTATAAATAAAAATATTAAACAATTACATATAATTACCATGCTTCTGAAGCTCAATGCATTTCTCATTTATTGAATTAATATCAGATAGTTTTAAAACTTTAGAATTGATACATAGATTCTTACGTGATGCCAATGTAATATGTTTTATTGGTTGTATATTATCTTCTTCAAATGTAGATGGAAATGAAACACGTCGTAGCTCATTAATAAATTGTGTCAATTGAGAATGTGTTCGTGATGCATAGATAATCTATATACTTACTTAAAATATTATCAAAAATCTTTCAATTTAACCTTAGTTTCCTCTGGATATTCCTCTTCATCTAAAAAACTACTATTTTCATTCCGATATTCAAGTCTAAACTTATTATAACTTCTTCAATACATATTTATCAATCTACTTTTGTAATAATTGTAATACTTGAGGCGAAAAGTTATTACTATCAATAGATTTTACATGAATTGTCCCTGGAAATTCTTCATCACTATTATAATCATCTACTAAAAAGTTTTCATCTTCCAATTCCTCATTTATATCCTTTTTTTTGTCCTACATTGTAAGATTTAATATATATTATTCTATTTTCATTACTAGTCGCTTTTTTTTGATAAAATTTTCCCTGTTTTTTGCCAATTTCATTCTACTTATCTCCTCCTTCCTAATCTTCTCTAATCTATCCTCTATTTCCCTTTTTCTTTCTTTAATTATTTCTTTTTTCTTTTCAATTTCATATTTAATAATCCATTCTGGCTCATCATTCTCCCCTTCAATTACTAATAATTCCTCATGTTTTCTAAGCCATTCCATTGCTCCACAGATAATACTCAATGATTTTCCCTGTCATCTTTACTTTCTCCTCTTATGCCCTCTCAACCTACTGTTCCTGTAGGCGACTCAAAGATACCAATTCCTCCCGCTTCAACTGTTGAATACAACGCTTCCATAAACTCAATTTGGATCTTATAAGGTTCATAAGGATGATGAAATCTCCTGTTTTCATACATTTCTTTTTTATTCATGTTTGACATAGTGTTCATATGAAATACATATTAAATACTATTTGTTAACAATTATTCACCTTATTTGCCTTTAGATCTGTTCCAATACCCTGTAAATTGCTAGTTTAACTAGGTTTTAATTAAAGCCCAGCTGATTAACCTTATTTTTAATTGATACACCTAACCTATAGAAATTTTTGTGGGCATCTCTGATGAGGGTTAATAGACTTAAGAAGGCCTGGTACATTATTTCTGTATGTTTCTTGGGAGTTCTTTGTCAGTCAGTGGAATTTCCAATTATTAATGCCTATTTAGCATCATCATTTAAGGCACCATCATTTGTAAATATATATCTGTAAATCTAGAGGGTCTAAAGAAGCTGCTAAAGGGTTATAGAGAGACGGTTTCAACGTATGGAGAGTTGTACTTTTTTGAATTGCTTGATGCAATATCAAAAACAGGGAATAATAGATTAGCAGAGCTAAATGAGGAGAATTATAAGTATTTACATAAGATAGTCTATGATAGTGGTATTATTAAGGACAATATTACACTATCAATGTTGGATTATGAGCTAGGACTTCATTTACTAGCACCCAGGATTGAGACATATTATCATTACTATAATTATACAGTGATTCCAGAGATGAAGAATAAAAAATTTATGTATGAGTGTAAAAATTGGATTTTATTTAATGGGAAACAATATTGTGATGTGGAGGAATTTTTAAGGGCAAAGGAATGTATATATGAAGAGAGAGAGTTGGTTGATATATATATTTTATAAGATTAATTGGCATAGATCTGTTATATTATTGCCATTTGATCATATTTTTGATATATATAAAGATTATGATGCGCCAGTGGCAATTTTGTATGCTGATTTGAGTTCTGATGATTATAAGACATATCATTCATGTTTATATGAAGAAGCTAAGAAGGGGAATTTAAAGTATGTTTTTCGTTACAAACCAGAGAATTATAGTTCAGATATATTGTATTTAAATGGATATGGTGTTCAAATTTCTTTAAAAAAGACGGATTATTTAGTTATTGATGATAGAAATATAGTAGATGGTATTTAATTGATTTTTTTTATTTAATTTATTTAAAATTAGATATGAATGAGAAAGAAATTGGAGGGAATCATACTCTAAGTATTGATTCTGATGATTTTTTATCAAATATTCAAAATGATGAAATTAAGCCTTTAACAAATGCAGAATTAAAAAGATTGGGAATTTCAATTGTTCAATTTGTTACTCAGAGTAAAACACCATTAGAAACTCTTAATTTTGTCCTTCAAGACTTGCCAAAGTATGCATCATATTTATCATCTATAGAGGTTACTAGGAATTTAAGTGAAATGTTGAAAATGAATTATGAATATATTAATCCAGGAATGATGTTATTTACTATCAATGGCCGTGAAATTAATCCTGCTAAGATAAATGGGTTTTCTTTGTCAAGATATTTAAGAAATGACTATGATTTAGTTATATCTTTGAAAAAATTGGGATTATCTGCTAAAGAAGCAAGATTTTTTGTTGATGAGTCTATTTTTAACATATTTAATAAGTTTTTTGATAATAGGTTTGATTTCAGGGATAAACATGAAAATTCAATGGCAATTATATGGTTAAATAATTTAGAAAAAGACTCTAGTTATTTACATTTTTCTAATGATATTTACCAAGTATAAATTTTTCTTTATTCAAGAAAAACTTATTGATATAGTATTTAAATGATCTTCCTTCTCAGCAATTGCATATGGTACGACGTAATTTACATCATATAATCATGTTTTTGGATCTTTCCGGAAGAATTGATTTTATGTTTTTAAGAATCATTTTTTCACTATTACATCGTTCTTTTCCTATAAGAATTGGGGTTGTTCCTATATGGAATGATTCAGAAGTTATGTTTTTTTTTGAAATTATATATCATATTGATTTTAATAGATATATTTATCGTCAAACTTTTTTATCTTTTGTATGATATGTATGGGATTGATGTAGCACTTGAATATTTTCAATATGTATGTCTCTTTTTTTGGTTATATGTCTTTATATGTTTTAGATTGATCCAGGAACTCGTAATGATAGGAATATTTTATATAAAAATTTTAAGATTATAGCATCTAAGTATTCTTTTTCTAAAAATATGGGATATATGAGCATTGATGAGATTATGAAATCTAAAAAACTAAATAAATATGTTTTGAAGACAAAAGAATGGGCTATGCGACTTAATATAAAAAATGATAATTATATACTTGTAAATGGAAAATTTATAGAGAAAAAGGTATTGTATTCAATAGATTTTTTATCTTTTTTATAAATTTATAGAATTGGCAACATTCTATATTATACGTTTTTCCAAATGATGTTAATATTATAAGAAAAAAAGTATATTTTACACTTATTTATTATTAAATCATTGTTAATTATTTAGATAATTAAGAATTCTCCCGGTAATGATGTAGATATTCTTGATTATCTTTTGGAAGATGCAATTTTTATACGCAAATTTTATATGCAACCTACAAATAAACTAATTAAGTTTCAAAAGTTCACTAATTTTATCCAAAACCAGGAGAATATGGAATTTTCTTCTATCAATGGTTTTCTTTTTTAAAATGTTTATTTTAAGTTTACTTTTTATAGAGAATTTAGATACTGAACAAAGTATCTGGTTAATTGCTGATTTTGATACAAAAAAGGGCATTAAATATTTAAAATCTGCTTTAAAATATATAGTTTGTATTTATGATCTTTTTTTTTTTAACATAATTTAGACAAAATATCCTCATACTAGTTTAAGGTTTTTGCATAATCCTCAACTTGATGATAAGGAAAGATCAAATAATATTTCATCATTCCTTTACCTTTTGAAAGAAAGAGAAATTGATGTTGCTCAACCTACATTGAACTATATTCGAAAGATTTTTAATAATTATGGTTCTGCTGGTATTGATAAGAATATAGAGTATCCAGATTTTATTTTAAACAATTATAATTCCAGCCAATTGGAATTGAACTCTATGAAAGCTAAGTTATATTGGAAAGAAATAGGAAATTCATTGAATAAGCTTGGGTTTATGCCTGGTGAATTTGGATTATTGATAAATGGTTATGTAATGTTAAAAATATTTTTGAAATTTTTATTAATATTAGTTAAGAGTGTTGGTCCAATTCCAGAATCTGATGATTTCTTGCTTGATGATTTTGAATCCTTGGGTAATTTTTGCAATTTATCAATGGTTTCTAAATTAAAAGTCATTGTTAATGAATTAAGTATTAAAAATTCAAAAAAGTAAAGATAATGAGTTAAGGAATATGAAATAATCTTTTTAGACTTAAAATATTTTTCCCTTTATTCTCATCAGTAATACTATCATATATGGTACTTGAAAAACATGACGATTTTGACAATTCTTCCCCAAATAAAAGATATAATTTACAAGATTTCTTCAAAAAATTAACTCCATCTTTTGCTTATGGAGATGAAAATGATTGTTTATTTAATGTTAAGGTTATATTGGATCCTTTAAATGAAATATCTCAGAAACTTGTATCTATTTTAAAAGTAAGAAAGTTTTATATTTGAAACCATTTTTAAAAGTTTAGGCTTTGAAACAATTGGAAAGTGTATGTCTAAAAGTGTATTTAAATCCATTAAAAGAGATACATGACTTGTCTATTAATCGTTTTTATCGTTATGTTCTACATTCTTCATTGAAATTTGATAGCAATGGGTAAATAAAGTAAACTATGATTGCTTATATTTAACTTTTTAGTAATTTGATTTACCCTAATGCAGTTTTTGAAAAGTTGCCTATGTCACATTTGTATACTGTTGATTACGACTTTCTTGAATCATGGATTGTTACTCAAAAAGAATCTATTTATGATTTAGATAATCTTTTAATACAAGATTTATCATCAAAGAAAATTTCAGAAGTTAGAATTGCTTATGAACTTAAACATATACTTATACAAGGACGTGCAGAGGATATTACTTTAAAGAATGTGCCTGCTGGCATTCAATTGGCTCTTAAAACCAAAAATAATAATTTTGTTAGTGATACAATAGTCATGAATAATTATGGTTATTTCCAGTTTAAAGCTAATCCTGGTGTTTTTAAAATGGATATAATGAAATCTCATAGTAATATTTTTGAAATTTCAAAAATTTCTGGGGAATTTGAATCTAATAATGATCAATTCTCTAAGCAAATTATATTAGACAGCTTTGAAGGGTTGACAATATATCCTAAACTTGTTAGAAATCCTGAAAAAGAGAACGCTTCGATTTTTGGAATGAATGATTCAGATAGTGATGGTTTCACATCTGGTACAGTTTTGAACTCTACACACTCTCAACAAACTGATGAATTTAAATCTAATTCTTCTATGCAAAGATCTCATGCAGAAATTAATATTTTTTCTATAGCAAGTGGTCATTTATATGAAAGATTTTTATATATTATGACTTTAAGCGTCCTTAAACATACAAAACATACTGTTAAATTTTGGTTCATTGAGAATTTTTTGTCATCTTCTTTTAAGGTCTTTATTATTATTAACTTTTATATTTTATTGATTTGTATATTAGAATTTTCTACCTCATGTTGCAAATGAATTTGGGTTTGAATATGAACTTATTACATACCGTTGGCCCCATTGGTTACGGCCTCAGAAGGAAAAGCAGAGACAAATTTGGGGGTAAATCTTAATTCAATTGAATTGGAATTTACTAAAGATTATTCTAGATATAAAATTCTTTTTTTAGATGTTTTATTTCCTTTGGATCTGGATAATATTATATTTATTGATGCTGATCAGGTATATATATATATATATATAATATATTTTTCATGTTATTTATTTTTTGAAGATTGTTAGAACTGATTTAAAAGAGCTTGTAGACATGGATTTGAAGGGTGCACCATATGGGTATACACCAATGTGTGACTCTAGAAAGGAAATGGAAGGCTATAGATTTTGGAAAAATGGTTATTGGAAATCATATCTTAATGGGAAACCTTATCATATAAGGTAATTGGATTCGTATTTATTAAATATCTAATATTAGGAAGTGCTCTATATGTAGTAGATCTTAAGAGATTTAGAGAAATTGCTGCAGGAGATTTATTAAGACATCATTACCAAAGTCTTAGTGAAGATCCTGAATCATTAGCTAATCTTGATCAAGATTTACCAAATAATTTGCAACATTTAGTTCCAATTTTTTCTTTACCTCAAAATTGGCTCTGGTGCGAAACATGGTGTTCAGATGAAACCTTAAAAGATGCAAAAACAATAGATCTGTGTAATAATCCAATGACAAAAGAATCAAAATTAAAGCGTGCTCGTCGTCAAATTCCTGAATGGAATAAATATGATAAAATAATAGCTGATTTAATTGCACGCATTCTAGAACAAAAGAAAGCCAATGAATCAAGTGAATATGTTGTAGATAATATTGCAATATCTGTTGATATGATGCAAAATATACAATTTAATTTTGACGATAAAAATAAAAAAAAGGATACTCATGATGAATTGTAATTTTATGAGCTGGATTTTCTCTATAAAATTTAATTTAACGATCTTGTCGTCCAATGTTCTGCATCTATGGTTTTTCCTTGACCTTTTTTAGAACTTACATCTCCATAAAGAATTATTTTTTCATTATCATTGCTAGTGATTAGGATCTTTTCCAAAATAACACTTTCATTATATTCATTCATTACTCCGTATGCTGAAACGGATGCAATCTCATTTCTTCTATATGAATCTTGCACTTTAAAAGTTATACTAAATTTTCTCATTTTATTTAATCCCATCATAGAAAATGATTCATATTCCTCAAATGATACATTCTCCGTCCCAAGAACATACATTATTTCCTTTTCATTCCCTTCAATTGCCTTTTCTATTCGTTTTATAGATTCTATATATAGTTTTTGTGCAAGTGATTCGGTATCTGGTATAATTTGAGAAATAAACGGTTTAATCCAATTCAAAAACATAGTTTCATATTTCCCCACTATAGAAGAAGGAAATACCCTATTAATACCCTCTTTTTTATGCATTATACGAAAAATTGATTGAAAAATTAGTGGAAAAAAAAGTCCTGTTATTAATGTCAAAATACCCATTATAACCACCGGAAAAAAGTATATTCCCAATATTCCTATTCCCCACATCATCATACTCCTTTTGAATCTTCTATTTATTAATCTTTCTACTCCATTTTCCTTCCATATTCTACTATAATATCGACTTATCATTAATCTTGATATCTTCCCCAATTTTCCATATTTTTCATAAAAAAAAACACCATTCTGATCCTCTCTTCATCAACTTTCATATTATCACTTCTTTTTACCATTTACCCCAACGTAATGTCCTCTTTTTAATCTTATTCTTCCCAAATTTTTTAATACTTCATTTCCTATATTTATTAACTATTATTCACGTAAATATATTATAAACATACTCTTTATATATTTATTCATTTTCTCTCTCTCTCATACTATATAAGACCTTATCGTTTATCTTTTTTCCTGACGATTGTTATTCGACGACCAAGAAGGTTGGTATAATTAAAAAAGCTAAAATACTAATAAATAAATAGAAAACAGGCGAAAATAAGATAAAATCCTTGATATTTGAGGTTATTTATAGGGGATAAGGAAAAAGTCCGGTTTAAAACGGTTGAATGAGGGCAGAGATATAAAAAAAACTAAGGAGCAGAATCATAGCAGAGTAATGATAAGATAAGGCGAGTAAAGGGGTCAATAAGAACGTATATATGGGATTTAAGGAGAGTGAAAGTGTTCTTGATGAGTCATTTAGTGAAGAAACGGTGAATAAGTTCGGTATATGTAATGGTTGTGAAGAACGATATCAATCGGGGAAATATTATGAGGAGATGGTTGAGAGGGAAGTGAATGAAGATTTGAAGCCTATTTTTATGGATAATGTAAAATTTGTTGGAAAAAATAAGTCTAATTATGAAACGGTATCAGCGATTTCTATTAATGTATCAGATGCACAAAATAAATTGGAAAGACGGAATAAATATGGGAAAGAATCGGGAAAGAATGTATGTGAACGGGAGGGGGTAAACGAGGAGAGTGAAATAAATATAGTTAAATCGAAAGTATTTGATAACAAAATATCGGAAGTGATTGGAGTTGAAAATAAAACAATATCATTGGATGGATGTTCAGTGGATAATACTATATGCCTAGGATTAGGATCTAAAAATGTGACACGAGTTAGTTTGGATGTTCGTCAGAATAGTGTAGTTCAAGAACCAATAAAATGGATTGAAACGATATGGCAAAAACGAACATCGAAACATAAACGAAAGCAAAATGAAGAAAACCAAAGGTTTTTCATTGGGACTAGAATTGGGGAGGATCATGTTAATTATGTAACTGCTTATAATATGTTAACAGGGATTAGAGTTGGGGTATTGATTTTAAAAGGTTAATAACAAGTTATCTGAAGATAATTAGGTTTCTCGATGTACAGCAAAGGTTGATCGTGATCTTACAAGCACGGATTTCGTTGATTCATATAAATTTTCATTTGATATGTATGTATGTTTTAGGATTTAATATTATTTCTAATTTTTAGAACGGGTAATGAATTAACACCTTCTGCAAAATATGATTTCAAATTTAAAGATTATTCTCCATGGGTTTTTCGTCATTTAAGAGCTTTGTTTCGTCTTGATCCTGCTGATTATTTAATGTCACTTACGAGCAAATATATTCTTTCTGAATTAGGATCTCCTGGGAAAAGTGGAAGTTTTTTTTATTTCTCTCGTGATTATCGTTATATAATTAAAACAATTCATCATTCTGAACATAAGTTTTTGCGTAAAATTTTAAAACAGTATTATGAGGTATTTTTATAGATTTTTTTTTTTTTAATACTATGGATTAATCATATTATAGCATGTAAAGAAGAATCCTAATACCTTGATTTCTCAATTTTATGGTCTACATAGAGTAAAAATGCCTTATGGGCATAAGATTCATTTCGTTATAATGAATAATTTGTTTCCTCCTCATCGTGATATTCATAAGACATTTGATTTGAAAGGATCTACAGTGGGAAGGGATTATAAAGAAGATGATTTGGAAAAGAACCCCAGGGCAACTATGAAAGATTTGAATTGGATTAGAAGAAAAATGCATTTATCACTGGGTCCAGAGAAACGAGATATATTTCTAGCTCAAGTAAAAGCAGACGTAGAACTATTAGCATCATTAAACATTATGGATTATAGTCTTCTTGTTGGCATACATGATTTGTCTTTAGGAAATAAAGAGCATATTCGAGGCAATATTCTATCTGTCTTTAACCCTGATTCAGAACAAATACATAACTCTTTGAAACAGGGACAGTCCATTTCTAGTGCTAATGAGCTTAGAAAAATTGTTTCAACCATTGGACCTGTTTCTCTTAATTCTACTTCGAATGAATTATCAGATCCTGATTTTACGTAAGTTTTGTTATTAATAATGTGAATCCATTAATCCTAATATTATTATTTAGACGCAAAGATTTCATATTTTATAGTGATGATGGTGGTTTTCGTGCTACTCAAGAAGATAATCTTCCTGGTGATTCAATTTACTATATTGGTATAATTGATCTTTTAACAAAAGTATAATTACTATTAATGATTATATTTCTAACAATTTTAGTACAATATAATCAAAAAAGTTGAGCATTTTTGGAAAGGACTTTCTCATTCAAAGGCGCAAGTATCAGCTATACCTCCATCTGGATATGCTTCACGGTTTTTTAAATTTATAACATCTATTACCAAAACTCATCAATCTGTTGAAATCTAAATGGACTAGTTCTAGTATTATAATAGGAAGAAGTTTTATATTGTAAAGTTGGTATTCAAGGATACATGAAATTAAGAATTGATTTTTATAAAATCGGCTTTTTTCTATTTTTGTTGGTTTATTATATCATGTTTATTATGAAAGATAATTATTCCTATAACCAATATGGAAAGTTAAGTTTTTTTCAAACTTACTTAAGATGATGTTTTCTTTTTATGCATCTATGGTAAAAAGAATTTGTTCAATTTACTTTTCGTTTTAATGCATTATGGAAATACGGTTTGCATCAACAAAGGTCGTCAATGATGATGAATTATTACTGTAGTTATTGAGATACAGTTAAAATGTTTTAAAATTCTTTTTGAATATATTAGAAAAGAAGTACATGTTTTGATTATTAGGGCTTTATTTATGAGCATATGTTTTATTAGTTTAGACAGTACTTTTTTGTTTACATAAATGTATATTCTTTAATAAAATATTTGTTTCAGTAGATATTAATCTATGTTCATATTTATAAATATGCATTTGCATTTTTTATAGTTGAGCTTATGTACAAAAAGACATATTAGTTATTAATATTATTTCCTCTTTTTATTAGTTTTATTTCTCTTATTTGCATGTGTATTTTCTTCAGTTTTTCTTTTTTCTACACTAGTAGCTTCATTTTGTTTTGGAACTACCTATCATATTTTAAATTAATGTGAGATTTAAAAAACTATTTACCTTAAAAAAGCTATCTAGTCGTACTTGTTGACTTGATTTCAATGCTTTTTCTAATCTTAAAATACCATTGTTTACTCTTTCCTCATTAAATCCTTTTTCTTTAACAAGAAATTCTATAAGACCTTCTGCATTAGGACTTTCCCATTTCAATTCAAGAGTTTCAGGGCTTGTAACATCTGGATTTAGAAATAAATCTCTTGCATCTTTATATGGCCAGTTTTCTGGTATTTGATATTTAGATTTATCAGCAGAACTTACGAACGTATCTAAAGATTTATATTCCCTAATTAGCTCCAATGCTCTTTTTGGTCCGATTCCTTTAATTGGCTCACAATAATCGCATCCTAAAAGAATACAAAGATCTACAAACTTTTTTATCTTTAGTAAATTCCTAAAAATATAAAGTATTTACCTGTTCTAAAGACATATATAACACCTTTAATGCCTTGTCCAAATTAATCTCTGTAATGGGCTCTTTTTTGTATTCACTAGAAGTTAAATGTCGAAGTAAAACTGGTGTAGAAAAACACAATGTATCCATATCCTCTGATGCCGCTGCATAAACCTTAAAATATTAGTCTATATAAATGTATATAATCTATATAATATATATACCTTTCCTGATTTAGCAAGAGCTGCACATTGCGCTTCTGCCTCACATGGTGCGTTTATACATGGTATTCCCATCAATTTCAATAATTTTTTGCATTCTTCATTATGCTCACGAGTCACTCGTATAATTCTTTTGCTAAATTTATTTATATCTTCTACAGATCCTACTTCTTTTGCTTCTGAATGTAATTTAACTGCTTCTTCTCTTCTTTCTAACCGTTTTGCAAGCTTCAATCCTTTTATAAAAGCTTCCAATCATTAATTTATACACACCTCTCCACTTTTTAATCTAGGAGGACTCCCATCAAAAACATAACATGGTCTGAATCATAATTATTAAGAAAATAACATTTTTTTATATAAAAAAAAACACACTTAATGCCATTATCACACATCCTTAATGTTCTATAGAATATCCCCATCAAATGACTTGAAATATTAATTTTAATTAATAAATAAACGATTTTTTCTTCCACCTTGTTGTTTCTCCTGTTTCTGTCATTAATTGTTGTCCATCTTGCTGACGAACTGCAATTAAAAACTTATGATCCCATTCAATATTCAAAATATATATTAAATTGATTAAAATACCTGATAAATACTCATAGAAGCGTCCTAAAAACCAATAATTAGTCTAATTTTTTCCTTTAAAAAATCTTACAATAGCTAATTTTCGTCCAAAATAATGGTCAATATTATATGATTTAATACAAGACGAGGCATGTTCTTCAAGCAGTTGATAAAGGTGTTTAATCCCCATTTTATATTTTCCTATTCAAAGTAGATATTTCTTGTCGTCCGTTGCTAATAAAATCAAGAAAATAAAGGCCATCTTATCAAATTCTATTTTATATAAGAAATAAGATTTAACATATATTTAAATGAGTTAATACTTTACCAAATGAATCATGTATTAGATTATAAGAGTGTATTTAGTGTCAGCGATTTTCTCTTAAATCTATAATTTTTTATAAAAAAAATATATAAATTTGAAGTCAGTAAGACTTGATATAGTTAAATTGATCCAATGTTTTATATCTTTAATGTTTTAAAAAGGTTGAGTTGATTCAAATGATAAAAAGGTAATATTAATGATTCGATTTTACAAGGTGATTGCACTTGTAATTTATTATTATGTATTGTTTTATAAATTTTTGAGAAAGATATTTATCAAGAGTTGAATGAAATAGAAATCTACAAAAAAATAAGATTATTGTATGAAAAATATGATTACCGTTTTACATTATGATTATTGATAAAATTGTTGTATATGTTGATGAATTATAATTGTGTATGAATATATTTTTTAGATCCCTAGAATATAAAAATAAAATAGTTTGTATTGATATGTGAATGAATATTTTTTTTAAGTAAAAAACTTGTAGAAACTGATAATTATTTAATATACGAAATCCAAAGCATGTTTTTTCTTGTTTAAAGGTGAATAAGAAAAAAGGTAAATGAAGATATTGTATGTTTCGTTATGAGTTTATCCTGTTAATTTCTCGAAGTTTATGAAATAAATTAAGAGAAGTATAAATGACAAATATTTGCAAGATCTGATCTAAATATTTAGATTTGACTCTTATTATAATTAAAAGCATTGCTTATTTGATTTATAGTGTTTTTGTCAACATTATATGTCTAAAATGCGACTTTACTATAGTTGGAATAAACAAATAATAAAGATGTTTTTCCAATTATTTCTATAGATCATACGAAATTAAAGTTGATAATAAATGACTTGATAGTGAGAAGTATGAAATATTAAAATAAACAATTCCTATGCAATGTTCCAGAATTATATGAGATAAATATTATGCTAAGTATGCAATTATTCGATAATCTTGATACGTTTAATAATTGATTATTTTGCCCTGTTTAGAATCTTATATGTTAATTCTTCTAGTGCATGTCGAGAAGGTGACACTGGAAATAGATTAAGAGAATCTAATGCTTTGTTGCAAAATTTTTCGGCTAATTCTTTTGTTTTTTGCAAACCGTTACTTTTTATGACTAATTCATGTGTCTATGCAATGTTAATATTAGATAAAAGTCAATCAGTTTTAATACTCGACATATATCTCCATCATTAGAGAATTTTCGTTTTATAACTGGTCCTAATTCAGGATATTTTTCCCATGCAAATAAAACTGGTGCTGTTATTAATCCAAGTTTTAAATCTTTTTTTACAGGTTTTCCAAATGTATCTTCAGAAATTGTGTAATCTAACATATCGTCCGTTAACTAATTAATATATAAAAAACCTTTTCATGAAATTAGATAGACTACCTGAAACGCTAACCCAAGATTTTTTCCATACAAATAAGCATTATCTGTAATTTCACTAGTACATCCACCTAATAATGTTGTAGCTCGACAACTTTTTGCTATTAAGCTTGCTGTTTTTAAATATGTTTTTTTCAGATATTTACTTAATATATCCCTAAAATGAAAATATTCATTATCCTCCTTGTCCATAATCCCTTTTAATTGCATAATTTCTCCTTCTACAAGATTTGCAATCACCGTAGCTAAAAGTTCAATTACTTCTGCATTTCTTAAACGTGCCAATGCAAGTGACGCTCTTCCAAGAAGAAAATCTCCCGCTAATACCGCCATTTTGTTCCCAAATACATGGTTTCCACTAGGCATCCCTCTTCTAATATGTGAATTATCAATTACATCATCATGTAACAATGATGCTGTATGAATCATCTCCGTAATCTCTGCCAATCTTCTTTGAGATGGATATATATCTGTTTCCGCCATATTCATCGAGATTTCATACGATGATAATGGCTTGTCTGGATCTTCATCATTCACTATATTTGATGATGATATAGGTTCATTATATTTATTATACAGCACATCTTCCCAGTTTTCAATCTTCGGCGCAATACTAGTAGCTTTTGATATCAAAAGAACTACTAATGGCCGAACATGTTTTCCTTGTGTTTCAATATAATAATTCGCTACATTATAAAGTATAGGATTGCACGAATTAAATAATTTACGGATATTATATGTTAGATGTGACATCTCTGGCTCTACGAGCTTCATTTCACTCTCATAAAATCCTGTATTTCTTTCTTCTTTAATTTTTGATGATCTTAATGTTTCATAGATATCTGAAAATTGGCCAAAATAACCCGTTAAAAACCGTTTTTGAACAGATCCTGTCATAAAAACCAATGATTCATCTGGTTTTATGTGTTTTATATTCTTTATTAAAGGTTTTAAAGTCTTGTTTCTGCTGAAAAACATTAATAAGACTGGCTCGTTATTTTTTAACGTTGCGAGGACAAATATGTGTTGATAGTTAAAATATATAGCAATTGGTAATTTTGCATATTTCTTTCTAATAAATACAAGAAATATGTATTTATTATTTTTTTTCTTAAGATATTTGCAAGTTTTTTTTTTTTTATAAGTTATAATTGATGGAGGTATAAATTAAAATGGGGGTAAAACAATGATATTTGTATAATATTTAAGGTTTTTATTAAGAATCAGTAAAATTTAGTGTTTATTTTATTATTATTTTATTTTTTTGATAAGATAATTGTATATATGAGGCTCGTTAGATATAATTTAAATATATATTAATTAATTGTATTAGTTTTTAGAATATGAACAAGAATTTGGGTTAATGTTAATTATTTAAGGGATTATGAGTTAATTTTATGAAAAAAAAGTTTAGTAAATGATATGGATTATGTAATAATTAATTAGTGTAACGATAGCTCTAAAGAATATTAGATGTAGTTGAAGTTAGTTAAAATAGAATTATTAAGGTTTAAGTAGAAATTTAAAGTCAATTCTGTATATTAAATGAATATAAATTGAATAATTAGCAAAAAGAAATGTATAAATTTTTATATAGTTGAAATGATATGAATTTTAAAGATATTAATATATGTTTTAAATAAAACCCTTTTATTTTTGTTAATGAAATGTACATATATAAAATATTAGTTAAAATTCTAAGTATTTAACATTATAAATATTTTTAAAATGATAGATTTTTACGTTGAAGATATTAGTAAAATTTATTATGTATATTATAATTGTTTCCTCTAGAATATTTATAGAAATTATGAATGCAGTGATTTATATTGAATTTATATAAAGAATATTTTTATTTGCATTTTAATTTATGTATTAGATGATTAATGCTGTAAGTAGTGTTTCTCTGTTTCCTTTTGAATTTATATTATTAAATAAAATGTTGAAATGATATATCTGTTGAAATCATATATTTGTTAAAATCATTTTATCCGTGACTTTTTGAGTATTATAGATTAAATTGATTTTTTTATGTTCTATAAATTTCTCAAAAGAAATAGCTAATTTTTATAATTAGATATATAATAATTGACATTTTAGAAAAATGTTGAAAAATAAATGTTAGTTAAATATATAAAGATGTTTACTTTTTTTTTTGATATTATTATTACAAAGACTGTTCTTCTGGAGGAAGGTAGGCTACAATTTTTCCTGAAGCAGATCCGCCTACAACCCAGTCCTGAGTTGGATGAAATTGACATACAGCAGGAACAGCAGTAATTTTATTAGGATCACCTAAACGAGCAAGATAAACTCCTTTACTGCTATAAATATCAATATGTCTTATTTATCTTATTAGCTTAAATATTTTTTAAAATATTAATAATATACCTTTGCATATTTCCAATTGTAAATTTTTGTATGCCAGTGGATGGATTTTCATGCCATTGTGCGCGTAATATTGTTACCCACCTTCCTGATTGATTATTATGCTTAATAGTACAGTTTGGTGATATATTCTCAAGTTTGGTCTCATTTGTCCATAATTTATAATTTGGATTATTAAAAATAGTAATCGTATCATCATAACTAGTCGCAACAATCGATCCTTCAGAATTCCAATATGCTGAGCTTATACTTAAACGTGACATATATGTACCTATATGTGATATCGGCTTTGAATTACTAATCATACGAAGATCCCATATTTTCATTGTACGATCTAAAGATGATGTACAAATAAGATATGGTGCACATGGATGAATAGACATTCCTCCTATTTTTTTATCATGTAATTGATATGTTGATGCACTTCGGGAATGAATGTCTTTTATTATGAATCGACCATCAAGTGTTGTAAAATATATCGTATCTCCTTTAGGATGTACTGCCAATGCCGAAATTGATGGCGGTTCATTCATATTTTCTCCTTCAGAAACATATATTTCCGTAGATAATTCTTTATCTAGATGTACTGCACGAACTGTACCATCATATGATGATGAATAAAGCGTATTTAAAGAAAATGGATTAAATTTAAATGCTGAAATTAATCCTGAATGTAATCTATAATGATGAATTAACGGTCCTTCTATCTCTCCATTCTCATCCTCATTTTTGACCTTATCTGTCCTGGTTCCATCCATATCCCAAATACCCATATTACCGATTTTGTCTCCTGCAAACACTATTTTTTTTTCCACACTAGGATGAATAACAATACACGATATTCTTTCTGGAACTATTTTTAAGTAAAATGGATCCCATTTCTTGTATAATTCAAGAGATTCCATTTTTTGTTTTAATTTAGATAGATCTTTATCTATATATTCCTCTGACTCTTTTTTTTCAATATATTCCTCCTTACATAATGCAACCTTTTCAATAACCTTTCTAGCAACTTCCCAGCTATATGATTCCTCAATAATATCCCTCAATTTCAAATCTCCTGCTACACGTTGACGCTTTTTCTGTTCTATAAACCCTTTAACATCGTTTTCTCCTTGTTTTCTCTTAAAATTATCCGGTTCTGCTGATATTCCAAGGAGTCTAGAAGAGTTTCTTCTAGGAAGATTACTATAGTCTCTTCTTATCTTTTTTTTCTCTAGATTCTTATTTCTTCTTGGATTAACTTCATTGTTTCGCTCTTTTTTAAGAATACTGTCTAATTTAAGTTCTCTATTCAAATATATAAGAAAGATATCGTTAAAATATTATTAAATACCTTAAAAGCTCTTGATTTCTCTTGATATTTAGCTGTCTTTGACGCTCATACTCATTAACCTCTTGCATCTTGGAGCTCGATACGATATGGTTTAACGTCAAAAAAAAAGTATATTGAAAATGAGTGTGAAATTAGAGGGAAAAAGGCAAGAATTTAGGTTAAAACAAGTCATTATGACGTTTATAAAGTGTATATATTGAATAAATAATGTTTTTTGTGAAGAATGGAGTTTTTTTGTGAAACAAAGAGTTTTTTATTAAATTTCCAAAAAGAGCCCTTAAACCTTATTTTTTTCTGTATTTTGTATTTGTAATAGATAGCCCGTCATTTGTTTATATGTTTTTGCCTTTTTTTTTTTATAAGAAAAGGCTAGTATTTGATGTTGAAGGGGGTTATTTGAGAGGGTTTCTATAAAGTGTTGGTAGAACGTAAAGAAAATGAGTTTATTGAATACGTTTAGCTGGAGAGTGATTTCAGGGACATTTGATATGGGTTTATGTCGTTTTATGGAGAAAAATTGGGGAAAATATGAAGGATTTGTAAGATATAGAATGAATTGTTATTTGAATGGATATTGGAGTAATAAGTTATCTGGAAAAGCAATTTTACGTAATTTTGTTGTTGGAAGAGGTGTTTATTTAGGAAAGAAACATTTAAATAATGTTTTAAAACCATTGGTTTTGAAAGAATCTCAAAAAGATGATTTTTCTGGTAATAAGAATCAAAAAAACAATGATGATATGGAATTACAAGAATGTTTTAAGAAAATGGAAGAAAATATGTTAAATATTAAGACAGATATGGAACTTCATAAATTTGTTGAAGAATCTATTTTTGAACCTTTTAAAAAACAGTTATCAGAGGGAAAAATTAATAAAAAGTTATCAAAATCTATTATTCTTCATCTTTATTCACAATTACTTCAAAAAGCAATGGAAATATTTAGGTTAAATTTTTTAGATTATGTATCAGTGGTTACAATATTTGAGCGTATCAAAGAACATGGTCCAGAATCTTTTGTTTTAGGATGTTCATCTGATGTATATAATGAAATGTTATTGGCAAGATGGGAAGGATGGAATGATATAATTGAGATTGAAAATCTCTTGACAGAAATGAAAATAAATTCTGTCCCAAGAACTCAAAAGACTTTAAAAATTCTTAAGAAAATAAGATCTGATATTCAAAATATGGGTTCTCAAAAACATCTTTTAAATCATGCTTTATTTTCATATCATCATAATATGCCTTGTACTCAACGTTTAGATGCTATATATGATGAAATTTTACTTGAAACTTCTTTAAAAAAATAATTCTTTCAAAATATACCATCTCTTATCTCTTAGATGGCGTTTAAATTCTTGATCTCCCAATTCATACATGATTCAATCTTTTGCATTGGTATTTATATATTTTTTTCATCTTAAATTTACTAGATACATATATTTCTTTTCTATCTATCTAAATATAAGGAAAAAATCTCCTGCATCATTATGATTCTGTCTTTAACAGGCTATAATAAACTATGATAAATATATAGGGTTTTATGAGACCGATCGATCTTAAAAATTAAAAGAAAAGCTTATTTTAATAGCAAAAAACTCCATTAAACAATTTTAAACAGGAAAAGCAATGCTCTTTAGAAGTTTTAGCTGTATTCGTCTTTTTTCCCGGAATTTTTTGGTTCAGAATAGACTAAATATAAATAAAACGTTAATAAATTCGTCATCCACTCGATTTTATTCTCAAGCACGTCTATCAAAACAAGAGATTGAATCAAGGATTATAGATATTGTTAAAGGTTTTGACAAAATTACTGATCCATCAAAAGTAAGAATAATACATGAAATTGGGTGTATAAAAGTTGTTTTTTTTTTTTTCTTAATTATACAAAAAACCTATCTCCATTTTCAAACAAACATTTAAGGACATAAATTAATTGCCATTAGATTACTCCTACATCAAGTTTTTCTGCTGATCTTGGATTGGATAGTTTGGATACTGTTGAAGTTGTCATGGCGATCGAAGAGGCTTTTAATATTGAAATCCCTGATAAAGAAGCTGATGAAATACGAACCATTGGAGAAGCAATAACTTATATTTCTAATCATCCTGATGGTATCTTTTCCTATTTTCATATATTTTTTATATTATTTTATTTATTAATTATTAGCTTGTTAATTCTATCAAATCTTTAATTTATAACAACTACAAACTATAAATATTATAGAAAACATTCAATTCTTATTTCTTAACTTCATCTTATTCATTCATACTTCTTTTCTTACATTCTACTACTTGTTTAAAAAACATAATAAATTTATTATCTAAATAACCAATTTCTTAGCAATTATGACTTCTTCTTTGCTTCTAATGTCCTTGTTTTTTATTAAAATTATTAAAACTCTCTTATGTATATATATTTTTGATCGTTTATATATAACAGACTTATGAACTCTCTTGGTTCTGTTGTTTTTTTTAATTAAAGGTAATATATGATAAATAATACATGAATATTAACGTCTTTATCACAGGAATAACTGATCTATCTTTTAATAACTTTTTGAAGGGCTTTCTGAGAGTAAAAATAGCTTATAAAAGTGGATAAAATTGATAAAGAAAAATAAGAGTTTTTAAGGGCATTTTTTGTATTTTTTGAGGATATATATTGTTTATTATATTGTTAATTATGTCTTCTGGTCTTTTCCGGCGGCGAGTTGGCAATTCTGGGTCAAATAGATGTGGAGAATTATCATCAACAAGAAGTTGTCAAGAAGGGTTAAATAGAGAGTCTATAGGAAAAGAATACAGTGATATTGATAAGAAGAAACATAAGGTTGTTTTTGATCCGCAAGATCTTCAAGAAGATGAAGAAAGAAGAAAGCAACCATGTCTTACGTTGATGGAGGAGGTGTTATTATTGGGGTTAAAAAATAAACAGGTATTATGGGAATGAAGATTTTAAATGAGGAGAATGAAGTATTTTCTAAATGGTTTAGGGGTATTTACCTTTTGGAAATGATAATATTTCATATATTCTTCGTGGATGTATAATTTTAGAGCTTGCATTTAGAGGTAGGATTCAAATGTGCCGAGATTCTCTTAGAAAGCGACATCCATTACCAGAACGTATTGTGGAGGTAGTAAATGATAAGACTACGGGTGAAACGTTGTTAGATGAAACACTTAAAATGATGAAATCGAGTGAAAAGATGACAATTGGAACATGGGTTGATTTAATGAGTGGTATATAAGGTTTTTGGTATGTATTTATGTAGAATAATTGATGGATAGGGGAAACATGGAATTTTATGAAAATTGGATATCAATTGAAGCAAGTTCGTGAGCGTTTAGCTAAAGGATTGGTGGATAAAGGAATTCTTCGTACTGAAAAGCGGAATTTTTTATTATTTGATATGACTACACATCCTATTTCAAACAGTTTTGTTAAAGATGATATTCGTAATCGTTTAATGGTCATGTTAACTGCACCTACAATAGTTTTACCAACTAGTGTATTTTTTCCAGAGACGATACCAATGAGACATCTTCGTGTGATTTCTTTAGTATGTGCTGCTTACGCTGCAAATGTTTTAGAGAATGCTCTTTCTTCTGTTGAATATGAAGTTCGTGAACGTGCCTTCACTCGTGTTGATGAGTTTTTCAAGGATTTTTCTCAATGGCCTTTTACAATTAAATATAGTAGTAATATTAATTGCGTTGATTCTAGCCTAGCCGATGTCATACAGGAAGAAACATCTGGAGGAAAAGATAAAGAGTTGCAGCTTGAAGTTATTGCTGCTGTTTTACAAAGTATTTTTTTTTTAATTTAATCTTAAATAACACTTTTTAGTATTTACTCGGTTTGATTGTATTTTGTGATCATCTTACACTCTTTTTATTCATCTTTTTTGCTTTTTATTTACTATTCAATCTTACAGATCATTCTCATTCTTCTTTACTAATACTACATCTCTCTATATAATACATATTTTCATTCTCTATATAATATATGAAGTATATATTAATTTCTTTTATTAATAGTCTTGGGGATTTATCATCTTTATATATATTCAGTTCTTCAATATATATACAGGCTCTACTTTCCAAAAAATTAAATATTTAAAAAATATTAGGAAAGTCTTTTAAATTGTATTTATGGCTTCCATATTTCAAAAAAGATCTTATTCAGAGAGGGATGCTGTTTTTTCTGGATTAAAATCTATGATGGTCTGTGGTTCTGTTGGATTGATGGCATCTGCTGTGCAGAGTGCTATAGCAAAGGATTCATATGATATTAAGAATGTCTTACTACGTAGCAGAAATATTATTATGACATATGGTATTTTTTTTGCCTTTTTTATTGGAGGAAATGATTTTTATATTATTTATAAGCTCTTATGGGAGGATCATTTTCATTTACAGAGGCATTTGTCTCAAATCTTCGTAAAAAAGATGATCCGCTTAATGCCTTTGCAGGGGGAGTTGTTTCTGGCTCAATCGGTGCCATAAGAGGTGTGTTTTATAGATTTAATATGATACAAAGTTGACGGAAGAAGTACGGTCTTTACCGGTAGTTGTAGGCTATGGAATAGGGCTAGGATGCTTTATGGGTCTTTTTGATTGGTGTGGAGGCACTTTGATGGGATTATATCATGATTTTTATGGAGAGGATTCAAAGAAATTAAGGGAAAGTCTTTTTAAGGTGGAATATAGACGGCCTAGATCAGAAATTGTGGAAGCAATTGGTAGCGGGAGAGGCATATGAGTAGAATGAATGTTTTAGAGAGGTTATATATTTTATTATTTGAAATTAACTGTTTTTTTTAAAAAGGTTTCTTTGAATCTAGAATAAAAACTAAATAAAGTAGGTAAATATTGTTATTAAATCATGTTTTTATTTTAGGACTAGAAAAAACGATTCATTTATAGATAAAATTTATTATTTTTTTAAGAATGATTTCTTGTGTTGTTTTCATTAGATAGTTTATAAAGATATTTTTATATATTTCTATTTTATATAGGATTTAAGATTTTCAAGTCGAATAGTTGAAAAATCTATGACGTCGAGTAAAGAGATATTGACCTATACAGCCTTTTTATCTGAAAAGAAAGGTTTATTTATTTATTTATATTGTATTTTAATTGAGCCCATGGATCAGTATTAGATGATGAGATTTGTAGAGTTTCCTCGCTTTTAAATAGTCCAGAAAAAGACCAATCAATAGAAGCGATTGGTTATCGAATTGAAGATTTAAATGATAGTATGATAAAATCCATATCGTTACTTCCAAGTTATGATAGACGTTTATTGAAAGATGTTGTTTTGTTTTGTTTTTTTTATATTTTTGATCCTTACTTAATAAATAGCAAATGAAAGAGCTATATACGTCTTATCAACTTTTGAAAAAAGATGCACGGCCCAGACCTAATTTTGGATTTAAATTAAGTATAGATGTGAATAGTGATCAAAAAGAACAAGAAGAGCCAAGTTCTATAAATTTGTGTAAGATGTTATTTTCTATTAAAAGAGAAAAAGTTAATGATTTTAACAGCGTCTACTCCACCAGAAAAGTCATTATCTTTGCCTGAAGATCCATTCTTACATGTAGAAGAGAGGATTAATTTATATAAAAGTGGTAAAAATAGTGAGGTTAATCTTTCGGATTCATCATTTTGTATTTATTTGATTCACGAATTGGAATGGTGTAGCTTAAATGCCCGTCATCTTAAAGATTGCATTGTATTAGCCAACAGTATTTGTGGACCTGCGTATATTTCTAATTGTCAAAATTGTACTTTTATTATTTTTTCATATCAAGTAAGTTTCTAATGATTCTTTTATACAATTCTTATGATTCAATTAAGTTTCGAATGCATGATTGTAAAGATATTGACGTTTTGATTGCCTGTAAATCAAACGCAACCATAGAAAATTGTACAAGAATCCGATTCGGGCCTAATCCATATATGGTAAATTTTTAATATAAATATCAGTCTATGTATTAATTCTTGAAAGAATTCCTTTGACGTATGGAATAAAATTCAAGATTTTGGATGGTTAAAACAAACCCCGAGTCCAAATTGGGAGATTATTCCAGAAAAAGATCGTTGGGATGTTGTTAAGTTGGAAGAAATCATTAATAGTACTGAAAAAATATCTGATATTATTAACCTTATTCGTCACAAATAAAACATTTTATAAATATTTTAAGTTTTTTAAAAAAATAAAATATGCATCAAATGATATCAGAAACAATTCCATTCGTTTTTCTCCATTTTTTTCTCTCCCTTTAACCTTGTCCATTTTCAGGCTTTTCGGTTTTTTTGCTTTTCTTAGATTTTTGTGTAACTGTATCTTTGTTTTCTTTAGTCTCATTAGTACTTTTAATAGTACTTGATTCTACATTTTCTTTAGAAGGAGATGGATTCTTGTTGGTTTTTAATTCTTTAGGTTCTTTTTTTTCAATTGCTTTCTCTAAATTTGTACCTTTTTTGTTTTCTGATTGTTCTACATGTTTTGTATTTTGAACTGTTTTTACATTCTTTTTTCCATTGCTTTCCTTTGGACTTTTAACTTCTTTTTGCTTTGTATTTTTATTAATTATACGATTTGTATTTTGTTTTCCTCCCTTTGAACGCCCTTTTTTTGTAGATTCATCCGTTCTTGATAACATTTAACAACTTTACCTCAATTATATATATATATATACCTTTCTATCTTTACTTTATCTCCCTTTGGTATAAGAGGCCCTGAAAATACAAAAAACCCATCTTTTGATGCTGCAATTTCCTCTAAAAATAATTCTGAATCATCAATAAATGGATCAAGCGTATCATATTCTTCTTCTTGTATCCTTCTTTTACGTTTCTTTTGTGCTGGAATAAACGGTTCTTGAAGATTTGAACTTTCATTTTCCGTTGGTGCTACTGATAACTTGACTTTTCTATCTTCATCTACATTCGATTCCGATTCATCTCCCTCATCTGAATCAAGTTCATTATCATACTTTAGCATCCCTAAATTAATCAAATTTCTTGCTTGTAATGGATGTAAAGCCGTCCATCCATAGTGCTTTTCTGCTTCTCGTGCAAAATTAACATAAACATTAACTTGTCCTTTTAAAGGAACATGAATTCTAATAGATGGCTTCTCCTTATAATTAATAAACCCTTCTGGGTACATTTTACTTGTATTTATTGATATAGGTGATGTATTTTTTGACTGAGCAAATGTTAAAATAGATTTTGAATACAATGGCGTTGTTAATTGCTTTTCTTTATCATATATTATTGGTGTATTCTCCTTCTCCTTATAATCTATCTGTTCTTGTGCTATTTCTGATGAATTATGGCCTTCTGCACATAATTCTGGTAACTTTGGTTTTTCATTAGAAACTTGATTTCCGCTCATTTTTATAGCCACTCCTTAAAACTTATAATAAATCCCTTCTTATAACCCTTATATATAATTCCTAATTTATAGATCTTTATTCTAATAACTTCTTATCATCTATTCTCTGTAGAAATTGATAATCTAATAGATTGGTCGTTGACAAGGTCTGACATCGGTTCCTGAATAAACCCATAAATATATATATTAGTATTTTTGTAGCTTATAAAGATACATAAAACATGTATTCTGTAGTCCTATTTATTTGTATCAGTAGATGAATATAGTAGAATGATGATAGATGAGAGAAAAAAGAATGATATAGAAATAGCAAGTTGAAAAAAAAGTATTTTTATGTGTAAAAGAATGTTTTTGAGAGTAAATATGAATTGTTTTATTGTTGTTAAAAGTTGCAATGTTGGTACCATCTTGGAAAGGCGACAGTATCTTTTATGTTTTTTATACCAGCCAAATATGCTAAGAAACGGTCAAAACCAAGACCAAAACCTCCATGTTTTGTTGTTCCCCAACGTCTGAGATCAATATACCAAGATAGATCAGATAAATGTTTTTTATGAGTGACAATGGATTGTTTAAGTATATCTATACGTTCTTCTCGTAGACTACCGCCAGCCAATTCACCAATTTGTGGTAGAAGAAGATCAAAACAAGAGACAGTGTCATGATCCGGATGTTTTAGTGAGTCGTTGTTAAGACGCATGTAAAAAGGCTTTAATTGTTTTGGATAATTTATGACAAAAAGAGGAGTATGTGTATAATTTTCAGCTAGCCATTTTTCATGTTCAGCTTGTAAATCATGACCATATTTTGGAGGGAATTTGAAGTGAACAGAAGAGTTTTTTAGAGCGTCAATTGCTTCTGCATATGTCATTCTAGTCCAATGATCTTTTAAAAAGAAATTCCAGCGATTTTCAATATCAATTCGATCTTTTTTATTTATCTTGTGATTTTCAGAGAGTATTTCATTGCCAATGGGGCTATTCATTAAGTTTTTTACTAAATCATGAATCATTTGTTCTAAAATTGACATTAAATCTTCAATATCATTGATAAAAGAAATTTCCGCTTCTAACATATAAAATTCTGCTAAATGTTTTGATGTACGACTTTTTTCTGCTCTAAATATTGGGCTTAAAGACCATACTTTTGATAATGAATGTGATAATGCTTCTAAATGTAATTGTGTAGAAACTGTTAAATAAATATTTTTCTTAAAGAAATTATTTGATTCATTTGAACTCTTTACTTCAAATATTTTCCCAGAACCCTCACAATCTGATGATGTTAAAATGGGAGGATGTGTTTGAATATAATCTTTGTTGGAAAAAAATGTTGATATAATTGATATTAAAAAGGATCTTAACCGTAACAATCTACACATGGACTCCGTACGTAATCGAAGATGTGCCTTCTCTCTAAGATACTTTACATCATGATGTTTCTTTTGCAATGGATAAGACTATATAAATAATAAGATAAAATAAAAGTAAAAATGTATATACTGATGGATCTGCGTATCCACAAATCTGTAGATCATTAACATGAAGCTCATATTCCTGTTTTTCCTTAAATCCATTCTGTGTTGTTGTATATAATCCTGTTAGTTTTACACTGCTACCTGTTGATAATCTAATTTTACAATTATTCCTATATAAATATATAGATCAAATCTACCCTTTCCCTTGATCTGATCTAAGTACTGCCTGCATAGTTTTCCCTGTTGTTCCATCATTGATAAGCGCAAATGTTACATTTTTCATTTTTCTTAATGATCTTATCCATCCATAAACTGTTATTATTTGATCCGGATTTATTTGTTTCTCTATGACTTCCTTGACACTATATGTCTTGTATGTTCCAAGTTTATGTATTTTTCTCTTAAAATATCTTGAAATCATCTTTTTCTTCTCTAAATCTTGTATAATTGTATCTTTTAACTATTCAAAAAGCTTGATATTCAATTTTTAAAAACACTATCATTCACACTATTCTTAATTTCATCATTTAGTGCTAATTTCCATGTATTTTCCTGTATTTTAATATTTTTTCTATATCCATTTTTCATAAGCTCTATATCTGTCCAAATGTCATTATAAACTTATTTGGCTTAATTAGCTAAAATATCCCGTTTTAATACTAAAATTTCAGCTCTTTAATAAACCTCCTGTTCTTTTTTTGTTGCTTTTATGTATATATCTACTAGCTGCACTATATAAATCAACAAATTCTATAAATTTTCTTTTTTATGCTCAAAAACGCTTCAAAAAAAACAAAATTCTTTTCATATACTTCTGGAACCCCTAGTCCTATTCAATTGATGGCTTATCTCATCTTTTTATTAATAAAATACAGAAATTGCTAGTTTTACACTGTTTTTTTACTATTCATATACATATACAAAAAATACACAATTATTTCTATTGACTATTCATTTATCAATTTTTATACTAAAAACATCTTTGTTTTCAGGAAAAAAATACTTTAATTGATCTACATAAATCTTATTCTTCCTGATAACTACATATAAAAAATCGTATGTTTTCGTAACACCAAGATTTAACGGTTAAAATTTTTGATAAATTAGAATAGCAAAAAAGCAGTTGAAAACGGAGTTTTCAGAGGTAATATTGCCAGAATCAGAGAGGATCAGGAGACAGGCTGTCTTTTCGTTTTTGAACCGGCTTAAATAGTGAAATATTAAAGGAATTAGGGGATTTGATAGTCATTATAAAGAAGGATAAAAATCAATGGAATTCCAGGGATGCGAGGACCAGAAACAACGTGAGAATTTTGGGACTCAAAGTTTAGAAGAGTTAAAGTCGCCATTTGTTTCTTATTTGCCGGAAAATGCGCAATTTTTGGTACCGGAGGTGCCGGAGAATATGGGCCAGAAAATGGCATATTCTGGCGCATATAGTGGTCTACAGCAACAAGGAAATATTGCACCGTCGGCAATGGCAGACTTTAGGTCTTTTTCTGACCAAATTATGCCTACACCCCAAGTAAAATCAAAAAGAAGATATGCATCGCAACAATATAATTTTAATGGACCGGGAAGCGGTGTTCCCGGAAGTTATCAAAATCTTAATGCTAATGGACAAGGGCAGGTTTCGCCCTATCCTGCAAAGTAACATATAATGTATAATTTTATTAATTTTATTAATTATTTTAAATCTAGTCAGACTTATTGGCCGCCTAGCCCATATTCTAATATAGATATGGTATCTAGTCAATTTAGTCAGATGGGAATAGATCCAAATATGCAGCAGGTTTATTTTTAATATTTTTTTATGAATATTATTTAATTATGTTTATTAGAATTCTATTGCATCAGGATTTTCTTTAAATCCGTTAATTACAGTAGATTTGATAGGGCAACACCCAGATGTTTCGGATTTAAGTCGTTTACCTCCTCCGCTTATTTTGCCACCTAATGTATCTTTTTCATTTATTGATTTAATGTAAAATGTTGATTTGAATTAGGCATTTATGACGCAAATGGAGAAAGTGAATTGTGGCCCGGAGTATTTACGATCTACATTAAATGCAATACCGAAAACTAATAATCTTCTCAAAAAATCTAAGCTTCCTTTTGCATTAACGATTCGTCCTTTTACTATGCTTACTGATGAAGAAGAGAATGTTCCTTTAGTCTCAGATACAATTATTGCTCGCTGCCGTAGATGCAGATCATACATAAACCCTTTTTCTACATTTATTGATGGTGGACATCGATGGAAATGTAATCTTTGTTCTATGACTAATGATGGTAATTATAATATTTTCATTTAGAATCTCTCTAATTATTTCTAGTTCCTTCAGCATTTACTTGGAATCAGCAAAATAAGCAAGTTGATCAATGGAGGCGCTTAGAACTTAATCATTCAATTGTCGATTTTCTAGCACCTAGCGAATATATGGTAATTTATATATTTATATTTTTTTTATATTTACTTTTTTAGGTTCGGCCACCTCAACCTCTTGTTTATGTTTTCTTAATTGACGTTTCTTATACTGCTGTAATGTCAGGTAATCCACTTTATTTTTTAATCTTAAAATTTAAGAAAAAAATAGGTATGGTGGCAACTGCAACTCGCACAATTCTTGAATCTCTTGACCGGATTCCGAATCGTGATCAACGGACAAAAGTTGGGTTTATCGGAGTGGATAGTGCATTATATTTTTTTAGTATTTCAAATAAAGATCAAGAACCTTCAATGCTTGTTGTTAGTGATATAGATGATCCTTTTCTTCCTCAGCCTGCTGACCTCTTGGTTAATATTTTTGAATGCCGGAAAAATATTGAGACTTTATTGGAAAAATTTAATGATATGTTTAAGAATACTCAGAATGTCGGAAATGCTATGGGACCTGCTCTTAAGGCCGCTCGTAAGCTTATTCAGAACATAGGGGGGAAGATTGAATGTTTGATGAATAGTTTACCTTCATTAGGTGAAGGAAAACTTACTATAAGAGAAGATATTAAAATTTATGGAACTTCTAAAGAATCTACTTTACTTCAGGTTCAAAATTCGTTTTACAAATCTCTTGCTGTAGAATGTTCAAAAAGCCAGGTTACAGTTGACATGTTCTTATTTTCATCTAATTATCAGGATGTTGCTTCGCTTGGTAAATAATATTTATTTATGATATTATTTCTAATTTGATTAGCATGTCTTCCTCGATATACAGCCGGGCAAACTTTATATTATCCTGGTTGGAATGCTGGTCGTACTGAAGATATAACGAAATTTGCTAGAGAATTTAGCGCACATTTAAGTCAAGAAGTTGGTCTTGAAGCTGTTATGAGGGTTAGAGGATCCACAGGTAAATTTTAGAATGACTTTTATTTTTTATTTATTAATTGAAATAATTAGGACTTCGTGTTTCTGCTTTCTATGGAAATTGCTTTTATCGTTCAACCGATCTTTGCGCTTTTCCATCATTTCCTCGTGACCAAGGATATGTTGTTGAAGTTGCTATAGATGAACAAATCGAGAAGCCATTTGTTACTTTACAAACAGCTATATTATATAGTTCATGTCATGGTAAATCATTTGCCCATATTAAGTTCATCAATAATTCAAAAATTTAGGCGAAAGGCGAATTCGTGTTATTACCGTAGCCATTCCAACTACAAGTAATTTAGCAGATGTCTATGCTTCAGCAGATCAGATTGCTATTACAAAATATTTGTCTGTAAAAGCATGTGAAAAAGTACTTTCGTCTAAACTAGAGGATGCAAGCAATATGATTACAGATAAATTAGTAGATATTTTGGAATCTTATAAAAAAAATTTGGTTTTTACAAATACTGGAATCTCTACTTTTCCAATTTGTTCGAATCTCAGACTTTTACCTCTTCTTTGTTTATGTCTTCTTAAAAATGTAAGTGTTTTAATTTTGATTTACTTTTTTTTAAATAATTTAAGCTTGCTTTCCGTAAATCTTCTCTTATTCCTAGTGATGTAAGATCTATCGCTCTTTGTCTTTTATCTTCACTACCGACAACTACATTAATACCATTTCTTCACCCGCGTTTTTATTCACTGCATAATATGTCCGATGATGCTGGTGTACATGGTCCAAATGGAATCATTCTTCCACCTGAAATGAATCTTACTTCTGAAAAAATTGAATCTCATGGACTTTATTTAGTTGATGATGGTCAGGTTCAATTTCTCTTTATTGGCAAGGATGCTGTTTCTTTATTGGTTCAAGATGTATTCGGATTACCCGATATTTCTCATTTAAAATTAGGAAAGGTATACACATTTATTCTATTCTATTCTATTATTTATTTATTTATTAAGATAACCCTTCCATTATTGGATAACTCTTTTTCTATACGTGTTAACAATATTATTAATAAATTGCGAGAGTATGATAAAGGCAAAGTCACTTGGCCTCATTTATATCTTGTTAAGCAAGACGGTGATCCTGCGTTAATTAAATGGTTTTTTAGCAATATGATTGAAGATCGTCAAGATGGAATTTCTTCTTATTATCAATATATTAATGAACTTAAAAATCGGGTATGATCTTTTCATTTAATAATCTAAAATAACCCTTTTATCTCTAGATTAATCCTTAATTTTATTTTTTCTATATATACTTTTCCATATATTAATCAATGATAAAGCGTTAATTACTCTAACATTATAAGATATCGTCTTAGTTCAACCCGATTAGGGCACAACCCTTAAATATACCATTAGGTCGTAACCCTTATTATTTAAACCCTCCCTATATAAACCCTTACACTATGTCCATATATTATAGTCCTTCCCTTTAATAACGACTAACCCCTTACATCTATAGATAGGGTTAAACCCTTAGAACTATAATTAGGTATAAACCCTTTTGTCTATAATAAGGGTTTAACCCTTCCTCTATAGATAGGTTTAAACCCTTCTGTTCATAGTTAGGTCTAACCCCTTCTACTCATAATTAGGTCTAACCCCTTGTCCATTCATTTAGGGTTAGGTCATATCAACTATGGTTAGGTTATAACCCTCTCATATTTCCTCCATAAAGTTAGCTTTCCCATCCATCTCCGTACATTTTCTCAAGTCTTTTTGACTTCAAAAAAAAAATAATGTTTAAAAGTTGTATTTTTAATAATAATTCTTTAAAAATCAGCCCAAATAATATAAATTATACAGTAATACGTTTATATTACTGTATTAAACGTACATTTTTTTAAAGTGATTAGCTTGTAAATGTATCAGCTTAATATGTTTCCTTTGTTTTATACATAAACTAGCCATTTTAAGAAGAGGTTAATTAGAAAAAGATATGGTATTACATATGAAGAAGTATTTGTATCAAAGCTGGGTATTGAGAGGCGGGTTTAAAGAACGTTAGAATATGTAATAAGTTAAAAATCTATAAAAGGTTTTATTAAAGTAAAACTAAAAGCAAAGGAGACAAAAAAGAATTAAGATCACAGTTATATAAAGGCGTAGAATACATAATTGTTTATTTGTTAGATATTTATTGTAATAATTTTTGGGAAGAAATAGTATATATAGATTATATTTGTAAAAAAAAACACAACAAGTTTTTGATTTTAGCCCTCCATGACAGCTTCAAGTAGAAATGTTAGATTTAATGTATCAGATGATTATGAAATATTGGATGTTATAGGTGAAGGTGCTTATGGCATTGTATGGTAGGATTTTGGGTCAAAAATGGATCAAAAAATATAATTATTTAGTTCAGCAATTCATAAACCAAGTGGGCAAAAGGTTGCTATTAAGAAGATATCGCCTTTTGATCATTCTATGTTTTGTTTGAGAACATTGCGTGAAATGAAGCTACTTCGTTATTTTAATCATGAAAATGTGTGTTTATAATGGGTTTTAAAGTCATTTCTTATTGTTTTTATGAACAGATTATTTCTATCTTGGATATTCAACAGCCACAAGATTTTGAATCTTTTTCAGAGGTGTATTTGATACAAGTATTGTCTATAATAGACAATGATTATGGTTTAATTGGATAATTATATAGGAACTTATGGAAACTGATATGCACCGTGTAATTCGTACACAGGATTTGTCAGATGATCATTGTCAATACTTTATTTATCAAATACTTCGTGCTTTAAAGGCTATGCATAGTGCAGACATTCTGCACCGAGATTTAAAGCCGTCTAACTTATTGTTAAACGCCAATTGTGATCTTAAAGTATGTGATTTTGGCTTGGCACGATCTGCTGTTAGTACGGAGGATAGTAGTAGTTTTATGACAGAGTATGTGGCAACACGCTGGTATCGTGCGCCTGAGATTATGTTAACCTTCAAAGAATACACCAAAGCAATTGATATTTGGAGCGTTGGATGTATTCTTGCAGAGATGCTTAGTGGGAGACCTTTATTTCCCGGCAAAGATTGTAAGGATGATATATATATTTGTATATGTGAATCTAAATAGATAGATCATCATCAACTTATGCTTATATTGGATGTACTGGGTACACCAACAATGGAAGATGTAATATTTTATTGGGGAGAAGAAGATTAGAATTAATGTTTTTAGTATTATGGAATCAAGTCTCGCAGAGCACGAGAGTATATTAGATCATTGCCATTTAAGAAGCGGGTTTCGTTTGCTTCTATATTTCCTAGGGCTAATCCTCTTGCTTTGGATTTGTTAGAGAAGTTATTGGCTTTTAATCCTGCAAAAAGGGTAACTGCAGAAGAAGCACTTCAACATAACTATCTTGAGCCATATCATGACCCGGATGGTGAGATAATTTTATGTATATTTGATAAAATTAATGAGTTTAGATGAGCCAACTGCACCACCTATCTCACCAAGTTTTTTTGACTTTGATAGAATAAAAGATAGTCTTACTAAAAATGATTTAAAAAGTAACAATATTATTAATTATATTATTATTATTAAGTAATTTTAGTTCTTATTTATAAGGAAATTATGAGTATGAACAATTGATTCTCTGGATATCTTTAGACCAGATTATGTTATATTTTTCAGTTTTTTTTCATAAAGGATGCATCTTTTCTTGTTTGGTTTGACATTTTAATAATTTAAATATTATATTTATATATATATTGTCACTAATAACTTTAATATTTATATTTATTTTGGTTTTTTATTAATTTTAATGGCATTGATAAAAATATTAAATGATTTCTAAATAATAGATTCTATTTCTAATAATTAGTTTCCAATATCTTTACATTTGTATTATACAAGTATATTGATCTGTTCCCTTGTATTTCATAAAAAGTAAAGCTTATATATATAATTATCTTTTCTAATTTTCAATTTAATTAATCAATAAAACTTATTTCAATTATTCTTTCTATAATAAATTAAGATAATAAAAGTAAAATACATCAAATAATTCAGAATTATCATAGTAAAAATATAAGAATTGATTTCTACACTTATTAATAATCCTATAATAACTTGTTTTAAATTTTTTGCATAATAAAAACTATTTATAATAAAATAAAATACTAATATTCATTTTTCTCTTTTTCATAATCCAAAATTCCTTCTAAAAGTGATCCTGCTTCTGGATATTCAGATACTACACTTGTTTTTATATTCCATTTATCATTTAAATGTCTCCATGTAGTACTCCCAATTGTCGCAATTTTGAATTTTAATAAATCTTCGTTTTTTACATATTTCATCACAATATCTGATCCATATGGACTAAAAAACACAATCCATTCTAAATTTAACTCCTCATCATATATAACTTTATTAAATTCTTTTTCAAATTCAATTCTCTCTTCCATCTTATATACAACAATTTCCTTCAAATTAATCCCTGATAATGGTAATTTCTTCTCTAATATACCTATTCTTCTCTCCCCCGTAATAAATAATATAGGTTCTTCTTTCTTATGATATGATATAATAAATTTTGACAAATTTTCCGCATTTCCTGATTCTTTTCCATAAATATTAGAAAATCCAAGTGATATTAGCTCTTTATAACATGCTGATCCAACTGTATATACCCTCATATTGCTGATCTTCTCATATTCTTGTTTATCTACATATTATCAATATTTTTGCTCTTTTTTCGCCGAAAAAAAGACCAATTCCTATCAGAGACTCTTTAAAAGAAACAATTGCATTTCTACTAGTGAAAATAAGCCCTGAATACATTATATATGGGCTTTTTTCTAAAATATTTCTAAGACATTTCTGATTTATATAGGAACATGTAAGAATAGGAATAAATAATGTATTAAAGCCTTTGTTCTTGAATAATTTCTCATAATTGTCCTCTGAAGAGGCTCTTTTTCTTAGAAATAAGACGGTTTTCATTATTTTATAGATTATAAAGGTCGACGTAGGTTGAGTCTTGGTAGGTCTCGACGTCCAAAAATTGGAAAAAAAATAAATAGTGAAATTAGGCTAAATTTAGTGGGAAAAACGGTAAAATACATGTTTTAACGTAATTTATGACGTTTTTTTTGTATATAAAGGTTTTTTCAGGGTTTTTTTAACGTAAAAATAGGCCAAGATATGTATTTATTACCATCAAAAATTAGATCGTATGATATCTGAGATTAATTCGTTGATCTGAACATATTTAGCACAGAATCTATTGAAGAAAGTGTCTATGATGAGAATGAGGGTAATTTTTTGCCAAGTATTTTTTTTTTTTAGGGAGATATTGGAGAAGATATAAAGATTATAGATGTACCGGTTGTTCCTGGGCTAATTAGGGGCTATAAAGAAGGGAATATACATAGAAATAACGAGAGGAAAGATGCGGTGCTGTTTTCAGGAGACAATGTTATGGAGGGGTTGCGAGAACAGTGTAGCAATCTGCATGTTTCTGGATCGGTTATACAGCGAAATAAACATAGAACAGTTAGGGCGTATGATTTATCGTATAATGAACCTTTAGAACGAGGAAGAGATGTTAATTCGGGAGATTTGAATGATAAAAAGATATATCCTTTCGTGTCTAATTTTGGGGATCAAACAGAGTTAAAAAATCCTCAGCTTATATTAACTAACCAGAGTGGATCTAAAATTGATCCAGAAAAGATTCCATCTGTGGCAGATGTTCATGAGATTTCGCAAGAAACATATAAACATAATATATTTTCAGTTACGGAATCCAATGTTATTCCAACAGCGAATACGGACTTTATAGCGTTTGATCAAGGGATTTCATCACCGAAATTTGTTAGATTGGTAACTAGAAATATAGCGGAAACGAAAGAGATTTCATCGGCGACATTTATACCTATATCTATGGTTATTCAGCCATTTGCTTCACAAAAATCTAAAGAAGGACCGATTCCTTTAGTAGATTATGGAGAAATGGGACCACCGAGATGTAGAAAATGTAGAGCGTATATTAATCCATTTATGAGTTTTATACAAGGTGGATCTAAATTTGTATGTAATATTTGTTCATTTCCAACTGATGTTGGTGCTGAATGGTTCTCTCCTTTGAATGGTTTTGGAAAGCGACAGGATTTTGATCATAGACCTGAGCTTAGTCATGGGACAGTAGAATTTTCTGTTCCTAAAGAATATGAAACATGTCCTGTTGAACCGATCAAAATGATTTTTGCTATTGATGTTAGCGAAACTTCTATTCAAAAAGGAATTCCAAGAGTTGCGACTAATGCTATAAGGAGGGCATTATATGAGCCATCAGATAGGCCTTTTCCTCATGGTGCTAAAATTTGCATTGTTACTTTTGATCGTACTTTACATTTTTATAATTTATCAGTAAGTGGTTGCTTATGTTTTATATATTGATTTTTTTAGTCCTCAATGAATGATGCAGAAATGTTAATTGTTTCAGATATTAATGATACTTTTGTTCCTTTACATAAAGGATTATTTGTTGACGCATATGAATCAAGGTTTTTTTGTTATTTTGTATTTAATGCTTGATATTAAATATTATTATAGAAATATTATAGAGATTGTTTTAAACTCTATTGCAGTAATGTTCGATGATTTAAAGGTTCCAGAACCAGCGTTAGGTTCTTTAGTTGAATCATCTCTTATAGCATTGGTAACTTAATTATATTGATAACATTTTTGATTAATACATCTAGGAAAAAACTGGTGGAAAATTAATTGTTTTTTTAACTACATTACCTACATGGGGACCAGGAAGTCTTAGGTTTAGAGAGGATTCTAAACTTTATAATACAGATAATGAAAAACAATTATTTACTACACAAAATGTTTATTGGGATAATCTTGCCAAGAAATGCGTGAATTTAGGCGTTGGCGTAGATTTTTTTCTTTTTCCTGCTTTTTATATTGATATCAGCACTATAGGTATTTATTTAAATTTGTTAAATCATGTTAACTTTGATAGGAGTTTTGGCAAGTATTACTGGTGGTGAAATATATTATTATCAGGATTTTATAGAAGAGAGGGATGCATCCAAAGTAATTGGAGAATTTACTAGAAATGTTACACGTGAGCAGGCATATCATGTTCAGATCAAAGTTAGATGCTCAAATGGCTTACAAGTTCAACAATATATTGGAAATTATATACAGAAGAGGTCGGATTTGGAACTTAGTGTTATTGATTCAGAAAAAGCGATTTCTATTACTTTTACATATGATAGTAAATTGAATCCAAAATCTAACGCTTACTTTCAATGTGCAGTATTATATACTACAGCAACAGGTCAACGTCGCTTAAGATGTTATAATACAGTTGCATCTATATCATCAAATCCTTGTGATGTTATTAGATATGTAGATATAGATGCATATATTACAATTCTTGCTAAGAGCGGTAAATTTACTATTAATTATGATTTTGTATCTAATTAGAATAGCTTTACTTAAAATCATGAAAAAACCTCTTAAACAAATCAGAGATGAATTAACTGATGTGTGTATCAATATTTTGGCATGTTATCGAAAAAACCTTTCATCATCTATACCTACTTCTCAGTTGGTTCTTCCGGAAAACTTAAAATTGCTCCCCATATATATATTATGTCTATTAAAATTGCCCGCATTAAAAAGTGAGTTATATATATATATATTATAAATGATTTCTTTCTAAGAAAAAATAGATGGAAATATCCAAAGTGATTTACGAATGCAAAATGCTCAATATATGTTAACAGTAGGTGTTCGCGAACTTATTTCTTTTATATATCCTCGAGTTTTCCCATTACATAATTTATCAGATGAAGTAAATTTCTTATTTCCAAAATTCTTTAATATTTAATAAATATATAGATGGGTTTTCCTGATAACACTGGAAATTTTGTTCTTCCTAAAGCGATTAGAGCATCTTCTTCTTATTTAGATGAAGGAGGTATTTATTTAATGAGTATATTGTTCAACGATACTTTTTTTCAAATATTAACAATCTCAAGTAAATGGAAATAACGCTGTTTTATGGTTCCATAATTATGTATCACTAAAATTATTAAAAGATCTTTATGGAGATGATATTTCTAAACTTTCAGATATAAACCCTCGATCTACTTATCTTCCAAATTTAGACACTCGATTTTCCATTCAGGTTCGAAATATTTTTTTCTATTTCAATTCTTTTTATCCTGGAAAAACCTTAACAGCATACGTTTCTCGACAAGGACTTGATGAATCTGCAAATGAATTTATAGCACAACTTGTAGAAGATAAACAATGCAATTCTACATCTTATGTTGATTTTCTATGTTATATTCATAGGCAAATTCAACTTGAAGTATATTTAAATATTTCTTTTTTCTTTTTTTAAATAATTATAGTTGTCAGGAAACCGTCGTATTTATGATTTTAAAGAAGATCTATTCAGATCCTGGCAAGGACGAATATAATTGCTTTGTTCTGTTTTTTTTCAACTACTTGTATTTTATTTCATTTATTATTTGACAAAACATCATTCGATACCCTCGATTTAAAATCTTAGAGATAAAAAATGGTTGCTAAAGAAGCTGTAGATAGATTTGAAGAAGATAAAAAGGATGTCTATGTATCAGAAAACATACCGAAAAATAGTTGTCGTGTTTGTGTGTCATTTAAAAAATGGATGCAAAACCAAAATAATTCTTTATATGATAAAGAAAAGACATCGAATCTAGATAATATAGATCTGACAAATTGTCCTCCAGATTCAGAGCTTTTAGGTAGATCAACATGGACGTTTCTTCATACGATGGCTGCAAATTACCCTGAATCCGCAACAGTAAAAGAACAAGTTGAAATGCAAGAATTTTTAAGAATTTTTGCAAAACATTACCCATGTTTTTATTGTGCTCAAGATTTTCGTGAGTGGATGAATCGAAAAGAGAACCGAGCAAAAACGAATGGTCGAGAAGATTTATCATTGTGGATTTGTCAAGCACATAATGAAGTTAATAGAAAACTAGGTAAACCAATATTTGACTGTTCTAAATGGAAAGAACGATGGCGAGAAGGATGGAAGGATGGTAGTTGTGGATGATTGATAAGTTTTTTATGTATTGAAATCGAGGTAATATTAGAAATGTGATATTTTATATTTAAGTATCATTAGCCGAATCGTTCGATGATTTTATATTAATAAGTGATTCTAATACAGAAAGAACTTCAAAAGGTCCTTGAATATGCCAGTCTGCTGTTGTGATCTGAAAAAATAAGAATATTATAGAAAAAAAAAAGTATACTTTATTTGATGCGCCAATGGTTACGGTAAAATATGTTTTTAAATCTTCTCTTTTCTTTAAAATACGAAACATGTCTTTTAATTTTTAGTAATTCTTTTAAGAAAAATTTAATAACAATTATTTACCTTCGTCTGTTTTATCATCTCCTGCACTGAAAACAAAATCGGGTTTTTCGTCTTTAAAAAGGGCTAATAATTGATTTACTACTTCACCTTTATTGATAGAAAAAGGTCGAACTTCAATATTTGCTTTTCCATTTAATACTTCAACATTATAATTTGATGTAATTAGGCTTTCTAAGTGATTTTGACATTCTAATGCCTGAAAAAGGCCATAATCTGGATCTGCCCGACGATAATGCCATGTGAGCGTGCATCTTTTTTGTTCAATAAATGAACCTAAGTTAATATTGAATATAAATCATTTTTTTAAAAAAAATATTTACCTTGAGTACGTTCTGTATAATATTCAAAAATCTTATAAACTTCTTCTTGCCATGATACATCCATATTTTTTGTAAGATCTAACCAATTAGATGTATTTGGAAAACGCATATAGCAACCATGTTCTGCACTGATAATTTAAGTTAATAAAATGTTTTGTTATAACTAAATTCTTACCTCAATCCTAGTTGAGGAATATTATCTAGCCATTTTGACAAAAAACTTTGATCACGTCCAGAAATTATCCATACTTGGTTTTGGGGATTTTCAGCTAATGCTCTTAAAACCCGTAAAAGTTGTTGGGATGGAATAGCAACAAGTGGATCTTTAACAATTGGTGTTAGTGTTCCATCATAATCAAACATAAACAAGCGTTTATTCGCTTTCTGATAAGCATTTGTTAATAACGTAGTATCAATAACAGGAGTAATTTGATTATAGTTAAAAGTTGCTAAATTTGTTAATAATTTTGATATGAATGATGAAATCCATGTTTGAACAGTATTCATTGTAACATAATTATACAATTTAAGTTGACGTGCTTCTTTTTCAGATTCAGATATACAAAGTGCCTCGTTAATTTTTTTTGCAGTATCCTAAATCAAGATCAATTCATTTTAAAATGTTAATCATTCAGTATCACCGTAACATCCCATGGGTTAACTTGAATTGCATCTTGAAGTGCATCTTTTGTTCCTGAAAATTCTGATAATAATAAAGGCCCATTGTTTCCTTTTTGACAAATAACATACTCTAAACTTGTGGTGTTTATGCTATCTCTGATAGCAGTAATTATTCCTACATCGCCTGATCTTAAAAGCGCAAAATATTCATCTTTTTCTAAATGTTGGTGATAATGATGTACAGGTGTAAATTCCAATGATCCATATGTTCCATTTATTTCGGCTATTAAATCTTGTATCTGTTTCTCAAATTTTGATGTGTCATCATTTACAGGTGAAGTTACTTGAATAAACACAACCTGTATATGTTAATGAATTATTAAAAGTAAAAAGTAATAACTTGATTTCTCCAGTTAGAAAATTGTTTTAAAAAACTTTCAAAGGCCTTCAATCCTTGTAATACTCCTTGAATTTCATATATTTTTGCTCTTCCTATAAGTATTTTCTTATTTGAATATAACTCCCTAATAAATTGCATTTTTTTCTGAATTTTCTGAGTTTGTGATTCTTTTTCAACCCGTTGAGCATCTATTCCCATTGGAAGAACTTCTATAGCTACATATGCACCGTTAACATCAATTCCTTTTCCAATAGAATCGAATCCTAAAACTCTTGTACAAGTACTAACAAAATGCCTTGAAAAAGAATAACTTTGAAACCCAATCATATTAGCCCCAAGCATTCCCATTAATATTTCTTTTCGCTCTAAAATATTAAAATTTTTTAAGTATATATTATAATGTATACTTGGAAGACAACGAAAAATCTCTGAACTTGGAAAAGGTTCATGTAAGAAAAAGCCCAGATACGCATTAGGTAACTCTTGACGAATAAGTTGAGGCAATAATAGAAGATAGTAATCATGAATAATAACTATAACCGATATTATTTTGTATATATTATCATTAGGAAATTATACTAATGTCTGCTGGCCTATAAATCTTAACAATAGCATCTGAATATGCTTTATTAAATTCCACATAATCCTTCCAACATGTTTGTTCATTCCATTCATCTGTTGTATTATTCCATAGACGATAATGAAATAATGGTAATAATACTAATTATTTTGCATCTTTTTTTCATATAAAACGAACATATAACATACCTGTATTTGGATATTTCCTCCATCTAGATTGTTGTTCAATCGTTTCTCCAAACTGATGATCTGAATCCGATAACATCCATATAGGCACAATCTCATCCTCATATGATTTCGAAAACGATTCCATAAATCTTTCTTTATCTTCTGATGTTAATAATACTGTATTTGTATTATTCGTTGTATCCATATCATTAGAATTTGATTGTATTTCCTGACAACTTGCCGTTATCTCACCCGTCCACCCAACTAACTTAGTTTCCCACCCTGTTTCTCGAGAAAGCCATGATATTGATGCAAATAATGACGATTCTCCTCTTCTAGGACGGAATTTCTATATCCAAAAAATCAACTTTATTTATTCTCCTTGTACCATATTATTCAAAATACCCATTCTCCATTCTGGGGATTAAAAAAACACTTATATGGTATTGATGTACATGCAAAAATAACTCGTTCTGAACATTTTAAAGGCCATGGTATATTTTCTGGTGAACATATTCCGCCGTTCTTCTTTTTTTCATTTTTACACTGATTATTCACAAAATTATTAGAAAAAAAGCAACTATCCGCTTTATTCTCCTCCGTAGATTCTTTTAATACACTTTTCTCGTCCTCATTCAATGTATTATACAAGTTCATCTCCAAAAATACGTTATTTTAGCCAATTTATGTATTTATATATAACAAAAAAGATATCCTCAAATATTTATATTAAATATCAATTAAAATCCTTTATAATCCTTTAGATTTATATAATATTTTTAGAAAATATCCAAGATATATTTTTTATCAAAATCTTGGTAGTCATCAGCGAAGGTATAAGCTTTATATATAATATAAATATGATTAAAAATAGGAAGCAGTTAAAAACACATAAAACATGTTAAAAACAACATTTATTGTAGTATTAGATGATATTATAATTGTGTATGTATGATAGTTTTATTATTGTGTATGATAGTTTTGTAAATATATCCAAATGATGATTAATTTTATAAGATGTATTAATTTATGATTTTTGCTACTTCAGCTAGTATGTCAATGCCTCCCATAGTGATATTTTGATTACATAAAAATTGAATGCTCATTTTTTGGGTATTATTTTGTTTTAAAGAATAATCATTTGTATTATTTGATAAAGTGATGATATTAGAAGGTTCTAAGTTGTAATCCATTAAAATAGTGATAGAAGGAAGTTTATTGTTGTTAAATTGTAAAGTGTTTGTTTTGTTGGAAGAATTGGATGTATTTGAAGAAGTTAATGTACAAGTGGTATTATTATAAAGTGTTATTGATGCTGAATTGTTATAAAATGAATTATCTTCTTGTAAGAAATCGTTTTTTAGATGAATTTCTTGCCATGATGATTGTATATTTTGGTATCCATTAGGTAAAGGTAAATTGGTATCAGATGGAATAATAGTTTTTATGCCTAAATCTAAATCTGAAGAAAAGTTTGAGGGTATAGGACCCGCCTATATATAAGCAAAAATACTAAGAATAGATGAAGAAAGCAAATACCTTAGGTGATAAAGAATTTTGAATAGATGAATGAAGAAATGAAGGTGATGAAAGAGAGTTTGAAGAATCATAATGATCTGGTATTTGATCTGAAGAATTAAAAGAATTCGGTGTAAAAGAATTAAATATAGACAATTCGGGTGGATCTTCCTCTTGTGAATCTGTTATTTTGTCTATAGATAAATGATTCGTATTGTTTTTAGGTTTTATAGTATAAATTTCTTGGGTTTTGCGTAATATTTTAATTTTTTTCTTGCGAGTTACCATTCTTGATTGTGTTAAATCATCTTTTGCTACTGATTCTTGGGTTTTAGATGTTGATGTTTGTAAAGAATTAGATGATAAAGCATAGGGTGAATTAATCACTTCGTTTATATGAATTGTTTGTGCATGTTGACGAAAATTGTCTAATCTTGAAAATGTACGGCCACAATAACACTTAAATGGCCTTTCTCCTGTATGTTTTCTATTTTTTGTTAAATCTAACCTTTTTCCCCGAAATTATCAACCTAATATGTCTCGCAAGATGTTCACTTCTAGAAAATTGCATACAACAATTCCCAAATCCTGAACATTGAAATGTTTTATTATTTTTTACTTTCTTTTTATGATTTCTTTCAATATTCGTGTTTGTCATTTTTTTCAATTACTTAAAATTTATTAAATATCATTTAAAATTATTAATTCTAACACATATTTCTTAACATTTTATTCTATTTTTCATTTAAATTATTAATTATTTAAGATTTTCCTATTTCATTATTTTTACACCGCAAAAAGCTACTTATTACCTGATTTTTCAAAAAGTGCACGAATTCGTTTATTTTTCTCTGAAATATCTTTATTACATTTTACCCCTTCTAATATCTATATCTTCTTTTTTATCTTGTTTTTAGAGTAGATTATATTATTTTAGTTAATACTCTATATTATAGAATAAACCCATTTATTAAAATATTAGACTAATATAATGTCTTAATTAAAAAACTAAAACAGAGCTAAATATTAATTATTTTGTCTTAATCTTGCTTAAAAGTCTTAATATATTAGGCTAAAAATCATAAGAAAATCAATATACATTTTTCAAGGTTAAGTATAGATTAAGACGGGGAGAAAGGGCATTACGAGCATATGATTTTTTCATATTATATTTAAATAGAAAAAGTTAAAACAAGTTTTAATATATTTTGCATAATTTAAATGTTCCCCTTGATCACTGATTAGTGTTTCACACTCTAAAGATCCGCTATTTGCTTTAGTTATATCCTGAGTCTTCAGGCACCCTAATAAAAAGATATTTCTGCATAATATGAGGAGATAATACATAAAAGAGATATGATAGATAGAGAATAAGGCTATTAAATGGGCTAAAATAGAGAGAGAAAGGGGAGAATATGTATATTGGTAAAAAAAAAAGGTTATCGATGAGCAGGCCTAGCGGTGAAGGGATAGGAAAAAATGAAATGAAGAGATAATTTGAGATTTTAAAGGATATATGCGTGTAAAAAAGAGATAAACAGGTTTAAATTGAGGGTTTATTTAAGATGAAGACGCATATATAAAGCCGAAAACTAATAGGAAGAAAGGGCTATATGAAATGCATATAACAAGATATCCTTGTAGGGATTTACGTGTACAAATTGGAGAAAATGAATGGAAACATGCTTTAGACATGTGGAATGAATGTATTGAATACTTTATGAGTATTTCAGATGTAGAATTTAGATATATACTTGATGATCGGGAGAGTGAAACATTGTATGAGTTTATTAAAGATTATTTGGATGCGCATACACCAAGGAAACATGTTAATTTAATGGTAAATAATGGTAATGAAGCGGAAGAACGGCTTGAAAAGAATGTATTTTCGTTAATATACAAGATTTTTACATTGGAACAACCAAATATACAAATTTTTGAGATTCCATTTGTAATATTTGATTTCTGCAGTCTTTTTGGGTCTAGCAGTACAGAATGTGTTTTTTTTTCTTTAGAAAATCTCTATAAATATGCAAAAAATGAAGTTTTTTTGCAAATACAAGGTGTTTATGAAAATTTTCAGGAATTAATGAATAAACTTGTCTTTTTAAAGGGTAAGGAGTTAATAGAGGAGGCATTGATGTACCGGGTAGCTATTCGGTCATTAATAGTATTTATTCAGTTATGTTTTCCAGCTACATGTGTATTTTTACAAGATGAAGAGTTTTTACAATTAATGGTACATCTTTATCATGAGAATTCTATTGTAGATGAGATGAAATCTGATTTTTTGTGTTTGGTATATACACTTTTTACAGCATTTCTTTCAGAAAATGAGGCACGTTTGTTAATTATCAAAAGATTTGTCTGGTTATATGAACAATTGTCATTAGAAACAGCACTTTTGCGTGATCTTGTGCTTGATACATCAATTGTTGAACGTTTTTATGAATTTGAGTTATTTTCTGAAGAAATTATGTCTCAGCTTAGGATTTTGAGGGAAAATACTGAAACAAATGATTCAAAAAGATCTTTAGATGTTAGTAAATCTGGAATTCTATGTTTTTTTCATTTTAATTTTGTTTTAGTCTTATTTGGATCCATCAATTAGACGATTATCTTTAATATCTCATATTAAAGATATATTTCCTGATTGTACAGAAGAATTTATTGAATCCTGCCTTAAGAAATATTGTGATGATGTAGAAGCAGTGATTTCTTATATTTTAGAAAACTCTTTTTCCTCAAATATTTGCTCAGTAGATAAAAAGGCTTCTAAGTATTTTAGAAAAAAAGGCAAATTTTATATATTAAAGTCTATAGTTTTAAATCAAATGGTGGGGAATTGTCAAAAGATGTTTCAAAAATGCCAGTTTATCATAAAGATGATACGAATGTGTTTGTAGATTGTCCTAAAATATATAAAGGGAAAAAAATGTATAGAAATGTTTATTTATTAATATTTATCTTAAAAATTTAAGTTTTCAGACAGCAGATGATATATTAAAAGACAAATCATTTGTTCGTGAATATAAACAGACTATATTGGACTTGGAACTTCTTAATCAAGATGATGAAAGAGATGATACTTATGATGATGTTGATGAATTTATTAATTTGGAATCATCTCAAGAAAAGAATTCTAATAAATTGATGGTTTTATTTAATTTCTTTTTTTTATAAGTTAATAAATATAGGATAATATGGATGAAATACTATATTTAACATATATAGTATCACCAGAGGTTTTTGAACGTGGATCTCATATTAGAAGATCTTCTGCTAGAATAGAGCTTCGTTCAAAAACGGGTTTTTCTGATGAACAAATTGAAGGTTGGAAAATCATGTTGGATAGAAATGTAAGATTTTTTTCTTTCTTTTTGATATTTTTAATTTTTTTAAAGCCTAAACGGATAGAAAAACTTGAAAACATGCTTAAGTTTTCTGGTGATCAAGACCCAATTCCTCTAGAAAGTAAAGAACAAGATGATAAATTTAATAAGAACTCTCAAATCTCTCAATTTTCATATAAGAAAGGTAAAAAAAATAAATAAAATATTTAAAAAAAGTATTATATTAAGATATTTTTAAAAATACTATTGAAGAATATCAATTAAATCAATGAATATTAATGGATACAAAATAAGGAGTATATATGGGATACATTCATGTAACAATTACAGAATCAGGAAGCAAGTATTTTATTGTTACTTAACAATTTATTATTTTAAAATACTATAGTATGCAGATATGTATTTTGATTTCTATTAAATATTCAAAATTAATATACATACTTTATTCATTTATTTTGCATTAAAAAAATATCAAAACTGTAAATGGTATGATTCTCGTAACAATTACACCTGTTAATGTATTTTGGTTACTTCTATTAATAATAGAAGGAAATATAGTAAATATATCTACATTATTTTACCGTCAATTCTGTCTGTAAATGTATTATATTTTTGCAATGTTAATATTAATGCTTTGAATATTGTAAAAGTTCTGAATTTTTATGACATTGTAAAAATACTTGGAATAATAATCTTGTTAGGTTCTGTTCTGTTAGGTTCATTTATTTTAGTTGTTTTAGATGATATAGTTGACATGTTAATCGCCTCTTGATATGCAGAAACCAAATGTTTATGACGAGGTGATTTATCTCCAAAAACATCTTTTGTTTTTATGTTTGTATCAGAAAAATTAATAGGCTTATCAATTTTCGAATCAACTCTTGTTTTTCCCAAACCAGAAGATGTAAGACTGATTTTCGAATCATTTTTATATTCTTGTTTATAACTAAACAAGGATGATGTCGAGGAATGATCTGATTTGTTTTGATTACTTTTGGATACTAATTTTGATTGTGGACATATGTTTTCCATAAAAGATTGTTTCATATTAGATAAAGCACCAATTTTCTTAGATTGATTAAAATTGTCTAATTTAAATTTTTGGCAATGATTATTTGCTTTTTTATTACATGATTCATTATCTTTTCTGTCCAAGAGCGTAATATCTAAAGCAGGATCAGACGGCAACCTATTCAAAGAAAGCGACTCCTTGAGTATATTGTTATTATTGACATCATTATCTTTTTCTAATAAAAATACGGGCGGAATAATAACTTTACATCTTGTGTTAGATGATTTGACCGATTTTTTCACTGGATTTTGATCATTTTTTGAAAAATTTTCAGAATTAAATGTAGATGTGTTATGAGTTATTGATAAATACGTATTGGATGACTTATTATATAATTGTGGCATTGAAATGTTTCCTAAAACCGGAGGAGAAGGTTTACTTTTTTGAGAGTTTATATTCTGAATGGTCGCTAATTTTTGTCTGTCCAAGTTAGTTGTAGAATTAGAGTTCTTCTGATGCTCTTTTTTTGCATATGATTTAAATAAAAAGGAGTCATTTTCTTTTGTCATTGGTGCATGTATTGGATTGCTATTGTTTTTTCTTATATTAGTAATAATAGAATCTTTAGGCCTTGTGTTTTCCTTTTTACTTATATCTTTAGATGAGTTGGTTGTTTTTGGAAAAATATCTTGTGCAATCTTAATGTTTTGAGAAGATACAGTAAGCCCTGGTGTTTTCGATATAGAATGTAAAGGAGAATTTTCATTTTTATTCAGAAATATTGAAGGAATTCTAACTTTTCCTTTTTTCTCAAAATTTGTTTCTGAAAAAACATCCTTTTTGGTATGTTTGCTAGGCACTTGTTTAGATATTATATTCTTTATATCTTCTATTTTCTCCAAGGGTTTCTTATCTTCCAAAATAGATCCTAAATTATTTTTAGAAACAACTTTTTCTTGAAGTCTCGTTAAAATATTTGATTTGTTTTCTATTGATAAAGCTGATAACATAGAGTTAATTTTGTCTTCCAATTCAGTAATATCGAAAAGATCATTCTTTGAATTTCGGTAATTAACTATATTATCATTAATTACTGATACATTGTCATTTTTGCCAAATAGCGTCTTTTTATCTTGATTAACTTCATTTTTAAATTCCATTCCTAAAGATCTATCCAAGATAGATTTTTCCTTAATACATTTACTATTGTTATTCATGCAATCTTTTTCATTAGCTAGTCGTTCGTGGTATTGCAAAGTAGAATAATTCGTTTTTGCCTCACATGAAAATGGAGAACTAAGTTCTTCTTTTATAATGAAATTAGGCGATACATCTTTTTGAGATACTTTTGTAGGTAGAATTCCCGTTTTGATAAAAGGAGAGAATGAATATATACTGGATTGAGATGGCGTAATGTTTTTCGATGATATCTGCATCTTTTTCCTAAAAGGATGATTCATATACTTCGATTCATAACACTTTTGAGGTTCGTAATTTCCCATATTCTTAATAGTATACAATTTACACGGAGATACACTTGGAGGAAATAGAGTACGTCTTAAAGATATCTTCTGACAAAGGCAATGTACACCAGAATAGCCTGGAGGATTTTCTTCATCTTTCTTCCTTATATTTTCCCTTCTTTGTTTGTAAAAATCGGTTTCTTCTGCGTAATTCGACATGAAAGTTTCTCTTGCGTCAACAAATATTTGGGATGAAATGTGTGAATCAATTGAAGAGGATGTTTGTGTATAACCCGGATATATATGATTCTTTTTTTTTATAGGAGTTGAACATTTTGATGTTTGTGTTCCCTTTGTTTCAAGAATCTTTGGTTGTTTTGAAAAGCAATCGAGTAATCTAGACAATAAAAAATCCGTCTTAGATATAGAAGAAATGCTTTTGGGAATCCTCTGCTTTTCCAATGATTCATCTTTTCCTTGGCATACATTTTTAATTGGTTGTTCTATAGGATTTAATGGATGAGGTATTTTTATATTATTTTCTGATATTGTCCCATACATGTCGATAAATGTAGGAGGATTAGATGTTTTTAAATCATATTCTAGGGTATGGTTTTGTTTTTCTTTTTTTAATCCTTTAATTTCTGGAAGCCAAAAAAATGATCGTTTGGCCTTATCGCTTGTTTTTTTAAGTGCTTTTGATTCATAAGATAAACCAAAATTCTCTTTAAACATATTCCCATATTGTTTCTCTTGCATAATCCTCTCGGGACTATATAACTCCTCATGATTATATTTTTCTTCTGTTTTTACTAATGTTTTTGATTTAAGCGATGCTACAAGTTTATATAACTCATTATTTTCCGTCGGACAATTAATCCCATAAAACCAATGCCCTTTTTCTCCTTTTCCTGAACATTTTCTCCCCTCCCATATTTCTTTAAGTGATCTCCTATCAATTTCATCTTCATCTTCCTAAATTATCCTTGAATTTTAAACTATTTTAATTTTGAAAAAAACATACCATATAGATTTTTCTACAAATTAATCAATATAATACCAATTGTACATATATAATAGCAATGTATCGTCTTTTTATAGAGTGTTGATCCGATTTTTTTTCTTTAGTACATCGTTTGTTATGATCGAAAGGTAAAGAGTCAGATTTTCCAAAGCCAAACGTTTAAAGTGAAAAAAATGAAAAACCAATAAACCAATAAGCATAATGATGAAGCGTGCCAAGAAGAATGTTAAATGATGATGATAATGATAGACAAAAATTTTATGTATAAATGTAGGATTCATTCTTTACTCATTGATTTGGCAGTTGCAATGGCATTTTGTTTTTGTTGATATGCTTGACAAGGAATATTCTTTCGTACGCTTCGTATTTCATCACTAGTATATCCGGGAATTCGAATATTCCAATTACGTTCAAGATGTAGTTGAACATCTTTAACATCTAATGTATCGGATTTTCTGTATTTTGCAAGTCTACATGCAAAAGAAACTACTGATTCTACAAATTCATCTGCTACTTCTAAAAGAAGCTTTAATCGATTAGAAAATATTATGTTTTTTTTTTTCTTAATAAAATGTAGCCTTACCTCTTCGACATCAGGATCAAGTCGTTCATCAGGATTAATTTGTTTTACGAGTTCTTGAAGCTTTCGTTTGCTTAATATGCGATTACCATTATCAATATCGTATTGTGGTGGTTTAGAAATTCCAGGTGTACTCATTAAAGGTGTTGTTGTATAACCAGATGTTAATGTTGGTCTTGATGGTGGAATAGACACTGGTACGGGTAGTTTAACATTTAAAACTTCAGGAATAGGTGGCATTTTTTCAAATGATGTATGTGCATTTGGATTTTGTGCGATTTGCCCGGAAACCGGTTGAAACGGTAGATTTGCTGTTTGCTGAATTGATGGTTTTGTAATATTTACCGGATTTTGTCGAAATTGTTGTATCGCCGGCGCTACTGTCTCTTTACTTTTGTTTCCTTGTGGAATTTGTTGTTGTTGAATCGCTATAGGATTCATTTGTTGCATTGATGCTCGTTGTTGAAGTGCAATATTCATTGCTACTTGATTTGGTTGAACTTTTTGCATCATCGGATTCGTTTGATGCATATTTCCTGTCTTCATCGTATTCTCCTGTCCTTGTATACCCTGCATTTGCTGCATTTGATGGAATTGCTGACTAGCTTTTTGAATATGCATATGATACGTATTTAACGCCGTAATCTTCTCATTATGCTCTTTTTCCAATTCTTCCTTCTCTCTTTGCGTAATATTCGGCTTAGATAATTCCGTTTTAATCTTCGTAAGCTGTTCTTTCAACTCTGAAATCGCTTTAACAAAATGTTGCGTTGTTTGTTGTAAATGACTTTGCGCCTCTAACGCTTGTTTTACTCCATGATTAATAGGTACCACTCCTTGTATCATTCCTTGAGATTTCATAATATCAATATTAGCATTCATTGTCGATCCACTTTGAATAGCTAAAAGCTTTTGTTTTAATCGACAAACATTTTGATAAAGTGCTTGTCCTTGCGGCGTTTGAAGCCCCGCTTGCTGCGCTGCTTGTTCATACTTTGTAATTTGTGCCTGTAGCTCCTGTAATTGCGACATATTCCCTCTTTATCTTCTCTTATTTATCTATTTCTTTTATACCCTTAAACTCCACGAAAAAAACCCTAAAAAAAACCGGAAAAAAACGGTTCTTTCTCTATTCTATTAATCTTTTATATAAATCCTCTTATAATATATTATTTACCCTCTTATTCTTCCGTTTTTTAACTCTTTTTCTCCTCAAATTTACTCTTAATTTTTCGTTCGTCTTTCTCGATAATCCGATGAGGTTCTACTGGTGTCTTAATCGTCGTTGCTATGACGATGGTTGCGATGACGATGGTTGCCATACCATCCGTTGCCATACCATCCGTTGCCGTACCAATCGTTGCCATGGCATCCTCGTCCCCATGACAACCTGCCCACTGCAAATTTACCGTCGAATCTTTTGCTGCAAAAAAAAGGCTTTTTACTGAGCTTTAATAGAGAAATATTGCAGAAATGAGCTGTCGTAAGTCCTATTTATATGTTTATTAGTGATATTTAAGATATAAAATAGCTTTAAAAGGGGAAGAAATTGAAAAAAGACTTCATCGTATTCGAATCACATTAACATCAAGAAATGTCAAGAATTTGGAGAAAGTATGCTCTGATTTGACGCAGAGAGCAAAGGATAAGAGTAAAAAAAGAAGAATTTTTGTTTTTTTCCGGTTAAAAATGGTTAGATTTGCGTGTAAAAGGACCGGTTCGTTTACCGACATGTGTATTAAAAATTACGACGAGAAAAACACCATGTGGAGAAGGATCGAAGACGTGGGATAGATTTGAAATGCGTATCCATAAGAGAGTTATTGAGTAAGATGAATAAATGAATTAATTGTGTAGATTGAAAGGAAGTAGTTTGCATTCACCGACAGAGACAGTAAAACAGATAACATCGATTACTATGGAGCCGGGAGTGGAAGTTGAAGTGACGATTCAACAGTCATCTCAGCTTTCATTAGGAGTTTGAAATGTTATTTGTGTCGAATAATGAATAAATAGTAATTTTGTTCGAAAAAAGAGTTAAAAAAGAATAAAAATTTAAAGATCGTTATATAAGAGTACTTTTTATGCATTTTGTTGTATAATAATGTGTTCTTGTTATTAAATATTATATTTTGTTATTTATATGTTTAAAGATTTTTTCGAATAGATGTGCCATTTTGAAATAATATAAATATTAGCCACGTAAAGAAAGAGGAGGTTCCATTTCAGGAATTTTTCCTAGTGTAAAAATATGAGATTTAAATTCTTTAAGAGCGTATGCAGGTAAATCGGATTCAGATAAAGGATCGGGAGCGCCTTGATTTAATAAAACAACTTCTATATGATTTGTATATTGAGAATTATGTATCGAAGGAGAATTTTTAGAAAACTATAATAAATATTAGAATAATTAGTAAATTTAGAAAAATTAACTTCTTGTGAATTTTGTTGAAATATAAATGTTGATTCAAATGTTTTTTTTGGTGGAAATATTAAATCATTTGTTTTTGAATTATTTTCTTTAGATGAATTAAAAATAGTTGGTTGTTGATGAAATGTTGTTTGAGAATTAAAAGCAGATTGTATTTGTGTTGGATTAAAAATGTTGGATTGGCAAGAAACTTGTGTTGATGGATTTATCGGTGAATTAGACATCTGAGAATCCATTTGAAAAGCTGAATTGTTATTAAAATTAGATGGATTTTGATTCGACATTATATTGTTAAAAATAGGTTTAATAGGTGCCATTGAAAAATTAGATACTCCAAATGATGGTATATTCGAAATATTAGAACCAAATGATATCGTTTTCGTATCATTTTTATTAAATAAATTCTCCATCGTTGAATTGCCCTTTCCTAATATACTATTTTTCATATTAAGTTTTTATATAATTCTTTTTTTAAAAAAATAACCTAAAATTATCCTCTCTATTCTCTCTAAAAAACCTATTCGACTCCGTAAAACTTCTTTCTAATGGCTTTCTTGATAAAAACATAGATATTTCCGATATAACCGTTTTAGACGCTTGTGAATTCGAAAATAATACATCAACATTCCCTGAAAACTTTCCATTATTTATATCATTCGCTATTTTACATGTTTTTCTCAAATTCTTGATCATATTCCTTCTTAAATCTTCCATCTCTCGTGTCATTCTTTCCACTTTGTTTTTCTATATAATTCCTTTCAGGACCCTTAAAAAAACCCCCAAAAAAACCCTACATAGTCATAAAATTTCATATTTTCCGCACATTCATACGCAAATGCCCTTAATTCCTCCGGTGATATATCTTTTCCTGATATTAAATTTGCTTGTCCCTTACCCGTACCATAACTTGTAAATATCCATTCTGGATGATTCTTTCCCAAATCCTCCCTTATCCCTTCTTCGCTATCACTTATTTAGCTTCTTATCTCTTATTATTCCCTCTTATTCTTTGCCTTATCACATAATTATTTATTCTTCCTTTATTTCCCTCTAACTCCCTCAAATTTTGCCCAAAAAAAACCCGGTTTTCACTCAAAATATGCTCATTTCTACAGCTATTTCCATATCTACATCTTCCTATTAAAATTAGCTTCAAATTCCCTCTTTTTTACTCAAAATACCCTCCAAGAAAAACCTACAGATCGTCATGTCGTCCCTCGTTGCTGTGCCAACGTCCCCGTCCAAGATCTCAACCTCATAAAAATATATGATGGAGCTTAAGGTAAAGTATGAGGAGAAAAAGGGCTTATAAGAAGGTTTACTAATAGAAATCTATTGTTTAGAAAGAGAGGAATTCATTTGAGAAGATTTATTGCGAAAAAACGAAAGAATTTGCGTATAATAATAAGTTATTAAACCATATTAAAAGCTGCCGAAAGAAACATGGAGGAAAGCTGTTTTTTGATATGTTATTAGAAGATATTGCACGGATATATGATTGTATATAAGTGGTTAAAAGGGTATTATTGATGGGGATGTAGGGGAGAAGATATATCCGCCTAAAACAGTGGTTGAATTAAAAAAATTATATTTTTCTATAGAAAACAGTCATATTGATGAATTAAAGAAGAATTGTTATCATTATTATCTTTTGAAAGATTGTGATATGAGTGAAAAGTTTTCGAATGATGTTTTTATACCTATTATATATAGAAAACTGATGGATAGTTACTGGTATCTTGACAGGATGAGATTTGAGGTAAATTATAGACAAAAAAGAGAGAAATAAGAAAGAAAGAAGGTTTAAATAAGTATAGGAAGCGTTTTCGAGTCTTTGTACGCCGAATTTAGTGCCAAATTTTCCAGAAAAAATATTGAGATCATTTTATTTTCTTTCAGGTGAACAAGGAGCTCAAATGACGATTACATATACGGATGTGATGTCACTTCCATTAGATACGGATGAAAAGTTAGATATATATATGTCATCATTGATAAAGGTGGATGTTCTTTCAGCATATTCATTTTTGGTAAGTTTTTGAATATAATATATGAAATAGTATATTTAGAATGATATAGAAATCATGTCCTAATTTAAAAGCAACATTTTTTCAAAAAATTATAGAACATTGTCTTTGTGTAGAACAATGTACAAAATGGTTATTAGAATTACCATTTACAAAAGAGGAAGAAGAACAATTAATAAGATATCTTAAAGAAGCGCCTTATGCAACATCAAAAAACATTTTGTTTGTTTATTTAATTAATAAGGGAAAAAGGATTGAGGCGATAGAATTATCTAAATCTATAGGAAATGATTTTTTTAGAAATATTGAAATAGCAGACTTTGTTAATGGATTAAACAAATCGCTTTTACCAATAGAAAGGAAAATGATTCAGTAATAAATATTTGTATTCAAATGAAATATTAGTTCTTAAGTATTTTTTATAAAATTAGAACCAAATTTATAACTAAAACTTTTATTTAATCATGTATTGATGAATTTTTTTACATCTATATTGCCAATATTAGTAAAGAAATGAAGTTAATATTATGAATTACTTTGAAGCCAATTGACATATTCATTTTGTTCTTTGTAACTAACATATTCAGGAATAAATAAAGCTAAAGATGTATTTATTCCACGTTCTTCTAAATAGCGTTCAAACATTACTTGAATATTCTAAAGATATTAATATAATAAAAATATATTATGATTATATACTTCATCTAAACTTTGAAAAGAAGGACCCATATATATACCTCGCCTTTGCCAGTCTGCTTCTGCTGTTTGAGTCAATGCGAGATTATCATTTTTATAATATGTTATATTTTCTATCATAAAAATTCCATCTTGTGCAAGTGCATCTAATGCTAATGTGCCTGATTTAGACTAATATAATGTTAAAATAAATATTTTTTTTAATTTTTTTTTACCTTTGTAATAGTAATATTACACCTAATAGGTAGACTACATGTAGAATCATCTTTGTTGAATCCAGAAAGATTATCCTTTGTATTTAGTGTATTATTTTGCAGTGATTCGTTTTCATTTTCCTGATAATATTCATCCTCTGATTCAAGATTATTGATATCTGAGATAGAAAAAGATACAATAATTCTAATGAAAAACTATAAGAAAACCTCTTAACTTTATTTTTTAATAATACTTTTCATCTTTAAACTGACGAACAAGTTCTACTTCATTGCTATCTTCATGATCAATAATCTTAATAATTTAGCTCCAAAAAAATAAAAGAAATTTATAAATACTTCAAACTGTTTATTATCCATAAATGTTCTTATATTTTCTGGGATCTCTTTTACTGATGATGTTTCAAGTTGTATCTCTGAAGAAAGTCTTTCACTTAATTCTTTGTCAACTAACCCTTATTATTAAATAATTAAATTTATATTAAGAAACATGCCTATGCTATATTTATACATAGGAGATCTTGTTGAAAAGCTTGTTTTTTGCAAAATATAAGGTGTTGTAAAGAAATACCATCTGGATTTGAAAAATTGAGGTCCAAGAAAATGCTGACTTTTCAGATTCAAAGCCTTCAGTGATCCCTTTAAAAAGCGCATAATAAATATGTTTTGATTGTGCAAAAAATACTGTATATTTTTAAAAAAAAAAAATAAAAATTTTTAACGGTATAATGATCCTTTTGAAAATATATATCATCCTGTGAAATTTCCTTTGCTTACATGTGCTACATATTGTCCAAAACCTGTTTGTGTATCTTATATTGCTATTTGTTATTTTTTGTTATGAATCTTCTTTTTTAACACGAATAAACTTTAAAGTATGAAGATCATTATAATTTCCCGTCCATTTTTTTAATGCCAATACATTTTCCTCGTCGGTTATATCAGGTACATCTATTTTTTATCAACTTTATTCGTTTTTTTATCCTTTTAAAGGGAAATTACTAAATCCATTTTTATATTCATTTTGTTCATCATAAAATACCCGTTTAAATGACTCTTTTTTAGAAGAATGATGTGGATGAAGATCTGAACATGATGATTCCTGTATTTTTGAATCATTTCGGTGAATATATCTATTTTGATCAATGAAAATTTATTGATCAAAAAACTCAATATAAACCTTTCAATTAGCTTATTTAATTCCTTTAAACTTAATTTCGTAATATTTTCTAATTCAACAATTGATTTAAAATAGATACAACGGCTAACTATTCATGTTAATAATATTAATCTTATATAAAACTTTATACTTTGTATATCTCGTCTTTTTTCACGGATTTTTCTTTCTTTTTTAATCCGATCTTCTCTATTAATAGATTTCTGTATTTGCTTAGCCTTTCTTGACCTTGGATGTGCTAAATTGGCTCCTTTTTTCTTCCAAATCTTCCTTAAATTCAATACTTTTGGCATGATCTAAAGTTTGTCGAATACAAATTATAATACTGGAAAAAGCTATATTTATTTAACACATTATCAACCCTATTGTACATGACTAGCATGAAAATACGGATATCGCTTTATATAAGACTTTTGTTTTGAAATATCTTTTTATTTTCCATATGTTGCCTCATTGATACAAGTAAAAAATCCATAGCAGAAAAAAGTGCAAAGATCTATAATAAAATTTAAGCAATATGTAGATAGAATAGTAGGAAACACTAACGCAAGAAACCCAACTTAAAATAACCAAGTTAGTCCCTGGATTTATCTTGATTATATCAGTATTTATTTCTCTTGTGATGGTATACAAGGAAGAAATGGTGAAGTGAACAATAAAAGTAAGTGTAATGAGTAGAATAGTTCCTGACAATATAAAATAAAAATTTAATGCTGAAAGAAAGCGAATGTATGGTATAAATGGCATAGAATTGAATAAAGATAACAAGATAGAAATGCCGATTAAAATACATGTTCCAATTGATATTTTCTTAAATTGAAATTCATCTATAAATGCCTTTGAAATAGAGATTAGCTCAGATGAGTCATCAAATTTTCCTGAAAATGAATCAAAGCTTTTAAAACACTTAATATTATTTGGTTTTATAGCACATATTCCTGCAAAGTAAATTTTTATTAAATTATTTGAAAATATACCATTGTATCCAATACGGATGTCAAAATTATCTTTATATTCTTGATTTATAACGTTAAATATATCTGCATCGTAAAAATAATTAGTAATATTTATGTCTTCATATTTCATTTCAAATATATAGATTGAATTGAATTTCTCTGATGTGCATCCCATAATGGTTATAACTAAAAGAATGATTAATCAATAAATCCAATGAGTAAAAGCTATGAAAATTCATACAAAAACAAATAAAAGAAATTATTAAAAAAAGATTGAGGAAAAGACGTGATTTCAAAAAAAAACCTGCTGTATATTAATCAATCAAAATCCCAATATAATTGTATAGCTTTGAAAAAACGTACAAAAATGGCTCGCCATTTTATATTTTAAAATATAATTATATAAAAATATTATTTGAAGTGAATTTGTTGGTTTAGAAAAAAAAACATTCCAAAACTATGGCTTTCAATATAAATTGCCAAATAGAATATCCTAAAAAGAAAGATCATTATGTCGAATTTCTTTGTTAAGTTTCTATAGTAACATATAAGCACAGTTCAATGAAAATGAAATTTGAAACCCTAAACATAATAATTTTAAATAGATCATAATTGTTAAAGATTTGCTGCTATTTTTGAAAGTTATGAATTATGGTTGTTTTTCAAAGATAGAAATGTATTAATATTGTTTAAATATCAAAATTTATTTTCCCCAATTTTTTCTGTAGAATTTGTTGAAAATATAAAACAAGATGGTAATCTCCTAGCACATGGTGTTCCTTTAGATATTTTGCACTCTTCTGTTGGTTCTGAATTATGTTTTATAAAAGTGTTTTGAGTAGCTATTTGATGTAAAGGAAAGTGAGCTTTAGCATAATCATTTGAAGTTTGTGTATGCAATTGACGCCAATTCGAAATAATACTGCTATAAAGTTCCTTATCTTCGTAAATGTCTATTTTTTGAGATTTTGAATGTATATTATTCTTTTCTGGAAAAACGTCATTAAACCAAGGACATTTATCTAGTATTTGACATTCTGAACTCTTGGAAGTTTCAAATGAATTCAAATGATTAGGATATGAATTATCTAAATCTACAGCGATGCTTTTATGATTAATGTCTTCTTTGTTGTTTGTATTTTCTGTAGCTTTTATTTGACTTTCTTCTTTGATTATATGAACATTTGTTTTTTTTTGATGAGGAAAAGAGCTATCTTTATTAAGAATATGATTTGTTTGATGAATATTTTCCTGATTGATCTTTGATACAAGGTGTTTTTTGTCCTGAAAGGTTTCCTTGAAATGTTTTGCTTCTGTCTGTCGGGAAATATCATTTGTCAATGGCCTTTTTGCATTATCATTAAGAACAGATAAGACCTGTGGTCGGGAATTATTCGTAGGCAAAGCTAGAACATCATTAATAAGCTATAGTATAAAGATATTTTCAAACCGAAAAGAGGTGAAATAGAATGATTGTTGAAAGGGCTTTCTTTTCCTTGTTTAGCCAACATGCAGTATTCATTTGGATACTTGAAGATTAATAAATTCCGACAAAATGTAATATTTACCTGTATATTTCCTTTAGTCTTGTTAAATGCTTGAATTCCATTTAATGATACATGAATTGGAAGTCTTGTTATTGGATTAATTTCTCCACGTATTAATCCTTGAACAATATCTGCTGGTATATCTGGACCAGCAATTCTATCGACATTCTCTCCTAGTGAAGTTTTTGGCTCGTTCCACATGACAATACTTTTCCTATCCAAACAATATACACGTTGATGCATAAATGTTAGATTTGCAAAATTAAATTGCTTCTCATAATCATGTGGGATTTTAAGTGCGTATTCTGACATGATTACTTTTAAAAGCTAGAAACTATTAAAAACCCGTATAACTTTCACGTCTTAATCAATCTACCTGATCAATTGTTTTATGTTTTTTTAATAGTCGATATGCTGTTTTCAATCCTACACCAGGAATACCTTCTAGATAATCGCATCCCGAAAGAATAGCCATACATCGAAATTCTTCATCTGACCATCCTGATAAATCGATTTCCTTGACTTGTCGAAACTTCTCTCTTTTAATTTCAATGCATTCTCCGTATTGGTCCAGTTTCAGAAGAATACATTTGCATCCAAAAACTAAAAGATCCGAATCCTCCGTAAGAATAGCATGAATGATTCCCTGCTTTTCTAAATATGCCAATTGAGCATCTGCTTCATATGGTGCAACAACATAATCCACATTTTCGCGTCTTAATGCCTTATTTCCCATTAACCCTATAAATAAAATGCCTCCGTTATAAAACCTTAATAAATTTATACGCCATTTCAGGCGTAACATTGATACATTTTTGGAATTGCTCCATTGCTAGTCGTTTTTTATTCTGTGAAAGAAATTCTAGCCCTTTTGCTTTACTTTCTGCCCGTTTTTTTCCCCTCTCGCACTCTGTCTTCTCTTTGCTTGGTAAATACCCTCCGTCAAATACAATAAATAGCTTAATTCCATAATGTTTAAGCATTTTAACTCGGTGCATCGCATAATCAACATATCTTCAAAAAAAAACCCATTAATAACCCAAAAAATCCCGGAAAAAAACTACTTTTCCGTTAATTCCCCTAATGCAAGATCCCATGCGCATGAAAACGCCCCTTTATAAAGCCATATATACGCATCTACGCCTATGGTTTTTCCTGAATATTGTTTGATATGTGTTTTGACCTATATTTATCAGAAATTAACCGGAAAAAAACGTATAAATAACCTGAATAGACTTTAATAGTGGAAGAAGCCCTTGAATTCCCATAATAACCACTTATTATCGAGAAAAAACGCTGCAAAGTTTTCCTCGCGACGTATGATGTTGACTTGAGGTCGATCTCGATAGATGCGATATTTATTAAGTCTGGAGGAGTGATATTTTAATGGTTGGAAATATACATGAAAGAGGTGAGAAATGAATAGATTAGAAATGAAAGAAGTGGTATGAGATGTTTTTTTGTGATTTAAAATGATTAAATATGTATGCATTAAATTATAAATTACAGAGTTGTTTAAAGCTTAAAGAAATGAATTATCAAAATCCCTGTTAGTATAGACAGCCCGTCTAATGAGAAAGGGCAGAAGCTAGAACCGTTTTTAAATGCAAGAGTAAAAAAATGAGATGAATTCAAAAGAATGATACGATGAGTTTTATTTTTTCGATATAAGCCAAATAATAAATTATCTTAATGGAACATTGAATGACCATCGATCTTCCAAAAATCCTTTTGCAGTGTCTTCTAATAAGATTTCTCGACGATTACTGACATATACTGTTTTATCTAGAATAGCTTGTTTAAATTGAGATATTTGATCAATGTTGATAGGTTTTTCGCATAGGCCACTAAGGCTTTCTACAGCCATTTCCAAATCTCTTTGATTATCCTCGAATATTTCTGTTGCGTTATTTCTTGCAAGATAAAATGAAAATGCGTATGTCCTAGTGTTTTTTTTTTTTAGAATATTGAATTTTAGAAAGGGGAATATCAAGTACCATTTCAAGGTTTGTCTACATTGACAAAGAATATCAATGGCTGATTATTGTTAAAATTAATAATTATATATGATAGGACGCGATTACCTCTACGAAGAAATTGAACTTCAATCCAAGACATATCGGATGTGATTTGTAATTGAGTCATTTTTTTCTCCGTTCTAAGATAAAGTTCTCTATCTAATTTTGCTGATTGCTCATGATTTGAAAATCTATTATAATACTAAAAAAGGTCAATCGATACTACAACAACCAATACTCATAAATGAATATACATGTAAGTATCGTTCTAATAATGCACGAGATTGCGCTTGTTGATCTTGAAAATTGATTTTACTTTTCTCATCATACCGATTACAATTATACCAATTTGTGCCATGTTCACTCCATGGACCCGTACATACCCAGCAAAATTCGTATTTACATTTTTTGCAAATCATATGATTGCATCCCCCGTTTTTCTCTATTGTAGCATTGCATTTTGGGCATTCTTTTGTATTAGCGGAAATCCAGTTTGCCGTTTCGGAATCGTCTTCACACTTCTTTAGCCACATCTTCACTAATATGCATATACAAGGCTGATGATCTGAAAGCCCACAACCAAAACAAAATCGTTGACCACAAAGACAAACGACCGTAGGAACGATCGATGTTAATTGACGTTGTTCTACCCTGCACTTAATCGTATATTCACAGTTAGGTGCTGGACAATATCGAAGATGTTCGTTATTATTAACATACGTCCGATCAAGAAGCGCGATATATCTATCATCATTTTCGGTAACCATGACTATCAATGGAAAAAAAAAAAAACAAATTATAATACCTTCGAGATATTTCTGGTGGAACGAGAAGTTCTACCGAACGTTCTGTCACTATATAATTGCATTTTTCCCCCGGACAATAAATCCTACATGATTCTCCTTCTTCTTTAATTTTTTGCACAAGATAATGCTCATAGCAATGTATACAATATCGATGGCCACATTCTAATGCATACGTTTGAAGATTCTTCTCATCTTCACAACATATTTCACATACAAAATTAGGAATCGTTTTTAACGCTAATATTGTCGATGAATCAGTCGTAATTCCCACCGTTTGTAAAACCATGTTCGGATTATCCATATATTGCTCAATAAGCCTCTCTTTATTCCATCTAAAATAACGAAGAAGCGATGTAGACTGCTCCTCTGAAATTCCAAACATTCCAGAAATATGTTTAACATGATTATCTATCATTTTTTGTTACACTCGTTCTTTCTTTCTTTCTTTTTCTTTATACCCTGATCATTACGGATATCTTGGACCGATTGAACATAAAATTCTACTTCATATGCCTTCTGTTTATTCTTTTCCTCTGAAAATACTGAAAATGCTTCATTGTCATCAAACTCAATCTCTATTTAATTATAAGTCCCTGAAAACACCGTTTTTTCTCGAAAAACGCATAGAACACGCTTCTATCTACCTGATTCACCTATGCTGTCTTCAAGAATCCCATTATTTGACATTTCATCAAATACTTCTTCATCACTAAATTCCTCTTCTGACATTTTAACCTATTTCCTCGTAAATCTGCCCTTTTTTTCCCGGAAAAAAAGCAATATATATTACTCCCTATAACTACTTTAGTTTTTCTATTAAATCTCTCTTCTTACCCTATTTTAAACCCCCCAAATGCTCTATTTTTTTTAATTAAATTTTATGTCTGTCATCTTAGTGTCGCGTGTGCATGATATGATCGATTGTTTTAAAATAGTGTAAAAGTGTAGTATAAATAGATAAATATAAAATGTAAGAAAATAGTGTAAAAATAGTGTTAAAATAATGTAAAATAAGTGTTGAAAGATGAATTATTCAGTTGAATCTTCTTCGGCGTTTTTGAGCCAAGTAACGAATTTTGAACCAATATTATATAGTCTTTTTTTTTCAATAGAACCAGTTTGTGATTTAGAATTATCAAACCATGAATAAATATCATCTTCTTCTACGATATCTTCATTGTAAAATAATTTAAGAAGACGTGGAAAGAATCTCATGTATTCGATACGTTTTGAACATGATTCCTGAAGAGTAAGAATGATTTCTTCTTTATCTTCATTTGAAAAGGTCATTTTTTTGAGTAATATGATCCATTTTTTTATGTTTTGTTCAATAATATCGGCAATTGATTTGCCTTCTTCAGAAACCAATTTTAAAATATAATTTAAAAATGCCATAATAATTGTGCTTCGTACTTCAGAATAAGAAACATTTGTACTCATTCTTAAGGAATGCATTTCTAAAAGAACACTATCTACCATATGATTTTCATCGAAGGCTTGTTCTAATCCAGCTAATGCTTCTCGATAAAAATATTCATTAGTAGCATCAGATTCATCAGACATTATAGTTATAGTGGTTGAGGAACGTCTTCGTAGACCATTTGATTCTTTAGATGATATGGATGAAAGGGATGTATCACTTATTGATATTTCTTTCAAGTTATAAACTATGTGTATATTAAAAATTAAGGTTTTATGAATCAATTAGCAAACCTAGAGATGAACAATCTATTGATTCTGTTTCAGCGTCTTCATCATCAGATAATTCAAGGTCTTGATAAATATATCCTTTTCCATTTACGCCAACAACCGTTGTATCTGTCAATTCAAATGTATTATTTTTAATATGTTTTTCAGGAAGAAAGTTGGTTAAACGAATATTTCCAGAAATAACCATTCCATTTGATATTTCAACGCCAAATGAAATGATTGCACCTTCTTGTATAATACAATTTTTTCCTAGAATAACATTATCGGCAATTATTGAATTACTTATTTTACATCCATCGCCAATCGTGACATTATTCCATATGAATGAATTTTCTATAACAACATTATCTCCGATTAGACAGTTTCTTCCAATTGTAGCACTCATTATAACTGTATTTTCTAAAATCATTGTTCCAGATCCAATAACAACCTTGGATTTAAGGTTAACTGATCTAGAAAGAATAACATTATCTTCCTTATAAATATGACCTCTCATATATTTAAAAGATTGGTTAAAAAGAAGATTACTATCCGGTACAAAAGGATAAGACCATCTAGATATAACATCTTTCCTAATTACTTTTTAAATATAATATTAGAAGAAAATTAAAAGAAAAATTTACGTTATAACGTTATATGCTTGCAAGTTTTGTACACATGCTGCATAATTATCCTCTATAACATGGCAATATATTGTTTTTCTAAGCAAATCACTCGTTAAAATCCCATGAACAAAATCTTTTCGTATATCCTGATAATCAAAATTTTCCGTAAATAATGCTGGTACCTTTTATAAAACATTATTCTTCATATTTTTCAAAAAATTCATCCATACCTCAGGAGAACATATATCTATCTGACAATCGATTAAATCATTCCTAATTTCGACTTTTTCATGCTTATTAAATATATCTCCATCAATAGATATCGATTTCGTCCTCGGTTTCATCTTAATCGTCTCATAATGAAGACATTTCGACGTATCTGAATCAATTACAAATATCGATGCCTCCGATCCAATTCTATCCCTTCTTTAATCATTCGTACTCTTTTTTTAATACATAAAGAAACCTTATTCGATGAAATGGACTCACTTTTTGAACAAGAATACTCATAATTGCATTTTTATCTGTTTGTCTTCGTTTATTATGTTCTGAAATCACCTCTTTTAAACTTATATTACTAACAACATCCCCGTTTATTAATAAAAAATCAGATTCAATCCATTTTCTTGCATCCAATTCCCTTAATACATCTCCTGCTGATAAATTCTCCGACGATATAATCGTTTGCACTGAAAACGGTGATGCAATATCATTCCACTTAGATTTTCTAATCCCCCCAAAAAATCCTATTTCAGAATAACCCTCGCTCCCCTATTCTTTCTTCTTACTCAATATATTCCTTAATTTCCTCTCCATGTTCATGACAAAAAATATATACTTCTTGAACTCCTCCCAGCGCCAGAAATTCAAACGTATATTCAATCAGAGGTATATTTGCAAGTTCTATAAGGCACTATTCTCCTCTTAATTCCTCTTTCTTATCTAATAATCTCTTACTCGTGGTTTTTCCAATGTTAATGGTTTAAACCGGCTACCAAATGAATCTGTAAGGACAATTGCTATAAATCATTATTTATTTATCTAAATCTTATCAAAAACTTACCGCGAAGCGCTTGTTTGGGCTCGTCCAGCTTGGTATTCAGGCTTTTTGACGCTTTAACCATCGTTCTGGACAGACTCAGTTGGCGGGCGCAGAGCAGGTTATATAGTATAGGTAGTTTAAAAAGATACATGAATGATGGGAGATAAGTTGTAGATGATGATTATAGAATCAAAGAAGACGGGATGAGGTGTTTTTAGTTGAAATTGAGGGAGAAAATGAGGAGTGTTTGTCGAGGGCTGTTGACTGGTAGGAAGGATAAGGTTAGGAAAAGTATGAATTCATGGATAAAAGGAGGTTTAAAGATGAGAAATATGTTTGTTTTTATTAGGAAGAAGGATCTTAGTGGGATACGTTGTTTTTTGGGCGAAAATTCGGTTGAAATTGGACCAGGAGATAGAATACCAAATGAAAAGTTGATGGTAGATTTTTTTGGATAAATAATGAATGAAAAGGTTATTAAATGGGGTTCAGGAGAAGAATTTAACGGATCTTATTGATTTGGGAGAAATTCTTCCGAAAAAAGCGATTATTATTGGAGTTCCAGGGGCATTTAGGTATATAGGGATATATATAGATAAATATATATTGATTGAGGGAGTCCTACATGTTCTATTAAGCATCTTCCTGGATTTCTGAGTAGATTGAATGAATTTGAGGAGAAAGGAGTTGGGTTAATGGCATGTATTTCGGTTAATGATGTTTTTGTTATGAATGCCTGGAAAAGGTCTTTTTTTTTATGGTTAAAGGGTTTTTTTTAACTTATAAATGATATAGTTCGTTTTGTATAAAGTCACCTATGGCAATTGAATTGTTTTTTATGTATAATTTATCTTATTATATGATATAGGTTCGTTTTTTTGCTGATCCAACAGCACAATGGACAAAAGCAGCCAATTTATCATTTGATGCTACAAAAGTATTTGGGAATCATAGGAGTAAACGTTATGTTCTTTTTATTGAAGTAATTTTTATTTTTATTAACTTTTTTGACTATTTTTTAGGATGGACTTGTCAAAAAGGCCTTTATTGAGCCTAATTCTGTCGGTCTGGTAGAATGTAGTGCAGAAAGAATTCTTGGTGCTATATGATCTATCTTTTTCTCATGTTGTTGTATTTTTTCTTATCACCTTGCTTTGATACTTTACTCGACTAACTATCTATACTTGTTTGTTTTCTGTTTTATACAAAAAATACATCTTAAAAAGATCTTAAATATTACATGATCTTCTAATACCTTGTTGGGGTAAGTTGTTTTTTGTTTTTGATTTGTATTATCTCTTTTAAACTAACATTTTAGATATTTTTTTCTACAAAAAAGGCCTATAAATATAAGAAAATACAATATAGATTATGGGAAATCAATCAGATCAGTCATTTGATGCTTATGATTATGAAACTCTTTCAAAAAAATCATCTTTTTTTGCAAATATGTTAGCTGGTGCTTTTGCAGGTGTAATGGTATATATAAAAATTTTAAGAAAATGTGTCAAATGTCCTGATCTTGCTTTTTTATATAGGAACATACAATGATGTATCCTGTTGATGCAATAAAGAGTATTTTTTTGCTTTAAAAGTATTGGATCTGATGGGTTAAATTAGCAAGAATGCAAATTCTTGGATCTTCTATGGCTCATAGGAATATGATCCAGGCAATACGTTTAATTATAACCTCAGAGGGCTTAAAATCTTTGTGGAGAGGTATGTCTTCGGTGGTTGCAGGTGCAGCGCCAGCACATGCTTTGTATTTTGGAACATATGAATTTGTAAAAACTCGGTTTGAAAAAAACAGATTTCAAGATAAAGTGTTAGTTACTGGTAAGGCAATGTTTTAAAGGGATTTGGTGGTATTTATGGGAGTTTAGCAACAGCAGGAGCATGTGCAACGATTGCATCAGATGCTTTAATGAATCCATTTGATGGTACGGTGTATTTTATACATGAAAAATGTGTTGATCTATGACTATTAGTCATTAAACAACGAATGCAGGTTCAAAGTTCTGGATATACATCTATAGTGACATGTGCTCGGTTAATTTTTAAAAAAGAAGGTCTTTGGGCATTTTATATTTCATATCCTACAACATTGGCCATGACAGTTCCTTTTACTGCGATTCAATTTGTGATTTATGAGTCTTCGTTGAATATTTTGAATCCATTGCGTACATATAATCCTGCTAGTCATATTTTATCAGGTGGTGTTGCAGGTGCACTGGCAGCAGCAATAACAACGCCTCTTGATGTTGTAAAAACATTGTTACAAACTCGTGGAACGTCTTTTGATCAAGAGGTTCGTCATTGTAGAGGTTTAAAAGATGCTATTAGAATTATATATAAAAAACATGGAATGAAAGGGTTTATGAGGGGCTTAAAGCCTAGAGTTGTAACGGCTACACCCAGGTATTTACAAGTAGATTGATGGAGATGATGCTAATAGTGAAAGTACGGCTATTTGTTGGGTATCTTATGAAGCTGGGAAAGAGATATGGCTAAAAATTTCAAAAAATCCATGATTAAGTACTTTCTTTATCTTATAGATCTGATCATTACATAAATTATTTATTGGGGAAGAGGATGATTTATTTCATAATTTCAAAACATTATCTAAAATAAGTTTATGCCTGTTATGATGTTTGGTTGTAGCATTTTTGACGATAGTAAAATAGTAAAAATGCAATTAGCTTGATTTCCATATGATTTATTTATAATAATGGCTATTTATGTAGAAAATAGATATTCCAATATTTTGGTAATGATTTTCATGTAACTTTATTTTAATTATTATATGATATTTAACATTGTATACCAAATTCTCTATTAAATTTTTCAAATTCTATTAATCTTTTTTGGCTTACGCTGGGCCTAATTAATCGAAGACTTGCCTTAAAATCGTCCAAGTTAATAGGTCGAATCAAATCTTGTTTAGCTGTTAATAGAGCTTCACCTAAGCATCGAAGTGGACCCATTGCAGCATCTTTTGTTAAGGCTGTAATATCTGATCCTGAATACCCTAAAACGATTAGAAAAATTCAAATGTTGTTATGAAAGCCACCTTCAGTAATATCAACTAAATTTTTTATATCTTCGTCCGATAAGGTATGTGTTTGATATCTAAGTAGATGTAAAATTTGTTGCATTCTCGTATCACGTTCTGGCAATGGTATATATTGTCTTCTTGCCTAAAATTATTAAAAAAAAATTATATAATTTATTATATATTACAAATCGACGTCTTGCTGCTTCATCAATTGCCCATGGAATATTTGTTGCTGCTAGTACTAAAACCCTTAAAATAGGTTCTGATTCATCATTATTTATAACTGGTTTTGCTAAAGAAGACCACTGGATCAGAAATTCTGTTTTTAGACGCCTAGATGCTTCATGTTCATGCCCATCTTCTCTTCTAGATGATAAAAGTGCGTCTATTTCATCAACAAAAATAATACTAGGCGATAGTTCCTTTGCTAAAGAGAATAATGCACGCACAAGTTTTTCAGATTCACCAAGCTTAATAATTGATTAGAATAATTGATAGATATTATGATAACACTTACAAATTTAGATGTTAAAGATGATGCTGATATCGAAAAAAATGTAGATTTTGCCTGTGTAGCAGCTGCTTTTGCGAGCATTGTCTAATGATGTTATTAATTCAGTTTTAGAAAATAAAAAGACAATATACTTTTCCAGTACCAGGAGGACCAAATAAAAGAACTCCAGTAGCTGGCTCTCTTAATCCACTGAACAAATCTGGTCTTAATAAAGGATATATAACAGTTTCTTTAAGAGTTTTTTTCGCATCTTCTAAACCTGCTATATCATCCCATGAAACCTTGTCTCCTTTAACCACAATATCATTAACAATTATCTGCAATAAATTTTCATCAATAACTCCTTTAAGATTGTTAATCGCTCGTTGCTCTCTTGTTTCTTTTCTATGAATATCTGGTATTTTCGTATTTTCCAGTTCTAATGAAGTATTTCTTAATGTGTTAGGATTAAAAGCCATTTCATTTTGGCATTCTTGGTTTTTTAGTGAGTTGAAATTAATATATTGATCTTTATGCTTATCTCGTGATAAAGAGAGTAAAGATACTTTTTTTTGTAAAGATTTTTGCATTTCAATTGATGAAATATTTCTTTGTATATGAGATTGGCCTTTTGCATCCAGGTTTAAATTTTGAAAATATGATGGATCTGGTGCAATAGAAGCCGGTGTTTTGGAAGATAGTGGTTGTTTAAATATTGGATTCGATAATTCATTAGTTATATTGTCTTTATCGATATATTGTGAATTGAATAAATCATTTGGTACTGGAAATGTTTTAGATGTATATGGTTCGTGTAATGATGATCTACATGATGTTGAAAACAAAGATGAACAGAGTTGAATTGTTAAATCAATAAAACGTTGAGAGAAATTTATATTTGTTTCATTTTTTTTTTGTAGACGTACAGTCGAATTATTTCCACTGTTCCATGCATAGAATGCAGCTCTTTCTACATTATTATGAATTAATGATGAACGTGATTTTGTTTGACGAAGTGTTCGAGGAAATTGTTTAGGTTGAGAAGTTCTTCTAGTATATGAAAAATTATCTTTAGATGACTCTTTTTCAGGATTTTTGTTTTTAAACATGTTTTTATGAAAGGTATTTTTGTCTGGATCAGATATTTGTAAAAATTGTCTAAAGATATCGTTTTCTTTTTGAAAGTCTGGATGTTGCTGATTTTTTTCCGAATAAGAACATTTATCTATTTCTTTAGAAACATGATTTGTACTTTCAGATGGATAAAAATCGGGTGAAACATTTTTACTTGTATGATTGTTATTATTGACTGACAAAAATAAGTTTGGATCCATCTTTGTAAAAATGCTTAATGTTGGAATTTTTAATTCTGCCTGTGAAACATACATTTTCACCACTTCTATAATTTGTTTCTCAAACTTCTTACAAGACCAAATAGATTGCTTTTTAAAAATATGTGGGTTTTCTTTTGTTACTTTCAAGATTGATTGATATGATAAAATCGCCTTGTGAATATCTCCTCGTTTCTCTGATTCGATCGCTGTAATTCTATCAATATAGACCCGTCTGTATAATTCTTTCAAATTTAAGACTTCGTTTTCTACGTTTTCTCCTTGGTCCATACCATTATTTATTTATTGTTATATTTTCCCTGTTTTAATATTCAACAAGTCCAATATTATATTAATTAGGTTTATGCAACTCCTCTGCTCCCTTTACTTTTTTCGTCATAATTTTCCTTTTAGAATATTTGTACCTTAATCGAGAGTATTCAAGAATTGCCTAAATCGTAAAGCAGAGCCCTAAAGCATAGCTATAATCGTAATAAGAAAATACATATAATAAATGTGCAAAGACGACGTCTGTCTAAGATAATATTGGTATATCAAATTGTTTGATTTGTCAATATATGTAAAAAAATCGAAAAAAAATGAGAAAAGTCGATGAGATAAATAAAATATGATTAAAGTAGATGCTAGATGTTATGCTAGAGGATTAACCATGGAATCCATTATGTTCTCTGATAATCTATATAAAATATGTAAGAGATTATATAAATATTATTGGAAAATACATACAAAGAAATACGTTTTAATTCATTGACAAATGACTGGCCCCAAAATGAACTTGTGTATTTGTTAACATAACGATAGAGTTTTTCATGGTTGGATTTTCGTAAATCTTCAGGCATTGTAATTGCATCATAAATAGCACCTGCAAGTTCGGTGACCTATAAAATATAAAAAATTATATATTTATAAATATGATTCAGGGTAAATAAAGACTTACGTTCCATGGGTTGACAATTAGGCTTCCATTAAGTGATTGAGCAGCGCCCGCAAATTCGCTTAGTATCATTACTCCATGTCTTTTTTGTTGAGTACAAATATATTCATAAGATACCTGAAATAAATAAGCTCGTGGCTAGTATTAAATATATGTACCAAATTCATTCCATCTCTAGTTGAACTAACGAGGCATATATCAGAAACTGCGTATAAAGCAATTAATTCATCGAAGCTGATACTCTTATGCATAAAATGAATAGGCATAAATTCTATAGTTCCAAATTTTCCGTTTATTCGACCAACTAGTTCATTTACTACTGCTCTAAGATTTTGATATTCTTCAACATCCTGGCGTGATGGTACGGCAACTTGAACAAGAACAACCTTGCCAATCCATTCAGGATGTTCAGTGAGGAAAAATTCCAAGGCATGAAGCTTTTGAGGTACACCTTTAATATAATCTAGTCTATCAACACCGACTATAATCTTAATATTTTCGAATTTTTTTTCTAAAGTTTGTATTCTTTCTATGACCTTAGGTTGTTTAAGACCCTAATAAATAATTAGGAAATAAATAAAGATAAAATTGTATGTATGACTTCTGTAAATTTGTCTGGATCAATACCGATAGGAAATGCGCCAACATTAACCAATTTTCCATCAAATTCTACACCATTTGGCAACGTATGAAGATTTAAAATACGTGAACATGAGGAAAGAAAATGTCTAGCATAGTCATAGGTATGAAATCCAATCAAATCACAGTGAAGAACACCGTGTAAGATTTCATTCCGTACTGGTAGAATTCTAATAACATTAAGAAAAAAAAATTATATAAATGAAAATTAAACCTGTAAATCTCACTACTAGGAAAAGGTGTATGAAGAAAAAATCCTATTTTTATATTCTTGTATTTTTTATCAATTTCCTCTCGTAACATAGCCGGAAGTAACATAAGATGATAATCCTGCACCCATATTAAATCCCCTTCTTGAACAATAGAACATATAAGCTTTGCAAATCTTCCATTTGCCTCTCTATACGCCTCCCATGTAGGTTCATCAAAGCGGATTTCATCTGGATGATAATGAAAAAGTGGCCATAAAATACTATTACTAAATCCATTATAATGTCGATCCGCCAATTCATTATCCATAAATACTGGCACCGCATTATACTCCTCCTGGAGCCTAGATATTACATATTTCTGCTCTGATTCTGGAATTTCCACACCTATTATATAATTTTAGCAATACGTTGGTTATCCTTTTTTTTTTAAAACCTGGCCATCCAATCCATGAAAAATAAATAGACTTCTTTAGCCCACTTAAGGCACTTACAAGACCTCCTGATGACATACTAAATTCATATTCGCCCTTTCCTTTTCGTTTAATTGTAATTGGAAGCCGATTTGATATAACTAAAAGCCGTGTATCCTCATGACTAACCCTAGACTTCTGACATCCCTTTAGCATCTTGAGGCTTTAAATATAGCCTATTTGTCTTGTGTATTAGCTGTTTTGTTGTTTTTTTTTTTCAAATGAATTCAACAAAAAACTGGACGTATTAAAAAAGTTTTAGGTGAAGGGTTTGGTGAAGGGTTTGAGTTTAGTGTTGTAAAAATACATGAAATCACTCTTGTCTTGTGTTTTGCCTATGTTTTTGTGTCAATTGAGTTTATTAAAAGACAATATCCGAGTGTTTGATGTATGTTTTTCTAGGTTTGATTTTCCGACCTGAAAACTGGAAAAAAATACATAAAACGGTCCAAAAAAGCATTGATCCTCATTGCCAATGGCTCTATATATTGAAAAATAGCTGTTTTCCCCTGAAAATCCTGGAAAATTGCAGCAAAAAGACTCCCCATCTAAAAAATTTCTTTTTTTTCGCAATAAAACCTGTTTTTGTCCTTCAACTTTGCTCAAAACGTGCCAATGATGTTATAGACATTCCGTCTATCTGTTTATACATATAAATGCGCTGGAATTTCCTACAATTGTGCCTTTTTTTGGTGCAACATTGTTTTAATCTTTCTTCCTTAAAATAACAAATATCCCTCTTTTTTCTACAAAAAAAATCGCTCCATAGACTCCTCATCTATTAGAATATACTGCAATGCCTTTTTCTTAGGCTTTGACCTGATATATGCGGCTCTTGGCAATCAGATTAAACACCACACATGAAACAATAAATCCTTCATTGTTATGCCTTGAAAACCCAAAAAAAAAGGTTTACCTATAAAATTCATCAACTATTCTCGTGTTTAGTCATAAATATTAATTATATTGGGCTCTTACTGCTCTTTTTGAGTACAGCCGTTCTTCCTCCTCTGTTCTAAAAGACGAGAAAATCATCCTTAGGTTTGGAAGCGCCTATATTGATAACATACAGGTTATTTTTATTTATATATGCGTGTTATTAAGGGTTATTTCTTACCATTCTACTGTATTGAGGGTTTTTAGGTGTAATACGAGGCCATTGCGTGCTAAGCTATGATAGAACGGAGTATTAGGAATATTCAGGGGATCTGGAAGGGTAAAACAGGGCAAATGAAGAGGTTTATATAGGGTGCTGAGTGTTTTAGGTGAGACATTTGAGTTGAAGAGTGGGTTAGTTTCTCAATATGCGCATGAAAGGTATGTATGAGATGATATTGAGAATATGCTTATAATGGGGTAGAAAAGAGGCTATTCAGAAGACTATAGCAGCTATGACACTTGGGAAGGATATGTCAGTGCTTTTTCCGGATGTTTTAAAGAATATTGCAACGTCAGATCTTGCTCAAAAGAAGCTGGTTTATCTTTATTTAATGTATGCGTTTGAATGAGGGTATTTAAGGGCTATTTTTATGGTTATTTATAGGAACTATGCAAAATCACATCCGGATCTTTGTATTCTTGCAGTTAATACGTTTGTTCAGGTAGAATTAGTGTTAAAAATAGGCATTGTAATGGGGTTATGTAGGATTCGGAGGATGCGAATCCTTTGGTAAGGGCATTGGCTATTAGAACTATGGGATGTATCCGTGTTGAGAAGATTATGGATTATTTATTTGAGCCTTTGCGGAAAACACTTCGAGTAGGGCATTTGAGGGTGTTATATGCGGTGTGATTGATGTAAATATGTAGGATACAAGCCCATATGTTAGAAAAACGGCGGCTATTTGTGTAGCAAAGTTGTTTGATATTAATCCTGAAATGGCGATTGAAAATGGGTTTTTAGAGATTCTGCAAGAATTGATTAATGATACTAGTCCAATGGTATGAAAAATGTATGAAAAGAAACAAAAGTAATTTTTTAGATTGTATCGAATGCAATTGCTGCATTATCAGAGATTGCTGAGCTATTGCCAGAAATCCAGATAACAATTATTACCTCTTCGATATTGCCAAGGATTTTGACAATATTGAATGAATCTTCAGAGTATGAGAATAGATTTGAATATTGTGATCTTATGGGTTATTTTTTAGATGGGAACGTGTGGTATTACTTGGGACTTTGGCGAATTATACTGCAGAAAATATAAAAGAAGCAGAAAATATATGTGAACATGTTATTCCACAATTTCAACATGCAAATGTGAGTGTTGTGATGGCTGCTATACGGGTTATTATGCGTAATCTTCCAATTATTAATAAAGATATGGCAAAACAGATTATGAGAAAATTAACACCGTCTTTAGGTATTTTTATTTTGTAATTTTATTTTTTTGCATATAATCTTTTTATAGTTACGCTTGTATCTTCGGTTCCTGAGGTTCAATATGTAGCCTTGAGGAATATTAATCTTATTCTCCAAGAGTATCCTAATATTCTTGATAAAGACATTAAGGTTTTCTTTTGTAAATATAATGATCTAGAATATGTGAAGCTAGAGAAATTGAATATTATGATAAAGCTCGCAAATAAGCAAAATATTGATCAGATACTTTCGGAATTGAAAGAGTAATATGATGTTTATTGATAGTTGATTATAATTTTAATTTTTCTAAAGATATGCATCAGAAGCAGATATTGATTTTGTTAGACACACTATTAAGGTTATTGGACAATGCGCCATAAAAATTGAGGAAGGAGTAGATCGATGTGTTAATTTGCTTTTAGATCTTATTAACACAAAGATAAATTATGTGGCTCAAGAAGTCGTTGTAGTTATTAAGGATATTTTTCGGAAATATCCACATAAATATGATGGAATTATGCCTATCATTTGTGAAAATATGTCTTTGTATGATGAACCTAATGCAAAAAATTCTTTTATTTGGATCATTGGTGAATATAGTGAAAAAATTAGCGATTCTCGAAACATTTTACTTTCATATATTAATTGCTTTAAGGATGAAGATACACAGGTTTCTTAAGACTTTTTTTTTCTTTTTATCTTATGATATTAAGACGCAATTACAACTTTTGACCGCCGCTATGAAGTTATTTCTAAAAAATCCTGAAAATAATCAAGAAATTATACAAAAAGTTTTCAAAATAGTAGAATCAGAATGTGATATCCCTGATATGCGTGACCGTGCTTATATTTATTGGCGTTTGCTTTCAAAAGATATTAAAATAGCAAAAGTATGTGTTTTCGATAAAAAAAGGCTACTAACTATCTTGTAGGAGATAGTATTGCAAAGCAATGTGCCTGTTTTTGAAAAAAACTTCCCTCCTGAGTTATTAAAAGAATTGATATGCGAATTCTCAACACTTGCATCTGTTTTTTATAAATTAATCCCTGCAGATGTAAAATTAGACAAAGATGGGAAAGATTTAATGAAACAAAAAGCAATCGAGTATGTCTTGAGACTTTAATGGAATTCATATAATAATTCTTATAGGGAATATATGCAAATAAACAACATGACTCATGCCAATTCTAAAAGAAATATAGAAACCCTTTTAGACATTGATTTTGATACAGAAAATACAATCAAGCCAACTAATGAATCTTGTGATTTTGAATCTGGCTCTTATATGTCTAATTCCATGAAAGTTTCAAATGTAGATGATCTTTTAAATGCTTTTGATTCAAACCAAGAAAAACAAACGGATTTATTAAACGCAGATATGCTAAAATTCTTATAATAAACATTTTTCACTTATGTTATTAAATACGAATGGATTTCTTATGATTTTTATTTTGATACATTATTTTCTTGCAGTTTATTCCATTCTTCTGGCGTATAATCTTCCTAACACATTTTAGAATTCTTTTTTTGAAAAAAGGTCCACTAAAAACTTGGGAGAAGGAATGAAGGCTATTTATTTCTTCCTTTAAAGCATTATTTACTAGACGATGGCGAGAAAGCATATTCAAATTGTTAAATCGCTCTGAAACAACTATATTAAGCTTAAAAAAGTCCTTGAAAAACTGGTACATGTTTACTCTTGCATCTAAAGGAGGTTCCACAGCCACCTGGGCATATTAAAGAAAAAAAATTGGTCATATAAATACTCACTTGAAACATCTTGAATAATCTGCTTAAAATTAATAAAAAAAACGGCTTAAAAACATATTACCGCTTCAACTGCATCCAGGCGTTCTTTTAGTGCTTGTTCAATCTTTTTTGCTGTAATTCGAGCTGTCATAAGGGCTATCTGGGTATTGATGGATTTTTTGGTGTAGTCAGGTATCAATATCGACGACGATGAAATCTTCAAGCTGGCTGGCAACTTTAATTAGAAGTATTGAGCGATTATATCCAAGATCTCTATCAGATCTTTCATGGGATAATACAGGGCTTTTGTTAGAGTCGCCTGTAAAAAATCCGGATCGAAAACGAGTTCTTTTAGCTATAGATCTGACTACAGCAGTTGCAGAGGAGGCACTTACAATGTATCCACCAGTAGGGGCTATTGTTGCTTATCGTGAGTGTTTTGAATCTATATATTCAGGATATATTGAGTGGAGTGAAGATCCTATTATTTTTAATCCCATCAAGTCATTGACATTGAGTGATCCTCAACAAAGAACATTACTTCGTTTAGCAGTAAAAAAAGGCATTTTTTAAGTGCGAACAATGTATATGATATTTTTCTAGGCATCTGGAATTAGTGTTTATTCTCCTCATACAGCAATGGATGCAGCAGTAGGTGGAATTAATGACTGGCTAGCAGATGGTATTTGGGACAATAAATGTATTGAAAGGACAGTTATTCGCCCTTCAGAATCTGTAGAGGGTTGTTTTATTTTATGTTTTGTTTTTTTTTATGTATTAAATTGTTTAGGTAATGAAAAATTTGGTAATATGACTGGTATGGGGAGGATGATTCGTTGGAATGAGCCTATTTCAATCAGTACTTTAGTAAAAAGAATCAAGAAGCATTTAAAATTAGCTCAAATACGATTGGCTTTATCAGAAAAGCATAGAAGAGAAGGAGGAAATTGTATATATAAAATTGGAATTTGTGCTGGTTCAGGTAAAACAATAATGTAATTAAAAGAGATAGACATTATTAATAAGTAATAGGTGGTTCTATTCTAAGAAATGTACATGCAGATGTATTATTTACGGGGGAACTGAGTCATCATGATATATTACATGCAACTGAAAAAGGATCTTCTGTTATTCTATGTAGGATAAATATTGTGCTTTGCTTTTTATTGCATATATTTATATTGTCAAGGTGGTCATTCCAATACAGAAAGAGGGTTTTTGTCTTGTGTAATGAAAAAAAAACTTCAAGATGTTCTTTATGATGAATTTTCTGCTATGCAAGATGATCAACTCTTGTTACCAGAAGTCGTAGTGAGTGAAGCTGACAAAGATCCATTGGAAGTGGTATAAGGGCGATCTCTTTGTTGATTGAAAACTAAATATGCAAATGTTTAATAACGATATTTTGATATTTTATGAAATATTGGAATAAATCATAGCATTATTAATTTTTTGTATCTTCTTTTTTTGGTGGTTGATTTAGAGATTCTGAGAGTGTACCAATATTCTCCAAGGTTGGTTCTAACATGTCAATAATGGGTTTTACGGAATCTGCTCCATTTTTCATCTAAATTTGGTTATTTTTTTGGAAAAAAGGTCGAATTTCTTTACTTTTTGAATAATATCTGAAATAGAAAGAAGTTTTGTATAATTATCATAAATAAGCACCTTTTTTTCGCTTTCTAAATTACGTATTTCTACTAAATTAGTGGTTGGGCTTTTTTTTTGTCTGAAAACCTTTGATCAATGTATTTTCCAGCTTTAACAGTTTATCTGGATCATTAGACTCTGCTTCTTTTATATATTCTTCAAGATTAAAGTTATCTTTATCTAACTCTGGTAGTTGTGTTTCAAATTGAACAGGTGTATCAAGTTTGTAAAATTCTCTTAAGGTTCGCTTGATTTGATTGTTTTTACTAAGTTCTTCGGAGGTTCCTTTATAGGCATTCATTATTGTTTTATCTTCCTGGGCCATACTGTTTTAATAGTGCTTCTTATCGTCTTGATAAATAATATGAAAATAGAAGAGGGTTAAGGGCTTTTAATACAAAAAAATAGACATGATATTTTATATAGGAAAAAGTTATAAATAAAGATATCCAATAGTAGGAAAAAATAGAAGTGAATTTTTAAAGTATTATGTGGTTGTATTCGTAGGAATTGTATCATTACCGCTGGTAGACTTTTCACAATTTGGACCAGAAATATATTTGACATAAGATAAGCCGAGAGGTCTATTTTCCGTTAAAAAAATATATATAATAATGGATGTTTGCCTTCCACCATATTCATATCCTTGGAATTTTGCTGAAAAGAGTAAATAGAAATTATTAAAGAGAAAATACATACAGATAGCTGTTTGTGCCGTAGAAAGTGTATCGAAACGAACAATACCGGTACCTTTGGATCGGCCAGAAGGCTCATATTGGATTTCTGCTCGGTCAACTTTCCCAATTGTTATAAAAAGTTCGACCAAATCATCATTGCTAGTTGACCAAGGCAGCTAGTAAATGTTAAAATAAGGATATGAATTGATTGAATATACATTTTTAACAAAGATGGTTTCGCTAGGGTCTCCGTTTGCCGTTGCTCCGTCAGTGAAGTCATTAGGAGGAATAGAATTTCCATAACCATTTTTATTAAAATTCCCATGGCCTGTACGAAATCCTCCTCCGTATCCCCCACGAAATCCTCGATTCGCAAAGTTTGGAGAACTGGCAAACCTATCTTCTCGAACTTCAATAGTACGACCTTGCCAGTCATATCGATTGAAGGTCGTTTGTGCATTACGTGCCTCTTCTGCTGTTTCAAATAAAACAATTCCGGTACCTTTAGGACGACCATCTGGTGTTAAATGGATATCTGCGCGAACCACGTTTCCTAATGTTTATATAAGTAATAAAAAAAAATATTAATAAAAACATGCCTACTGAGCGGAAAAGATCTTTAATGTCTTGCCATCCAACGCTATAGGGAAGCTAATGCAATTTAAGCGTTTACATAAATATTAAGATAGGTAAAAATACATTTTGAATAAAAAGTTGTCGGTTATTTAATGAATTGTATGAAGCGCTTCGATTATCCCCATGAAAATTATTATATGAACGAAATCCACTTTGTGATGGCTCTCCAAATTGAGGTACTTGCTCACGATCCTAGATGAAAAAAATAAATTATAGATTATTTAAAAAAGATGGAAAAAAATACTTCACGGACATAAACCATCCTTCCCATCAATGTTTGATTGCTGAGAGTACTAATTGCATTTTGTGCTTGGTCGCGTGTTGCATATTCAGCTACTCTGATATAATGTTATTTGAAAAAAAAGAAAAACAAAAATGTTAAGTTATCTTACCCACAGCCCTATAAAATGATGAAATTAGGATGAAAAAAATTAATAGAAAATGTACTTACCTTAGACATACCATTAGGAAGCATCAAAACGTCTGCAAAAATAACTTCTCCCGCTAGAAAAATGTAAGTAAAGGTAAATATTAAGTATAAGTTTCTCAAAAAAAAAAATACATAAAAACATATATTAAAAACATATAAAACATCCTCTTGTAAAAATTATATACCTTGCTTCATAAAATCTTTAAGATGATGCCATTTAACATCATATGATAAATTTCCAATGTAAACACGGCGATCTTGTTGAGATGCCTCACGGATATGATTCACCATAGCATTTCGAACTGCTTGTCTACCATCGTAATGTCGTCGATGTCCTTGTGTTATTAATGGACTACGTGAGCGTCGTCGTCGTGAATGTCTATGGTATGATGGAGAATGGTTTCGTGGCGAATAAGAACGTCTAGGAGTCCATGAACGAGAACAATTATTATAATGTGGCGATCCCCGATTCCTCCGTCGATAATCTTGCATCTGTTCGTTCCAACGAGGATTCGAAACTGATGATAGATTTTCTTCGCCTTTTCCGGACTCCCATCAGCCCGGTTCCTCCAACAACCTATAAAGCCCTACCCATTTCATAATCCTACAATTCTATCCTTTATTTCCACTATTATTCTCTATATTTCCCCGCTTCTTTATAATATTTATTTTCTGAATATACTGATTTCTCTGTATATTCTTGTTTTTTCCCGTTCTTTTTTTCAAGATATTCCAGTTTATTGATAAATATAATTCCTTCGTATAGTTCTTTAGAAAATGTGCTCTTTTTCCCCTGTTTTTAACCTATATTTGAGCAACTTTTTTTTTTTGTCGTCGTCGACCGTCTCATCCGCTGGCGTTACGACGATAGGTCATTGTATGATACTGTTTACTTGATGAATGACCTTTAAAGACCATCTCCCAGTTAGATATAAACGTTTTCAGTAGTAGTTTTTGCATAGATTGTAGTTTTATTGTATTTTGTTAGGGTTAGATAGTAATGTTATGTTTGTAATAATAAAAATGATATGTTTGAGACTATTTTCTTCTTTTAATACGTAAGGAACCTTCGAATCCGGGTCTTTGTTGTGTTTTTGTAGAATGTTTTTTTTTTTGTGATGTTTTGTAAAGTTTTATATTTTCATCTCTTTTTTTCTGTCTTAATTGTTTTGTTTTTAAGAGTTGAATATGTTTTTCATTCCTAGAATTTTTTTAAATATAAGAAAAGTATTTTGTGTGAATTACCATGCTTTAGCGCTTTTTTCTTTCTTTCTTTCTTGCCATTTTAGTGATTTTTTCAATAAGGCTTCATTATCTTTGACTTTTTCACCTTGAGATTGTAAAAAGGCCTTTTTCCATGCATCAGAGATCATAATCTCTTTTTTCTAGGAGAGATAAATTAAGTTTATAAGAAAAATATTAGATAATAGTATGAAAGTTTACCTTTTCATCACTCAATTGACTTAGTCGTTGCTTTTTTGCTTCTAAATGACGAATAGCACTAGCTAAATCCATAGAATTATGTTTTTTTCGACCTGATTCATGTTTGTCTTCATTATCAGATTCAAAGGTTATTTTTCCATACATAAGATTAGTTTCTTCGGATTTAATTGATGATTTATGATTTTCTAACGAACCAACAGATAAATTTCTATGTTTTTGTGCATTACCTAGTGCTTCTTTTTGTTTCATTTTTGTTAATATTCTTTTTTGATCACGATTTCTCTTTTTTTTTCTTGTTTCAAGAATAGAATCCCTATTTTTCGCAGAACTATCAATCCCATCCTTTGACGTTTTCCTATTTGCACGTAGTTGTTCAATACGTGATGCTAATTTCAAACGAAGATCAAAAATATCTGGTGATTTTTCTTCTGATTTTTTAGATACTTCTTTTATACATGTTTCTTCCTTTTTTATATCATTTTTTCCATTTTCCATAACAATGACCTCCGTCTTATCTTCCAAAACCTTTTTATTCACTTCCTCTTCTTTTTGGGGGGGGATTTTTGAAGTCACTTCAAATACTTTGTTTTCATTTATTTTTTCTTCTTTTTTTTTTGATTTTTTTCCTTCTGATATATTCAAACTTCCATTCTCTTCATTTATAACACAATTGATATTGTTCAATCGCTGTTTTTCTCCATTATTTAATTCTTTATTAATATTATCTATATTTTTATATGATTCAGGATAAAGCTTCAATTTTTTAAGATATTTTGATTCTTCTTTCGTTCTTTTACGCTTATTTGATGAATTCTTCTTGGTTTTAACCTTTTTATTCTCTTTTTTCGCTCTGTTTTACCTTGAGCGTTTCATTATAATAATATTTTTCTGGTATTAAAGAAATAAGTGCTTCAAATTCCCTATTATTTGTTCTTATACGTTCCTATAGTTGTTTATCTATTAGTTTCTTGCCTTTTTCTCCCTTATTTACTCACCTTATGGCTGTTAAACATGATTCTCTAATATGATGAGGTTGGTATACTGAGTATCGGTTCCAGTTATATAGTATAACCTGAACCACTAATAAAATCATGATTAAGAGCTAATATATATGTAACAAATAGCATTAGTATTTAGTATAAATATAGATTATATTTATTGTTATATTGAAGTAATGTTTTTATTAAAGAATGATTGAATAAAGATATAATAATTAAAAAGATGAATAATTTTTAGGTAGATCAGTAAGTGGAACATACTTGTATGATGTAAAAATGTGTAAAAAAATGTATATAATACATACTCTAACCTGGGATAAACGTTTGGTTGAAATACGTGAATTTATGTCTTTATAGACATACATGATATATTGTTCATATTCATCTCCTACAGGAATGACCATTCTTGATAATCAGATTAATAGTTTAATTTTGAAAAAAATGTACCTTCCATCTTCTTTAAGTTGGTCTTTTAATGTTTGGTATATCTCTTTTGCACATGCGCCAACATGACAAACATCATATGGTCCTATTTTTCATAAAAATAAAGGATATATTGCTATTAATTTTCTACCTTCATCAGGATATCCTAATCGTCCATCGGCACATATGATTTTGATTCTTCCATCTTTTAGCATTTCATAAGTATCTGGCATTTTTCTTAAGTTCTCTTTAGCTTGTTCTGAAAGCTCCCTTATATGTTCAACACCAACCACTGTCCCTCCTGGTTGTATCTTTTTTTTCATTGTTATTGGTTTTTATATGAATAACAAATGTTAACTACCATTTTTGCTAGAAGAGCAACAAAATAACCACTGCCACAGCCAATATCTAAGGCCTTTGAGCCCGGACGAAGAGAGTCTTCTAATAAACATGCAGATATTGCATGCATGTGAGGTGCACTGACTAAATCATTTAATTTAAGTTTGAACATAAAAAAATATCTACTCGTTGCACCATAACCTATATACTTTAAAAGCAATGTCAATACTTAAATGTCTATTAAAAAAGTTTATTAAATACCTGTGGAGCATCTTCATATGCCATGGATGAACAAAATAACGCTCTATCTAAAATAAATCATGATCGCACCAAATCACATTCAAAACAATAAAACAATAAAAATAATAATAATCCTATATCGTACCTGTAGAAAGCATTGTTTTATAGACTCTTTCACTCTAAATATTTTGATTAACCTCCTGGTTATTATAAATATAATACTACCTTAATAATATCTGCTTTTTTTAAGTTTTCAATAAGTTCTGCATGTGTTTTGCTGCTAATATTAATCATCCTGTATAAACTATTTGCTATTCTTGCCCTGAACAATGCCATGCCATAGTTAAAATTTTTGCAAGACGTTAAAGGTAGAGAGGGTTTTATATATATATAATGTGGTTAAGCATTTGATGAAAAAATATATAATATAAAGAAATAGATAAAGCATGGTGCATGATTGATTATAACTAGAATCCCGTAAATGCTGATTATAATGAAACCTGTAGAAATTGAAAGAATCGGAAGGATACCAAAGAATTGAAAAAAGATTTATACAACCGCTTCAGGTGTTTCTGTTTGTGATGTTTGAGGCGTATCTGAAGATGATGTTTCTTTGACACACATTTCAATACGTCTTGCTTTTAAAAAATCTGCTGTAGAACGAATTAAAAGAAACCAGCCGGTAATCATTAAAAGATATGAAACAATAATATGATCTAAAGAGTCGCTTTGATATGTTTGATTATCATCTTCAGAATTAGGATCAGAATTGTCCTGATTAAATACATTATATTTCATAGATCTCATATAAAATCCATATTGAACAAGAGTTGTTCCAAGGCCCGCTTTTGAACCATTTTTTGCTGCATGCGTTGTATGAAGTAAATATGTTAGAAGAAATCCAATAAATTGAAAAGAAAACGATACTTTATACGAATTAGAAATACATAAATCATTCTTATTATAAATTACTTAGCATATTCCATAAAAAACCAAAAATATTCCCTACAGGAAGTCCATCAATAAATACCTCATCTGTCGATATTCCTGGTGCAATCATTGTATTTTCCCAATACGATGGTGTTGCATCTGCTGCTATAAAAAAAAATTATTTTTTTTTTAAGAAATTTAAATCAAATCTACCCGCTTGTTCATACGACGGTGGAAATTCCTCCTTCATCTCCTTTGATATATCTGGTTTAGCATTTAAATTCGCAAAAACTCCATCGTTTTGATTAAGTTTAGGTGTATATCGAGGTAAAAATCTTAATGCAAATGATCCTTTATATTTTTTCCCTGATTTATTCTTATCCTTCCCTTGTAATCCTTTATATTCTGATTCTAATGATATTCCTTCCTTTTTATCACTATTTTTATCTAATAGATATGTTGACGATGATTCTCCTTGATTTTCATATCCATCTCCACCTGCAAACGGGAAAACGGATTCCATTACTTCATCTGATTGCTCATATAATGTCTCTGCTATCTCCTCTTGATTCTCTTCTTTCTTATAATATTTCTTAATCTAAACATATTATATGTTGTTTTTTTTAAATAAAAAAATACCATCTCTATAACCCTTTATAATCCTTAATATTCCCTTATAAATATACTTATTTTCCTGTAATAAATCCTCTTATTTTGTCTTTTTTTCTCTATATTTTTTTATCAAAATCTTTGATTTTTTTGGCGTTAGATGTTGCTTTTAGAATATTTAAATATATATAAAATATATATAAGTGAAGATGTTAAAAAATACATATTGATGATATTTTTGCAGTGTTTCATATGAAATATAGTAGTTTGTAGTGTGAAGAAGTATTTTTTGAGAAAAAAAAGCAGTTGATTTGGATAAGATTTGAGTTCTAAAGAAAGAAATTAAAAAAATATATGAAATAAAGATATACCATGAAGGATCAAGCTAAATTTTTGAAAGGAGAACATGTAGATATTTGTTTAGACCAGAAGTCAGAATTTGGTGAAAAAGATCTAAAAAAAAGTACATCAGAATGGTTGATAAAAGATGTTGTAGAAAAGAATGAAAAAGAAGTAGAAAAGTGCCAAATAAATAGTACATTTAGTTATGAAAAGACAGGGTTTCCTATAAGTAAAAAGCTTTTCTGGAAACCATTAGTTAAACAATATAATGAATCAAATAAAAGATTAGAAGAAGAATACCTATTGAATGAAGAAATCAATGAGGAGAATATGAGAAGAATTTCAGAAATGACACATGAAGAAGTTATAGAAAGAAAGGAAGAATTAATGAAGTCGTTGAATCCTAAGTTAATTGAAAAGTTGATGTATAAAAAAGGAATGGATAAAGATGTTAATGATATTATGAATAAAAAGAAAAAGGTGCAATTCTCATTTGATGATAAGGATAGATTTGAATCAGTATCGACCTTTAATGAGAAGGAAAAAGTGACAACATCATCAATTGAAGTACATTTCCCGACAGCACCATTTGATGAATTAGATCCATCATCACCTGATTTCTTTAAACAACTTCATTCAAAATATTTTCCAGATCTTCCAGTAGATCCATCAAAACTTGCATGGATGATGGCACCAACAAAAGATGAAGATGAAATGGATTATCATGAATCTATGTCTGAAATAGCGCCTGAATCTATACGTTTTGATTTCAATGCAAATATACTATCACCAAGAATTTCTAGAGAAGTCCCTATGTATATAGGATTACATCATCATGCAAATGCTCCTGTAAGAATTTTTTTGATATTTTTAACTAATGATTTAACCATATTAGCTGGCTGCTGGGTATTCTATACCAGAACTGGTTCATCTTTCACGTTCAACGTTTCCTGCACAAAGATGTATTGCTATATTGATTCTTGGAAGAATCATGTATAAACTTTCAAAATATACATATGGCTATATAGTGACAGATGCATTAAAAAATGTGATCAGAAAATCAAATGCTATGGAAAGTTTAATTGATGCTGCAAGTGAAAAAACACGTCATTTAAGTGTAAGATCATATGCTGAAGAAGCCTTATATCTTTCTCATTGTGAATCAAATAATTCTGTATAAAAATTCTTTATATATATATATAATGATCTTATTTCATCTTGTTATATATTATTTATTTAAAACCAAACCATTTTGAAAATATTGATGATATAGAAGGCTTAGGCTTGATTGATTCAATTAGTCTTTGATAATAATTAGGATCTTTTGGCGGATGAAGTATTCTTTCTGATAATGGAAACTATTTACTTAATTAATATCTTTTTTTTTTAAAAAAACTCCTTTGTTTTGCCTTTAATTTATATTTATTCTCTGTTAAATATTGTAATGCATGATATTGATCATGAGGCTCTTCAATATTTTCTGTTAAATCCTTTGATTCAATACTTTTTTCCTTTTCATTTTGCTTAAAGTAATTATAAGTTCTTTGACGCAAAATAACCTTTAAATTAGCATGTGGTCTTAAGATATCATCTGGTATTCTTCTATATATTATGTTTGTTAATAATATTAATAAGAAATATCTATAAATAAAGCCTTACTTGATCAATTTTAAGATCTGTCTATAAGTGGGATCTTGCATCGTCATTAAGATGCTAAGATTAAAAGTTTCTTATAAGATAAAGTAAAAAAATAGAATAAAAATGATAAAAAAACAATATAATGAAAATATTTATTGAAAATAAGTGTATGTCTATACTATTGATAGAGATGGAGGTTATATGAGAGATGATAAGGTAAAAAAGTGAATTGAGTGTAAAAGCAATAATAGAATTTTATAAAGATCAGGATATTAAATAATCCTAGAAGGATGAGAGAGTAAGAAGGAATTTATTAAATCAAGAACCTTTTCAATAATAAAATGTCGTATCGATAATGCTTTTCTTTAAATAGCATATTTGCGTGTCCACTCTTTAGCAGTTGCTTCTGTGAAATAATTAATAAAAAAACAAGTATATAAGACAAGAAATAGTATACCGTATCGTCCCCTATCAGATTTATAGACATGTGCGATTTCTGGTACTATAAAAGATAATTAAATATAATTGATTATGAAATATTAGGAAAAATACCAAGCGGGTCGTCAGGATTTGGATCAGTAAGCATAGAGCAGATTGATAAAAGTACTATTGTGCATAAATAAATCAATAAAATATAATAAATCTATACCTTTAGAAATTGTTAATGCTGGTGACCATTGATCACGTAAAATATCTAGACAAATACTCCCATTACTGTTAATATTTGGATGGTAAATTCTTGTCGTAAAACTGACCTATAATATCATTAAAAAATACTTGTTATTACATATTATACTAAAATACTTTTGGAGGCTTAAAAGGATAATCCGTTGGGAAATGAATAGCTAAAAAAAAAACCCCTCCTGAATACGGACTATCCCCCTAATCATTGTTAAACTCATTCATACACTATATAGCATCTATATCATCATACCGGTCCAAGAATTGTTGCTTGCCAATGAAACTGATACACATATTAGTATATATATATATATCTTTTTTGACAATATAATTGCAGCTTTTAATGAATAATTCTTATACTTCATCATACTTAAATCCCTTCACAATACTCTACAATAATATACCTCAATATTGATAACTCTGCAATTTATCCTTTTTCCCTCAAAAAAACTTACCAAATCATCTCCTATCGGTCCCGCACTACATGAAGACGGTGGATCCCTAGCGAGATCTCCAAGTTCCTTGTTAATCCTATATTTTAGACATCAGCATTGCTCTTTTTTCTTTATTTTTCCTTATTTTTTTCCTTTAATTATTTCTTATATTTCTTCTATTTATACCCTTATAAACCATAAACCCTTAACATACCTCTTTAAAGCCATCTTAAATCTTATATTTCTCTTAGTATTTCCCCTCTAAATTGCACTTTTTCTTCGTTTTATGTTTTTTTTTTCTTTTTAGTTTTCCGAGCTTTGATTTACGGTTGATCTCCTGTTATTGTTATGAACACATATAATGTATATATAAAATATATAAGGAATGAATATGTATTGAATGTATAATAGAAAGACTGAGATAGAGTGTATGTAGTAATATGAATAAAGTGAAAAAGATAATCAATCAAGAAAATCATCTTCAGCATCAACGATTTGATTTTCGATACGTTTGCGTGCAGATTCAGCATTTTCAATTTCATGTTTGTGAATGTTGATAGGAAAACGCATTGCCTGTGAATATTAGAGGGGGATTTATGTATAAAAGAAATACCTTGATATTAGAAGAATGAAGATTTAAACAGAATAGAATTCGATCATGAAAAGCGATTTGTGGTTCATGAGTTGAATAAATATCAGGAATTTTTTTGCTTTGCATGTATCCTTTTTCATGTTCTAAACTTGCTTCGACGACCCCGTCACGAATGGCTTTTGCAACCATATATTCAGCCGATTCTTCAGAGTCTAGATGTAATTTTAAACATATATCACGCAAAGATATTCGTGAGTAACTGATTGACATCATTCGTATACCAGTTCTGAGTACATTTTGTCGTAATCTTAATATAAGACTAGATGTACCATCTAAACGAAATTTATTGCCATGTTTATTGAAAGCTTCAGTAAAAAGGGTAATATCGCCTTTTCTTACAGCTGAAAATGCTTAGTTTTACCTTTTTTTTTTAATAAATATACCTTGAACGATCTGTAAATATGGAACAAGTGCTTTTTCTAGCATAGGTTGCCGAAAAATAGATCTTTCAGGAATACCACCCATTAATAAGTCTACAATGATGTTCAATTTGTGTGCTGCTTGAAGAAAGCCAGCTGCCTTTGCTCCTTGAGGTGCTTTTCGAATTGCATTTGTAAGATGAGAATGTGCTGATGTATAATCTAATTGAATCGCTCTAATTCTCCCTAAATAATACAAATATCTTGCAATAAGATTATTCGTCGCTGTTTCTGGAAAGCTTATTTTTGATACTAAACGATCTGCTTGATTATACAAATTATAATGAAGATAATTACGAAGCAAAAGAATAATTATCATTGAAGTAGTCTCATTATCATGACGTAATGTTGCTGTTCTTTGAACTTTTAAAATAACCCTATATTTATTAATTATCTCTCTCTCTTTTTATTAAAATTAAATAATACGGTCTGATTTCTGAGAGCTTTCCTTGCATTTCCCAAAAATATGAATAATAAAAATATATTTTTGCTGAAATCTTATCCAATGATCGTCGATTAACTGTTTGAAGCTTTTCAACAAGTTCTTGAGAAAAAATCGCTCCTTTCTCATATTCTTTTATATCCAATAAATATATTTGTATAATTAAATGTATATATATATCAACTTCCGCTGATATTTCTTTACTTTTTTCCCTTATATTACTCGATTCCATCTCATTCGTTTCCTATTCATTTTTTAACTTAAAATACCCTGATCTCTATCAAAAAAAAACCATTTTTATCACATTTAACAGATAATCCCTAGTCCTCTCTCTACCCTTATACACATTCCTTATTATTTCCTTAAGAATCTCCCCTGTTAAATGTTTTCTCAGAAAAAACGTTCCTCGTAAAACTTTTGATATCAAATATGGCTCATATTGCTCTACCGCCTCCTCCAAAAGATATATATTTGATTTAATTCCTTTATATAATAAGTTTCCTCTCCATAATACCCTTCTTATCCCTTATTTTACCTGATATTGTTGACATTTTATCATACACTTTTCCCTTTGTTGCTTCTCCCATTTTAACTTTTTAGACTATTTTAACCTGCTTTCTTACTTTTTAACTTAAATTCCTTAAGTTATTTATTTATTTTACCTCTTTTCTTAACAATTTTCTCTATTTTATTAAAAATTGGCTTAATTCTTAAGATTATCTTGTCTGAGGGTTAAGAGCTGGTCGTCGATATCCAGACGACCATATTATATATATATAAAGATATGATGAAGATTGAGGAGTATTTTCCTAGTATTGAACAGGCAATTGATAGTATAGAATCATTAGAATTTAATTATCCTAAGCCCTTTACAAATTCTCTATTAAAATTGCAGGATATTGTTATGCTTATACGAGATGCAGAGGGTCATGAAAGTAGGTTATTTAGTGTAGAAAAAGGGAAGAAAGAAGGAGAAAAGAAAGGGTTTTGGTTAATAAAATTATGTTTTATTTTTATTTATTGAGGGGTTTTTTAGTCAGGCATTAGAAGTACCAGTAACGCCGTTAAAAAATAAGGAATTACAGTCACCAGAAATATTATTAGAAGCAGCGGAAAAACTTTTAAATATATAGTATGTAATTGTTTATAATAGAAGTCATTATTAAATGGAAAGTCAATTTCCTGAGATAGAGGAGAGAATTGGAATGCTTTTTGAAAAAAACCGTAAACATCTTAAAAATATACAAGATTTAGAAGCAAAGATTGAATCGGTATAATAATATAAGTTAAAATGAAGATTTTAAAGGGTTATTAGCAACGTATGAAGTTAGATTTACTTTTAACGAATAATGATTTTAATTTTGAAGATAAGAATGAAATTATAACAGATGAAATGATACAAGAAGAAAAAGATGAGGTAGCAAGATTAGAATATGAGTTAGAAATGAGGAGTAAAGAATTAAGAGAGAATGAATAATAATATTTTTTGAGTTTTGAAGGTAGTAGTGATATTTTTTAAGTTTAGAGAGTAGTAGCGATATTTGTATAATAAATAGAATTAAAATGTTTATATTATGTATTTTTACCTTGAAATTTTATAGAGTTTATTATTTCTTTTTTTATAGGTTTATTTCTTTGAAAATCTTGTCTTTTTTTAATACTTGATAAATAATGATTATATAGAACGATTTCAGCAATAGCAATTAGTATACCAGAGCTTAAAGCTGCTATAATTCTCTAAATAATGAATAATTTAGTAATATGGTAAGTATGAATATACCATTGGTATGTTCCAATTTTTACACCATATCCAAATAGCAATTATAATACTAAATATTGTTACAAGAATATTAATTATTGTAAATATTTGATTTTTGATTAAGCGTAATTCAGTTTTACTGAGTTCTTTGTTTTTATAATATGGATCATGTATACCTATAAGTCTTTGATAGTCTATTTCTTGTGCAATAGAATGCATTTTTAATAAATGATTTTGTTTTGTATTCTATTTATATTTAAGAGATGATTTAATAAAGAGAGAATATAAACATTTTTCTGAGTTTTTTTTTCATGATATATATATGTTCCTCTTAAAATATAGTCCAAAGTGTCTTCTTTTTTTTGAATATCATGATTTATATTTTTTAAAGATGCTGAAATATCTATAATTACAGAATGAGGAATAAAATCACTTTTTAAATATTCTGAAATATCTTTTCCTATATTTAATGAGGAATATCTTTTTAATGTTTCTTTAATTCTTTCTGTTTGAACAAGAAGAACCATAATATTTATTTGATAATGTCGTAGATAATTGATCTATAAAAAATCTAAGTAAAATGATAGTAAGATTTAATATGAAAAATAATTAATATATTAATTATTATTGATACTCGAATATATTTAATCTTTTTAAAATAGGTTAAATAATGTAAAAATTTGAAGATATTTACCATAATATCTTAAAGTATATTTAATATAAATATCCAATATTTTTTTTAGAATAATGAATGATTTTTAAGTCAAATGTAGATTGTATTTGCTCAAATTGAAATAATTTACTATGATATTTCAATAAATATTTTTAAGATTAAATATGCTTTTTGTTTAAATGTATTAATATCCAAGAAAATGTGATCAAAAACTTTTAATATTCGTATTTTCCAAAATATTTAAATGTTTTAAGGATTTATATGAATTATTTTATATTATTTATATATTGTAGATTTTGTATGTCGATTTTTTTTACAAGATTATTACCAAGTCTTTCTATTTCACTAAGCATAGACAAAATATTTCCATGTATCATATTCTTTTAAGAAAATCAGTTTTAAATTTTTAAAAAAAAAATATATACTTGATCATTTGTTGTAGAATTCTGTAATGGCATGGATGAAAATCCTAAATTTACTCTCCAAGATCTTTTTGAAAGGATATGGGGATTTATAACGCCTGCTATTACAGATTTTTGTAATCTATTATAGAAAAAGATAAAGGAATCATTATAAATATCCTAAAAAATATTAGAAATTTATAACAAAAAGAAACACTAAACCTCGAGTTGTTTTACAAACATATCAATTACATCAGGTTCAGGAAATACAGCTATTAAAACATTAAAATATTTAAAAAAATGTGGTTTTATTACTTTCTTGGAATATTTTTGAATTTTCTATCATTTCTGAAGCTTTATTAAGATAAATAAGGAAGTCAAAATCCTTTAAAGAAGGTAAGAAGGTTTTCTTTAAGAAGTTAGCTAGATTACATTTCAAAGAGAAATAATGTTACTAACACGAATGCTTTTTTCATCCATTTGTTTTAGAATTTCTAGGGAATTTCTAGCCAATAAAGTAATTCTTCCAGAAACCGCACGACTAGGTTTATTCCAGATCCAGGAATAATAATCATTTTCATAGTTACATGTAATATACATAGCGCCGGAATTGATTCCTGGATCTTGTTTTCTAAAAGTTGAAAATTGATTTTGTATTATCTTATAAGTTTCAGAAGACATGTTTCCTGAAAAATCAATTATTAATGGACTTAATCTCCAATCCCATGATGCAAGCATGGATAAACATCTAAGAAAGCCTGTATTCGCTGTAGCTGGTGGAGACCAAGGTGCTGAATTGATAAATACTTCTGCAACAACAAGCTCAATTAATACTTCTGGAACATGAAATGAAAGTAAATGAGAATGAAACCATTTTTTTGTTAAACGAACAGAGAGAGATAATGCTTTGAATTTATGGCAAAGATCTTGAAAAACCAATGTATGATTTGGTTTCGATATATATGTTTCGTCATATAATTTTATTCCCTTGTTTAGTATACTACGTGGATATTGAGAAACTTCTCCATTTTTCAATTCTTTTTGTAGTAAGGTTTTTTCTCTGTCATGATGAATTCTTAAATGAAATATAAAGTTCTTATATTTAATTTCTAAAAATCCCAAGTTTAAACATTCTGCATCTGTATTTTCTAAGCCGACTCTTGAAATTATATCATTGTTTTGAAAATATAATTTTTCTGACAATTTAATTAAAAATGCAAGTTTAGTTCTTTGAATAGCCTTAAGATCATCCGGCCAATCTCCAGAGCTTTCAAATCGAATAATAATATCACATGGTTCTGAATAATATTTCTTAAAATCATTAGACTCTGAAAAGAAAGGAAGGTTAATAGCTGTATATCTTAAAAATTCATTCGACGGTATTATAGAAGATATTTGAAGCGGAAAATTCTCAATGCTTTTTATTTCTTTAACCAATGAGTCAAATGCTGTTCTGATTTGTGAAAATTCTATTGGCAAGTATGCTTTTGGAAAATTAATATATTTGTCATATTCAGGTCCAAAAAAATGGTATGTTTCAGATATGTTACTTCCAACATAACGGTCAACAGCGAATTTTATAATATCTTTAATAAGCCAAAGTTTATTTTCAACGTTCCATACTACACTTTCTAAAATACTTCCATCTTTAAATCTTCGAAGCTCTGATTTTTTTCCCCAAAATTGTTGAAACTCTTTAGTTGCATTAGTATCTTGAGGAGATGGGCCACGTTCTACAATTTTTTGAGAATTCTCTTGGTCAATAAGAATTCCTATATAGAATTCATTTGATATTATATTTGAAGGGAATTCTGTGTCTATACTCCATGTTATGTCGTTCAAATGTACTATTGATGTTATTTGAAGTATTCTATTCCCAAGTGCTCTCTTAATAATGTCTATGAGTTTTAATATAAATGATGTTTCTTTTAATGAGACTTCATATAAATAATCTTTTGATAATTCTTCCCAATTATGAGGAATAAAAACTCTTAGATTATCAGAATTTGTGTTAATAGTAAAAAGCAAATATACTTATAATAACAATCGAATTGTAAAGGAATAATATCCACTCTTTCAAGAAAAATTGATTTGAAATTATCTTGAGGAGAATTGTTCAATAATTCTAATGTAATTGATGCATATAGTTGTATCTAAGGACAGTTAATATAAAATTGAATAGTCTTTTTAATACTAATTGAAAATCAAAATATGATAATTTTTGTAAAATATTTATATCATTAAATGTAAAAAAGCCTGGTTTTTTTTTTGATAAATCATTGATATATTTTTCTGAATCCATATATACTGGATTTTCTAATAGATTTTGTGTTGCTAAGAATTGAAGAGTAATTTTAAAAAGATGATAGGAGCTATATTGAAAAAATTGATCTTTTTTATGCTTGAAATGATATGCCATGATTATATTCCATTCAAAATTACCAAATCCATTCTTTTTAGAACTAAAACCTCTTTTTTTTAGCCATATTTTGCCCAATATGGATGCATCCCTAAATGCTGGACATGATTGTAAACAAGTATATTGTATCATATGATGCTGATTTATTGTGCAATCCGATAGAATAGAAAAGTTATAGTTAGGGGTTGGACAGTTTACAGATGCAATGCAGGATTTATTTGGAGAAAGCTTGTTTGATTGAAATACATTTTGAGAAATAGATGGTATAATAAAAATATTCCATTTTTTGTGATTATGAATTTCATTATCTAATAAATTTAAAATAATGTTTTTGAATTCTATTTTTAAATACCTTTTATATACGATATTACTATTATTGGCTTTAATTGATCTCCATTAAAAAGTTGAAATGATAATTTTCCTGTAAATTCAGGCGATTTTCTTATGCCTTCTGCAAGACATGCTAAATAGTATGAACGTTTATAAAAATAACAATAATTCATATAATCTTTTTTTTGAAATATTCTCTTTTTTTTTTTAATTATATGTTAAAAACTTGAAAATATTACCTCTGGAATTTCAACTGCCAAATCAATGTTCAAATTATCTTCTTTAATAGACGTTCCTAGCGAAAAACTTCCTATAACATTAATAGATGTTGGTCTTCTATATGAAAAATTATATTTCACATCTTTAGAAGGTTTTGGTTCAGGAAATGGTATAAAAATATTAAGTTCTTTCATTTCTTTTATAATAAAATTTATCTAAAACAAATTAATATATATTTTTAAAATTTATTTATTTACTTCATTTTGTTCTTTGTTTCCTATGTTTTCTATAATATTTTTAATTTGATTTATATATTTTTGTATTTCTTTTATATCATTTGAATTTAATCTTGTTTCTTCTAATAAATCATCTATTTGTAATTTAAAATAATTTGACTTAAAGAGACTTTCATTTCTTTGAAATTCTTCAATTTCCTTTTGACTAATAAATTTTTTATCTTTTTTATTTTTTATAGAATCTTTTCCTTCTTCTGATACATGGTTTTCATTACTATCTGTATCAAATCCTTGAAATGTATCATCTGATACCTCCTCATCAAATTCGCTTGACATTTTTTATACTTTTTTTTAATAAATTATAGAGTTATTAAGAATTATTACTCTTTAATAGCTTTTATCTCTTCTATTTGTCCTTATTATTCTATTTTAATTATTATAACCCTCTAATAGTCCTCTCTAAATTTTTTAACTAAACAATAACCGCTTTTTAATAAATAAAGATATACATTTAACTCAATTCTTATATTGTTTTAACTAACAAAACTATTCTAATTCTACTTTGATTATAACAAAAATCTCTATACAGCTTTATAAAATATTAATATATATAAATTTAGATTATAAAATAATAAATTAGTGTTTATTTTAAAAATATAGTAAAAATGATGGGTTATAGTTATTTATAATGTGAATTGTTTGATGGAGTATTGGATTTACTTAATATTTAAGTATTTAAAGAACGAGCTAAAGAGACTAAGAAAAATCGACTTTAACTAATATTATTATATTTTTTAGTTAAAATTGATAAGAAATAAGTAAAATGAAAGTAAAAAATCAATATATATAGGGATCTTGTTTTTTAATTTTATAGGTGAGTTATAGTTTGATTTAAGTATTGTAAGTAAAAGATATAGAAATAGGTATTATGGTTAAGAGGAAGATTGAAGATGAGAAGCTATATAATGAAGGAAATCATAATATTTTTTTGAATGAAAAAGTTTTTTTTTTGGTATTAATTCTTTAAAATTGATAAATTTAGAAATATAAATCAAATGAGCATCTTTTAAATCAAAATGTCTTAAATGAGGATGAAATATATGAAAATGAGTCATATAATGAAGATGAATTTTCTGAAGGAGAGTCAGAGAGTCAGCAGACTAAGTTAGATCTACAAAATAGAAGATTATTAGTAGGTCGTATAATTTTCAAAATAAATATTTATTATGCTAGCCATGCGCTGAAGCAGGGATTATAAAATCAGTTGAACTTGTTAATTTTATGGTATGAAGTGTTTAGGTTGCTTTTGTAGATGTTAATTAGTATTAAAGTGTCACAAATATTTAAAAGTTGATTTATGTTCGAATATAAATTTCCTTATAGGCCATAATGGGAGTGGAAAAAGTGCTATACTTACAGCAATTACTGTTTGTTTGGGAGGAAAGGCATCAATTACTAATCGGGGCTCTAATATTAAGGATTTGATTCGAGAAGGAGCAAAGTATAGATTTATGTTTGTATTTTTGTTTTTAATACTCTGTAGTTCATCTTCTGTAACAATTATGCTTAAAAATACAGGGGATGATGCGTACATGCATGATGTTTATGGTAATACTATTATTATAGAGAGAAGGTTTACTAGGGAATCATGTGGTGGATATAAAATTAGATCTGCTGACAATCGTCTGATATCTACGAAAAGAGATGAATTAAATGCGATTAATGATCATATGGGTTTGCAAGTTGATAATCCTATGACTGTTCTTACTCAAGATACTGCACGTCAATTTCTTGGAAGTTCTAGTGCAGAGGATAAATATAAAGTATTATTCTAGATTTTTTTTTGTATAACTATTAATAATCTTAGTTTTTTATGAAAGGCATTCAGTTGACTCAATTAAATAATGATTATAATTTGATTAATGAAAGTATTGAAATTGCAGCTGACGTCATTAAAACAAAAAAAGAAGGTTTATCATCTTTAAAGCAAACTGTAGATGATGCTTCTACTCGTTTTCAAGAGACTTTTAAAATTCGTGAAATGTATGAAAAATTGGATAATCTTAAAGATGAAATGGCATGGGCTCAGGTTGAAGAGCAAGAAAAGGTATTTAAGTTGAATATTTAAGGAAGCTAATTATTTAGAGGCTTGATGATATTACTAATCTTTTGGAAAATCAGAGGAAAAAGATGTCTCGTGCACAGGAAGAATATTTTAAATCAGAATCCGATCTTTCTGATTTATCTGTCAAGATTACGGCTACTCAAAGAAATTTCGATTCTATAAAAGAAGATAAACTTCCATTTTCTAATAAACAATATTCTGAGATCAAGCGTAGATTGGATTTAAATAATGAAGAAATTAAAGAATTGATGATACAGCAGAATGAAGTTCAGGATCAAATAAAAATGGCTAATGATGAAATTACAAGATGTTTGAAAAAGATTTCTGATGAAAAAGAAAGGCTCCTTGAACTTGATGGTGGCTATCAAGAGAAACTTAGGAAGAAAAAGGAAGAATTGGATTTGCAAATTTCGATATTGAGATCAAATAATTTCAAAATAGATGCTTTAATAGAAGAAGTTGAAGAAAATATTAGAATAGAAGACAATAAAGCATCAAAAATTAAAGATACTGTTTTAGAATATGATAGATCTCTTAAAGCTTTACGTGGTCAATTGATATCTTTTGAACATGCAAAAAAAGATCGATTAACAGCATTTCATCCACGAATGCCAATATTGATACAAGCAATTGAGCAAGAGAATAGATTTACTTCAATTCCTATTGGTCCTTTTGGAAAATTTGTTCAAGTGTTGAAACCAGAATGGTTGTTTATTCTTGAAACATTTTTTGGGACAACACTTAATGCTTTTTTGGTTAAAAATACTGAAGATGAAAAAATATTGAAAAATCTTATGCAAAAATGCAATTGTTTTGTAAACATTATTATAGGAACTGATGATATGTTTGATTATTCCAAAGGAGAACCTGACTGTGAATTTGATACAATACTTAAAATTTTAAACATTAAAGATGAGCTCATTAAACGTCAACTTATAATTCATCATCAAATAGAGTCAACAATTTTGATTAAAGATAGGTTTACAGCTGATAAAATTATGTATAATAAACCAGCTAATGTCACTGCATGTTACGCCTTGCATAAAAATGGATGCGATGGTTTTAAAATTGGGGGTAAACAGGGCTCTAGTAGTAGTATACCTGTAGATGGTTGGAAAAAGGCACTTCGTCTTTCAGAAAATACGGATAAAGAAATGTTGTTGATACAAAAATCGATAGAAAATGCTGAATTGGAGTATAATCGTTCTTTACAGTCCCAAAAACTCCATATGACTTCTTTAAAAGAGATGATATCTAAGAAAAAAGACCTAGAAAATCAAAAAAAGTCTATAAAGCATCAAATAAATGAAAAACAAAATGAATTGGATGATATAAATGAAAGATTTAATGAAAAAGAAAATACAGGGAAAATTGAGGCTCTTGAAGAAAATATTAAAGAGGCACAAGAAATAGTAGAAAATTACCAAGGACAGTATGGAGACATTCTGAAAGCTACGAATAAATTAAATGAAGTGAATGTTTTGATTAAAGAGGAATTAGCTTCTAAAAAAAAACAAATATCAGAACTGGAAATGTCAATTGAACAGTTAAAAAAAGTATTGGAGGATTATGTAGGTCAACGAATTCAAAAAAAAGTTGATTCTGAGCATTATAAAAAAAAAGTTGATGAATATTTGATAAAAATTAATGAAATTACTGAAAATAAAGTTGAACAGGAAAAACTTGTAGATGATTTTATTAAGAAAGCATCTCAAATTAGTAAGAGAGTTAAGGTTAATCATGATGCGCATTATTTAGATGCTCTCATTAAACAAATGACTAAAAGACTCAGCGAAGTTCAGCAATGCTTAGGTGCTACTATAGAAGATATTGCTCAAGAATTTGAAAAGGCACAAAATGATTTTCATATGGCTTCTCTAGAAATTAAGGAGCTTGAAGTTCTTTATGATGTATATTTTTCAAATTTCATGTTTTATTTTTTTAAGTTTATTTTAGATTCTACGAAATACTTTAAAAGAGAGGCGTCAAAGATGGAAATATTATAGAAGTATGCTTTCATTGCGCACAAAAATGTTGTTCCACCATTTTTTATCTATGAGAGCGTTTAATGGAAAGTTAAAAATAGATCATAAAGCAAGAACACTTGAACCAAAAGTAAATATTTTTATTATTAATCTTATATTTTTTTACTTTATTAGATATATGTTGATACTTTTTCAAACGAAAAAGATTTACTTAAAAATAATACTTTTAAAAGTTTATCTGGAGGAGAAAAATCTTTTTCAACGGTCTGTTTACTTTTATCAATATGGGAAGCAATGGGTAGTCCCATTCGTTGTTTAGATGAATTGTAAATATTTAATTTTTTTTGTTTTTTGGCTGTATTAATTAATTCATAGCGATGTATTTATGGATGCTGTTAATCGTAAAATAAGTATAAGCATGATGGTAAATTGATATTTTTCACTTCTTTTTATTTAATCTCTTTTTAGATAAATGCTGCACGTGATGCTAGTATGACACAGTTCATTTTAATTACTCCTCAGGATATGAGTAATATAGCAATTGGGCCTGATATAAAAATAATAAAGTAGATATTATTTATCTAATAATGATGAGTTTAATTTAAAATATAGAATGAAAGATCCTGAAAGAAGTCAGACTATATTGGATTTTCGATAAAACATAATATGTTTATAGTTTAATAAATATTGCATAGAAAAAAATATCCTAATATTACAAATAGATTATAGAATTTGTAGTTTTTTGTATTTATTTTATCTAGTTAATCATTTATTTATGGAAATGTTTTTTTTTTCTAGATATTTAAATAACTTGTGATAATTTTATAAGAAAAATATCTTTTGAGAATATTTCTTAAAACTAACACTTGTTATACAATTTATCAATAAAAATCATTAAATTTTGATCTTTTCATGTTTTGTTTATTTTAAAATATTTACTATTAATAATATTTAGATAAAAAAGTTCATTTAATTTATTAAAAATAATAATTCTTAGGCATTGATATTCTATGTTGCATTCATCTTTAACTTTTCATTTATTTAAATATCTAATATATATACACTTTTTACTTATTTTTTAAAAAATATGTAAAATATATTCAAATATTAAATACATATTAGTTTCTTATATCTTTGTATACTCTTCCATGTTTAATTTTTTAACATAACTTACTTATTATTTTTTATTTGTATTTATAAGGTAAAGAATTTTATTAGGGCACCCGTTGAAGGATTACGTAGACAACGAAAGGGATTATTTTAGAATACAGACTTTGATTTGAATATTGATTTTTATTATTATCTTTTTACTATTAACTAATAAGGTTTTTACAATATTTTGTATGAATAAATGGGTTTATTGTTTTATTAGGAGATATTAAGGGAAAAAGACGTTTTAGTAAAAAGTTCATAAGGAATCTTAGGATTATTTAGAAATTTATAATAAGATTATAAGATATATAGCTGAATTATGAGTTCTGTTAGGGATTCAGGATCAGTGGCTATAGATTCTACTAAGTAATTTACTTAAATATTTTTTTAGTAAATAATGCGATGTATGAATAGAACGTATGATGATTGGAAAAAGACTCATAGCCTTTCAGCAAAAGATACTCGGCCACAAACAGAGGTTCTTTCTGATTTATAAATATTTTTCAAGAATACTTATGTTTTTTAAAGGATGTAACAAAAACAAAGGGGAATGAGTTTGAAGATTTTGTAGAGGACACCCGTGTTTGTAATTAACTAACATACACTAAGTATTTAAAACGAGAATTATTAATGGGTATATTTGAGGCTGGATTTGAATATCCTTCACCTATACAAGAAGAGTCTATCCCTATTGCATTAACAGGTCGAGATATTCTTGCACGTGCAAAAAATGGTACTTTATTTATTATATTGAAGTTTTTGATTAATAATTAGGTACTGGAAAAACAGCAGCGTTTGTTATTCCTGCTCTTGAGAAGTTGAATCCGAAGAAGCCTAAAACTCAGGCATTAATATTAGTTCCAACACGTGAACTTGCTTTACAGACATCACATGTTTGTAAAACTCTTGGAAAACATATGGGCATTAATGTTATGGTTACAACTGGTGGTACATCTCTTCAGGTTTTTTTATTTTATTATATTTTTAATTATATTGATATTTTTAATTTAGCAAGATATAATTCGACTTAATGATCCTGTACATGTAATTGTTGGTACTCCTGGTAGGATTCTGGATTTAGCAGGAAAAGGTGTTGCGGAATTTAATGAATGTTTTACTTTTATAATGGATGAAGCGGATAAGCTTCTTAGTATTGAATTTACTCCTGTAATAGAACAGTTACTTACATACTTTCCAAAAGATCGTCAAATTATGCTTTATAGTGCTACATTTCCTCTTATAGTAAAAAGTTTTATGGTATTTAGTTTTTCATATTATTTAGAATCTTATTTTTTTATAGGATAAACATCTTTCTAAACCTTACGAAATAAATCTTATGGATGAGCTTACTTTGAGAGGAGTTACCCAATATTACGCTTTTGTAGAGGAGAAGCAGAAGGTTCATTGTTTGAATACTCTTTTTTCTAAGGTATTGTTTTTTTTTTCGTTATCGCTTTTATCTTATTTTAATATAGCTCCAAATTAATCAGTCAATAATTTTTTGCAATTCTACTAATAGGGTTGAGCTTCTGGCTAAAAAGATTACGGAACTTGGCTATTCTTGCTTCTATTCTCATGCAAAAATGTTACAGAATCATCGAAATAGAGTGTTTCATGATTTTCGAAATGGTGTTTGTCGTAATCTTGTTTGTTCTGGTATAAAATTATACTTTAGGACATTCTATTCTAATTTTTTAGATCTTTTAACACGCGGTATTGATATTCAGGCAGTTAATGTTGTAATTAATTTCGATTTTCCAAAAAATTCGGAAACCTATCTTCATCGTATAGGTAGATCTGGTCGATTTGGTCATCTTGGTTTGGCTATTAATCTTATAAATTGGGAGGATAGGTATGTTATGAAAAGATAACTTCTTGTAGCTTATTTATAGATTTAATTTATATAAAATTGAGCAAGAGCTTTCGACAGAAATACAACCAATACCGTCAATAATTGATAAACGTCTTTATGTTTCTCCAAGTGCCTTTGATGAACCTGTTAGTAATAAGGCTCCTCCCAAACAGCATGCTACTATTCCCCAAAGTAATGGAAATTCTAATGATCAACCTAATAATGAGCAAAGTTATGTTCGTCAACATGGTCAACGAGGACGAGGCGGAAATAGAGCTCGATTCCATAGTGGACGACATTCTAATCGTGCGAATGGTCATGTTGTATCCTTAAATGATAATATTGTTAGGGATTAATGATTCCTATATGGTTTAGTTTAATTTTAAAGTTCGAATTGATGTTGACGCCTTTTTGGGCTTATAATTATCGGCATAATTTGATCAAACATTGTGAATTATCTATATTATAGGATCTTGTTGATATCTTATGAGCATTGCAAATTTTTTATTTTTGATTTATCTATTTATGTTGCGTTTTTTTTTTTTTCAATGAAAAATGTTTGGTTAATTTCAGGCTATTTTTCGTGGTTGTTTTTATCAAGTTTTATGTTGGTGAAAGTTCAAAACGATTTATTCATCAGAAAATTCGAATTCAATTATTTAGCTAAACCTATGGGATTGTTTTTAATATTAAAAAAAAAAAAACTGATTTATTAATTATTAATGAATATATGACATTAGATTTCCCTGTAATGGATTTTTTTTTTCTTTAATGAATGTCATATTTTTGAATTAATATATCATCGTAACATAATTGAATTTTATAAGATCATATATTGCTATATATGATAATATTTCATAAATTCTTTTTTTGCAATTTTTTTCTACTTTAGATCATAAGCAGAATTTTATCTTAAAATATATTTATGATTATTCATTAATATTGCTTAATAGCATTGAATAATTATTTTCAATAGTTTTTATTTAAAATTGATAATACTTTATTAAATGTTATTTGTAATAAGCACATTTGATTCTTATTATTACTTTTATTTATCTTTTTTTAGACGTTTAGGAATTACTGATGTTATGCTAGATTATAATCCATATCTTTAGATTTTTTTGATATACATAGATATTATTTAGAACATTTAGCTGATTTTTATAATTTATATTTAATATATATATAAAAATAAATTTTTCAAAAGTTTACATCTTTATATAATTAATGTTTTTATGATTTTCTTTGCTTTAAAATATTATAAAATTTATAAAACTATCTATTTTTTTAGTAATTTTTTATAGTATTTTAAATTTTTGATAAATTATACAATTGTTAATTAAAAAATAATTATTTTTATTTTAATTTTATCATTTGATTAAAGGTAAATGGTATTTAGAATATAACTATATTATTTTAAAAAAAGAAAATTAAATTTTTAGTATTTTGGTACATAATTTACTTTTTAAAATAATAGATATTATAAATAGTTTTCTATATAGGAATAAATATCTTTCCTACATTTATAGTGTAATCTTCATATATTTAAGCTTTAGACTATAAATATCCCTAAACTTTTAGAAAATAGTTTTATTTTTTATTTATAATTTTTACATATTTTTAATTGGATGTTTTAATGTTTAAAATATTATTTTTTATTTCAAGTATTCAGAATATTACTCAGATATTATATATATATATATAATTAAAAGGAATTTATAAAAAGTATTCAAATTAGAAGAAAAAACATAATGATATTTTTATTTATTTCTATAAAATATTGTAAATATTGATTTTTTATATATTTTATTTTATGAGAAATTAATTTTATAAATATTATATAAATACCAACTAAATTCTATTATTATAATACATTAAAAAAGTATATTTAAATTATTTTTTTGAATTTTAAAATAAAAATGAGTTTTCTTTTTTGAAAAATAATTTATAAAATATACTTTTTTTTATATTTTATAATAGTATATTATACTATATTTAACTATTTTAAATATAGTATAAATTAAAAGTTCTATACTTGATTATTTTTGATATTTTTTATATTTTTCAAGAATCATTAATTATTAATGAGTTAATTTTGATTAAGAATCTTTTTTAATATTTGATAAGTTTTGATTTGATATTTAAAAAGTTATATGTATAAAATATGTAATTTTAAAGTTTAAAATTGGTTGTCTGTTTTCTTTAATGTATTGTGTTTTAAATTAAAATACAATACATTAAAGTGAACATAGCAGAAAGTTTTGAAATAATGACTCGTTAATTTAAAAAAATAGATTTATTCATAATATTATACAATATACTAAAAACAATATTTTCTAAAATTGAAAAATTGTAAGGTTATAGAATTAATAAACTTGAAAAAGTTGGATTTATGGAATAGATTTAATTATTTTGCAATAATTTTAGTCAATTTATTTACATTTTCATAATACAGAAAACAATTTTTTGGTATATTAAGAATAATGTTGTACATTTTGATTATAATATTATATTCCTAAAAGTAATTTTATTTCATTTGGTGTCCAATGAAAATATGTTTGATAATCATTTGTAATTTGAAGATGTTTATTAAATCTGAATTTTTTTCTATAAACATTTCGGTTGCTTTATTTGCTATTTTTGTAGCATCTGAC